ACTCTTGCAGATTGATGCGAGGTTGCCCATCGACAGGGTCCACCTGCAGCGGGCAAGCATCGTGGCAGGTCTCTCTTGTGCGACTCCCCTTGCAGCTTTTGTTTACTCGCGCCCCGGAGCCGAAGATGGGAGCTGACAGATCCTAGTCTCAGGTATCACCAGCCTCCAGGCGGAGAGCTGAACTCGTACAGACGTTCGGGCCCCAGCTATTCGAGCAATCCCAGGCGTGGTCGCGCGACGTGGTGTCCGCGAGGACATGTTTCTACGGCCGGGCAGGCCGAACAGTGCAACAACTTCTACTCCGGATACTTTCTGCACACAATTCCCCAGGGCGGCAGTGTTCAGGTGGCCCGCTTAACGTAGTGGTCGTCAGCAGGCCACCCCCGTTCACTCCCAGCGGCCCGGCTCTCTGGGTCCTTCGTCGTGCATGCCCGCACCCTGGACGTCTTTTTGCGGTTGTCTCTTCCGGAGGGCCCACGTCCCTAATTGTTCGACATCTTGCGACCCGTCTCATTCTCAGGGACCAGCCTACGAAAACTCTGCGCGCCTTGACTCGTCCCTTGCATGGCATCACACAGCAGCTGGTGATGTTGTTGGGGGCCATGATGCAGCCAGCTTGGGAGACAAGAGCCAACCAACAACAGGAGCGCGGATGGCGTCGCCTGGGCCAATGATAGGTATGGCAGAAGCACACCACCATTGCGCGGCTACGAACACCATGGTATTACTTTCCACACACAGTACGCTTACCCAGCATGTACGCATGGCCCCTACTGCAGCATGACAACGGAGCTGGCTCGAGCGGACCACGGAGCTTGTTGCTATTTCCGGTCGTGATACTCACGATTGACATCAGACAATCGTCAAGTCCCTGCAACAGGCACCCAACCGCACACCCAGCCGCGCACATGCGGACTCCATCTATACCGGCAGGAATGCATTGCCAAAGGCGGTTTCAGTCGCCTGGCTGCTCAAATATCTCCATTGCCAGGTAGGTGTCTCATGTCGTCCACCACCGGATTCTACGATGAGGCCCGATGAAGGCGTCGCATGACGCAGTTTCTTCTTAATGAAAGAGTTCTGCAGCATGATACCAGACACCACTTTGGCACCTCTGTCGTCGCGACGAGGGACTCATACTCAAATTACAAGGGCGCGTTACCCGTCGTCCCTGAGCCCAATCTTCCTGAATCCGCCCGAGCAACTCTCCAGCCTGGGGTTTGCACCCAAGGGCCTTGTTAAGGGCATCGACGCCATGCTGGAAGCCATCTCCAATTAGAAACGCCCCCGTATATAATAATAGCTTAGGTGGATGCTTCAGCTTCGTCCCATCATCATCATCATTGACAAGCTCAGCTTTCCAGCTCAGCCTCGCTGGATTGAGCATTACATGCGCAGTACTTTAAGGGACTCCATCGGCAACCCACCAAGTCAAGAGTGCATGCATAAGCCCGTCCGTTCTCAGAGCCGCGTTCTCCTAGCGCACCCGGAGAAGGCGCGACGACTCATGATTGGCGCCTCGACATGCAAGTGGCCAGTGCTGCATGTCCATGTACCGTGGAATCGACACGCAACGCAGCGGCTGGCGAGGGGGAGACGAGTGTTCCTTCTGGGCCGGCCCGCGTCGAGCATCTTCTCACGAAACCGCAACGCCTCCGAACTGTGCGACAAGTCCAGTCATGCAGGGCCATACGAGCACGGATTCTTCGCATGAGATTGACGGCGGCCTCTGAAGAAGACGGCACGCAGCCCATTGTTTCGAGTTTGCTGCCAGCCCTTGGATTTTCAGGGGCACCCCGGACGCCCGCGCCCCCACCAGAGACGCGTGGCTTCCGCGGTGGGCTAGGCTGATGCCTCGGAAGCTTTCTAGAAGGCAGGGGTGGCACGAATTCCAGTGCTCGTTGGGTGACTTTGGCCAGCAGTTCTGACAGGCACCACAACACAGGGAAAAGTCCCTTGTTGGGCTGCCGCTGGCGGGTAAGCATGTGCTGTTGTCCACCCGCGGCTATCTGGCTGACAAGGACCACATGCTACAGGGGGCGCCGTCCGGCCAAGCTGGTCAGCGCTGGGCCGGTTATGTGGACAGCACACTAGCAGCTTCGGCGGCTTATCCTCCCGCGGGAGCGCCAAAGGATCTTTACAATCCCTCGTAACCCGGTTGGCGTGGCTATGTTCCTCCGACATGCCAACCATGACCCTGCCCGGCCTTGGGGTGTGTGCGCGGTCGGGGGCGAAGAAGTCGCTCGCACGTGGTGTATGGTCTCACCAAGCGAGCATGGCGCGATGAGGCCCGTGGCACCGCGGGACTGGATCAGTCTGTCCGTCCGCCACGCCTTTCGCCTGTCGATATTAGCCTTGAAACCACGCCAGAGTATTTGCCCGGCCACTGGCCGAGCTCTGGCAGCCGTGGGCAACGAGCAACGGCCCGGTCCCGGACCTTGCTGGTCGTCATCCTATCCGGAGCGTTGTGGCTCGACGCTGTTAGCCGACAGATGATCAAGCTGTTGGCCGATCGTGCCACGCTTGACGTGGTGCTGCAAGGAGGATGGTATGTACATCGCCACGTCCAGGACTCCTTCGGTCACGGTGTGACTTGTCGCACGGACGGGGTTTGGCTAGGGCCCGTTTGTGTGTGGCTCTTCTTTCCAGGGCCGCAGGGTCACTCCTGGAACACTTGGAATACCTGAACAAACGCTCTTCAGTCTTGAAATGGCCACTGTGTCATTGTTAGCAGCAGGTGCGCAAAACAGCCGTCGCAAGCTACCACTTCGGACAGCACCAAGAGCCGCAGGATCATAGCGTTGTTTCGGCGTACCAAGGCCGGCGCGATGCGGCGTCCACTTACCCCGGGGCGTGCATTCAGGCAATCGGCAGCATTCGTCTGGAAGGGGAACTTGGGTCGTTTGCAGAACATCGTTGCGGTCGCCCGGCAGACGGAGCGGAAGGCCTGCAAACGGCACAGGACGCTGCTGAAGCCCCTGAGCTAGAATGATTCGTGGACAAGTCGTCGTCTGGTCCCATCAAGACAGATCCAGGTGGGATTATCCACAGACCTTTGCCTGACTCGGTTGGGGCAAATCAATTGAGAATTGATTGCCGGCTGAGCGCTTGGTGACAATGGATGAGCCCGGACGGATGACCCCTGTCAGGTTGTTCCTGTTGCCACGAGCACAAGCCTTCTCAAAAGCTTGGGGTGCCGAGTGGAGTGCATTAGCATTGACTCTTGACGTGCCGGAGGCGTACGAAGAGCTCGACGGAGGCCCGACTGCCCCATTGATCGGCTTGTGCCCCGTGTTGGCCGATGGCATGCTTGGCAGGTCGTCAATCGTCAAGTGTCCAGACGCCGGCCATCTCGTTCGCTGCTGGCGGCCAAACTTGCCAAGGTACAGAGCTCAATCCATGCAGTACAGTACTTACAATTACCCTTGGCTGAGGCTGCCCGCGAATGTCTTTGCCACGGCATTGACCAGCCGCCTCTGCGGTTCGAGACCCATCAACCACGCTGCTTGTCACATCGCCTCGGCTCGGCCCCATCACATCGTCGCGGTGAGGCGGCGGGACGAGTCCGGCCATGGCGCAGAGCCCAGCAGCAGGAACCCAGTAACCCCAGACAAATCGTCAGGCCGGACCCCGTTGCCGCCACCGCCCAGGTGGGAAAGTCTGCCTCATGGCCTTCCGGGATGCCGGGGAAGCCATCCGCCAGCAAGCATACCCTGTTCCGCGACGACCTTTGTTAATTTTAAAAATTTTCCCATCCCAGCCAAGCCCAGCCCAGCCCTTTTTTTTTGCGGCGGGCTTGGACGCGACACGGTCCCCTCTGTCCGGTCGAAACGGGGTGGGAGGGTTGCAGGCGCAGGGGTCCTCAATGCGGTAAGTGGTCTTCTGGAAGGCTTCACCAAAGAGCAGCTCCTTGTGGTGCTTGGATCGGCGGCGCCTCTCGCGTGCGGGCCCGCGTTGCCGGGGGGCGCGGGCTGGCGGGTTGGCGGGCCTGCAGGCAGTGAGTGTGTGATTCTCCCAAGAGATTTTGTCCCTTCATGCCGTCCGGCCACGTGGGGACGCTGAGGTGGGCGTGGTGGTGACTGTGACTGTGTCACCGAAGGGAGAGGGCCTCTGCAACCACTCGTCGATGCAGGTTTGCTGTGGCTGCGTGTTATTTGGGTGACCTGGGCTTCCGCAGCCGACATTTAGTGCGACGCCGGACCGGCTACGTAGCAGCTCTTTCATGTCCCGTACTTGATCTCCGAGTGCGGTTGATCGCGGGAGTTATGTCGGTCACCTATTGATCCCGCGTGGATGTGGTCGTGAGAACGCGGAGGGTCATTGCTGTCCACGAGGCAGGGACGCGAATGCCGACGCAGAAGCCGAGTCCCAGCTCAAGAATGCAAGGACATGTGTCCTGGTGAATCTGCAAGAAAAAGACCACCACGCTCTAATAGCTGTGAGGCTAGCCAGATGGATTCTCTTCCCTTTGGCTGAAGATGGGTTGAATCCAGGGTAGGTGGGTGTTCCTCGACTGGGTGAGTATCGGTAGGGTTCAGAGCGCGACCCGCGGCATTGTCGAAAGATTAATGGCAGGAATTAGATGCAATGTCAACTGGTAGACACAGCAATGCCCATCACAGAAAGCTGTTGCCACCGAAAGGATATGGTGAAGCGTTTGTATACTCCCCTGATGAAGCTTGAAGCGAGAGCTCTTGAACAAGCTGCTAGTAGAGTACCTCCTGCAGTGTGATGGAAGAGGAGTGAGTTAGGGTGTCTCACTAACCCATGCTGACACCAGCACTTCCATCAGACCTGCCCCACAGCAGCCTGCCAAGTCGTCAGCCGTGCCATCCACCCCGCCATCCGTGACGCAGCTCCTCCTATCGTGACATGCGTCGCGAATAGCTCTCGAGAAGCCACCGCTCGCCTCCCCGACGACCCGCACAGGCATCGCCCTCGCCCGACGAACCTTCCACCCCGCCGAACCCCCGGGCAAGCCAGCGCCGCGGACAGTCACCATGTCCATCATCCAGCAACACACCAGCGCGTCGCTCAGCGACGCCTGGCGCACCATCAACATCGACGCCCTGACCGAGGACTCGAGCGTCAACTTCGACACCTCGACGCTGCACCCCCCGCAGCCCGAGATCTCAGAGGCGGAGGTGCGCCAGCTCGCCGGCCAGGTCAGGCAGCTGCTGAGGGGCGGCGACGCCGAGGGCGCCCTGCGGGGATGCCTGGAGACGCCCGTCTACAACGGAACCGACGGGGCAAAGGTGCGCGCGCAGACGATCAGGGAACCCCGAGCCGGACCGACGAGGTCGCAGGGGAACAAAGCTGACTGACATCTGATTGCCCGTGACAGGAGGCCCATCTGCAAACAATCATCGAGGTCCTGCAATCCATCAAGGCCAGCGACATGAGCCCGCTCCTGCGCGGCATCTACGAGTCCCCCGGCGGCAGCGAGTCCCTGGACGTGCTCATGAAGTACATGTGCGTTGATGCGGCGTCCTTCCTTCCTCGACGAAAACTGAACTCGGCCACTAACTGACGGTGCGCAGCTACAAGGGCATGGCCATGGGGTCAAACGGCGGCGCCGGGCGCACGCCCTCCAAGGTCACGCCGCAGTCGACGGGCGGCTTCAGCCAGATTGGCGCGCGGCCCGGCGTGTCCAACGAGCCCGCAACGGCCGCCATGAGCGTCCTGCTGAGTTGGCACGAGAAGCTGGTGGACGTGGCTGGCCTGGGCTGCATTGGGCGGACAATGACGGACTGGCGCAGGGTGTAAAGGGGGGAAATTTGGCAACCGGTGAAATGGCGCATGTTACACGGAAGAACAGCAAAAAGAAGTAGAGTCGCTGCAGGGAATTTAGCGATTTCTCGATTATGCTACATACAACGTACTACATGGTCGTTTGGCATCGTCTCCTCTGCCTGTTGGTACAGCGCTCCGGCAGGGCGATTACTTCTTTTCCAAAATGTCCTTCAGATTTAGCTCGCCGCTTCCTCTTGCAAGCGGTTTCGGCTGATTCTCTCCTTCACGCCACCCAATCATGTATATGATCCTAAAGGTTGCTGGGATGGACCCGTCCGGGTTTCCATGAAGCTCCCTGTATATGGCTTCGTTGGCCATCAACACATCACGTCGGATGGGGCCCATCTCTCGGCCGAGGATGGCATTGTTCTCGCCCATGGACTGCAAGTCTTGCATGAGCGCAAATGTGTCCGGGTAGTCGACAATGATGTCGTCGACATCCACCGTCAACATCTTGAAGCCGGCCTTTTGTAGCAAGCCTCCCACGTCCCTGACGTCGGCCAACGGGGAGACGTGGGGAGAAATGCCGCCTCTGCGCTCCTGCTCCGCGAGCTGGAGGGACGTGCGCAGCTCGAAAAGGGTATCGCCGCCGAGCATGGCCCCGATGAAGGGGCTGTCCGGCTTCAGGACGTTGTTGATTTGTGACAGAATGCCCGGGAGGTCGTTGATCCAGTGCATGCTCAGGGAGCTCAGGACCAGGTCGAACGACTCTGCCTCGTAGGGGAGAGTCTCCTCGTCCTCCAGGACCTGCCGCGTGATGTTAAGCTTCTTGTTGAAGTCGAGGTCCGCATCGCGGTACAGAAGCGTCTCGGACGAGTCGGCGGCGACGAGTTCCGATATCCGCGTCGCCAGCGGTGGTGATTCTGGCGTAGACGGGTCCGGGTCCGGGTTCTCCTGCACCAGGGCGCGCGCAATGTTGCACGAGTTGGCGCCGAGATCGAGGACGCGGGGAAACTGCCGGTTGATGTCCTGCATACGGGAGTCAGCACGACGACGACGTGCGTCTTGCGACGGGTAGGCGAAGCGGTGCTCACCAGCAACCGGTCCGTGAGCCGCACGGCGACTTCGTCCTTGAGGTAGTCCGCCTGGCGGCCCTCCTCAGGGTTGGAGGCGGCGCGCTCCTTCTGGAGCCACTTTGTGCGCCTGTTGAAGACCTGGAACCGCGGCGCGCCGCCGGAGAGGACGGCGTACGAGCGTCGGCCGTTGCAGGCCGCGGCATTGAGCGCCAGGGGGGGACCGCTGAGCAGGGACAGGCGCTGCCAGCCCTTGCCCAGCAGTGCCGAGGCTGGCCACGCGCATGGCGACATTACATGCCAGTTCTGCAGAGCGCGTGCATCTGCCGACGGGTGGGAGTTGGGAGGTCGATGACGAAGTGGGAGCTTCTGCCCGGACTTTTACGATACGTCGAAGCAGCTTTGGGCGGCGGATCCGTGGTGGGGCGCGGCAGGACGGTCATGTTCCAATGGGCCTCCCTGGTCTGACAGGCCGTCCAGTGGAAGCTTCCATGCCAGTGGAGGGGTCGGTCCCCCAGAACAGTACGGGATGAACGCGGGCACTGGAGATCCAGGGGGCTTGGGTGGTGGGTTAGGTGCCCCCGGGCTACTGGAAAGCCCTCAACTGCGCTGTTCGCGCCCGCTCAATGCTATCCGCAGGGCTACCCTCCACTGCGCGGTGTGGCCCAATCCCATCAGCACCTCAGGTCAACCGCGTGTCCCGCTGCCGCCGCCGCCAGAGCTAACGACGACCTGGACCACGGTCCATTGCCTCCGCTCCCTTCTCCAGCATCACGACCCTCGACCGCTCGACGCTTGCACCGCCTGCGACCGTTGGACGGCTGCAAGCTTGGCCATCGATACTACTGCAACGTTCGCGCAGGCCAACCGCTGCACGCTTGTCTCGGAAGCCCGCTGCTCCCTCAACCGCCAGGGCCCATCCGACTGAGCCGTTTCGCACACGACCCGAGACCCTGCAGCGACAGTGACGACGACGACGCGCCGTTGACGAAGGCTCGGGAACCAACGTCGAAACCCTGCCCGAGTATGCCAGCGCTCCGACCGCCGACGACTTGACTGAGGATTTCGGCCTCGCGTAACGCATCTCGGACGCACTCCATCCCTGCCTCCTCGGGCATCCATCGACCTTCGACGCAATAAGGGGCACCAGGCTGAGGCGCAGCCGCCGCCGCCATCGCCATGTCGTCCTCGGGGTCCGGCTTCCTCGGCCGCTCGAGCAGCAGCAATGCCAACATGCGCGGCCTGGTCCAGTTCATTGCCGACCTCAGGAATGCCCGCGCCCGCGAGCTCGAAGAGAAGCGCATCAACAAGGAGCTGGCCAACATCCGCCAAAAGTTCAAGGACGGCAACCTCAGCGGCTACCACAAGAAGAAGTATGTCTGCAAGCTGCTGTACATCTACATTCTGGGGTGGAACGTCGACTTTGGCCACCTCGAGGCCGTCAACCTCATCTCGGCCAACAAGTACTCCGAGAAGCAGATCGGATACCTCGCCATGACCCTCTTCCTCCACGAGAAGCACGAGCTGCTACACCTCGTCGTCAACAGCATCCGCAAAGACCTTATGGACCATAACGAGCTGTTCAACTGCCTGGCTCTCCATGCCATTGCCAACGTGGGCGGCCGTGAGATGGGAGAGGCCCTGAGCGGGGAGGTACATCGGCTCTTGATCTCACCGTGAGTGACCACATTTGACGCCGAATGGCGCATGTTCCTGTGCTTACTCTGTGCTGCAGGACCTCCAAGCCGTTTGTGAAGAAAAAGGCCGCCCTCACTCTACTTCGGCTCTACCGGAAGCACCCCGACATTGTCTCGCCGCAGTGGGCGGAGCGCATCATCCACTTGATGGACGACACTGACCTAGGTGTCGCGCTCTCTGTGACCTCGCTGGTCATGACGCTGGCGCAGGATAACCTAGAACAATACAAGGGAGCGTATACCAAGGCGGCGGCGAGACTGAAGCGCATCATCATTGACGGAGAATACACCACCGACTACCTCTACTACAAGGTCCCCTGCCCCTGGCTGCAGGTCAAGCTCCTCCGGCTGCTGCAGTACTTTGCTCCTTCAGGTAAGTGAGCTGGGCGAGATTGGCAATATTGCGGTATCTTACCCCCCTCACAGAAGATACCCACGTGCGCGAGATGATCCGCGAGTCCTTGGAAAGGATCTTGAATCTCGCCATGGAGGCGAACAAGAACGTTCAGCAGAACAACGCCCAGAACGCCGTCCTATTCGAAGCTATCAACCTTATTATTCACCTTGACACCGAGCACGCCCTCATGAAGCAAATCTCTTCTCGCCTTGGCCGCTTCATCCAGAGCCGTGAGACCAATGTACGGTATCTGGGCCTGGAGGCCATGACGCATTTGGCTGCGCGCTCGGAGACGCTCGGGCCCATCAAGCAGCACCAAGACATTATTCTCGGGTCTCTCAAAGATCGTGACATCAGCGTGCGGCGGAAGGGACTTGACCTTCTTTACAGCATGTGCGATGCGACTAACGCCCAAATCATTGTCGGCGAGCTTCTTCATTATTTGCAGAACGCCGATTTTGCCATCCGCGAAGAAATGGTCTTGAAGATTGCGATTCTCACGGAAAAGTACGCCACCGACGTGCAGTGGTATGTGGACATTTCGCTGCGTCTCATTGCCATGGCTGGAGACCATGTTAGCGACGAGGTCTGGCAGCGCGTAATCCAGATCGTGACGAACAACGAAGAGCTCCAGGTGTACGCCGCTCAGAACGCCCTGCAGCATATCAAATCGGAGCACTGCCACGAAACGCTGGTAAAGATTGGGGCCTACATCCTTGGCGAGTTTGGCCATCTGGTCGCCGACCAGCCACGGTGCAGCCCGATTGAGCAGTTCATGGCGCTCCGAAGCAAGCTTGCGGCCTGCTCCCCCAGCACTCGGGCCATGATCCTGTCATGTTTCGTCAAGTTTGTCAACCTCTTCCCGGAGATCAAGCCGCAGCTTCTCCACACGTTTGACGTGTACACGCACACGCTGGACTCGGAGATGCAACAGCGTGCATGCGAGTACTTGGCCCTGGCTAGAATGCCGACGGACGACCTGCTGAGAACCGTCTGCGACGAAATGCCGCCCTTCCCGGAGCGCGAGTCGGCGCTTCTGTCTCGCCTTCATCAGAAACACGCCAACACCAGCGACCGGCGGACGTGGGTTGTTGGAGGTAAAGATGCCAACGCCGACGGAACAGAGCTGGGCATGGCCAAGGCTGGTAGTCTCAAGAGGACTTTCAGTGCTGCTGTGCCCCTGAATGGCGGCAAGGGACACGGCGGCGCCAACGGCAACGCGAACGGTGCCACGGATCTCGCGGGGCTGGACATGAATGCGCCAACGCCGGCCGAGCCCAAGATGCTTAAGCCACCTAACCTTGCTAGCGCTGCGCATCTCTCTCCTGGGTGGGAGAAGGGCTTCGACAGGCTCATTCTACGGTCGGAGGGTGTGCTCTACGAAGATGGCCAGGTCCAAATCGGTGTTCGCTCTGAATACCGTGGACAGATGGCTTGTCTTATCGCCTACTTCACGAACAAAACTCCCGGGGCCATGACGTCGTTCACAACGACCCTAGACTTGGACGAAGCCGAGAAGGGCAAGCTCACCTGGGACGTCAAGAACCTCCCCGAAAGCACCATTGCCCCCGGAGCGCAGTCTCAGCAAGTGACAATGTTCGAGGCTAAGAGGGTGTTCGACAAGAGCCCGACAATCAGAGTCAGCTACCTGGCTGGCGCGCTGCAGGCGCTCACGCTCAAGCTGCCAGTGGCTATCCATAAATTCATGGACCCGGCTGATTTGTCTGCCGAAGACTTCTTCAAGAGGTGGAAGCAGATCGGCGCAGGCCCTCGCGAGGCACAGGAGATCTTTGGGTTGGCTCCAGGAAAGGGCAGTGGGAGGGAGATTACGGAACGGTTCGTCAACAAGACGATTGAAGGCTTCAGATGGCGCGTGTTGGACATGGTGGACCCGAATCCCAAGAACATTGTGGGAGCCAGCGTCTTGCACACTTCGGAAGGTGGCAAGTTTGGCTGTCTCTTGCGGCTGGAGCCGAACTACGGCAGTCAGGTGAGTGCCCCGAGGCGGCGGACCATATGTTTGAGCTGTTCTGTGCTGACCCAAATGGTAGATGATCCGAATGACGATCCGAGCCACGGACGAATCGGTCCCGTCTGTGTTGCTGAAGCTCATGCAGGATAGGATTTCCATGGGACATTCGACGTCACGCGAACAGCCCGGAAGCCCAACATTTGCATGAGATGTCCTGGCGCCTGTCGCTAAGAGTCATGGCGGCTTGAAGCTAGCAGAGATGTACGGCGAGAGGGAGAAATGAATCACGGGAAAAGTATTTGTGGCACGTTCAAGGTCTAGGATGATGCAAAGGCGCGAGAGCGTATGTATTGATGTCTGAGGCTGTTGGAGATGAAACTGGTGGAACATGAGTCGGGACGAAAGCATGCCAAGTCGGTAGCATCTATGCGCAGGGAGATTCATAGCGCACATACGCGATGGCATTGCGGCGAAGTGAGGAAGCAGAAGCGACCGTTCACCCCGTGGGTGAGGCTTCGGGAACAAGCCCGTCGCTTTGCTCACAAGTAGCTGCAGTCAACGCGGCCCAGGACTAGTCTGAGCCAGACAGGCGCTTAATACAGTTGGATGAAATCTATCATCTACATTATTAGGTGGTTTGACATTTTAATCCTTGATCTTGGCATCGGCCTTTGCCGGCCTCTGGCCAAAGATGGTGCTCCCGACCCTCACCTCGCCACTGCCCATGGCAATGGCGCCCTCAAAGTCCTCGCTCATGCCCATGCTCAGCTCGAGCCGTTGCGGGTCGAGGCCGAGCTCCCTGGCGACGAGGTCGCGCTGCTCGCGGAGGGCGACAAAGTCCTCGTTCTCGGAGTCGGCGGTGGTGGCCTTGCTGCGGGCGATGGCGCCGATGGTCATGAGGCCGAGGAGGTCGAGGCCGGCGGCGCAGTGCTCGAGGATCTCGCGGCACAGGGCGACGGTGTCCGGGCCCGGGGCGCAGCCCGACTTGGCGTCCTCGCCCGAGGTGTTGACCTGGACGTGGACGGAGAGCTTGGGGAGGGAGGGATCGGCGGCGAGGAGGGCGGCGCGGGCGGCGCTGAGGAGGCGGGCCTTTTTGAGGGTGTCGACGCTGGAGACGCAGAAGAGGTTGGGGATCTTGGCGAGGTTCTTGCAGTGGCCTGTTTTCCAGGAACACGGTCGACCAGTCAGTCAGTCTGTCGTTTAGCAACTCACTCACTCCGTTTCAGTCCACTCAAGTGAAAGAAGGTGGTTGTGGTGAGTGTTGAAGTTGAAGTTGATGTTGAAGAAAAGGGGTCACGCCAACGCACCAGACTGCAGGCCGCCGATAAAGTGCCACTGGATGGAGCGCGGCAGCAGGTCGGCCTTTTGGCTCAGCTCCTGGGCGTAGTTCTCGCCAAAGTGGGCGTGGCGGGCGGGATCCTGGTGCAGGGCGAGGATGTCGTTGGCGGGCTTGAGCTTGGACACGGCGACGAGGCGGACCTGCGCGTTTGTCAGTGGGAAAACAATTAAAGTGAAAAAAGGGGGGCACTCGTCATGATGGCAAAGGAAGAACAAGGCAAGTCTGTATATGACATGGGTCGCCGCCGACCCTCTGGGGTGGATGAAAGGCACAGTGATACTCACATTCCGGCCGCCAGCCAGCGCGGCGACGCGGTCCTTGACCGAGGCGAGCTGGCTGATGAGGGCCTGTGCTCTGGCCGGGTCGATGCGCATCTCTTCTTCGGCGGGCGGCTCGCTCATGGCTTTACGTTGGACGTTCCAGGTTGTGTGCAGCGGCGGCGGCGATGCCCGGTCGGTCGGAGGTGTCAACGAGCTAGTGCGGAAAACAGGCGAGTGAAGTTGAAAGTCGAGTTGGGAAAGGCGCCAGTGGCCACCGGCCGGGCGGGCCTCCGGTTTAGGCGAGGCGAGCCCGGGCGTTCTTCTTCCACTGTAGCACAAAGCTTACAGGAGGGGTCGCCGGGGTCCTGTGCGAGTGTGTTTTCATTGGACCTGCTGTGGCCGCCGTTAACCATCCCCGTTGCCCAACGTCGTCACCACGCGCCCTTTCATCGACGAACAACCACGGGTACATGGCTGTAGGCTGGATGGAGTGCGAGGATGGATGTGGAGAGGTGACACGTGTGGTTGGATACAGTGAGCTCCGTCCTGAGATGCACTTGAACCAAAAAAAAAATGTCGATTTATGAAGTTCGTATGTGCATATGTTCGGTTTCGCAGCGTGAGGCGAGTGTCCTCCTATGTTGGTCGCGTGCTCAAGAGCCGCTTCAAAGCCGCGAGCACGACATTCAATTATGCCCATAACGTTGCTCTATAATTCAGCCGCTGAAGGCCACTCAGTCAATCCCATCCCCGAACACCAAACGACTTCAAACCTTTCTATGCTCAAGACAATCACGACGCTCCCTCACACCTTTCATCACCAGGCCATAAACACTACGCAAGCTTAACAAGCATCTCCTCGGGACGCGCCGCCGAGAAGGCGCAGTAACTCATCTTGGCCGCCCCCATCCTCCGCGACAGCCCATCCACCGTCTTCAGGAGCAACACCTCGTAGACGTCAAACACGCTGATGCCGTGAAACCGCCCCGCGTCCCAGTGCGGATCGCCGTCCTCGTTCTGGGGATTCCGCGTCGACGGCTCCGCCGTCTCGTCGGGCACGATGAGCTTGCTGGGGCCGAGGCGCCACTCCTCGTCGAAGAGCGACTCCTGGATCTTGCGCGGCTCGTACCCCCAGTAGGCGTCCCAGCCTGGCGGCGGGGGCGGGACGTGCGGCAGGCTCCCGCGCGAGATGGCCGCGAGGTGGTACTCGCAGCCGTCGTCCTCGGTCGGGAGGAGGGTCTCGTTGTTGAGGGTGAGGAAGCCGGCGCGGTAGCCTTGGTGGTAGACGATGCGCTGCCAGGGGGGCCGGTAGTTGGCGGAGCGGGACTCGTCGTTGAGGCCGAGTTGCAGGAATCGATCTTCGAGGGCCATCTTGAAGGTGGTGTTTGTCATGTCGCAGGGAACGATTGGCACCACGTGAGCGGAAAAGATAAGGACGCCGTTTGTGTCGGGGAGGTCGTTGATGTCCTGGCCGGGGAGATTGACGGGGTAGGTGAACCTGACCCCTGGATAAGCATCGTGAGAGTAGATGTGGCGGTTATACTCCTCGTCGTGCTTCACAACCCAGCCGTCCTCTCCCACGGCATCCAGGTGGCGTAGTGAATCGGCATCGAGCTCCCTCAAGAGCAGCTTGGCTTTCGATACCTGCTGCGTGAAAGCTTGCACCTCCTCGTCCGTCTTATCCCCTCCGCCGTTGAACCTGTCGATGAACCACTGCGGACTTTCTCTGACGAACCACCGTATCACGGAGACGGAATCCCAGAGTACAGAGTTCTTCCACCCCCTCCCGCGGTAGGATACCTGGCCTCGCCAGGCGGCCCACGACCAGCTCGGAAAAAGAGCCTCGTCGTTCCGAGCCCGCAGCGTGAGAGGCTCCCTAGCCTGCCAGAGCAACGCCTTCTCGAACGCAAACGAGGGCAGCCCGAACCAAAACTTGGTGTTTATGCCCTGTCGGACGATGTGCTCCACGCCGGAGAAGGCGTTTACGGCGTCAGACTCCCACGTCAGCTTGCGCTTCGTGTAATCGTCCACTGCGCGGCGGTACAGATCCCAGGGCGTCGAACCGCCGTCCGTACCGCTAAGCGACCCCATGAAGTCGCGCGGCGCGTCCACCGCAATGTCAAACACGGGTGCTATCTTCCCTTTCTCCTCCAAACTCATCTTCAGAAACTCCTCGATGTCGACGTCGCCGGATATCATTATCGTCGCGCCCGCGTCCCGTGACGACAACCCCACGTTTTCGAATCGACTCAGTGACGGATGGGCCCACGCCAGGTACATGAGATCTGACTGCGCCTGGTCTTCGATCCTCGAATGCTGGAATGCCGGGTCGAGGGTCGGGACGGTCTCTTCGAGCATGACGGCGCCGTGGAGGCACTTGAAGACCATTTGGGAGCGGGTGAAGTGGATAGCCCGCGCCGAGAGTGCTCGCTCCTGGAACGTCCACGCCCGTGAGCTCCATACTGAGCTCTCAATATCAGGGATCGGTTGACGCGGATCGCTAAGGCCCACGGCCAGTGTTATGCCTTGGACTCTTGCCACATCCTGTGCGATGGAGCGATTTGCGGTGCCCATGCCAGGTAGACCGTCGTGGGGATTATCGTTGGCGGAGGCGACGATGGTCAACGTAGCGCCGCCGTAAATGGGACCCATCTTGGAGATAATGTTGGCCTTGTCCGCAGGGTCATCTTGGAGAATGCATAAAGCGTCGACCCATAGATACCGTAGTCTTGCTTCTTTGGTGACCGCGATCGCATCCTTGATCGTCTGAGGCAAAGCAACAGATTGCAGACCGTTCGGGGCCTCCAAGCTGTCTCTCGTGGCGGTGGTGTACTGCGTCTGACTGCCCTTTCCCCAGACATAAGACAAGCAGGCATATCGACACGGTGTTTTCACCTCACAGACGCGAAGCTCCTCTGTATCGATGACTCGTAACGAGGGCAAGTCGACAGGTTGGAGACTCCTGTCAGAGACCTGATGGGTTCCCTCGCAGATCATGAGCCATTGCCTCAGTCGGTCCATGTCGGCTCGATCCTGTCGCACAAATCGTCCCGCCAGAGGCTGCTGCGGGTTGTCCTCGACTCTCTGCACGACAAATCTGTCAACCGTCCTTCCGTCCCCTTCCAGCTCAATCTCCAGTCTGAGAGCGTATTCGGGGCCCTCGTCGATGACGTTGATGTAGAACTGCCCGTCTCTGATCTCATCGTCCGCCATTCGGGAAATGCTTCCGCCCTCGACGATTCTCCGCCGCAATATTCGGCAGAAGGCGCAATTGTTCCCAGTCTCCTGCATGACTTTCCACATGCCGTGGATGTTGATCTGGGTGGGCATGGAAGGCACGTTGTTACCCGGTAACCCACGCTGGCTAAATAAAGCCGCGAAGTCGAGGTGTCGACACATCTCGCAGAGATACCCAGGGTCGTCCTCGGGAAGGACTTCTGGGTCGGCGATGAACCACTCCTCGTCCACGGGCGCTTCGGGACTGAGCGGCTCCCAGCGCTTCACGAATGAATGATGCTTGTATTGGTCGAACCTGTTGCGTTGCTCCTCGGTGGCCTTTGCAACGATGTTTTGGCTGTCCTCGCTGTCGCTCTTGAGGCGGATGGTGAGGCGCTCGAGGTCCTTGTCGGAGAGAATGTCGACGTCGTGTTGGTTCTCGTCTCGGGGGGCCTCCATGGCGGCCATGAGTCTGGCACCTCGCCGCCCAGAGAGTTCGAACAGGTCACTGTGGGATGCATCTGCACTGGCTGGTTGCTGGCCCGAGGTGCTGGCCTCTAGTGAGTTTGCCGATGGCATGGCGTCGGACATGTTGATGGTCACCGGCTCGCTGTTACTTATGCTTGATTGTCAACTTGTGCTGCAGGAGGGATAAGTCAGTGTAGTCTTGAATAAGTGAATTTTGAACGACGAGTGAACAGCGGCTAGGGAAGAGGATCCTAGTCTACGAAGAGACCATGGATCTCTTTAAGTATGTACAAGGCAGAAATGCATGTCAGCCGTTTGTAGAGCTGCAGAAACCGGGCTATGGGGGCGGAGCGCGTCAGCACTGAGTAGGGGAGAGTATCGACGACATTACCGTTTATGTCACCGGTCAGGAACTGTCCGCCCGTCAACCACATAAACCGCTCCAGCATATCCACTGCGGGAGGTTAGGCTGCTCCCGTCAGCCCTGGAAGACCTGCCCGATGTGACGCAGCGCCTGCGCCTTGCAGGGCCGCACTGGCCTCCGCTTCTTTTACAGGCGCCGGCGGCCCACTTTCAGCAGGCGCAACGTCAGTCACAGCGGTCACGGCACCCAGGTATCGGCTCATTGTCGGCTGTCCAACAGGCGCTCTAATACACGCCTAGCTGGCACGTCCACTGTTGGTCTCACTGTTCATTACATCAACGCTCTGGTTTACACACCCCGTGGCCGAGGACGACCTTCACATGGCCGCTTACACTGACAAGATTTAATCCGACTCTTTCGCAATTGAGGAAGCGGGGTGTTTGAGAGCGCAGTGCGCCATGGCCTCAGACCTGAAGCAGGGCCGCCGGCGCGCGGCGTCGTCGGCCTCACAACGCAATGGCCGCTCATCCTCAGCAGCGGCCAAGGCCATCGAGCCAAAGTCAAGCCACACCGCGGACGAGTTCCTGCGAGACTTTCTTAACCCGTCATTCGACCCGGCAGCGTATCTCAACGCAACACTGCCGCCCTTGGCGCAGAAGCCCGTCGCCGCCTCGGGAGGCTCCGAGGCCGTGCCCCTGTCAGAGCTGTCGGCGCAGGCGCAGACGCTGCTCTCTCAGCTCAACGCGCAGACGACGAGGCTGTCCAACACGCTCACGCAGCTGACCGACGATATCCTGAGGAGCGGCAGCAGGCTGGCCTACGAGGTGGAGCTGCTGCGGGGAGAGACCCTGACCCTGTCGGAGACGATGAACGAGACCCTGCAGGAGGACATCAAGAAGTTTGTCCCCGGCGGGCTGCCACCACAGGACAGCGCCGCGAAGGCGACCAACGGAGAGGACGATCACGCCACGGCACCATCTGGAGGCTCGGCCACCGTCGGCGACGCTGAAGACCCCGAGTACATCAAGCAGCTGCAGACACTGACGCTGGTGCGGGCACGTCTCGAGTCCGTTATCAAGACATTCGGCGACGCCATGGACTTTTCCTTCCCGCCGTCCGAGGTGTCGGTCAGCTCGGGTTTCCTCTCCGTGTCGGCGCCGGAACCGGGCTCAGAGCAGCAGAGCTCCGAGGAAAAGGGACAGCAGGTGCTCCGGGGCCTGCGCGACGAGATCACCAACCTGCTGCACCGCAGCGACGACCCCGTGCAGGGCATCGAGCGGGCGGCGACGCGGATCGAGGAGCTCAAGGAGCTGACGACGGTGTGGCGCGGCACCGCCGAGGAGAAGGGCCGCAGCAAGTTCATCGAGAGCCTCGCCAAGATGGTCGAGGACAGGCACCGCGAGCTGGTCAGGGATATGGAGCAGGCGGCGAGGCGCGAGGGCAGGGCGGCGCAGGAGACGGCCTCGGCGAAGCGCGCTGCCGGTGGAGGGGAGGACTCGAAGGCGTTGCCGGGCGGCTTTGGCCTTATAAGCCAGTTACAGAAGCTGAGAAGTGGCTTATAAGAACGGCGGGGTTTGAATGATGGATGAGCAGGCATGCAACGTGATGAAGTTGAGTTTGTGCCGCTTGCCGTGATACGAACAAGAGCCTCATTCGTAGCTCTTGCCAGACTCAATGACGTACCGGTCAAGAACGTTGACATGATCCATCATTCGAAGCCCATCATGTTTCCAACCAGGATGCGCTCCGCCGCCGCTCCCAGAGATGCCACATACATGACGAGACACTTGTAATACATGCGCTACTATTATGGCTTATTTTGGAGATGCGGCAAACTTGATGACTTACGGTGCGGGTTCTACTGTATTATTGCCTCTGCACGCCCGCATTATGTCGATTTTGTCGAATGCTTCTGCTATATTGGGGCGAGACGGACACTGGAGCGGACAACACGCAACCCGGTCACCTCGACATTTCCACGGCCATGCGCACAATTGAGGCGATGAGGAGTTGGCTCATGATTTACAGCAAGCATAGTCGATATTGAGGAGATTGGCACCGCTGCCGGAGCCTCAGTGCTGGTGACCATGGTGGTCGCGCCGAGGGCCAGGACGTAGAGCACTGTGTATCCGACAGTCGACGTAGCCCGTTCTGACCGCACATGACGTGTTTCCCTAAGCCGACGGGTGGCTGCTGATATACTATGCCTTTAATTCCATGCTCTAACCCTTTCGCAAGCAGACATATAGTCACATTGTCCGCAAGGAAAAGGAAAGACAGCGTCATGTATTTGATCCGCGTCTGTCCGGGTTGGCGTTGATACAGTGCACAGACTGTCCGAAACGGCCTTCGGCCAGGGCGACTGGCACTGTGCCAGCTTGTGAGTGCCGGCCTCCCCTTTCGGGCCCAGCCGCCCGTCCAAGGCAGGCGGTGAGGGCGGCGCTAACCCACTAACACTAACACGACGCCCCAGCAAGGCCATTCAATGCTGGCACAATCGCCGGCCGGCGCCTGACACTGAGACGGCCACCCGCTTGCTGCCGGCTGACCTTTTCCCCCTCGACCGCAACAACACCACCATAGCACCGCTCGTCCTCGTCGCGCACCGCTGCAACCTCGCCCGTTTCTGCTCCCTCCAAGCTCCCCTCGCCTCCTCTTGCCAATCTTGTCAGGCAAGCCGCCTTGTTTATTCTGCCCCCGTCTTTGTCTCGGCGCCCGCAGGGCTGCAGTTTGCCAACCGCGGACGGCAGCTTGGCTTCAAGCGAGCGGGCAGAATCCACACAGGCGCTTCCGGCCCCGTGGCCCTCGCGACAGCGGCCCCCTCCTGCGATTACCTGCCCGCGGCTGTAATCTGCCCGGGACCTCTGTCTATATTTCTTTCCTCGCGCCATATTCGGTCTCCGACACCGACGCGCAATGGCCGCCAGCGAAGCCGCCGTCTCCTCCGCCCTCGGCGCGAAGGCCGAACGACGGTCGCCTCCCCCGACCACGCAATCGAAGCGAGACCGCAAGCGACAGGCAGTCTTGGAGCGGCTCGCCGCCTTGAACGACAAGTTCCAAGATGACAAGGACTCGACCTACCGCGACCAGCTCCAAAAGATCCAGTTCGAGATCAACCACATGCAAAAATTCGACCCCTACGCCGATGACGCTCTCGACGTCGCTTCTCGGCTCCAAGATGAATACAACCAGACCATGGGCACGCCTATGCACGCTGAGTCCGCCAGAAGTCTCATGGACATGGCCGGCGTCCAGCTGCCCCAGTTCATGTCCGACATTCAGGACCTGTGGGAGATTCGCGACTTCTCCCTCACCCAGGCCAAGGTGAGCTGCGACGCAGCCCAGAGTAGCGACTGACTGTGCTAATTACCATTTGCCATCTACAGAACGAATACGAGCGCAAGGTACAAGAGTTCCAAAACACATTCACGTTCAAGATGGAGACGGCCAAGCGCGAGCACGAGGCGCTCAACAGCACCATGCGGGACCGCCTGATCAACCAGCTCACCAACAAGAAGAACCGCCTTGTTAAGGAGAAGGAGGCCTTTGAGATTAGTGAGACCAATGCGCTGCTCCTCCATCCTTCACAGTTCAGCCTCGCCAACCCGGGCAGCCCCGGCGGCCACCCGGGCAAGCGCACGACGCGCAACCGCAAGGAGGCCGACGACTTCTCCGAGGGCAAGAAGCGAAAGCGCAATGGCGGCGAGGACGATGGCTCCCCCGCGCCGTCGCGCCGGGCTCTGGACCCGAACAACACGACGCCATTCTGGCAGTCGGAGAAGATGCGCAACGAGGCCAAGAAGCGCGGCGCCGACTACAGTATTGGGAGCCTCTTCACCGATAAGGAACTGTCAATGCACTACAATACAGCCGCCCTCGCCGCCCACAAGTCCATGGTGCGTCATCGCGTCACGGGCAGCGACTCGTCGCCCGAGGATAGCGACTCTGGTGACGGCGAGCAAGCTTCTTCGGCTGCTATGGAGCGACAAGTCTCGCATCAAACTAGGAGCACTCGGGGCAACGCCAACCAGAACTTCGTCGACGATAAGCTTCTCGGCATCGAGGGTGTTGCGAACTATGAGCTTCCTGCCAATCTGGACCTCATGCACTCCCAGGTGGATCCCAAGATCCCGGTCGGCCAGCCGAGCTACTACCTGAAGACGTCTCTCAAAGCCAGCAGCGAGAACAGCGCCATCCCTCAGACGCGCGACGACGACTTCAAGGCGGACATGCAGGTAATCACGGCCCTCAAGCACTACGACCACACCCGAAAACCGGGCAGCCACCTGGACAACCCCAAGGGTCCTCGCAAGACCTTTGAGACGGTCTCAACGCCCTACAAGTCGGGCAAGTACATGGGCTTCGCGGCGTTGGCCCGCGACCCGGCCGAGTTGGAGAACTACGCCGAAGTCCTCGAGGATGCCGCACCGGCCACCAGCAGCCTGCGAGAGACCCTGCAGCCGGCCAGCCGGCAGAGCAGCGTCGGCGGCGTGGCCATGAGCCGCCAGGGAACGGCCGGCAGCGGCCGCGGCAAGCCGCGCAGGTATTGATTGATTCGCAACGGGTATACCGTCTGCTATCTGGATATTACGTTGCATTTGCGGTCAATAAGCGTGGCGTCTCGGTTGTTGTTGTTGGCCTGCCGGCAGGGACTGCATCCACACGGTGGTTTTGGTCTTGATGGCATGGTTTGCGTCGTCCATTTTGTTCTCGACTGCAGCGATGGGATCATCCGACTGCTGATGACGGACATTGGCTGTCGAAGGGGGGTTTCTTTGCACTTTTCTGGCGCTGCGGTTGGGGGTTGATGTGGCTATGTGGATTTCTTTCCTTGGACGGAGCCTGCCCCGTTGCTGGGGTGTCATCGGCCCGGCGGACTTGACTCAGTTTCCTTTCGTTTGGTTGTGGTTTATGTGGCTTCGGTCTTGCGTCTGACGTTGGCAACTTTCGTCACAAATACCAGGAGGTTCTGCTGTGCAGTTGTCGTTTTGCGCCTGGGCGGTCTATGGGACCGGACGAATCCGGCGCACTGCCGGGCGTCATGGAGTGCACAATGAGAAACGCGGGAGGCATGTGCATAATAGCTCAATCGGCAGAGACCGGCGTCATCAAAGATCTTCTATTACTGAAATTATGCTAGCTGTGCAACCTGGACGGTGACAAGAATCCAACGCCAACTCCTCATCCCTACATGCTCTCATCGTGTGTATCGTTTCATATTAGGCAGTGTGTCGCGTGCGCCTGGCTCACGGGCCAAAGACGAGCGCGCGCACCTCGATGCTCTCGCGGCCCTCGGCATCGGGTCGGGTCCGGGGGTCGACAAAGGCCGAGTGCGGGACGCGGCCGCCAATCTTGGAGCCGGGCTTGAGGGACTCGCTATCGAAGCACTCGAGCAGGACGCGCTCGCTGCCCGTCATACCACTAAGGTAGTACCACTTCTGGGCGGCGTTGTGGCGGATGGCGGCCGTCTGGCCGAGGTAGCCGTCTGCGTAGCGGTGCTCGATGGGGATGACATCAGCGTCCTCGAGCGTCGACGTGGAGGCAAAGGCAAGCGGGAAGGACTCGACGGGGTTCTTGTTGAGGGGCCGCCAGACGTTGACGATGCGGTAGCGCCCGCGCAGGAGGGCCTCCGCCTCGTCGCCCTCAAAGTAGCGGCGCACGCGCTTCTCGACCGACGGGGCCGTCTGGTCGATGTGCACGCGCGTGACGGGGTTGCGCGACGCGGCCGGGTCAGCGCGCCTGATGGTGTGGTCGAAGATGCGCACGCGGTTGGAGCCGGGGATGCTGTCGAGCAGCAGGCGCTCGACCTCGGGGTAGTAGTTGCGGCGGATGGCCTCGTCGTCGAGGAACGCGCGCTCGGCGGACTCGGGCACGTCGCGCAGCACCTGGAAGGCGTCGCGGTCGAGCGAGAAGGCGGACTCCTGGCCGCGCAGGTCCCGGATGAGCGTCTCGTGCGCGGCGTCGGAGTAGTTGCGCTGCGGCTGGCCCGCCGGCGGGGTGTCGACGAAGTTGAAGGGCGCGGCCGACTTGTCGGCGGGGGGGTTGTAGTAGTTGAGGGTGGCGGTGACGTCGCCGCGCGGGACCGAGGCGGTTACGGCCATGACGATGGTGATGTGGATGATTTAGGTGTGATGAGATTGGTGTTGAGAGAAGTGATCCTCAGAGTAATGAAGATGAAGATGGGATATGGCAGTTCTCTGTCTCCCAGCTGTGGCGAATGGCGTCTTTGAGGTTGGCGCGCCTGAGAGCAATTTTATACTTCGTCGCCAACTTATGACCTCGGCTTATACGAAAGCTCCAGGTTCTGTGCAGTTGCGTTTTTCGTTGGTGTTGTTTGCTGCTACCTCTGCTCGCTGTCCGGCGGGATTGCCGCAGCTTTATACGCTTGCGTGAGAGAGTCGCACAGCGCGCGCCCTCTGCAAGTGTCATGTTTGACACTTTGACGATTTCCCCATCCGTCCTACCAATCCATTGCCAGATTTCAAATCAGGGTGTGCCCCCCTCTCCCCTCACTGCCTCAGCGCAAAAAACGGAGACGCATCGCCGCGCGCTGCCCACAGAGACGGGCGTGCGGGCGGGCGAGTGTCCAGGTAGGTGGTGGTGCATGGTGGGTGACCCGGTCGAAAGGGCGCGCCGAGGTGAGAGCACACTGGGAACTTGAGCACGTCACCTCACGCGGAGGGCCGCCGATTCGCCAGCCCGCTGGTTGACCATTTGTAAGGGCGCGGGGGATTAGTAACTTCCGTTGGAAGCGCTGGAGCCGTGGGCGGTGCCTGGGGGCCGGGTTTTGGACGGGCTGACGTCGGAGGCGATGGCGTGCTGGGGCAATGCCCGTTGGAAAAAGAGAATCTTCCACTGGGGTAGTCGCTGCGGGAGTCGGGGACATGAACTACATACATATCGTGTTAAATTACGTGCGTAAAGCCGGGCATGCCCGGCGGCCAGCCAACCTCCGGCGCGGACGGCGGATGCCCTCACTGGCCTCGGTACTTTGCCTGACGCTGGCAGGCCATCGCAATGCAGGTCCCCCCCCCCCCCGGGACGCGACCTGCGCCAGTAGAGGCTCAGGGCCGGCCGTGCCGAGCCAGCCGTGCCGGGCCAGCCGTGCATTGAGCAGAATGCGAGAGACGTGTCTTGCGCTTGAGGCCGTGTACTGTGCGATGATGACGTTTCGTTGTGCGCATACGGCACGCGGCATCAATGCTTACATACGTGACCCAAGCTTTTACCATAGTTCAAGCAGAGCGGCGCAGACATGTGCCGATTGGAGAGCGCCGCGGGGCCGTCGCCCACGCGTGAACTGATAGTGGGTGCCAGACACCGCTTAAAGGCATCAACATGCGTAATTAGGTTGAGTCCCTCTCATGCGAAGCGCGCAACACCCTTCTCAAGCCCGGCAAGAGCGGACCGCATGAATCCTGCCGCATGCAACGGCATCGTGGACTTGGGGCCGGCCTATGCTTCTCTATTGTAGATGCTGGGCGGCCTGTCGATGCGCATCAGTGACCGCTGGCGAAGTCTGTTTTCTTTCGGCCTTGTCCGCGTTTATGCGAATCTCGCCCAACCGCCTAGTTGACGTGTAGGATAGAACATAGAGCTTGCTAGCATTGATGGGTATCATCTTGACTAGATGAGTCTTTATGCTTGGGACTCTAGTACCAGACCGTATATCTATCAATGTTATACGACTATACTATGGTGCTTTACTATATAATAAGTAGTCGAACTGACTCGTAGACGCACTTCTTGTCTCATGCATCCAGCGTAGTCACATTCAGTCTGCATAGTCACATTCGGCCTACACAATCTCAGTCAGTCAACACAGTCTTATTCAGTCTACGCACCAGTGACTCTCATTCAGCCCACGCAGTCTCATTCGTGCAGTCAACACAGTCACATTCAGCCTTTGCACAGTCTCACTCAGCCCACACAAAAACCACGACAATTATCAGCAACCGCCTGCATAAGGAGGAAAACAAAACATGAAGACCTCGATTGCTACTCTCGCTCTCATTCAGGGGCTGGCTCTCGCCACTCCAATGGGAACACGAACCTCCCGCTCCGTGGCGAGAATCGCGCAGCGCAACGCCGCGCCAACAACCACCGGGGCTGCACCAACGAACCCGGCCGAGGTGCCGGACACAGCCATCTCCCACAACAAGGAGTCTGGTAGAGGCGGTTCTGGCAACGAACTCGCCGACGACGAACTCGCCGACGACGAAATCACGGACAACGATAGCTGGGAATATTCCAGCACTAAACATAGCGGCAGCGTATGGTCCGCCACCGATACTAAATACGATGGGAGTGGCACCCCTCCTCGCGTCATGGTCTTTAGAGGCATACACCCCCACCTCCGAAACAAGCCCGAGAAACCAGGGAGATATTATTACGGCGAAGACACCGACGACGAAGTCCCCGAACTCCCCTACGACGAAGACACCGACGATGAAGTCCCCGAACTCCCCTACGACGAAGAGACCGACGACACTACCAGCAAAGATGGCGCAGGTGCCCTAATCCAAAAATTGCCCAAACCTAATCGTGCGGGTGCTAGCAGCAAAGATAGCGGACGTTCCTAATTCAATAACGGGGCTGGCGGTAATGATGCATCTACTTTATCACGTACCCGTCTCGACGAACAACCCGACGACGAACTCTCTAAAAACGTCAAAGAATCGCAACGCGCCTCTACCAAAACAAGTCGCTTCTTATATAGTGCCTTCGATCGCGGCGACAATAAAGCCAATAAAGCGTGGACCGATAAAGTCCCTAATAACGAATTTTCTCCGAGCGAACCTCCCCAGGACAAACGCCCCCAGAGCGAAGTTGCCGACAGTAAAGTCCCCGACGACGATAGCAGAGATCGCGAATGCGCCTTCTTCGAAATGTGTCTCCGGGTTATTGGTGAAGGTGCTTATCCCGTGCCTACGGTCGCGAGTCGCGACGACATTACAGCTAAGAAAGCGTGGACCGACGAACTCTCCGACGATAAAGTCCCCCATAACGAACTCCCCCAGAATAAATTCCCCCGGAACAAACTCCCCCAGAGCGAACTTTCTAACAGCGAACTCCCCGACAATGACAGCGGCGAAGTCGAACGTTCCAGTGCCGAAGAAATTCTCAGTCCTATTCGTGCAAGTCCCAACCCTCCCAGCGAGGGTATTCACCCCATCGTATCAAACGCCTTCGTAATGGCAGAAATATACCGCTATCTCCAAGACACGCCCCCCGCCACACTTCAAAATTTCACACCGCGAAGTCTCCGAGCCCCCGACAAGGGGCTCTCTGACAAGGGACTTTCTGACATTAAACCGACGTCTTCGGTAACAAGGGACAAACGCTCTGCCGGACACGACCTCGAGAAACTGGCAGTAGACGTGTTGCAAATGTTAGAGGACCTATAGTCGGCTATGTAGAGGATGACCTATAGAGGTACATCTGATTTTGTTATTCCCTTTTTGTCTCTCTCTCTTTTTTTTTTTGGTTGTGCCTGCCATTTCCTAGATCGAAGTCTCATCGTTATCATCAATTAATACATTAAACCATTTCCTTATATATATGCCGGGTCTATGCTGGCGCGGCTTCAAGGTTCGGCGAGCTGACGCGGATGTGAAAGTCCGGACCCTGGCGCCTGGAACCATGTCCTGTAGCCGCACTCGGCTATGGAATCATCGTGAAGGGTTGCCCGCCGCTGATGCTGCCATCACGCAGCCCAATGGCTGGCGCAGTCCTCTCACCAGACACATGCAGCTTTGCGTGCGAAGTAAGTTGAGCGCAATAGTTGGCAGAGGGACAGGCTGTGCCCGCGCGTTGGCTCTCAGGTCCCGGCCTGGCACACCGAGTGCACAGGCCCTCCTCAGCTCCTCATCAGCTCAGCTCTGCCCGATGCTGACCCATCTGCGCACCCCCGGCTCGGGCAGGCAGTCAAATCCCCCGATGAGCCGCCGGCAGTTGGGCTGCGTTCATGTTTCAGCCCGCACAAAATGCGGGGAGGACCCGACGGTACGTACAGGAGAGGTTGATCGGGCACGAGCCACCCCGTACTCGCACTGTACCGAGGCTGCAGCCTCCCCGCCGGCCAGACAGTGCGCCGCCCCGGGACCCCTAAACGCTGCATTTTATCCCGCTTTGCTCCAGCCACACGGACCTAATTTACAACCTCATGTCCTGCATTGCATCTACTCTCGCTGCCTCTCGCCGTTTCCAAACGCGCAACCTCGCCCCCCCTTCTCCCCCAATGGTTGCCGCTCCCGTCCAATAGGGCCGACCGTATCTCATCCTCCGCCGTTCTCCCGCGTCGCACCGCCGTCCTCGTCGCAGTGCACCTCTGGCGCGCGTCCCTGCCTGCCATCTTGCACCGTCGCCCGTCTTGCACGTCCGCCGGGCCTGTGAGGCGCGCGTCGCCGGGGACCCAAGTTCCACCACTGTCTCTTATACACATCTAGATGTGTATAAGAGACAGGCGTAGCACGACGGATCGCCCGCGATGCTGTCTCCTCATATGGACCTGGCCAGGAACCAGGACCACCCTGAACGACAGCACTATCACCAACAGCAGCAACAGCCGGAGCAAGAGCAGCAACACCAGCAACAGCGACGCCAGCAACAGCAACACCAGCAACAAGATCAGCAACAGCAACAGCAACAACACCAGCGGCAGTCCTCCGTCGACTCATCCACGGAAGCGGAAGCCATTGCCGCTGCGAATGACGCCATCCGTTTCCAGTCTGGCTTCACTTCCCGTCCGGATCTCCCTGACAGAAACGTCACTGCGGACAGCATCGAAGATGCCTATGTGCGCTTCATCTTCTACTGCAACCCCGCGGTGCGCCTGAGCGTCAACACCGACACTCTCAGGGAAGCCTTCCGCAACCCGCCCAAGAGCGGCGGCAAGACCTTCCACCCCTTCACCATCTACGAGCTGGTCCGCAGGTTCTATGCGCACGAGATCAGGACCTGGACCGACCTGACTATCATGCTCGGGGTCGAGCCGCCTGACCCAAGCAAGGACGAGAGCTCGCAGAAGATTTCTCAGTATGGCGTCCGTCTAAAAGTGAGCCGTGGTCCACCGCGTGATTCAAGTCAATCTGGCAGCACTAACAAGACAGAAATGGATGAACTCTATGCACGTCAAGGCGTTTTTCGAGTATCTCATGGATAGGCCCAATGAGTATTGGACTAACATTCCCACGGACCCCAACCCCGTAGCTTGGCCGGTCCGCGATGGCGTTGCTTTCGAGGACGATATGGCTCTGAGGGCCGTCGTACCTGAGATCCGGCCAAAGAGGGGCCGCAAACGGCCAGATCCTGACGTCGGACCTGCGCCTGCAACTCGAAGGCTGCGGAAGACGCCACCCTCTGCAGTTGACAATCACAACCATGGCACGCAAGCTTGGTCAGCCCACCCCGACGGTAGGCCCCAGATGCCTGCGGACACCAACCGGCCCACCAACAATGCGGGCTATGACAATCTGCAGGCGTCACTTGCCCGGTGGCCGCAGTCTGCCGTGACACCGACGACAAGAGGCACATTCTGGGACGACGCCCTCGAACCCAGGTCCGCCGTCACGCCGTCCAAACCGCGACAGTCTTACCCCCGGAGAGGCGCCAAGAATGTTTCGTCGGCATGGAAGACGGGCCCTCACGACATCGGAGGCAAGTTGAGGGGGCGGCCACCGATCAACCGAACTCCTGTGGAGAGCAATCCATCGTCGAACCAGCACTGGACACCGACGAGTGATGCCAGCCCCGCCTATCCGAAAGCACCTGAGCATTACAGCTATGGCCACGCTCAGTATCAACCTACTACTCAACCTCCCTTGGGCAACCATGCGCCACCTCCGGCGTCCCTGCCGCCGGCGATGCAACACCAGCACGCTGCCAACGAAGGAGCGCGGCCAGCGAGACCCAGTATATCGCTGCAGGTCCCGGAGCGGCAAGGCGGCTCAGTCCGGTTGGCTACTCCACCACCACCCCCTCCACCTCAGGCCCCGCCACCAGACGTCCACATCAACGGCCAGCCGAATGGGCAAGCCAGCGAACGAGTCAACATGGAGAGACCTTTCGCTCCGCCAGGGACCAACGCCTCCGATCCGAACCAAGGGCCGTCTAACAGATGGCAGCGGTTCGCCAAGGAAGCAACGGATGCTTACGAGCAGGCCGCCAGCGTCCCCGGCACTGGGTGCGACCCCCCGGATGAAATGCCCGAGTTTTACTTTGAGAGGATGGAGGATCGGACCAACGTCGATGCCCTCTTGGCCTACTTTGTGCGCTCTATGACCGACTCGGAGTGGCTAGACGCCGAGGGAAACCCGGGCAAGCCGGCGGGGATCGAGGAGTCGACAGCCATGGTCAACTCGATGCTGCAGAACATGTACAAGACGTCGACCTCGCCGCAGGCCTTCCTCATCAACCTCGCGGCGCTCGCAGGGTCCATGATGCTGGTGACGAGTCGGCCCAAGTGCGCACGCATGGGCGAGAGCGACGGCACGCACGTCTACAAGTGCGACTGGGAGTACCGCTTCGGCCACGTCAAAGGCAGCTTCACCATGTCGCAGTACGTGCCGTCGACCATGTGGAAGCCGAGTAGAACGGAGGCCGGTAGAGGCGGCAGTCAAGATCACGGGCCGGGCGAGGCTGGCGCGGGCGCCAGTGGCGACGGCGAGCCGGAGGTGCCCTTGTCCGCCGACGACTGGAAGAGAAAGTACCAGGCGTTGACGGAGGAGATGTACAATCGCAACAAGGAGATACACGACCTGCGAACCAGGGTGATGTCCTCGCTGGGACGGGAGTGGATGGAGACGTGATACCAATTTGCTTTAGAGATGCATTCTGGCGTTTATTGCTTCGACCAGGCGGCATTGACAATGGAAACGGGGCTATCGGCGTTGAGCAGTCCCAGGCTCGAGCGGCTGCTCGTCCTGACAAGTGTTTCTTTTACAAACATGCATTATACCCCTACGGTCCGTGTTCTCAGGAATAGCCTCTGTTGTGGTACTGCCGCACGCTGCAGTGTGAGTGTATGAGCCCTGCATGAGTGAGGCGTGGGCAGAGGCCAACCCCCGAGACGATGCATGGGGAACGGTTACAATCGTCGCTCACACGGCGATCGAGTCCGATTGGCGAGAGAGACGCTGGCGGACGGGAGACAGGGGGAAGCATGGAACAAAGCGGAACCACGTTTGTCTCCGTGTGTACATCATGCACGTGTGAGCCGTGTCTGCCCGCTCATCGCGTGAGGTTGACAGCCAGGCTCGCCAGGCCCTTTTCCCCCAGCACTAAATGTGAGCAGTGACAAGCCGCGATGCGCTGTGGCTGCTGGTGGCGCACGCGGCGGGAGGGGACCGGGCGTGCGATCAGAGGGGGGAGAAAACGGCTGCCTGGTCTGTGCTGCAGCCTTTGCTACGGCTTGCATGCTGCGCGGCTTGTCATGATGAGGACTTGGGGGCGGCTGTGAGGCTTTGGCGACCGGTGAGGCAGGCAGACGGAGAGACAAATTTTGACATGGCGTGTCAGCAACAGCAGTGCAGTACGAACCGTGTGCAGCCCATTTGATATCCTCCAGTTTAGGAAAGCTATCGTGCTTTGGTTCCGGGTCAATTCTCGTGCAGCTGCTGCGTCTTACATGGGGAGTTCGGGTGTCGGAGCGACAACCGCCCACCCAACCGCCGATGCGAGGATCCGGCCAGGCTGGTTATTATCCTCCTTCGGGCTACAATCTAACAAGGGAACTTTACTCTTTCATGACTGCATCAGGACGTGACAAGATAAGGTACTCTCATGCAGGCTCGCAGCTCTCTAGGTATAGGATATACGTTGGGTGCCGCACGTGATTATCTTGTTAGCCTAAACCCAGAGTGCCTGGCTCTGAAGGCCTGGAATTCCAGGACGTCCAGTCCGGTAACTAAGGTAAATCTAGCCGTACAAGATAGGAGGAGGCGCGCCGCAAACTCGGCATCATCTACTTGGTAAGGGCCCTGATTGCCAGGGAACCAATGTCTCAATTACCGACACTGGTGTTCGTCCCGGGCGCCTGGCACAAGCCCGCGTGCTACGACAAGATCATTGCGCTGCTGCGAGAGAGGCACAGGTTGAAGTGCATCGCCATCACCCTGCCGTCTACGACGGGCGACCCAAACGCAACATTTAAAGATGACCTCGATGCCGCGCGCGGGGCCATCTCTGGCGAGACGACGCAGGGGCGCGACGTGGTCGTCATTGCCCATTCCTACGGCGGCATGGTCGGCAACAGCGCCGTTAAGGGCTTCGCGCGGTCACAAGATGCGGCCGACGCAAGCACAAGCAGCAGCAGCAGCAGCTCAACCGACGGGCACGTCATCGGCATCATCCTCATAGCCTCCGGCTTCACCTTCACGGGGGTCGCCTTCATGGACCCGTTCCTGGGCCGCCCCCCGCCTGCGTGGCGCGTCAACAGCGCGACGGGGTTCGCCGAGCTCGTCGCCGACCCGCGCGACTTCTTCTACCACGACCTTCCCGCCGAGGAGGCCGAGCACTGGGCCGCGCAGCTCACGCCGCAGAGCCTCAAGGCGCTGTTCGAGGGCGGCGAGCATGCGTACGCCGGGTGGCAGGACGTGCCGGCCTGGCTGATCGGCACGACGGAGGACCGCGGGCTGCCGCTGGTGGTGCAGCGGATGCAGGTCGGCATGGCGCGGGAGATGGGCGCGCGCGTCGAGCACCGGGAGCTAGCGACGAGCCACTCGCCGTTTCTGAGCAGGCCCGAGGAGACGACGAGGCTGGTGGTTGAGGCGGTGGAGGCGTTTGCGGGAACGTCCGTCGAGGGTGCTACACCAGTCGATGAGGCGACGGAGGGGAGGTTGAGGGCTCAAGAGGCCCTTCCGGTGCCTAGGCTTTGGCGGCCCCTGACGTGGTTCCGGTTTGGCCTGCCGTTGGTGTTTGGCCACATGATTGGGAGATCTATCCTCATCTTTACCTGGGGACGGAGGCTGTGGAGGTCGAGGTAGTGCAGCATAGCGTGCAGGTCAGCCAAAAAATACCAGACTCTCCTCTCTCTCTCACCTGGCTCCCTGCCTTCACAACGACGGGACGGACATGAGAAGTCTATTTTCGTCACTGCTGATGCCTACCGTCCCGGCAACAAGGGGAAAGACAATTTCAAGTGCAGCCGGCGACATGAGCCTGTTCGATAAGACATGCGAAACCACAGTTACTACACGCACATGCAGGAGCACGAGGCTCAGATTTGCGTGCTCCATTGTGGTGTCGTCTCTTTCCACAGAGCCCCAATCAGCCTCACGCAGGTCTCAGCGTCTCTGGCCGGAGATCAGGGCACGCCGAGCGTGTCATCGTGTCTCGCGCGCGCTGGGGAGAGCGGCTGTGCCGAGACACGCGACGACGACATCTCGCGGGAAGGCTGAGACAAGGTAAGCAAGGCATCATTGTTGGCAACCGGGCGCGCGAGAGGGGGAGAGAGAGAGAGATGAGGTGGCGGAACCAGGACCGGCGAGATTGCGTCGCTGCCTGCTGCTGTCGGCTGACAATGCCCTTGTGCCTTTCGACGCTCGATGACGATGGTGGTGGGCAGGACAGAAATGAAGAGCAAAGCAAGGTTGATGAGATTCGGCACAACAGGCTGCGGGGGGGACGATGAGCGAGTGCCGGGGGCTCCAGGGCCAATGGCAGCGAAGCCGTCGCGTTACTGTATTGGCGATGGCCCCCTGCAACCGCCTGCCCTGTCGTGCCCGAGCCGTCACATCAGTCCCGCAAGCCCGCCGGCCCGCATCATCATGCCGAAGCACAGCACGAGGCGGCGGCCAGCGCGGGACAAAGCCGGCGACTTAGACAACCTGAATTTAGTAGGTACCTGCAACGTCTTCCGATGCACCGAGGTACTTTGGTGCATGACCAATATGCAGCGCCTGACAGGCGGAAGCGGAAATGGAGGGTAACTTACTCTGCCTCTCGGAATACAATGCGAGGGGAGCGAGAACGCAGGCTGTTGCATCGCCCCGCCCCCGCCCCGCCTGTCACCTGTCGAGAGACAGCTGGATGCTACGGTATCTGGCCGGGGTTTGGCGGGCGAGGGGACAGGCGATGCTACACGGCAAGCGTGCTTGCAGCATCGCTGTCTATTGATTAACCTACCACATACTACTGTAAGTTACTTGTCTTATTTAGGGCTGCGACGCGTTTGCAAACTCAAAGCAACCTGACCGACCCTGGCCCGCCGGCATCGACCGCGAGCGGCACGGCCTGGCGGACGTAAAAGGGCATGTTGGTGGCGCCGCCCGAGATGCCGCCGCTCTCTGCAGCGCATTGTCCTCTGGCGACGCAATGCCCTTGATCGTCTTACTGTACAGGAACTTGCAGTATTTAGTGCTGCACTGGACAGCACTTGATGCCGACAAGACACTCCCCCCCGTGCCATAAATAGGAAAATTGGCAACCGGTCGGGAGTCGGTGCGCTCTGCGCGACGACGCAGGCGATTGCGCGGCGCGGCGCGCCTCTGAAACCAACAAGACGTCGAGGCCCTTGATTTTAGCGACTGCTTTAGCGCCTCCATCTCTGCCTGCCGCTCCGGGTTGCGGGTCGCTGGAACGATCCATGGATCCGAGGATCTCTTCGGCAGTGCCACCCGTCTATTGTCGCCCCCAGCACAATAGCTAGCGACCTTGCTAGCTGGGTGTTTTCTCGTCACCGACAATTGGTAAAGTGAAAAAGATGTTGCGGCTGTTGCCGCCGCCGCCGCCCTCGCCGACCCCTGTCCTGGCGCAGGCGCAGGCCCCGGGAGGGAGACGCTCGGGGCACACGCATCCCGCGATGGCGCCAGACTGCCCGCGGCCAAGACCTGCTGGCTTTCCACGGCGAGGTGTTGTGGATGGGATGGCATGGGATGGGGCTCGCCAACACGCGAGGGCGGCAGATGGCTCTTTAGCCCGGCAGCACAAAGGCGGGGCGAGGACGCTGCTGAGGTCTGGCATATGTAACGACAGGGTTCGTCGACATGGGGAGCTTGGGGGAGAGGCCTTGTGTGGAGGACCATGACATGTAGGCCGCCGGGGCTTTGGCGCCGCCAACGTGAGAATGAGCACGGGCGTGAACAACATGACCGCGGGCATGATGACCTCGACATACCATACCATTCCCTGCCATGACCATCAGGCAGGCAAAAAGCCATCTGGCCGCCGGTGGCTTACCCATGGCTTACCTCGAGTCGCACAGGAACAACCTTGGAAGCACCATGTGCGACGCCGAAATGCGCAAAGGCACAGCCCGCCGCCGCCCCGAAGTCCTGGCTGTCGAGGCCCGTCCAATCCCATACCAGCGCCCCCCCTCTCCGTTTCCCTTTCCTTGTTCCATCCATCGTCCACGCCGGCTGCTCGTTGCTCGTCGCTTGTTTGCGCCCAGGTGTTGCGCCCTGCCTCGCGGTGCTGGTGGCGCCAACCCTCGCGCCGAGCCAAGCCAACACCAACCGTTCGACAGCTAACCCGGGTACCGTCGCCCCGGCCAGTACTTGCGTGCTACGGTGCATAGGTACCTAGGTCCGCCAACTGGTAGAAGACACTAACAACGACAACAGCGACGAGGGGAATCTCCAAGGTGCATCCTGTCGGTCGCCAAGCCAAGAAGCAAAGAACCAGAGCCCCCCGTGTCAGCGTCATCGGGATTACGTGCAGCATCGCGCGCAGACACGCTTCGGGCGCAGAGTCCAGCTCCAGGCCCGCCGCCAACGCCCGCAAGCCCGCGGCGCTGGCGCTGGCGCTGCTGCTGCTCCACTCAATTAAGGTACATCGACCCTAGGTCGGGTAGCGCAGCACATCCCCCAGCGCCTGCCCCGAGGACAAAGTACCAGCCGACGGCCTGGCGGTGACACAGCAGGTACCCAAGCTGGAAGAGGTACAAGCCTAGAACGTGAAAGTCCCTCCTGGGGCCTGCCGGCTCGCCCTCCACGTTTTCCTCCTCCCAGTGCGGGCACCCCCCCATTGCCATTGCCCCAGTCGGGCAGTCAAAGCCAGTGGGCCTGCCTCGTCGCTTCCGGCGCTGGGCTGGTGGTCCTGCTGCAGCGCTGAGGATCCCACCCCCGGCCTCGACTTGCCGTCCCGCGTCCTCCTCTTTCGACCTCACTCATCCGTCTTCCCGCTTCTTCCTCCTGCTCTCTCCCGAGCGTCCATGCCGTCTCGCCGACGACTCTGACTCTGGCCTCGCCTTCCGTCTCAGCCAGCGCTGGCGGGACCCCTTCCCGTCTCTAAGACAACCGGCCCGTCTCGAACCTAGGCATGGCTCGCCGCCGCGACCCGGCAGCAGCAGCACCAGCGAGACCCTGATCCGATCCGACCGTCTCACCTTCTCCACCTCCATTCCCATCCCGCCGCGACGACTTCCCCGGATTTCGTCACGATCTTCACCCGCGCGGCAGCGCCAACGCCAGCGCCAGCCGCGGCCACGGCGGCGGCGACTGCAGCAGCAGCAGCTGTTGTCGCTCCCACAGCGCCCGCGATGGCGTCGCGAGTCGACCACGTCGAGGTCATTCATCGGAGGTATGTTTCGTGTTTCATTTCCGTCCTGTCATGGCGACGCTTGACCGTTGCATCGCATGCCCGTCCCGCCACCCCGGGGCTATGCTGCAACGGTCTGGCGGGCCTGTCCATTCCATCCCAAACCTTAAATCATTGTCCCCCGTCTCGGGCGTTCAAGCCTCCAAGCCTTCCCATTGCGGCCCGAAACTCATACTGACGCCGTGCTTCCGTGCGATGCAGCCGCTCCGAGGATCGCCATGTGTACTCGTCCTCGACCGAGGCTGGCTACCGTCCTCGCGGCCCAGAGCCGTATGTCAACATTAATTCCAACATCGAAGCCAAGTACGTGCAGGTTCCTTTGTCGCCTCTTGTACCCGCAATGCCATCTTAACCTTGCCATCGCCGCGCAGAATCAAGAACCCCCTCATCGGCATACCGCGGCGGACCTTGCTCGCCGATGTCGACACTTTTTGCCGCAGCAAGGGCCTCGAGGCCCACCGCCACATCCTTCGCAAAGGCGCCCTGGTCGCGCAAGACCCGACTGGCTACGAAGACATCACGGGCGAGGAGGCTCTCACCGACGAGGAGATAGAGTCCCTCCGCGACGAAGTGCTGCACAAGTGGCGCATCCCACGAGTGCTCTACCTCACCATCATCACATGTTCCATTGGCGCCGCCGTCCAGGGCTGGGACCAAACCGGTTCCAATGGCGCCAACCTCGACTTCCCGAGGGCCTTTGGCATAGGGAGTGCCAGCATACATGACAACGTCATCGTCGGCCTCGTAAACGCGGCTCCTTATATCGGAACGGCTTTTGTTGGCTGCTGGCTGTCTGACCCCATCAACTCCCGTTGGGGTCGCCGAGGGACCATCTTTGTCGCTGCCCACTTTTGCCTTTGGCCGGTCCTCGCCAGCGCCTTTTGCAATACCTGGGTGCAGCTGTTTGGATGCCGTCTGCTCTTAGGCGTTGGCATGGGCACCAAGGCTTCCACCGGTAAGTGGCTCGCGCAGTTACGACCCGGCATCGGCTAACCTCCGCTGTCAGTACCCATATTCGCCGCCGAGAACTCGCCAGCGCCCATTCGTGGCGCGCTCGTCATGAGCTGGCAGCTGTGGACCGCGTTTGGTATCTTCCTGGGCACATGCGCCAACCTCGTCGTCAAGCACATCGGGCCGGAGTCGTGGAGATATCAGCTTGGGTCGGCCTTTATCCCGGCTGTGCCGCTTGCTCTCCTCATCTACTTTTGCCCCGAATCGCCGCGTTGGTACATCAAAAAGGACCGCTACCTAGATGCCCTGCACTCGCTGCTGCGCCTGCGCAATTCCCCGGTCCAGGCCGCCCGGGACCTCTACTACATCCATGTCCAGCTGCAGGTTGAGAAGGAATTCATCGGCCACGGCGACTACATAGGCCGCTTCATCGAGCTGTTCACGATCCCGCGCATCCGCCGAGCGACACTCGCAGCCTTTGTGGTTATGATTGCGCAGCAGATGTGTGGAATCAACATCATCGCCTTTTACTCTACGACAGTCTTTCGCGATGCCGGCGCGAGCGACTTTAATGCCCTGCTGGCCACCTGGGGCTTTGGTCTCATCAACTTCCTCTTTGCCTTCCCCGCCATTTGGACCATCGATACCTTTGGACGCCGCTCACTGCTGTTGTTCACCTTTCCCCAGATGGCCTGGACGCTTCTCGCGGCTGGACTCTGCACGTTGATACCGCCGGGTCCCGCGCACATAGGCATGGTTGCCTTGTTCGTCTACCTCTTTGCCGTCTTCTACTCGCCAGGCGAGGGACCCGTGCCGTTCACGTACTCCGCCGAGGTGTTTCCCCTGTCGCACCGCGAGGTGGGCATGGCGTTCGCCGTCGCGACATGCCTGTTTTGGGCGTCTGTGCTGTCCATTACGTTCCCCCTGATGTTGGCGAAGCTGGGGGTGCGCGGTTCCTTTGGCTTGTACGCGATGCTCAATATTCTGGCGCTGATCATGATTTTCCTGGCGGTCCCTGAAACGAAGCAGCGGACGCTGGAGGAGCTCGACTACATCTTTGGCGTCCCCACGAGGGTATTTGCGCGGTATCAGGTCACCAAGGCACTGCCCTGGTGGTGCAAGAGGTGGCTCCTATTCCAGAAGAACGCCACCCTGGAGCCCCTTTACCAACTAGACGTGGCCGATCACCACGAGGAGGAAGACGAGATCGCAAGCACCGACAACGGGTACGAGAACGACAAGGCGAGAGTGGAGATGAAGGACATTGTGGGATTTCCCAGGGGGATGACTGAGCTGCAGCCGAATCAGCCACCCAGCCCGTCTCCTCGGACATCGATATGAGGCGACGACTGTACGACTTATTTGGCTCCTCCTGCTGGCGCAGCTCGGCATTAGGATTTGGGCGTTTTGGCTATGGGCATTTTAGCGAGCTGGTTCTTCACATTATCTACGATACCAGGGGACAGGGCAGGAGAGACGGCGCCACGGAGCATGTGGCGCAGGCACGATACCCTTTCAATGCCCTTGCGTTGCGACATTCACGCCAAGGACGGTCATATTAAACCGATCAAGACACAAGCAAAAGACAGACGTAAATGAGAAAGGGGGTCCGGGTGTAATGACTGACACGATTGTCGAGCGGTTTGCAACGAACCAGCAGAAGTCCAGCAGGCTCGATGTGATGCAATGGGTGGTTAAGAGTGATGCCAAGACCCATCGTCCGCGGAGACTTCGGAGCAGAGTGACGCTCGCTGGGGCGATTCGCGTTAAGCGCTTGGATGACGCGAATCTGCCATGCATCTAGCGATTGATGGGGATGAGCGGTGACGGGCCTCGCGTAAAGGACCGTTGTGGGGAGGGGGTTGGTTTGGCGACGTCAGCGGCCCACTGCCATCTGCGATTCATACCAACTGCAGTTGCGTATGAAGTACTGAAGTACAGAGTTCAATACATGTTGATGATGCTGCGCAGGGGAGATGGTCCGATCCCGCGAGGAGCATCTTGACCTGGTCGATCAGACTGTGCCCTCGGCCGACGAGACCGAGAGGCATTCACCACATGTGTCCAGCGGCGTTTCGTTTCCCTATCTGCTAGTTCTCGTAGTCCTTGTAGGCTCCATACACATCGACGTGGAGGAGCCACGAGTTTCCACGATGAGATTGAGATGCCCCAGTTTCAGCCCCCCCGGGCGAGGCATGTACGCGTGCAGATCGATGCCCGCCCCCGCCCTGGCCCTTGTCATCAGCGAACGAACGGCCTTGGGGGAGGTTGGATTTTAACCGGATGCCGACCTGCATGTGCGTGCGTGTGTGCGACGCGTGCAGCAACATTTGCGAGGCTTGCCCGCTGATCAATTGACGGCTCGAACGGTGCGCGCGGACGGCGCGGGCGGCATGGATTGGCAGGTCAGGCTCTGATCGGGGAGGGGGGAAGGGCGCCCACGTCGGGGACCATTCATTCATCGACGAGCGATGGGGGTGCAACGATTTCTCTTGCCGACGGGAAACGCTCGCTCACATGCATCTTCAGTCAGTCGGTTGATGATGGCAACAACGGTGGAGGTTCCAGACGGGCTGGGACGCCATGCCGCCGACTGCACAGGCACGGGCTGACTGTTTTGACGTCAAACTCTGTTCGTCGGCACATCCAGGCGGTCGGTCTCGATGACACCCTTACTAAACTACATTTAGACGGAAATACGTTGGAACACAAGCCACGGACTGCGGACAGCTAGCTGATGGGAGGGGAGAGTTTTGTGCGTTGAGCCATAGGTTTGTCAAGACGGCCAGCCACAATTCCCCCTGTGAAGATGAAAGTAAGAAACGAATTGCGGACAGTGCCATTGCAAGCCACAACCTCCCTTTGTAAAGGTAAAAAAAAAAAATTGGCGGACAATGCGTGTGCAACAAGCCAGCAGCGGCAACGCCGATTCCGTTCTTTGTTAGTAAATGAGCGGCAGACCGTTTTTGATGGTGTGCGCGCTGCTGCATCGGGCTTGGATAGACGTCATCCTGCTCGTATGCGGCTACTGATGGAATCCCACCGGTTGAGCTTGGCCGTGATGGGAGTGAGTCGGGGTTGCCCAGAGCCGAGGCGAGGGGGGGGGTCTTGAGTTCGTCGTTGACGGTTGGCTCTAGCGCGAGGCACCCACCCAAGCCCGCTCGCTGGCCTGTTGGTCCGGTCGCGACGACAGGCGGCCGTGCCGCAAAGGCCACTCGTGGCACTGTGCTGCGGGCTCCGTTCTCCATCCATGTCTGCGCCTACCCGCCCCCTGTGTGGGACAAGCATGATGTGGCAAGCTGGGAAAAGCCCACAGCGGATCGCAGAGCCATGACTTGTCGGACGCCTTTCCTAGCACCGACAGGGGGAGGTGGACAGACGCAGGGAAGGAGGAAGAGCAAAAAAAAAAAAAGACTTCTTCGCGTGCGCGCTAGGTAGCTAAAAGACGGGATACTCCGTTGCTTGACGGGCCATGACGTTCAAACGACGGCTTCGTGAGGCTCTGGTCCGGTATGTCATCGACCATGTACATTTTTACCAAGTCGGTAAACATCAATTCAGCTTGGCAATGCCTTGTCGGTTACGTACAAAGTCCCGTTCCGCATGGCAAGGGGCAAAAAGGGCGTGCACGGCATACTTTTTCGCGCGTTGCATGAAATGCTGTGCTCCCTTTTTTCCCATGACATGCTTGCACGCACGCATGCAAGCACGCAAGCAAGCATGCGGGCAACACCCGTCGATGAGCGAGCGAATGGACGCGTGCCGATGCCCTGCTGCGAGTCAACAACAACACCAGGCGCAACGGCCGTGCTTGTCCCCGGACGAAGGTGGGTGTCCCTGTGCCAATGTCACTCGTAGACAAGCAATCACATCAGCCCATCTGAAGCAAAAATAACAGCAGCGGCTATTAAAAGCCAGAGGCAAGATTGAGTGCCATGCTCAGTCAGGGATCTCGCGGCGCGGCAGTCGAATCTCGCTCCACTGCCAAGGGGCATGAAGTGGCTACTCTTTTCAGTCACTCCAGAGACGAGAAAAAATCACAGTGTCTAGACCGTTCGTTTCCCCTTACCTGCCATCTGCAGCAACATCTGGTCTTACGTGTGATTTTTCTCTTTCCTTTTCTTTGCTTTCCGCAATTAGGTTCCAGGTCGTGATCTAAAGCCTGCGCGGGACCCGCCCGTGCCCCTGTGGCGCTGTCAAGGCACTGTCTCAGAAGCTGCCCGACGGCCTGGGTTGCCGCCTCTCCAGTGGACGGATGGCCCTTTTGCGCTGAGTGGCCAGGGGTAAATTCCTCGGGGGGCCGGTGGGCGGGTCCCACGGGTGTGTGGGACCGGCGGATCTCCTTGGCCTCCCCCCCCCCCACCACCACTCCCCTGCACCCCTGCGCCATCCGCGGGAACCCTTGCCGGATGCAAGCCTCCCACTGTCCCCATTGCCCCCACTGCGTTGCGCTGCACCACATCGCACCGGTGCTGCGCCTGGTCTGCAGCTCGCTTGCTGCGCTGGATCGATTTGCCCGCTCGCGTTTTCGAGGTGCGGCCATTGGAGCGCGGCAACGAGGGTGGGTGCGTGGCGGTACCACTAAAACTGCCGCCGCCCACGTCCAGGCGAGCACCCGCCCCTGGCCCCCCTAGCCTTGCTTCCTCCAGCGACGTCGACGCCAAACTCTGCTGTACCTTCGTGACCTGGTAGCACATGCTCGCCCAGTGAGCGCCGGGGGCAAGTGGGCACTCCAGCAGCCCAGCCCAGCCCAGCATCGGCGCTGGCTGGGACCCGGGGGCCAGTGGGCGTGGCGTCTCAGTGGGCGAGCTGCGAGGTGGGCACCCGACATCAGTCCGTCGGTGGGGTTGCTCGTGTTAGCAGCATGGCATGGATCGCACACACCGTACCGTCACTGTGTGTGTGCGCAGGTGCAGCTGCGCGCTCCCCATCCCGCAAGGGCAAAAAAAGATCATCATCGCCAGCCATGGCCGAGCTGCGTTTCACCCTCCTCTCTCCTCTTCCCTCTCCACATCCTCGCACCTCGCGTCCTGCGATCCCCTCCGTCCGTTCTCCTCCCCCACCTCCTTTTGTTTGTCCCTTTTTCTCTCTTTCCTCTGTCACACGCTCGCTCGTTGCGTTCCCCTGCCTCTCGCTCTTTGCGTCCCCTAGAAACAAAACGTCGTTTCGTGTCTTCGACGTTGCGCCTCCCCCTTCCCCCTTATCCACGGTCGGCATCGTCAACGACCTAGTTCTCGCTCCCGTACCCCCCCCTTGAGGCGGCCCCTGCACGATCGGTCTGAGGACCGTGAATCGTTACGCCTCGGAGCGCTCCCCCCCACAGCTAGCCGTCATCTGAAGCAGGTCTTCAGCGAGCTGCTTGACGGGATAGCCCGTTTCACGACTGAACGATCACCTTTAGACGCGGACCAGTATACCCTTGGCCGCATACCACGACCCTAGAGACACCTGATACGAACCGGCATTCATCAGCGCACCCACCGGCAACTGGGTGGCCACCTCGATAGAAGCTGAAATACCAGCACGGCACTTCAAAAGAAGACTCGACCTCCCACCTCGGGGCAGACCCAATGCAAAACCGGCACTCCTCCCGGGCCTCGCGAACCTCGGGCTTCATCCCTCTTGGCGGCGGCGGCACCTCGCAGAACGAAATGGACAACGGAATCCCCCTCACTGCGGTGCGCAGCAATGCCTCCACCGGCGCCCGCAAGCCCGTCATCGGCAACTCGACCAGCTTCGAGTCCTCCCAGACCGCAAACGAAAAAGGTGAAGCACACCAGCGTCATGCCGGCCGCCGGCGGAAGCAGGGCAACCTCGGCCGCAGCGGCACTGGCGACACGGAAGACGTGAGACTCAACGCCATGGGCAGGCTCTACGCGAAGATTGTCGGCTTCTCCGTCATCACCCGCTACATGGTCTACGTTGTGCCAGTCGGTATCCTGCTCGCTGTCCCTCTTGTGGTCATCGCCCTCATGGACAAGAAAAGCGACATTCCCCTCGGAGCCATCACGAAGAAGAATGCCAAGGGAGAAGACGAGACGACGGAGGGACCTCCGTTGTTTAAGCTATTCCTCTGGATCGAGATCACCTGGCTGACGCTATGGGCTGCCAAGATTGTCGCCTTCTTCATCCCCAAGATCTTCATGTTCTTCTGCGGCATTGTCAGCCGGGGCGTCCGCAAGTACGCCACCATCCTCAGCAACCTCACCATCACGCTGTCGCTTCTCCTCTGGGCCTTGGCAACCTGGATCACCTTTATGAAGCTCTTTGAGAAGTCTTTCGACGCCGACATCCAGTGGGTCGTCATTCTTCAGCGTATTTTTGGCGCCCTCTTCGTGTCGTCTGCCCTCTTGCTCGCCGAGAAAGCCATTGTCCAGCTGATCAGCGTGTCGTACCACCAACGATCTTTCGCCAACCGGATTAAGGCTTCGAAGCGCGAGATCCACCTGCTCGGCCTCCTCTACGACGCCTCGCGCACCCTCTTCCCCATGTACTGCCGCGAGTTTGCAGACGAAGACTACGTCATCAACGATAGCATCGAGATGATGCTGAGGAAGAAGGCGGGCCGCAAGAAGAATGGCGCTGCGACGCCCATGAAGCTCATTGGTGACGCGGCCCGTTTTGGCGATAAGGTGACGTCGGCCTTTGGAAACATTGCGCACGAAATCACCGGGAAGCAGGTCTTCAATCCCAACTCGGCCCACTCGATTGTCCTGGAGGCTCTCGAGAAGCGTGTGCCATCAGAGGCTCTTGCGCGTCGCATCTGGATGTCCTTTGTTCTCGAGGGCAAGGACGCGCTCTATCTCGAGGACTTTCAGGAGGTCCTCGGGCCGGCGTACAAGGACGAGGCCGAGGAGGCGTTCAACGCCATCGACAGCGATATCAACGGTGACATCAGCCTGGATGAGATGGTGCGAAAGGTGGTGGAGATGGGCACCGAGCGCAAGGCCATTGGCGAGGGCATGAAGGACATTGGCCAGGCTCTCCGAGTCTTTGACTCGGTCCTGCTCTTTGTCGTCTTCCTTCTGGTCATTTTCGTCTTCCGTATGTTTAACGCGTCCTGGATGAGTATCATGTGTGCTAACCAGTCGGCGCAGTCGTCTTCTTCAAGAGCAGCTTCGTGACGACCATCATTAGTGCTGGTACCACGTTTCTGTCGCTGTCCTTCGTCTTTGCCGTCACGGCCCAGGAGTTCTTGGGATCCTGCATCTTCCTCTTTGTCAAGCACCCCTTCGACGTGGGTGACAGGGTCGAAATCACCAGCACGCAGATGATGGTTGATAGGATCTCTCTCCTGTACACTGTCTTTACTCGTCTTGACACCATGCAGACCGTCCAGGTAGGTCTTTGCTCTCAGGGCGTGCTCGCAAACATGGCTAACAAGGCTCTTTAGATCCCCAACATTCAGCTCAACAACCTCTGGATCGACAATATTTCTCGCAGCAAGGCCATGTCGGAGACGGTTGAGCTCAACGTCTCGTACGACACGTCCTTTGAGGATATCGAGCTGCTCCGCACTGAGATGGAGAAGTTTGTTCGCGCTCCGGAGAACTCTCGCGACTTCCAGCCCGACTTCAGCATCAGTGTCGGCGGTGTCGGCAACCTGGACAAGATGCTCCTCTACATCAGCATCAAGCACAAGTCTAACTGGCACAATGACAAGGTGCGCGGCACTCGCCGGTCCAAGTTCATGTGCGCCCTGGCCATCGCGCTCAAGAAGGTCCCCATCTACGGCCCTGGTGGCGGTGCTGAGGCCTTGGGTGGACCGACGAACCCCACGTATTCCGTCGCTGTTACTGATCAGTTCGCATCTGCGGCCCGTGAGGCCGCCTCGAAGGAGAAGGAGGCGGGCCGCATGGTCCCGACGCATGTTGGGCAAACCGAGGCGGAGGCCCGCGAGACCGAGCAGCATGCCGTGACAGAGCTCAACAACCGTCCTTTGATGGTGGAGACGCAGGGTCTCTGGGACCCCAGCGAGCGTGACGACCGATCCCCCAGCGGGCACGACGCGTCGGAGGACCCGCGCCGGTCCAGGGACATCGAGTCTGTCCGCACTGAGCTCCTTAACCGGGCGAGCACTCGCGGCCGTCGCAGGGCTGGCGAGGGCCTGCAGAACCTCACGCCGACTGATAGCCACGCTGTCAGCCACCACCATGCCACCAGCCCACGGCTAGAGACGTTCGACGAAGAGGCGCGAACGGGCATGCCGTCTACCTTTTACGACCTTAACCGCGGGCAGTCTGGCGCCGCTGCGCCCATGGAGGAGGATGAGCAGGGACTTCACCCGACCGGCTCTCAACACATGCCGCACAGGGGCCCGAGCTACCGTGGTCCTTCGCCCAGCCACGGCCAGCGTTAGTATTCGATCGCATGATAGACTGATGCGTGGACAAGACTGAAACTGTCGACTTTGCAAAACCAATGCCCGACTCCTGGGTATGGACCGGACGCGTCGCGACGGAGTATTTGTATTTGGACAGGGGATATGGTGTATTTGGGTTATAATGTGGAGGCATCACGCACACCGCGCAGCAGGAAGCTGTAGGCGGGCGATGCTCTGCCTGGATTGCCCACTGAGGCACCGCCGACGATGATTCGGCTTTAGAAGTTTACCAGAGTATCTGCACGATACTATAGATCAAAAGAAGAGATGAGAGTGTTCCAGCAGGACGGTTCCATTGGTGACATTATCTATTTTACTTTGGATGTTCAGCAAACGTGCTCCGGGGGAGGAACGGCCCCGTCCCGGGGTCCAAGGTCCGTCTTGAGAACCCTGCCGAAGAGCTCAAGCAGGACCTCGAAGCAGACCTTTGTGATGGCCGGGTCGTAGCGGCCCTTGCTCAGCTCGTCCCTGATGAAGGCGTGCTGCGCCCAGGCGAACTCGTGAAAGCTGAAGACGACGCCCGCGTCGCGCAGCTTGGCGCGGATGAGGTCGCGCCCGGCGTCGGGCACGTGGGTGTCCTTGATGCCGAAGATCAGGGCCACCTCGCCGCGCAGCTGCTTGAAGTTGTCGAGCGTGTGCGCGGAGCCCGGGGGTGGCGCGGCGGCCGTGTTGGGGGCCTCGTAGGGGCCGAGGGTGCGCGAGTGGATGTCGGTGGCGAAGTAGGAGACGCAGGCGGTGATGCGCGGGTCGAGCTGCGGGGATGCTTGTTAACGAGCGCTCGCCTTCACTTGCTGGCTCTGCGAGCTGCGGGGATGAGAAGGGAGGAGGACATGCGGGGAGTGGTGATAAGGGGAGGCGGGGAGGGGAAAGGGGGGTCGTACAGCGGCGCGGACGGCGAGGTGGCCGCCAAGACACATGCCCGTGGCGCCGATGAGGCCGGTACACGTCGGGAGGGAGAGGAGGTGGTCGACTGTGGCGCGCGAGTCTGCGTCGTACGACTCGAGGGTCTGTAGATGACCAAGTGGCGAATGTCAGCCACTCGTTCTTCCGGCACGTAGCTTGCTTGGCTGCAGCAGCGAAGGGAGAGGGATGGAGTAGATACTGACCTTTTGGATCTTGAACTGGTTGCCACGGTCCGTGTCGGCGGCGTCGTAGGCTAGAGGCTCGGGGCCGACAAAGTCGTGGTAGGACGACGGGGCCGCGACGATGTAGCCTTGGCCGGCAATCTGGCGGGCGAAGCGGGCCACGGGGCCGGTGACTGCGAGGTGAGCGTGTCAACCCATGCCTCGTGCCTCTGGTCCAGGTTGACAGGTAGCTCAGAAGCTGGCCATACCTTGGTAGATTTCACTGAAGAGACAGACACCCGGGAAGCGACTATGGAGGACAATGTCAGTGGCTGCCATAGATGCGGAGGATGGGAGGGAGGTGTCTTGTTGACACAACATACGCCTTGGGGTATCCCGGAATCGTCGGGTGAAAGACGTAGATTCCTGACATGGAGGGGCATCGTGTCAGCGGGGTGGGAGGATCCGGTGGGAGACATTGTGCGTGACATGCAACGTACGCATGGAGCCATCCTTGCCATTGGCAGAGACGGGGACGTCGACGTGCGATTCCTGGATCAACATGTTGGCTGAGTGAGTGAGTGAGCTTTATGCTGGTGGTGGTGGTTGATGTGTGTGAGTGAGAGGTGGGGTGGAGGGGTGAGGTTGAGGTTGAATGCAATGCGCTCTATCACTTAGCGGGGCAGTCGCCCACTATTAGGCCCGCGACGTCTTTACGACCTCACATATTACTCCATTCAACTCATGCACAACTACCTCCGGCATTCATCATGAAAACCTCCCTGGCTTCGCAAGCCACAAAACCACGCCAAATAGGCTCTATGGAGCAGCCGAGATAGACATGTTCAGCTCCCAGTGCCTGCCCCCGCGCTGCGGAAAAGAACCCGCTAGAGAGCCCTCCTCTCCTCGGCAGCGTCCAGGGCCTTCCCAATCGCCACGCGCAGCACCTCTGGATCCTCGACGCCGACACTGATGCGCACCAGATGCGCGGGAACGCCAAACTGTCCCGCCCATTCCAGCTCCGAGTAGTGCGCGAGCACCGTGTACGGGCACGCGAGCGTAAAGTTGGTCCCGAAGCTCGGCCCCTTGGCCAGCTCGAGGGCGTCGTGGAACGCCACGGCCGCGTCCGGCTCGCGGAACCGCACCGACAGCAGGAACCCGTAGCCGCCGCCGGGCCTGCTGCGGCGGAACCTGTCGTAGCGCTCCTGCGAGGGCGACCCCCACGGGTACAGCACCTCGTCGACGAGCGGGTGCCCGCGCAGCTGCTCGGCGACGCGCCGCGCGTTGTCGCTCGCCGCCGCGACGCGCGCCTCGAAGTCGGCGCTGTTGGCGCGCAGCACGAGCACGTCGAGCGGGAAGAAGGTGTCCTCGTGGCGGGCCGCCAGCGCCGCGCGCAGGGCCGCCCGCCGGCGCGACCAGGGGCTCACGACGACGCTGCCGCCCATGACGTTGCATGCGCCGCTGAACATCTTGGTGAGGCTCGAGCTGACGAGGTCGCAGTGCGGCGCCGTGAGGACGTTGGCCGGCGTGCCGATGCTGTCGTCGATGACGAGCACGAAGTCGTGCCGCGTGGCGAGCGCGTGCAGCCGCTCCAGGTCGACGAGCTTGAGCTGTGGGTTGGTCGGGAACTCGGTGAAGAGGGCGTCGATGCGCTTCCCCGACTGGAGCTCGGCCTCGAGGGCGTCGAGGTCTGCGGATGAGGCGTGCCCGTAGAAGGCGCATCCGAAGCCGAGGACCTTGCCGAGCACCGCGACCGTGTCGACGTTCAGGAAGCTGTGTCCATCCCGTGTCAGCGGCGCCATGTATTCACACAAAGTATGATACCGTAAGGGCTTGGTATGCCTTCGCATATACAAGGGGGCAAAACACACCCAAACATGGCGATGCGATAGTCTTGCCGCTCGCCCGCCAACGCCCTCAAGATGCCGGCCGTCTGCGTAATCGCTGCCATGCCGCACTGAAACAGAAACACATCCTCCGCCGTGGCCTTGACATCGTCTATCGAGTAGAGAGACGCAATGTGGTTTCGCATCGCGTTGGCAGCCTCCTTGGCCTCTTCCACGGGCAATGCCTCTCGCCAGCGGCCAGTTGCGTCCTCCTGATGGTCGGGCCTGAGAAAAGGGGCATTGTTCAGCCAAAACGACGCGAAGCGGCTCGAGACGCCATAGCCCGTTAACAGCCAGAACTGAAAGGCGACGCGGGTCAGGTGAGCGGGATATGCCACTACATAGACGTGTCCGTAGGCGTGGTCGTCGAAGCGTGCCGTCGACTCCTCGGCACCAATCTGCTCAAGAGCGCCGTCCAAGGTAATGTGTGCGATGCGCACGGCGTCTTTGCTGCCGCCGGTGGCCTCTACGACCTTGTCGAGATGTCTTCGACACTCCTTGGCCATTCGCTCGCTGGGGAACAGCTTCACCCCCTCACCGGGGAGGGCCGCCAGTGCCGGTCCAGAGCCAGATGACGACGCCGCCCATGCAATGAGCTTCTTCTCCAGGCTCAGGACATCTCGGTGGATGTTGAATCGCGGGTACCCGGCCTTGAGAGCCCCCAGCACCTCTGCGTCGTTGCGGATGATTGCTACAAAGTGCCCCCATTGGGGGAGGGAGACGCTCACAGCCTGTAAGAGGGAATATGGTTAGCCGTATTGACCATCGCTGGGCAAAAAGTTCGGTCCACGTGGCCTTCACATGCTCATCGCCGGCGGGCATCGCCTCTCCGAGTGCGGTCGTCATGGCTGGCTTCGGCAGGTACTCAATTCAGGGGGTCGGTCTGTCCTGCGATCGATGGACGTCCAATGTTGCATGCCCCGACTGTAGTCGCTTTCAATCACACAGGGCCGAGAGGTTATCACACGACGAGAGAGCTATATTATCCCGCAGAAATTGCCCTTTCATTCAATCCAGCCGCGTGCTCGAAACGCGGGGCGGGTTCAGACACGGAAAAGGGGGCCGCCATGCTCCCCCGTCGGAAAGCCACCCATGAAGGATGACCGTGTCGAGATTGTTCCGTACCCGTTTTGTGCAACTCGCGAGGGAGCTGAGGCCGTTTAACCAGCTCGAAGGCCGCCGATGTGTGTAACTGGCCGTCGAGCCGTCCCGCAGTCGCACCGCATCAGACATGGCCTGGATAGCCTCATCCTTGTCCCTGGCGGCCTGGCGCAAACGATCCCTCGTATGCATGCGCTTCTCGATCCGGTCTGACGAAGTGATGAGGCCGGTGGGATCGGTAAGTGGCAGCCAGGGCTTGGCCTGTCGGACCTCCTGAGTTCCTCAAGCCCGACCCTGTGGCTTTGCAGGACCCAAACTTTTCGACACGCACCATACGGTTCCTCAGGTGGCGTTCCTGTAAACGAACTGGATGAAATTGAGGTCCCGGGCCTCGAGTCTCGCAGTGTTCTTCCTGTTGGTCTCTGGGCACCGCTCGGCGTCCTGCCCCATGGACGAATCAATGCCCCCCAATCCTCCCAGGTTTCCTGCCAGAAGGAATCACAATGGCCAACTTGGCACCTTTGCTACACCACCACGGAGGTGAGCTTCCGGCACTCAGCTTCGGTTTGTTCATCGTTGCGTCGTGCGGTCTCGGCTTCATGCATGTACGAACGGGGGCGAGAAAACTGCATCACAGTCACACAGCCTCAAGAGAGAAGAAGCAGTGGCGCACAACGCCATCTGCGAGCAGGTACGCGGCCCGTTTCTGAGAACGTGTCCACTTCCGAGTGGCAACTTGATGTGCGTGGGAGTCCAAGTCTCAGAGCTCAGCTCTCACGGGAAACCGGGGGCTGACGTACGTGCAAGAATACGGGAGCGCTCTCATCACTTTGGTACACCGGTCAACTTTGGCGGCCTGGACCATGGACGCCACTGCTATCTGGCTGGGAATACGATGCGAGGTTCATTACATCCGTGACTGAGACAACAAGACAAGCCCAACCTCCTTTCCGACTTGTGTTGTCCAGAACCTCCCTCGAGGCTTGTTCGATATTAATCGAAGAGTTTCGCGTAAGGGTTGATCGCCTCAAGCGAGACGAATCAAACCCTCAACGATCAATCAACTTGGCTTCCCGACAGCTCGGCCGAGGTCTCCGGGCTCAAACACCTTGAGATAGCCGCACTCGTTATAAAGCAGCACAACAAGGGGTACAAATTCACGGGGAATACCCTTTTAGGTCCATATGGAGCCTCACTCCTCCGAAGCCGAGTTGCAGCAGCCGGCCGCGAACGGATGGCTAAGCGGCCAAGATGACCTCTCCGCAGCACCAACCAAGGAGGAGCCCATAACTCAGCGCGACCTCGACAAGATATGGCGCTGGAACAGCATAGTCCCGGAGGCGGAGGAGCGCTGCGTCCACGACATGATCCAATACCAAGCCCAGGCTCGGCCCAGCGCACCGGCCGTGTGTGCCTGGGACGGCAACCTCACCTATCACGAGCTGGACCGCCTGGCTACGGGGCTGGCTGGGCAACTCGTCGATCTTGGAGTCAAACCCAACATGCTGGTTCCGCTCTGTTTCGAAAAGTCAATGTGGACTACCGTCGCAATGCTCGGCGTGATGAAGGCGGGAGGGGCGTTTGTGCTCCTGGACCCGTCGCTCCCGGGGCAACGCCTCCAGTGCATGGTCCGCGAAGCCAATACGAGTCTGCTTGTGTCATCAGCCGGGGAGCATGCTTTGGCCTCGCAGCTGTGCCCAAAGACTTTAGTCGTCGACCACGGCTACTTTCGTGATGACGTTGATAGTCAGCCGACTCGGAGTCTTCCTGACTCCGACCCGAATTCCATCATCTATGTCGTGTTCACGTCGGGGACAACAGGGACCCCGAAAGGGGCTATAATCACGCACAAAAGCTCGAGCTCCGGCCTTCGACACCAGATTGCCGGTCTGGGGTACACGGCTGAATCGAGGGTTTACGACTTTGCGGCGTATAGCTTCGACATTTCGATCTACAATGCCCTCACAACGCTCTTGGCTGGAGGATGTCTATGCGTCCCCAAAGAGCAGGACCGCAAGTCAACCTTGGCGGGGAGCATCAACTCGCTGAGGGCTAACACGATATCTCTTACACCGTCCGTCGCCCGGCTACTTTCCCCAGCTGATTTGCTTGACCTAAAGACGATGATTTTGGGCGGAGAGGCGATACATGTTGGAGACATTGAGCCATGGTGGGGTCGCGTGTTCACAGCCTACGGGCCAAGCGAGTGCACTCCAACAAGTATGATGAACCTCGGGCCGTCGAGTCCAGAAGAGGCGTGCCGACTGGGACGGGGCGTCGGAGTGGTTACCTGGGTTGTTGACCAGCATGATCACAACTCGTTGCTTCCGCCAGGGTGCGTTGGCGAACTGCTGCTCGAGGGTCCCCTCGTCGGCTTGGGCTATCTCAACGATCCGAAAAAGACGGCCGCGGCGTTTATCGACGACCCTACCTGGCTGCTACGAGGCTCGTCTGGCCAGTCGGGCCGGCGGGGACGACTATACAAGACGGGCGACCTGGTCAAGTACGCTGAAGACGGCAGTTTGGTCTTTGTCGGCCGCAACGACTCGCAAGTCAAGATCCGCGGCCAGCGAGTCGAGCTCGGCGAGGTTGAACGCGCGGTCCAGGACTGCGTGTCGGTGGCGAGCCAGGTCGTGGCTGAGGCTTTGGTGCCGGCGAAGGACGGCTCGAGCACATCTTTGGCAGCCTTTATACGCATGGATGGCTTGGCCATGGCCGAATCTGGCCTGAGCATGCTGTCCATCAACAAGGACTCGCAGAAGAAGCTGGAAGAGCTCCTGCCGAGCTACATGGTGCCAACGGTGTTCTTCTCCATCAGGGAGTTTCCCATGACGCCGACGGGCAAGACGGACCGGAGGCGGCTACGCGAGATGGGCGAGTCCTTTTCCGAGACGATGACAGAGAAGCCATTAGAGGAGTCAACAGAAGTTGACGCGCCGATCTTGGAAAGCGAACAACCGGCTTTTACTTTGGCACAAAAAGTGGCTGCGATGCTGCCGCCGTGGCGCCAGCGTGACATGACAGCAAACGGAGGTTCAGGCTACGAGGACATTTGCCTGTTTCCATCTGGTCTCGACTCGATCAACATGATGGCGCTGGTGTATTTCATCGCACAGCAGTTCCAGGTGGAGATTGACCTGGAGGTCCTGATGGACCCGAGCACGAGCATTCGGGGGTTGGCTGGGCTCGTGACGGACTCGCAAGCGGCTTCATAGACGAAGGGTGCCGAGGTCTATTCATATCTCAACTGGTCGGGCTCAGGCTCGTTGGATCCGGGATAGGTGCAAGTGTTGCTGGCCCGTCCCTGCGATGGTGTAGGAGGGAGGGCACGACGAAGGCCAAGTCTTTGATCTGGATCAGACAGCTCTTTCAGACACCAAGTGAACTCAGTCAATGGCGAATCTTTGTTTGCCGTCCGTTCTTTTTCTGCAGGGACCGCCATGGCGCCTTGGTTCGCGACATATTGGAGGGCGGAGGCGGTGAATCGTCTTGTTCCGGTTCGCGTGAAAGCGAGGATTGGCATCATGGACAGGTGGCGGTCCGCTGACGACAGCGCGGGCCCCGTCGTTCGGTGGGGTTCCAGGTGGTTGGTGGCTGGTGGCATGAGCATGTGGCCCCCGGGCCCCGGCTTGCGGGCGGGTGGCCGCCCCGCGACCAGATCACAAGGGCGGCCGGGCTGCTGGGGACGCCGCCTGCCCCGGTGGGTGGGTGAGGTGGCTCTATTTGGCGCTCGTTGGGGCGAGGTGGTCTCAACTTCCAGCCTGGAGGTTTACAGCAGCAGCACCAGCAGCACCAGCAGCTACCAGCCGTCGGCCCTGTGGGCGGCGAGCTTGCTGAGCTGTGCACGCACGCCTGTGAAGCTTTGTTTATTATAGTTGGTGCCTTTGTTAGCCGACCCGCCGTGTGCCGCCATAGCGGCAACCTTGGAACCTACGTGGAATACCATTTTAGTGGAGGGCTTCCAACCGTCTTCAATGCATGTTCGAATAGAAGACGCACTTGTACAATCTGCCACCTGCATCCGCTAATGCTGCACGCATCCCTCCATTCCTCGGCCCATCGACCAAAACCGCCGCCCCTTTCATTTTCTCTTCCTCAAGCCCCGAGCCCTCCCACCACAGCTGCGCAGCGTCTTTCGATCTCCAATTCCCTCCCTTCTCGCTCCTCTCCTCCTCGCCGCAGCAACCCCCATCGCCGGCGCCGACCACCCATTCGCGTCCATCCCATGCGTGTCCGCCCCTGCACGCCATCATGAACGGCCACTTCTCCGCCGTCGGCGACAAGCCGGGGGGCGCGTCCAGCTACGAGCACGGCGTCCAGGTCATTGACGAGGACAAGGAGTTCAAGTGCGCGCTCCCCTCCCAACTCCCATCGCCGCCGCCGCAGAGGAGGACCCCCCGCTGACCCGCTTGCCTGTGCGCTTGCTTGCCTGCAGTGACAACCTCAACGACTATCTCCGCGTCAGCCAGGTCGCCGAGGCCGGCTTCAACTACCACCTCATATCCGTCTTCGGCTCCCAGTCGACGGGCAAGTCTACCCTGCTCAACCACCTCTTCGGCACCGAGTTCTCCGTCATGGCTGAGACGGAGCGCCGCCAGACCACAAAGGGCATATGGATGTCCAAGAACCGCCGCACCGACAGCCACATGGCCGACAACATCCTCGTCATGGACGTCGAGGGCACCGACGGCCGCGAGCGCGGCGAGGACCAGGACTTTGAGAGGAAGAGCGCCCTCTTCGCCCTCGCCACCAGCGAGGTCCTCATCGTCAACATCTGGGAGCACCAGGTCGGCCTGTACCAGGGCGCCAACATGGGCCTGCTCAAGACCGTCTTTGAGGTCAACCTGCAGCTCTTCCTCAAGGACAAGCAGTGCGTGAATACCCGCAGCAGCAGCAGCAGCAGCAGCAGCAGCAGCAGCAGCAGCAGCAGCAGCGTCTTCGGCGCCGACTTGACTGACACGCAAGCCTCTTAGATCCACCCCCCGCTCCCTGCTCTTCTTCGTCATCCGCGATCACATCGGCAACACGCCCCTTTCGAACCTACGAACCACCCTCATTCAAGACTTGACCAAGATCTGGTCGACGATATCAAAACCTCAGGGGCTCGAAAAGTCCACGATAGAAGACTACTTCGATTTCGCCTTTGCTGCCCTCCCGCACAAGGTTCTACAGGAGGACAGGTTCAAGTCCGAGGTCCAGAAGCTGGGCACGAGGTTCACCGCGGGCCACCGGGCCGGCAAACCCGACGGTCATGGCGACCACGAGCTCGAGGGCGGCGTCTTCCTGCCCGAATATCACCGCCGAATCCCCGCCGACGGCTTCTCCGTGTATGCCGAAGGTGTCTGGGACCAGATCGTCAACAACAAGGATCTCGACCTGCCGACCCAGCAGGAGCTTCTCGCTCAGTTCCGATGTGACGAGATTGCGCGCGAAGTCCTAGTCGGCTTCGACACGACCGTCGCCCCTCTCGAGGAGCAACAGAATGAGGCCGTCAAGCTCGGCAAGATCTTGGTCCTGGGCGACCTTGGCACGACCGGCAGCGTGGCACGCCAGCAGTGCATCAAGGCGTTTGAGACCCAGGCGAGTCGCTATCACAAGGGCACATACACGCGGAAAAGGCAGGAGCTGGAAGCCAAAATTGACTCAAGGCTCAAGACATTGTATCTGGGCCAGCTGGCGGCGGCGCATAAGGCGGGCGTCGCGGCCTTCAGCGAGGCCGTCACGCACAAGGTCAAGGCGGGGCAAAAGGCCGGCGGAGGCTACGAATTCGCCGAGATAGTGGCAAACGAGAAGAAGAAGACGCTCGGCATCTTCAAGACGGAGGCCATGGGCCTCGCCATCGAGGGCGTGCCGTGGACCAACTTCAGGTCGCAGTACCAGCTGTTCGAGGCCGAGCTCGACGAGGTCAGCGCAAAGCTGCGCAAGGAGGAGATGCGCCGACTGGCCACGCGCGTCGAGCGCTGGGTCAAGTCCAGGCTGGGAGAGGCCATCGGGCTCGAGTTCAACAAGCTCGGGTCCGGCCGAGGCGGGTCCGGCGCGCCGGAAGAAGGCGAGCAGCCCACGGAGAAGGACCTCTGGGACCGGATCTGGAGCGTCTTCACGGGCATCGTCGGGGAGGCCGAGGGGCGTTTCGCAGAGCGCGCCAAGAGCTTCGACGCTAGCGACGACGAGGCCGAGGTGGGCATGTGGCGCCTGCGCCGCAAGAGCTGGGTCGGCCTGCGAGAGAAGATCGAGGAGGAGGTGATGGAGGGCAACATCCTCCTCAAGCTTCGGGAAAACTTTGAGGATAAGTTCCGCTACGACGAGGCTGGCGTTCCGCGGATATGGCGCCCGTCGGACGACATCGAGGGCATCTACACCAAGGCCCGCGAGTCCACACTCACGCTCATCCCGCTGCTCTCGAGGTTCCGCCTATCCAAGACGTACGCCCCGCCGAACCTACCGGGCTTTATTGGACCCCAGCCCGGCGGCGTGGAGGTCGGGGACGAGGAGGACCTGACGCCCATTGGCGGCGTGGATGAGGAGGAGGGCAAGAGCCTGGAAGAGGAGATGACGGTGCTGAGCGAGAGCAAGCGGCAGGACCTGGTGGTGCGCTTCAAGAAGACTGCCGACGGGGTGTACGTCGAGGCCAAGCGTAGTGCCATTGGCGGCGTCGCCCAGGTGCCATGGTACTTTTACGGCCTGCTCCTGGCGCTCGGCTGGAACGAGATCTTTATGGGTATGCGTCTCCCCCCACGACGATTGTCGAGTTTGTTGACTGACGAGATGGTATAGTCTTGCGCAACCCCTTCCTCTTTATCCTCCTCATCATGATCGCAGGAGGAACCTACGTGGCGTACACGCTCAACCTGCTGGGGCCGATGATGCAGATGAGCAATGCGGCCTTCAACCAGGGCGTCGACATTGCCAAGCAGCAGCTGCGCGACTTCATCGCCAACTCGGAGACGGCGAGGCAGGCGCTGGCGGTGCCGGCCAACGGCAACAGCAACGGCACGCGCGAGGACATTGACATGGACGACTTGGATAGCCGCGGCAAGAAGACGACGAGGCGGGCCGAGGAGCACGATGATGAGATTTGATGTGCCACGAGCGGCCCCCCGGCCTGTACGAAGAGGATGCGCAGATGGCGTCGGGACGACGGGTGGGTATGATAATGTCTAAGACGGCTTGAACGGATTTCATTCCCTCTGCCTACATGTAGAAAAACTGTGCCGGGTTTGGGCGGTTCTACTCTATAAGTACATCTGATATCCAACCGATCCTGGACTCCTGCTTGTTTCAGTATGATCCCTGTATACTGTATATGACCATAACGCCGCAAAGCATCAAATTCGATGGTAACGAAAGGGGGCCCGGGGTCTCGGCTAGAATGCCTCGAGGCCCGCCGGCGCGCCATACCACGTCCCCAGCTCGCTGGCGTCCTTGTCTGCCGGCCCCGCGGTGAAGAAGTCGGTCAGGCGACTCGTCTCGCCATCGTCGTCGAGGGGCCACTCGACGCGGACGCCAGCGCCCTTGGCCTCGAGCATGTCCTTTGCGGTGCCCCAACTGAAGCGGCACTCGGGCCCCCAGCCGAAAACCGGGTGCATATTGCCCTTCATCCAGCTGACGCAGCGCGCGTCCGAGGGGTAGCCCGAGCCCCACGCCATGGCCGCATGGCCGTCACCGTCGCCATCGCCACTGTCGCCACTGCCCCTCGCCTTGTAGAGCTCCTCGAGGGCGGCATCGCGGGTGACCTTTGCGCAGACGGACGCGGCGCTCACGCAGGGATACAAGCTGTCTGCCTTTTTCGCGACGGTGATGCGGGCGGTGGGAAACACGCGCTGGAGCTTGGCCTGATAGGCGGCGGGCTGGCCGACGGTGTCGACGTAAATCTCCTGGACGTTGACGCCGCGGGCGTAGACACCCTTGATGAGCTCGACGGTGGCGTCCATGGCCTGGGCGTTGAGGTTATATACGGCGGCCGAGTGCGCGGGGCGGAGCATGCCGGCGGCGATGTCGCGCGCGGAGAGGGAGGCCGTGGCCCAGCCGCAGGAGGCGTGCAGGTCGGTGCCGGGGGTGCACAGCGCGCGCATCAGGTCGGAGCGCACGGCGGGGGTGAGGACCTTGGAGTCGTCGAAGTGGTGGGCGGTGCGGAGGAGCGGGTCGGAGAGCGGGAGCGGGAGGAAGAAGACGCCGTAGACCATGGGGCCGAGGACGGGGCCGCGGCCGGCTTCGTCGACGCCGAGGGCGCACGGCGGCGCGGTGTTGCTTCTGGTTCCGTCGTTGTTGCTATTGTCGTCGTTGTTGCCGTTGTCGGGGGAGGGGAGGAGGGACGGCGGGATGGGCGAAAAGTGCGTAAACGAGGCGCCTGTCAGGAGAGGCTCGTGGTGGACCGAGGGCGGAACAAAGGTCGACGAGGAGGAGGAGGAGGAGGCGGAGGTCGAGGCGGCGACGGCATCGTCGACGACGTCGGGGAGGACGGTCTCGTCCATGGCGCTGTGGGGGATGCGCGCGGTCGCGAGCGCAAGAGGGGGAGGATGCGACTGCGGCGCGAGCGAGGTGGTCGCGTGTGTTGGAGAGTCGGGACGAGACGGCGACCGAGTTGAGGTTGGCAGGAGGTGTGTTGCGACTGCGACTCGCTGGCTTGGCGGAGGAGAGGAGAGGATGGGAGGATAGGTATGAAGAGAGGTTGTGTGCGGTCAGGCTTGTCGCAGGACTGGTGCCAGTCGCAGTGGTTAATTTAGCCCAGCAACGTCAAGTTAGGTGGTGGTCGTCAAATGGGCCGCCGCCGCCCCGCGACGCGTCCGAGACGCGAATTAGGTCTAGCGAGGTTCCATCTAATCCATCCACCCGCCGTTGCTTTTTGGTGTAAACCGAGGGCCCTGTAGTTAGTTACTTTAGGTAGGCAGGTCATGCAGAAGCGCCGTTTGCCATTGATGGAGTATCTCAACTAGCAGTGTTATTCAAGCCTACACGCTGCTTGATGAAGGGGACTACCTTACCTACCTAGAGGTTACTTAGTAACTAGAGTGTCTCTGCAGCGCATGTAGGAGTGACCCGGCGGTGAGGGGTGGGTTTCGGGGGATCGCACCGCTGTGAGACGCCGTACGCCTGCATCAAAACTTACACGGCTGTCTGCCTTGGTGCTGCAGTCGTGGACTGAGCTGCAGGGCTGAGATAGCTTGCAACAGATGCTGCATGCAATAGCTGGAGCAAGTAGCAGTGCTTCTAGGTATTACCTGTAAATGCGCTACTGTTAGGTAGCTAGTTGCGTGAGTCCGGATGCCCGTCTCAAGCCGTGACCATTAGAGAGCCACTGTCACCACTGCGGCGGCGGTTGCGCGCCATGGATGCCAGCGACACGCTGCCCGCCCGAGCAGGGCGGCGTGCAGCGCCAGCCGTCCTCACCAATGCACCTAGCCCCCACGCGCGCCCGTTGGCAGGCCACTCACTCCGGTCCACTACAGGTGCTCTGCTGGACCCCAAACCCCGGCCGCCAGCCAGGACCATTAACACCTACGGCGGGAGCTACCTACTACAGCCAAACGGCGCGCACCACTAGGTAAACGCACGTTGCCCGCCGGCCAATCTTCAACACGTCAACAAGCGCGTCGAGACCCCCAAACTTTCCTCACCACCACCACCTGCCAGCTCGTGAAAGCCTCGTCGCCCCGACGCTGCCGCCGCCGCTGTGCACACCACAACGCACCTATTCAACACGCTTCCCCTGCACCGCGGAGCCGCCAAGAAGAATCCCAAAATCATTTCCCCCCGCCTCGAATCCCACACGCGGGGACCGCGCAACCATTGACTGCCTCCGCCATGGCTCCGCGCGCGAGGCGCGGTGACGCCGCTCAACAACAGGCCATCCACGAGTTTGGAAAACAGGGCCGGTACGTTGTGTCATCCCCGCGAGCACCCTCGTCGCCCACGGCTCCCTGCTGACCCTGCGCTGCTTTAGAAAAACCGGCGTCTTCCTCCCCGACGATGGAGCGCGCGACGAGCACGGCATGCAGCCTCTCGAGGCCATCTTTTCGTCGCCGCGCAAGGCGGCTGCCACCAACGGCACGCATCATGACGACGACGAAGAAGACGACTCCGGCAGCGAAGAAATGGAACTGGCATCCAGTAAGCGAACTTCCCTTTCAAATCACACGGCCACGCAGCCTACGGGCGCAAAATACTCACCGCTCTTGGCGTGACAGGTGGTGGCCCCGGCCCGCGAACGCTGCTGCGGAATCAGCGCAACACCAAGCTTCCCCTCCCCAAGAGCAAGTCGCCCCTCAAGACGAACCTGAAATCCCCTGCGCGTAAGAACCCGCATCTGGAGCAGCGTCTCTCGTCTCCCACCCGGCGCTCCCTCGGCGCCGACCGCGACACCACCGTCACCCGGCGCCTCGACTTTACCGGTAAGCCCGAGAAGTCGTCGTCCAAGCTCGGCAGTGCCAGGGGCAAGGTCAACGGCGTGGCCAGCAGGAGACGGATAGCCCCGTCCAGTAGTGACGACGACGATGACGACGAGTCGATTCTCGGGGGCCACGCCGACCTGGCCGTCGACGACATGGTGGAGGAGTCGCTGCAAATGGTCGATGCTATGGGCGGCGACGATGGCAGCAGCGAGCTCGTTGACATGCGCGTCCACGATGAGGTGCAGGAGTCGCCCGACACGGACGAGGAGGAGCCGCCAGCGAAGCGACCCAGGGGCCGACCGCCAGGGCCCAGTCGACCGAAGCCGGACGCCCAGCAGCCGCCAAAGGGTAAGAAACGGAGGTCGCTCAGGGGCTCGACCGGCGGCGACGGCGATACGGGCGAAGCGCAACAAGGAGAGGACGATGACGAAGAACCAAGGCAAGCAAAACGCCCCCGAACAAAGGCTCCGCCCGCTCCGAAGGCCGCTCCCGCACCGCCGAAGCCGCAAAAGGAACCCGCCGGCAAGACCAAGGAGGTCAAGACGGCCAAGCCCAAGCCCAAATCCAAGGAGGCGCCGCAACCAACAGAGAAGCCAAAGGGCAAAGGCCGGCCGTCCAAGAAGGGCAAGGAGCTGGAACCGATCGGAGAGGACGCTGGCGAGGCTTCCTTCATGGCCCTGCAGCGCGGGCCCCCGATGCCCAAATCGCGCGGCCTCGTCTCGGTACGCCGCGACCCCGACGCCGTGAGCCAGACGCGGTCCGGCCGCCACTCGTACCGGCCCGTCGAGTACTGGAGAGGCGAGCAGGTCATCCGCGAGGAGGAGGAACAGAACGACGCCTTCCATCACGATGAATTTGTCGTGCCGACCATCAAGGAAATCGTCCGCGTCCCGCACGAGGCGCCGCCATCCAAGCGCGCGCCGCGCAGCAAGGCCCGCGCCAAGGCCAAGGGCAGAAACAGCCTGGCTGTGGTCGAGGACGAGGAGCTCGAGGAGTGGGAGCTCAACCCGGGCACCGTGACGGGCGAGATTGTGCTGTGGGAGCCCGAGCACGAGGAACACCCGCCCGCCGACGACGAACCCGTCCAGGTCATGGACGACCGCATCGCCATCTCGGCCGACGCCATCCAGACCTCGGACATCAAGGACGCCACCTTTCGCTTCGCAAAGACGCTCACCATGCCCTTCATGGGCGCCGGCGTCGTCGACCTGCCCCCGGGCGCCGAGAAGCGGCCCAAGAACTCGCGCAAGATGCACATGGTGTTCTTCGTCCACTACGGCAAGGTCCTTGTTACCATCAACGAGGCCCAGTTTCGCATCTCGGCCGGCGGCACATGGTTCGTGCCCAGAGGTTAGTTTTCACTTTGTCCTTCACAGAGAACGTGGCCCGCTGACTCTAGACCGCAGGAAACTACTACAGCATCACAAACGACTACGACAACCCCAGCCGCATCTTCTTTGCGCAGGCGTGCGAGGTGCGGGCCCCCGACCCGGACGCCTCGCAGGTGCAAAACGACACTACGGCGCTGGGTTACTGATGCCCACCCTTTGACCCCTGGCCCTCATCCGCCATGTCTTGTCACCCGCGGCTAGCAGAGAAGGGGGCTCGCTTTCCGGAACCCAGTACATATGACGCTCTCGCTCAGCCGCGCTCGGCCATGCCACCGCCGGGTCATCATCATCATCATCTTTACCACGCGCCTCGGGGTCCAAACGGGACTGTTTGTGTCCTTTTGTCTTTTTTGGTCGAAAAAAAATTGGAGTTTTAGGGTCTGGGGAAATAGGGACGAACGGGGTGACACGCGCGCGCCTGTGTTCGCGCCCCTTTTTGGCGGTCGGGCGGGTTCTCTCTCTCTCTTTCTGTTTTTTTGACGACGCGTCACGAGATGATACTGCCAAAACACCAGTTTGCTGCTTCGTCTGCGGATTATCTTTTCTTTTTTTTTTCCGTCGCAGCTATCTTCATCCCCTCTGCGTGCTATATATCCAGGTCAGGCAATTCACTCGGCGGGCATTCGCCTCTTCCCCCGTGCGGGCAGATTTTGAGGAACATGAGATCTCTCTCATTGTGGTTGTGATTTCCTTTGATGTGAGCAGGGTGCCTCATCTAAGTGACCAGCAAGCCCATCCCGGTATCCAGCAGCACCCGGCGATGAAACTCATATCGCCTCTCTCCCCCCTTCGAGTAAACAGCTGCAAAGGCTGTCTCACAGGCCCTCTATACAGTATTATACACTTGGTACTTGCAAAAGGCAACAAGCCAACCCCTCAAACCAAGGCCAGTCTAGCACGGCCACTTAACAACACGCCGTAATCACACAACTAAAACTCCTCGTTGAGCACCTTCTTCAGAGCTCCCATCTCCCGGTCCAGCTCCGCAATCTTCCTCTGCGACGCGTCGAGCTTGCCCAGCAGGTACGTGACCCTGCCCGCCGTCTCGTTGGTCTGTCGCGGAAGCGCGCCCAGCATCGTGAGCTCCTGCTCGACCGACGCTATGCTCTTCGCCTCGACCTTGGACATCTCCGTCATGGCGGCCAGGTCCATCTTGGCCTTGAGCACGCGGTCGCGCACAAGCACGGCGAAGGCGGCCTGGTGGAGGGGCTTACCCGCACGGACGAGTTGAGGCCGCCCCTGATGGGACTTCAGCGAGATGAGCTCCGAGCTGGCCAGGGCCTCGAGCGCGGCCTCCCCGTCGGCAGCCGACGGGGTTGTTGAGGATGCAAACGCCGGGGACAGGAGGACTTGGTTGTACCTCAATGACGGGGCCTCGGCGAGAGACTTGACGACATGCCAAGCCTGCTGCATAGAGTACTTCTTCTCTTCGCCCGTCTTGGGTAGGAGGTACATCTTGACGATGTCCGTAGCACTCTCGCCCACGATCTCATCGACGGCCTGACGCGGGCTCTGTCCGGCTTTGATGCGCCGTGAGAGGAACTCGAGATCTGTCAAGCGACCTCCAAGGGTCTCGATGCACTCGTCCAGCCCATTGAGATTGCGTTGGGCCCGTGGCTTCTTTTCTTCGCCTTCCTTTGCTTCATCCTCCAGCCGCTGCTCCTCCTCCAAGCGGCTGAGGACAAAGTTCTTGGCCACGTTGTGGTCGAGGTCGCCAAGAGAGATCGTGCGGAAGACTCTGTCCGGCATGGCCTTGGACAACGGCTTCGAATATGCCGAATCGCTCGTGAGAAACACGACGTGGGCGACATTGTTTTGCACAATGGTAGCCGCCCACTCCGCGATCTTGTCGTAGACGAAGGCTTTGTCGTCATTCTTGTGTAGGAAATTGTCGATGACGATGACAGGTCGCCGCTCCGGGTGCGCCTCGAGGAAGGCGTCTTCAGATAGCGCAGCATCCTTGTCCTTCTTCGTTCGCCCAGAAAGCGCCACCTCCTTGAGCGCCGCCGCTGTCGTGTGCAGGATGCTGTTGACCTGTGACTCGAGCGTTTCGGAGAATCCTGCCTTGACGCCCGTCGTGCTTTGAACGGCAAGATCGACCATGCTGCTCAAGCTGTTGGCCCACGAGAAAATCGGCCGATATCCCACGGCACTGGCAAGTCGCCTCAGCGTCCCGGCCTCGCCGCTTGCGTCCACAATGGGCCGGCAATCGATCATGAGCACGTTTTTGCGTCCAGAAAGCGACTGGTCCATGACCATCTCGACCTTGCCGGAACCCCTTGGACCGGTGACAACGATGAAAGTGTCCGAGCTTCCATCAAGCCAGCCTTGCAGCTGCTCGATGACATCACGTCTATGGTTCCAAACGGTACTCAACCCCTCCATACGCTCCTTGTTCTTGCCGCTGAAGCTGAAGCTCCCTGTCTGAGACTTGAACCACTTGTAGACGCGGGATTCGGTGAAGCGGAGGGAATGCTGAACGTGAAGCTTGACAAAGAACTTGCGGATGGGGTCAAATATCATGACCGAGATGCCCGCAAGGAGAGCCGCGACGATGGGGATCACGATACGTGGGTGACTGGTGAGCCAATTCCAGATGCTGTGCGCCTTGACGCGTTTCACGTACGAGAGGCGCAGGACCGTGCCGTCCTTGCCTCCCCCCATGCCGTCCGTCACGACGAAGCCGTGGAGGCAGTTGCGTGCCATGATGGCGTCTCGTATCCTGGGAAAGCCAATGGTCGCATACCGCGGCGTCTCTTTGGAGTCCCAGGCCTGAGGGATGATGTCGGCAATTTTGCCGTATCGTCGGAAGAGGCTGTACAAGATCTCTTCAGATAGCTCTGCTGGGTTCTGACCCGGTTCTCTTGGAACAAATTCGACTTTGACTAGTGACGACGGAAACCTGTAGAGGTCCTCGAGCCAGGGACTGCCCCTCACGAGGCGAGCCTTGATTCCGCGAAAGGGGCTGAACCAAGGTTTGAGCGGATGCTCGGTGAGTTTCTGCAAAAGCGTACCTGCGAGCGGCGGTTAGTATTCCGTGACGGCGAGGTGCATCAATAGGAACTAGGAGGGGATAAGTACTTTCAATCTCCGAGGCACTGATGCTAGGGTCGTGCTGCACCTTGACAAAGGCGCCGCCGTCCTTGAGTCTGGGCATGATTTCTGTAACTTTGAGTGACATGTCGGCGGGGATGGCCGACTTGACGAGGCGGATGGGGTCCATGATGCCGAGGGACGAGCTCTCAAACCGCCGGAGGAGGCCGGCCAGGTCGCGGTCAGGCTCGGCGGGCATCCTGAGCAAGGCGCTCAGCTTGATCGGGAAGAGGTCTGTACGCGCGTTGTGTTAATGAATCTCGGTATCACAGGCCTGCACGTCTATAGAGCTCACTGTCGAAGAAGAGGAGCGACTCATTATGCTTCACCGAGAAATGACCCGTCTCTTTCTCCTCTGTCGTCGTTTCAGCGGTCTTCGTCGTGGTGCTCTCCCACGCGCGACCTGCGGCGCCGACATCGAAGCCATGGTTCACACGAAGCCGAGGAAAGGTCGCCGTCGCGAGAACACCTGGGCGACGGAGCATCGCGCTGGGCAAAGCTGCGCCTCGTCGCAGCGCCAGCGACGCAAGGCCTCGTGTTGGTATCATGTCCCCTGCCACCGGCGCACGGCGTGCGGGTACTGATAGCAAAACAGAGTCGAAGTGTGGAGGAGTGAATGAGGGAAGCCGTTCCCGATCAGTCGACCCTTCACATCATGGTGACGGTCGCGACCGAGCTCCTGCCTGCTATGCAGTGATCCACCCACCCTGGCAGAGCTCCCAAGCTCCACTGCCAATGAGGTCATGGCCGTTGCGCGCGGCCGCGGGGCGGCCCAAACCGCGCCGGAACTCGGCTATTCTGTTTATCCGATCCGCCAAATGTTCGTCGCCGACAGACTCCGGACTGAGATGCCCCAGAGCAAGACAGTTTGATGCACCGCTTAGAAGCGTGAACGACATTCCGTGGTTTCCCTAGGCCTGGACTACTTCGAGGCGGTTCCTTGAGATCACGCGACCCCGATCTGACGATTCAAACTTGCCGACCCAATCGCAAGTGGAATTGAGACTTCGGCCATCTCAGACAACCGCACTCTCACTTCGGCTCTTCCTCAACGACACTCGCTTTAATCGGCGCACAATGGGCTGGCTCTGGGCATCAACCCCGGCTCCCAAGCCAACCGAGTCGTCGCAGGACGCGCGCGTCGAATCGAAACCACCCACAACTGCCCAAACCGCCGCTCCCAACGAGCCCGTCGACCCCGAGATCCAAAAGTTCTACGACCTCTTCAAGAACGACGAATCATCATCACCCTCCAACACCAACCCTTCAGAACCTCCCAACGACCAGCAAAAGTCCACGCTAGCCTCGTGGCTCACCCTGAAAGCGTCCCCCAAGTCCTCACAAGCGCCACCCGAGGCACCCATCGGCGACCCCCTCGCCGAATCCCTCCTCCCGACCGAAATGTCCTGCCGCCAGGCTTTCGACCTCGCCTGGTCCTGCAACTCCCTGGGCGGCCAGTTCAACGCCGTCTACCGCTACGGCGAGATGCGCTCCTGCTCCGAGCAGTGGGACGACTTTTGGTTCTGCATGCGCACCAAGTCGTACACCGGCGAGCTCAAGGACAAGATGGTCCGCGCGCACTACCGCGAGAAGGAGTGGCGCAAGTACGGCGCTGGGAAGCCCAGCTCTGAGGATATCTGGGAGAGCCGGACAGAAAAGGTGCCGCCGGGCACCGCGTTTACAGAGAGGGTTGAGCCCCCGACGGTCAGCGACGAGGAGTGGCGGAAGACCGAGGACGCGAGGAGGAGAGCAGTCCGAACAGAACTTGGGCACGACAAGGCTTCATGACGATTGAGCAAAATTACATCATGCAATTATATACCACCATGTACATAGACCATCACGCAAGGTGCGTGTTCTCTGCTCTATACCATTTGGCAAATGCCGTCCCGTCATCACTGTAACGAAGCAGGGGTTACAAGATCGGGATCAAAGGACTTGGTCCCCAATGTAGAAGAATTGGCCCATCCTTCAGCGTAAAAAATACCTTGCACAATCCAAGTAAGCCATCAGTGTCAAGAGCGGGCAATTCTGCACCCGACAAATTTCCCGCTGTCGACAGGTATGTGCAGGCTGCACCAACACGGCCATCAGGGGTCTGCGTCAGACCAGGCGTCTATGCCCCTACCTAACCGCTGAACAATATCTAAAACTGCCACTAACCAGGAAGGACAGAGGCGCGTGCACGGCTTGCTTGCAGCCAAATGCACACGATCTCCTCCAAACCCGACAAATCCGACATGTGCGTTTCCACTGGTACGGTTCTCGGGACCATTGCGCGCATCAATAAGGTGAAATATTGCTCCTTTCCCACCTGTCGTGCTTCTCGTGCATGCCCCTCGTACCTATCGTGAAGGCAAATACAAGTCAAGTCATAGCTCCCGGCTCCTGGCCACAGGGCGGCATAATATTGGCTTGTTCTCTTTGCCGCTGTGCAATCCGCACACACTCATCACTGTCACGGGAAAGAAAGTTCAAGTGTTTGTATGGTCTATGCCATTGAAATTCTCATTCCTTTGCTCATTAAAGTACAAATCCAGGGTTACCACCCAGTTTTCCGTTCCCTGTCATAACCATTGAAAGTGCAACGCAGGCGCAAGTCTAATCAGCTCGTAATCCCTGAACCCCATGAACCTCCGCATCGTAAACGCATTACCAATTTGGAAGGGGTATCAAGAAATTTAGTCGACCTCCTCGACAGTGGGGCCGTCATCGCCGCCAGCGCCGCCAGGGGGGCCACCGGCGCCAGGGAAGCCGCCGGGAGCGCCACCGGGCATGCCGCCAGGGGCACCACCCTCAGAGCCGTAGAACTTCATCATGATGGGGTTGGCAATAGCCTCAAGCTCCTTCTGATGCTCCTCGTACTCCTCGCGGGTGGCCTGCTGGCTGTCGTCGAGCCAAGCAACGATCTTGTCGATCTCGGTCTTGAGGGTCTCCTTGTCGGCAGCCTCAATCTTCTCGTCGACCTTAGGGTCAGACAGGGTGTTGCGCAGGGAGTACGCGTACGACTCGAGGCCGTTCTTGGCAGCGACACGGCGGCCCTCAGCCTCATCCTCGTCCTTGTACTTCTCGGCATCAGCCAGCATGCGCTCAATCTCCTCCTTGGACAGGCGGCCCTTGTCGTTGGTAATGACGATCTTGTTGGACTTGCCAGTGCCCTTCTCGACGGCGGAGACGTTCATGATGCCGTTGGCGTCAAGGTCGAAGGTGACCTCGATCTGGGGAACACCACGAGGGGCAGGGGGGATGCCAGTGAGCTCGAACTTGCCCATCAGGTTGTTGTCCTTGGTGCGCTGGCGCTCACCCTCGTAGACCTGGATGAGCACACCAGGCTGGTTGTCGGAGAAGGTGGAGAAGACCTCGGACTTCTTGGTGGGGATGGTAGTGTTGCGGGGAATGAGCTTGGTCATCATGCCACCAGCGGTCTCGATACCGAGAGACAGAGGCGCGACGTCGAGAAGCAGGATCTCGTTGGTCGACTTGGAGGAAGTGTCGCCAGACAGGATGGCAGCCTGGACGGCAGCGCCGTAGGCAACAGCCTCATCGGGGTTGATGGACTTGTTGGGCTCCTTGCCGTTGAAGTAGTCGGTAATGAGCTTCTGGATGCGGGGGATACGGGTGGAGCCGCCGACGAGGACGATCTCGTGGACCTGGCTCTTGTCGATCTTGGCGTCGCTGAGGACGCGGTCGACGGGCTGGATGGTGGAGCGGAAGAGGTCCTGGCAGAGCTCCTCGAAACGGGCCCGGGTGATGGAGGTGTAGAAGTCGATACCCTCGAACAGGGAGTCGATCTCAATGGACGTCTGGGCAGACGAAGAAAGAGTGCGCTTGGCACGCTCGCAGGCAGTACGGAGACGGCGCAGAGCACGAGCGTTCGTGGACAGGTCCTGTGGTACAAAGTTAGCATTTGGATTAAAAATTTGAGGGGACGGGTCGCTGTCGTTTCCGGCGTTCCTCAAGTTCCCGTCGTTCCCGTCGTTCCTGTCGTTCCTATCGTTCCTGCCGTTCCTGCCGTTCCTGTCGTGTCTGTCGTTTCCGACATTCCCGACATTCCCAACGTTCCCGACATTCCTGATATTCCCGACGTTCCCAACGTTCCCGACGTTACTCGAGTTGCCTTCGTTCCCGACGTTTCTCCCGTTTCTGTCGCTACTTGCCTTCTTGTGCTTGCGTTTGAACTCATTAACGAAGTGGTTGACGAGACGGTTGTCGAAGTCCTCGCCACCCAGGTGAGTGTCACCAGCAGTGGACTTGACCTCGAAGATGCCCTCCTCAATGGTCAGGAGAGAGACATCGAAGGTACCACCACCAAGATCGAAGATCAGGACGTTGCGCTCGCCCTCGACCTTCTTGTCCAGGCCATAGGCGATGGCAGCAGCGGTAGGCTCGTTGATGATACGGAGGACGTTGAGGCCGGCAATGAGACCGGCGTCCTTGGTAGCCTGGCGCTGGCTGTCGTTGAAGTAGGCGGGAACCGTGACGACAGCGTTGGTGACCTGGGTGCCCAGGTAGCTCTCGGCGGTCTCGCGCATCTTGGTCAGGACCATGGAGGAGATCTCCTCGGGAGTGAAGGTCTTCTGCTCGCCCTTGAACTCGACCTCGATGGCAGGCTTGCCGGCCTTGTCGATGACCTTGAAGGGGAAGTGCTTCATGTCGGCCTGGACCTCGGCGTCGGCGAACTTGCGGCCAATCAACCGCTTGGCGTCGAAGACGGTGTTGTGAGGGTTCATGGCGACCTGGTTCTTGGCGGCATCGCCGATCAGACGCTCAGTGTCGGTGAAGGCAACGAACGAGGGCGTGGTGCGGTTGCCCTGGTCGTTGGCGATGATGTCGCATCTGTCCTCGCGGAAGATGCCCACGCACGAGTACGTGGTACCCAGATCGATACCGACGGCGGGACCCATGGTGACTGTGCAGATGTGGTTGTGATGTGAGGGGAGATGCTGCAAAGAAAACGGCGAAACGGCAAGTCAATCCAGTCGATGAATTGAGCTGCGTGAAGAAGAGAGAGAGGTGTGTGTGAGGGTATGAGAGGGAGGATGAGGGAAAAGAGTTTCGGGTCGAGCAGGGCGGTTGTGAGAGCATCTAAATAAAAGAAGGCGGGCGGGCTTCGATGTGCTTCTACACTGTTCCAAGGCAGCCCACCAGAAGGTTGCAGGGGGTGCCGGAAGGCTCTGGCAGCCACTGGCGGGCGCTGCACCCCGCTAGAAGCCGCTGGCCGGGCAGCGACCCGGGCCCCCGTCCGGCGTCCAGCGTCAGGCATTCACTCAATCTCTGCAGTGACGACGGAGCGGCAGGGATCGTCTCGATGCCTCTGCTCGTCACTGTCCTTTTTTTTTTTTTTGCCCGCCCGGCACCCTTGCATCGTCATCCATGGCCCTGAAGCTGCTCTACCTGGCGGTGGGTTTTTTTTGATGTCATGGCTGCCCATCGAGAGCTCCCGAAAATTCCATCGCGGGGCACCGTCGTCACCCCTCCAAGTCTTCGGAACCTTGTCTCACCCGGGGCAACAGGCGGTCAGTCAGGTAGCACATACCCCTTGGCAAGGTGCCTGCCCCACCTGGGTGCACCCTCTGGAAGCTCGACGATCAACTTGGTCGCGGGCTGCCCCTCTTTTCCCTCACAGGTTCGTTCGCTCGCTCACACCACTTGGGCTGCACCCACCAGAGCTCGCCTTCGCTGCCCCTCCACGTCCCTCGCCGCCATGATGCAGAGGGGCAAGCGCACGAGAGAACCGACGACAGGAACTGCTCAGGCGACGCAGGCACACCGCCCCGCGCCTCGCCAGCCGAAATTCCCAATTCATCAGGACCAGAACGAGCGAGCAACACGACCCAAGCGCATCATGGCCTGTCCGGGCTGCCAAAAGCGGCCGGGCGACAGACTTTCGGTCCGTCCAGTCTGCCCAGCGCAATTGAATTGAATTTTCGCGCTTCCCTGAGCTTCTGGTGGGTGGCGAGGCAACGCCTCCTGGGCCCGTTTCGGTGGGGTATCGTCGTCCACACTCGGCCGCAGCTCGCAGTGGCGGGGCCATTGTGAGCGCAAGCTGCATGCGGGAAAAAAATGGGATCGCGCCAAAGTGCGTTGCCACGGCGAGAGGTGGGAAGCCCCCGGAGTTGCCCCTTGGAAGCGGTCTCGTCCAGTCTAGCGCTGCTCGAAGCTGCGTTGAGCTCCCCGAGGTCGAGATATTCGCGACAGACTTTCGATGAAACGGCCCGTCGCAATCTGATGCTTCTCAACTTCTCAATCCGCCTGCCGTTCGTCTGTTGGTCAAGTCGAAGCTTTGTTAGCGCAACCGCCGACCGCGCAACGTCAAACTCAGTTCTCCCCGGACTGACACCAACGTTGGAGAGCTCCCGAGAGCTCCGGAAGCTGCCAAAGTTTGGTAGATAATCGCCGATGCCATCATGGACTTATTTCCTGCGGCCGTTGATCAGACCATGTTAAGTTGGCAGAGCCGCAACTCCCGCCAGTGGAGATGCGTAGAGGCATGGGGAACGGATGTGGCCCGAGAGGCGCAAGAGGCAGCTCGAGCGTAATTGTCTATCAATCGGGGTATCAAACACAAAAGCAAGCCCGCATCCGACGCGCCATCCTCCTTCAAGCGAGAGAGGCTTCGTTCGATGTCCTCTTGAACCCTTCTCCTCCACGGGGGCTTTCGAGCCTTATTCCCGTGTAATCCTCCGCACGTGCTCGCCGGCCCTTCAACAGACTCCAGAGGTATGGTTCCTCGAAGACAATATCTTGGCTTCCGTCACCGTCGTCATCGACCGCCGACTTCTTGCCGAGCATCACATTGCCGAGGAAGTAGCAACAGAACCAAGACTAGTAGAATGGCTGGTTAGCCTCTCAGCGTTTCACAATTGCCAACAACCGCGGGCACCTACCAGGACCATGAAGGGAACAATGGCAACAAATGCCCAGACGACACCCATCTGCTCTTCTGTTAGCAAAGCCATTCTCGGAAAGCTGTTGAACCATTGCTCGCTCACCTTTGCGTCGTAGACTGCCTGCTGCCTGGCTCCTTCGGGAAGCTCCCCCAGTCTGGAGAAGTCACTGTGCTTCGAGTCGAGCCCGGACGTGTTGTTGAACACAGTCGACATCACAGTCAGCCCGATCGTCCCGCCAAAAGGAACAGCGACAGCCATGAGTCCAATGACTGCCGCGCGGTGGGCCTTGAAGATGCCAATGCCGTGAAGCGGCGCAACCATGAATCGGAGACCCATGCCGCAGCCGACCAGAGCCATCATGCCGAATACCGTCGCCGTTCTTTCCATATACAAGGCCCAGGCGAGAACTCCAACTCCGACCATCTCGATGAGTGTGCCGAGAAATAGGGGTGGGAACGTCATGCGCGGCCATCGATTGCACAGAAAGGAGCAGAGGTAGATGCCAACTATAAAGATCCATGAGAATGTGGCTTTTCGTGGCAGGGACGAAGTTGCTCACCTCCGATTCCTGGTGTGAAATAAAGCAGCTGCAGGCCTGCCTTGTCTGAGCTGTTCCCCTGTCCTCCCAGTCAGTTTTCATTGTGTTGTGCGTATCTCCGAGTGTCTCCCGTACCTTGACTGCGATGAAATAGATGTTGCAAAAGTAAAGCACCTGGGGCAATTAGTCCATTACTGTTGCAGCAGGGGTAAGTTATCACATACCGAAAACATGGCCATGCCGGTAGCGCACTCGGTGTAGAAGATCAAACCAAGATCGCGATTCGTCAACATCGCCCAGGGAATCATGGGTCGTTGCCACGGCATCTTCTTGGACAGCGCCCGCCCTGGAGAAAGCATCCTCTCCCAGACAAAAAAGAAGCCGACGAACAAGCAGCCGACGACAAGCGACACAATCACCGCCGCCGAAGCCCAGGGATAGGTCACGCCACCCCATGTCAGGCCTAGGATAATAAGACCAAAGCCTATGACAAAGAGGGCCTGTCCACCCACATCAACCGTCTTGAGTCGCGCTGCGAGCTTGGCTCGGCGCCCAGTCTCGGTCGTTTCGTCAAGCTCGGGGATTGGCTGCGGCCCTAAGAGCTCTTTTCGAAGTACGAAGAAGATGGCCAGCAAGGCAACGGCGGCGATGGGGAGGTTGATTCCGAAACACCATCTCCAGTTGGCCCTAGTGAGGTAGCCACCGATGACGGGGCCCATCGCATAGGATATACCTCCAACGAACGCAAAGATAGCCCAGTTCTTGGCGTTTTCTCGCAGGGTGACTCTGTCAGCGAGGATAGTGCGGACGACGACGTTTAGGCCGGCGGAGGCAATGCCTTGGAAAGCGCGCCCAAGCAATAGGACGGCATAGGCGTTCGTCGGGGATCCGGTGCAGAGCGCACTCCCGATCATCATTATGATTACCGCCGCGGTGATGGAGGCGTAACGCCCAAACACATCAGCCATCTGAGCCCAGAACGGGATGAAGGCGGCCGAAGTCAGGTTAAACGCCGATACGATCCAATTTTGCTGAGATATTTCGTTGAAGTCGCTTGCGATCCATGGCAGTGCGCTCGCGATGCTGGTCAATGGTCAGGGTAAGCAGGCCACAAGATCTCGAGGGGATATGCGTACATGGTGGCATCGAGCGCTTGTAGAGAGTACGGCCATAGTAGGCCAAAGATGATCTTCCATCGGTATTTTCTTACTTTCGACTTCTCTGCCTTGCAGTCCAGGCATGGTGTGGTCTCTGGCCCTTGCCGGTGGGCACATGTCTTCGGTGACGGTCGAGGGGACGATTCGTTGCGCGACGGGCTGAGGAACTTTTTGTATAGGTAGGTCGCCATGATGGGCAGCGCGGGGGACTTTATCGAAGATATGATAGGGTGCGCCCTGCCCTTGGTGTGTGTATCGTATGAACTGTACTCTAAGCAATGGAGCTTCAAGGGACTGAGGGCGCGTGGGCGGCAGGCATATATAGATGTTGAAACTATCACACACCTCCGGCATGATGCTGTCATGATAGGCGCCCTGGCCACATCACGAGCGGATGACAACCAGGGGTACAATCTGGGGCTCTGTCGCCGGCATTACGAGTCCGTGCATGCTTCGGGAATTTGCACCTCGAATGAGTTCCCAAAGGGAAGTGTCGATTCGAAGACAGAGCCACAACCAGATGGGGCCATGCATCCCAACGGACCAGGACCCTGGCCGTAGGGCTGTGGCTTCGCGCTGCATTGCCGTCGCCGGTCAGTCAGGGCGAGGGGTGGCATAGTGGGTCTTGCCGAGTCGACCTCGCATGACTATCCCGATTGGGAGGGTCTCGACTGACGACGCTGATGATGCAGCTCCAGAGGGACACGCAAGAGTCTGTTGGACAAAGCGCGCTAGATTGCTCTTTTTCCAGTTCTCGTGCGCTGCAAAGTCCCGCCGTTATGCAAACTTCTGTTTTCTTTGTCTATCGTGTCCTGTTCTGCTCAGGCGGCCACTCCTTGCAGGGTTCCCATTAGCGTTGATGTTGGTCGATGGAAGGGCCTGTCTGAGGCTGAGCATTGGGGCTGGTCCACTCTCCAGCCCGCTTTGAGGCGAGAGCACAGCGCAACCGGCCAGAATGCGAAGAATACGCGGTGCCTGAGGGCCAGCAGCCAGTGGCTCCACCTCGGGAGATGTCAGCAGTCGGCGTGACGAGACCGGTCGGCACAGAAGAGTGCGGAATACGAGCCATGCGACAAGAAAGACTCTTCACTAAAAGCCGCCGGGTCGCCGCAGCATGTTCCTCCCGGACATCCTCCCCCTTGCCGCGAGCATCCCGACCCGGCTGTCCTCAACCGAGCCGGGAATTGCGGGTCCTGCGGCGGCGGCTCCGGTGAAGCATTCGGTCGGGCGCGGGTCCGTGACCGTGCCAAGCCGGAGCACCGCCAGTCACGTGCCAAGGCAGCTGACTGTGTGTTGGCCAGGCTTGCCAGGGTCGGTCACGCTCTCGGCGGTGCGGATGCGAAAATGACGAAATTCTGGGGCCCCGAGGGCAGGCCGCCACCACCAGCCAACTTCTCCATCCGTTTGGCGTCCTTTGGTCCGAAGCCATGTGCACGCAGCCTGCTTGTTGGTGCGATACGATTTCGTCTGGTGTCTGAACGGCGCAAACGCCCAGTCGTGGCAAACCTCGGGATTAAAGCGTCCATGGCCGAGGAGTGCCGACGTGGTTCGACGACATCCAACGGCTTGCAATCCTCCGGGGCCTGAGGAACGGCTGCTGCTGGCGCATCCACTTCTCGGTTCCGTCGAGGCAGCCGGCTCGCAGGATCAGGGGTGCATTGTCGACATGTCGGGCGCTGGCGACCATGCTTGCTATATCAACCGCAGCCAAGGTGCTGGGGTGGTAGAGAGGATGCCGGGCCAGCCAGCCCAACCATGCGTCAGAATCAGTCGTCTGCCTTGTTCGGGCTCTCTGCAGCGCGAGACGACACGGGAGGCGGCGGCAGTGGCAACGGGCTGGTGCTGTCATGTTGACGTTACAGTGCGACAGATGCTGAGAGGGGCGGATCCGTCCAGTCCAGCCAGCCCTCCATTTCATCGTGAAAATCTCGACACGGCAGGAACTCCGACCGCTGCGCGTACCCAGTACATCGTACATCGTGCCTGCCCCCGAGAAATGCAATGGCCACGTGATGGACAGTAATGAACAAAGACACTCGTAATCCGTCCTGCGGTATCTCATGTCCCCCCTCATCATTCTCTTCTAATCGCGACGACGGACTCTGTCGCCGCCGCAGCGCAACTCACAAGCCGCCAAACCGAGAGCCGCAACCTGCTGCAGAGTGCAGACCGAGGAGTGGAACCCGTCGGGCGGATCTACGGGCGCCCCGTTTCAGCGCGCCAGCAGCCCAGCAGCTGCCAGCCCAGGCCACCCATCCCGCAGGCCAGACCAGTCACGGCCGCCACATTAGGCTGCATTACGCTTCTGGACGGGCACCCTTCCCATTCCCTTCGGTGCTCTGGCCCGTGCCAACGGAGCGTCGCCCTCCGCGGCGCCTGACAGCTCCACCACTGCCGGCCGTCCACGCGCGACAAACAGCCGAGAGGTCCCCTTCGCCCGAAGCGCGCTCTGCCCCCAACTTCCGCCGCAGCCCTGCCCTGGCCTGCCTGGTATCCGCCCACGCCCGCCGTCCCGAAGTGACGAAGCCTCCAGCTGCCCCCCCGGCGATGCGATCGATACAGTACATTAGTACCTGCTCTAGGTAGCGAACCACACATCTTACGTACATACAACGTTGCGGCCGCCCTTCGTCAGCCTCCTGCTGTCCAACCGTCTTCCTCTTGGGCACATGTGAGTGCGCGACCTCTTGGTGACCCCCATGTCGCACCCATGACCGGTGGGCTTCCGTCTGTATCTGTCACAGGCTTGTCCGCGTTAGCACATGTACGAGGTACCACGCGACGAGTCGTCGCACACTGCACCACAGCACGTGCGAAGCCACCTCTCGGATCAGCCGCTCACTGACTGCCTCTTCCGTACAGTTCACCGCGCTGCGTCGTCTCCCTCCCGTCGATATCCCAAGCGTCGTCTGATACGCACCACGGTAGCGCCCGTGTCGCGCCGTCGCCAAGGGTGAGTCCAAGCGGCATATGTATTTCCCTCGCTGTGCTCGGCCACTCCATCAGAGTCGTGTCCCCGGCTTTCTCGTTGCCCCTCCCCCACAGCAGCGGCTATTTGCTCAAGTCATATTGACTTTCGGGCCTCCGGAGGAGGACCCAAGCGAGCATCTCCCCATGGGCCGTCTCCCGCCTCCCCTAGCCCACGCACCCCAGTCCCCGTCCACATCTGCCCAGCTCCCCACGAACGTCCTCCTCGATCCTGTTCCTGGGACGGCCCACAAGGGAGCACCAGATTACCCTTCCTCGTGCATCCACGGAATTCATCCACCAGATAACACCACCGGTACCCTGTGCCGTCCGGTTGCGGGGACTCCACTCTGCATCCCGTCCATTGCCGTGCCCGACAACTCTTATATCACCTACCTCCCGTCTCATCCTCCACCTCCCCTACCCTCACGTACTCGTGTTTCACTGTTCGATAATCCCGCAACTCAAGTTGAAGTTGCCTTACACACATACCCGGCCCACCGCGGTCCAACAAGCGAGTGTGATGCCAGCCTACTACCTCCAGGACTGCCACTACTTCTACCGCACCGCTCTGCGCGGTCTCAACATCAGCACCAGCGTCTCGCCACTCTACTACTAAAAGTTCACGGGTTCGCTGACAAGATGACCGCCAAAGTCCGAGTCTTCAGTCCTCCAAATTCTCTGGCAGCGAGGCTGGCAGAGCCTCCGGCCAACCCAGCTACGCCTCGAAGCGTCCCAGAGCCTCCAGCATCTGTCTCGTCGCGTCAGCCTCTGGAACTGTCATCGGCTTATACGAGAATGCCCATGGCTTCCTACAGCGCAAAAAAGGAGGGCGGCATCACCTTTGCCGCTCAAGATAAGCTACCTAAGCTCCCTATTCCTGAGCTCGAGGACACTTGCAAGAGATACTTGGAAGTCCTTGCACCACTTCAGGCGCCCCGCGAGCGGGCTGAGACGAGACATGCCGTTCAGGAGTTTCTCAAGCAGGACGGCCCTGATTTGCAAGAGAAGCTCAAGAAGTATGCCCATGGCAAGACGAGCTACATCGAGCAATTCTGTAAGTGGAACATTTTGCAGGCCCTCCTGACTTGGCTAATGTTGGCAGGGTATGACTCGTATCTCAACTTCGACAACCCAGTGGTTCTCAACTTGAACCCCTTCTTCCTTCTCGAAGATGATCCTACCCCAGCGAGAAACAACCAAGTCACTCGCGCGGCTTCACTGGTCGTGTCCGCCCTCGACTTCATCCGAGCAGTCCGAAAAGAGGAGCTTCCTCCCGACATGTTCAAGGGCACCCCGCTTTGCATGTACCAGTTCTCTCGCTTATTTGGCACTGCGAGAGTGCCGACCGAGAATGGCTGTCAGATTGTACAGGACCCCCAGTCGACGCACATCGCGGTCATGTGCCATGGCCAGATATACTGGTTCGATGTCCTGGACGACAACTCCGACGTCATCATGACCGAAAAGGACATTGCCGTCAACCTTCAGACAATCACCGAGGATGCCGCTCAAATACCCATCCAGGAAGCTGCGAAAGGTGCTCTTGGCGTCCTGAGCACGGAGAACCGCAAGGTGTGGTCAGGCCTCAGAGACGTCCTGACGAAGGACCCTGGCTCAAACAACGCCGACTGTCTCAACATCGTGGACTCCGCTCTTTTCGTACTTTGCCTTGACTACACGGAGCCTCCCAACGTCGCAGCGCTGTGCCAGAACATGCTGTGTGGCACAAGCGAAGTGAAGAACGGCGTTCAGATTGGTACCTGCACCAACCGCTGGTACGACAAGATGCAAATCATTGTCTGCAAGAACGGCAGCGCGGGTATCAACTTTGAGCACACCGGTGTGGATGGCCACACCGTGCTCCGGTTCGCCAGCGACGTTTACACGGATACGATCCTCCGCTTCGCTCGCTCCATCAACGGCCAAGCGCCAACACTATGGGCATCAACGAGCCCCGATCCATCCAAGAGAGACCCCGAAAGCTTCGGGGATGTCAACACCACACCGCGAAAGCTGGAGTGGGACATGATTCCGGAGTTGAGCATAGCCGTCCGCTTCGCCGAGACGAGGCTTGCCGATTTGATCGAGCAGAACGAGTTCCAGTGTCTTGATTTCGGGTACTACGGCAAGAATTTCATCACGTCAATGGGATTCTCACCCGATGCATTTGTGCAGATGGCATTCCAGGCCGCATACTATGGACTGTACGGCCGAGTCGAATGCACTTATGAGCCGGCCATGACCAAGGTGTACTTGCACGGCCGTACCGAGGCTGTTCGGACCGTAACAAGCGACTCCGTTGACTTTGTCCAAACGTTTTGGGCAGACAACCCGCTCGAGCAGAAGATCGAGGCGCTTAAGCATGCGTGCCAGAAGCACGTCAACCGAACGAAAGAATGCGCCAAGGCTCAAGGTTGCGACCGGCACCTGTACGCCCTGTTCTGCGTCTGGCAGAAGTATGTCGACGACGAGATGGGCAGCGGCATGAGCAGCTTCGGCCAGTCCAGCCCGGTCGATGGATACTCACCTGTGGGCAGCGCTGAAAAGGACTCGTGCATCTCGTCGCTGGACAGCGTTGAAATAGGACGCAGCAGAGAGCGAGGCGACAGCACGAACTCGCGATCACGGGACAGTCATCCTCTGCCATTCATATTCGCGGACTCTGGCTGGGACAAGCTGAATACCACGGTTTTGTCGACATCAAACTGCGGCAATCCGTCACTCAGGCACTTTGGTTTCGGTCCGACCTCAGGCGACGGTTTCGGTATTGGGTACATCATTAAGGATGATTCCATCTCTATTTGTGTTTCGAGCAAGCATCGCCAGACGAAGCGCTTCGTGGACGCACTCGAGAGCTATCTCCTAGAGATTCGACGGATTCTCCGAATCACGAATCGCAAATCCTCAACGGCCAAGACCAGCCGGGCGCGTGAGGCAGAGGAGTCCAGGCCCAAGCCCGTCGGCCGATTCAAGTCACGCGGCCGGCTCGTCACCGGCCTCGAGACGGTGAGGACGCCGCGTTCCCAAGACGGGTCGTCCCTCGCGGAGGAGAGCACGACGGCCAGTGATGACGATGAGCTTGGCGGATGTAAGTTTCCAATAACCCAGAGCTATTTATCTATGCTAACGTGCGTCCCCAGACGGCTTCTTCGACGCGGGCATGTTGCGTCAGGCACTCAAGGCACGGGATCCGGCGGCGGACACGAGCGAGACCAAGGCATCCGAGCGGGCAGCGGTGCAGGCCCGACGGAGGGATGTGGGCAAGAAGCTTCGCTTGACGACGGAATGATGATGAGCGTGTTGTATGAATCATATTTTTACGGGCCTTGGACGCCATGATGGATATGTATGTATGTTGGAGATCTATCGACATAGCCAAGTTCGGTTATTTTGGATTGCAATAGCATGTTCAAACCAGGTGCTTTACTCTGAACGTGCAACTCCAAGTAGATATATAAGGCTTGAGTGTTACTGGCAATCAACATTCTTATATAAAACGGGTGTGATCGTGTCGAACCTGTTCGCAACGAGGATAATATTCGCGGCATAGGTATTGAGAAGGGGGTTCCAAAGCCATAGTGGCCGAGATATTGATCCAAATACTTTTTATATGCCATGAGTAATTAATTCCTATACGCCGCGTCGGGCTATCCCGCAAGTGACCTTTCTAAACCCAACGCCAGACCTCACAATGCATACAACATGGCATAAGAATACACCCCCGATAGAATCAAGGTCCGTCGCCGCAGATCCATGAGTTCCTTTTCGGGCCCCAACACATCGAACCAGAGGAGTTGGTTCCGCCCAGCTCATCCCAGCCCAGCCCAGCCCAGCTCAGCTCAGCTCAGCTCAGCTCGTGCATCTGGCCGCGGTGGTTCTCCGACGTCTGTGCGGGAGCCTCGTGGATGACGGGCTGCTGCGGCTGGAAACCGTGCGGCGGCTGTTGCGGCTGCTGCTGGCCCGGGACAGGAGCCGGGTAGCTCCCGCCCCATTGGGGCACGCCTGGACTCGTGCTGTTGGTCCGCGGGTCGGTCATGTGCGTCATGTGCGACCCTGTAGGAGACGTCGGGTTGAGGGACGGATCGGCGGCGGGATAGTATGCTCCTGGCGGCGGCGGTGTGTTCTGCGGGTATTGCTGGTTGGGAGAGGGATAGCCCTGGACGGGAGGAGGGTAGTTGGGGTTGTAGTACGACGTGTGCGGGCCGGGCTGCTGCTGCTGGACCATGTTGGGCGGCACGCTGGGCTGCTGCACGGGAGACTGGTCCATAGGCGGGCTCGCCGTCTTGCCAGCGTCGGCTTGCTTCTTGTTGCGCCGCAGGCAGAAGAAGGCAATGATACCGGCAATGCCAATCGCAGCGACACCACCGACGACACCACCGACGATGGCACCCACGGGGGTTTTCTTGCCTCCGCCTCCGCCTCCGCTGTTGCCCTTGTCGCTGCCATCGCTATCGCTGGAGCCGCTGGTGCTGGTGGTGGCAGCCGTTGACGAGGTTTTAGACGGGGTCCCAGAAGGCGTAGGGTTGCCAATATCGCTGTTGCCCGTCTGCTTCGTGTTGAGAAGTGAAGTGGACGAGCCGGTCTGCGTGATTGTAAAGTAGGACCGGCTGCTGGTCTGCCCGCTGAAGGTCGTGAAGGCCCGGTTGACCACAGAGTCGCTGAGGGCGGCACACCAGTAGTCTGTGATGCCGCCGGCGAATGCGATGGTGTTGCAGAACTTGCTCGCAGAGTTTGTGCTTGTTTTGTTGTTAGTCGCAAAGAGGGTCTGGGCAACAGTGAAGAGTGAGCAGCAGCGCATACCACTTGAGAACAAGAGTGTCCTGGGCGCAGGCGTCGCCGCACTTGCTAGATGTAAAGATGTCGTTGTAGTCCATGCATCCGAATCGGAAGTTGGAGCCTCCGTCGTTGTAGCACATGACGAGGCCGGAGTGAGTCGGCTGTGAAAAGACGAGGCCGCACGTCGCGCTGGGGCCGCAGGTGTAGGCCCAGCTGGCGTTGCCGGAGATGTAGCCGCAAGTGTTGTCGGGCGCCACGGCCATGGTCAACTTATACGACGTCGAGTCCTGGCGACGCAGCAGCTCGTGCATGCTGGGGGGCACGGTAGGCTTGGGTGACATGCCGTCCGCGGGCAGGACAACCGAGCGTGTAGCTTGGGGCACCCTCGCGACGAGGCGAGCGTCGACGGCTGTCGAGCTGCATATGGCCGCCAGAGCGGCGACCAGTTGGGAGACCTTCATGGCTTCGTGACTTATAAGCGACAACGAAGAGCCCACTGGAAAAACGTGACAGATGAGGCTACCGAAACAGGCGAGACAGGGAGAAAAAAGAGAAAGGACGAAGAAACGAGCGATTCTGCAATCCTCTTCTTCAGACCGGGGGGAAGAGACAAGGCGGCAGAGAGTTGTTTTATTGCGCGAGACACCATGAACGGTCACCCCCCGGTCCCCACGCGCCGGCGGGACCTCATCGTCGCAACTCCAGCATCTGGACCATCCCATGCAGCCCTGGGCTAGCGCCTCGGGTGTCAAGGATGGGCATTGGCCACGATGGAGCGCGAAGTTGAATTGAGTCGTGACGGGAGGCATCAGCCGCCAATGGACGGCGGTGGAGGAGCGAGCGTGGCTTGCAGGAGCTGAATTTAAACGGGTCCCGACAACCGTCTCGCCCCGAGTGCCCTGCCGGGCCAGGCAGATCTGCCTGCGTCTGTGGGAAGAAATCAGCCTTCCGCCAGGGGAGCCGCTTGACGTGGCTGCTGCTTGACAAGGGATTGTTGCAGCAGGGTCTCGTGTTGCCGTGTTGCAACAGCAGCATCGTCGCGTCGCGACTACCCGGCTTTGCGATGTTCGCCCAGGAGATGGCCGTATCTCGTACGAAATACGCAAGTACGTATGAGATTCCCCTCTTTCCACCCTCAACGTTACTGTCGAATGACCTTCCTATCCTGCTGGTGACAGGAGGGCGTGGTGAACCGAACTGCACTCGCACCCAGACGGGACAGGAGGAGGAGAAATCTGCGTCTGCTCGTGGAGCTTCCTTCCAACCGTCGTATTCGATACGGCACCACTGGCGGATCTGCGCGTCTTGCTGGTGCTTTCGGCCGTCAACGGGCACCCTGTTCGTGGCTCGTGCACATTTGGCGTAGTGGCGTCGCATCCTCATTTTGCGCCGCCGCCGCCGCCGCCGCCGCCGGCATGGCAACGAGCCCTACCCGCGCCCGTACGTTTGGCGCCACGGCAGAAGTTTGGCGTCCTGCTCCCCCTGGCAGTGAGTGGGTGAACGGGCCCCATCCCCCTGTCGAGCCTCTGTCTTGTCTTCATACCTAGCTCGGCTGGCAAGGCAAGCAAGCCACCCGAGACATGGCGTGGGAGTTGAAGACGGCGAAACCGGAAGAAGGGTGCGTCTTTGGACGAGTGCCGGGACTGGCAAAACGCAGGTCGGGAGTCGGGTCAATTTGGGGTAAGCACGGAGCTGCTAGAGGCCTGGTGTAAAAGCGGGTTGGGCAGTACCAGACACGAACGTGTGGGTGGGGAGGGGTTGTCGTGGGGGAGCGAGATTGAGTGGCAGGAGTCGTCACGTGGGTTGGCGATGCTTGGGACGCGATCTGGCGCGGTGCGACTCCAGCTGCAGCCGTAGCCGCAGCCGCAGGGTAGCTGTTCAACGTCGGCCTCATTATCACGGCGCAGGCAGAGTACAATCCGAGGACGAATTAGCTTGGAGATAAGTTGCATCCATTTGTTGAATTTTTGAAGGTTCGCTTGGGAAGTATCATTTCAGAGGTCAGCGTCGTGCATTGGGTTGCGACTGTCGTTCTACAGGTGTTGGCCGGGGATTGGAAAGCTTCCATCCTCCTCGCCTCCCCTCATCGTCATCGACCTCACCTCCCGACAACGGCAACGGACACCGTGGTCCGCCTCTCCGGTCCGCCTCATCCGAACTCTCACATGACACAACCCGACATCGCCAATTCGCGTGTCCACTTCGAGATGCGATAGCAGTCCGCACACCAGACCACGCCCTCCTCTCTCGGTCCGCGTGCCGTCCCGTCCCGTTCCCACCCCCCATGACGGACCTGCTGCGCATCCTCCCGTCCTTCCGCGCCGCGCCCTTCTCCGCCCTCCTCCCGGCCATCGAGCAGCACGCACTCACCACCGCCGAGCTCCTTGCCCTGCACCCCGCCGACATCGCCAAGCAGACGCAGCTCCCGCTGCTGGACCTCAAGCGCCTCGTCGCCGCCATCCAGTCGTCGCTGGTCGACGACCTTGTCGCGGAGCCGCTGCTCGTGGGGTTGGACGCTGACGATGACGACACCGCCCAGCAGGACGCGGGGGATGTTGGTGACGGCGAGGAGAAGGAGAAGGGGGGTGACGGAGGGGGAGACGCCGCTCCGGAGGATGGCCGGGATGAGCCCGATGCAGACGCGGCAGAGCAGCAGGAGCAACTGCCACCGCCGCCGCAACGCCAGATGACGCCTTGCGACGTCCCGTGCGAAGCCATCAGCACCCTTGACGACGACCTCGACGCCGCGCTCGGCGGCGGCGTGCCCCTCGGCTGCATCACCGAGTTCGCTGGCGAGAGCGGCGCCGGCAAGACGCAGTTCCTCCTTTCCCTGTGCCTCGCCGTGCAGCTGCCACCCCCGCGCGGCCTCGCCAAGCAGGCCCTCTACATTTCCACCGAGTCCGGCCTCGCCACACGCCGCCTCGCTCAGATGCTGGCCGCCAACCCGGCGCTCCTCCCCGGGGACGCCGACGACGATGCCGGCGCGGCGGCCCGCCGCCCCTCGCTCGACAACATCCTCAGTACCGTCACGCCCGACCTCGAGTCCCAGGACCACATCCTCGAGTACCAGGTCCCCGTCTTGCTGTCGCGTCACGACATTGGCCTCATCGTCGTGGATTCCGTCGCGGCAAACTACCGCGCCGAGTTTGAGCGCCAGGGCTCCCGCGGCTCTAACATGGCCGCCCGGAGCGCCGAGCTCGTTCGTCTCGGCGCACTGCTGCGCGACCTCGCCCGCAGACACAACCTCGCCGTCGTCGTCGCCAACCAGGTCGCCGATCGCTTCTCCTCGTCCCCTCTCTCGCCCGGCGCCATCCGCGGCCGCGTCCACTCCGCCAGCGTTACCAACGTCGCAGCAACCTCTCGAAGCACGCAGGACAGTCCCCTCGCGTCGCGGAGTAATAAAGGCCCCCCGTTTCCTCCCCTCGCCAGCACGCCCTCCTCCTCCGGCGCCGTGCCCTTCTCCTTCCCCGACGACGGCCCGCCGCCCGCGCCGCCCGCCCTGCGGCTCGACCACCAGCAGCGCTGGTTCACCGGCTGGGGCGACGATCCGTACTCGTCGCAGGCCCTCAAGACACCCAGCCTGGGCCTCGTCTGGTCCACCCAGATCTCGTGCCGTGTTGCACTCTTCAAGCGGCCCGTCTACGGCCGCCCGCGGAGAGTCGCGGCGCCCCTCCACGCCGACGACTACGACGACGGCGACGACGTGGCTTCGCGGGAGCCGACGCTCAAGGCTTGGAGGAGGTGGATGAAGGTCGTGTTCGCGCCGCACGTCGCGGCGTCAGGGCAGGGCATGGATGGAGCGACGGAGTTTGAAGTCAACATGGGCGGGCTCAAGTCCGTGAAGCCTAAAGCCAAGCTCAAAACTAAAGGCATGGGCTGACCCGTGGCCTCATGCTCCTCAACGGCCGTGAAGAAATGCCACACTACTTTAGACGAATCACGCCAGAAAAGAGACACGTTTTTGTAAAGTTTTACAATTCTTTCACCTATCCACCGATGGTCATCTAGACATGCTATACAGATTCCCAATATCCACCTATGCGCCAGATCGGTCATCGTAGCTGTTGCTAGCGGCGGCTCATGACCGCGGGTGCGGAAACTCGTCCTCGAGCTGCAGACGCACACCGACGTTCATGCTGATGAGCTCCTGCACCAGCAGCTTGGCCGCGTAGGGCATGGACATCTTGGTCACCTCCCTCGTGCTCTTGCACGTGTGGCAGTAGCCGCGGTATCCAAACAGGCCGCACTGCTGGCAAATGTCAATCTCCACGCCGTCTGAGCTGACCATGAGCCGCTCCAGCAACAGTTGCGACGCTCCGTACGCGATCAAGCAGTCGCGCTCCATCTCTCCCAGACGGAGGCCGCCGTCCCTGGAACGACCTTCGGTCGGCTGCCGGGTCAGGATGGCCCTGGGGCCCCTGGAGCGAGAGTGCATCTTGTCTTGCACCATGTGCTTCAGGCGCTGGTAATAGATGGGGCCGTTGAAGATGTACGCCTCCAGTGGCTCTCCGGTGAGGCCAGAGGTGAAGTAGTCTTTGCCCTCCCAGGAAAAGCCGTGGTCGAGGAGGACTTGGCTCATCTCCTCGACCGGATGCGACCGGAAGGCATCGCCGAAGCCATAGTCCTTCCGGCCGTGGACGATCGACGCCTTTCCTGTCAAGCACTCCAGAAGCTTACCGACAGTCATTCGAGACGGGAAACCGTGAGGGTTCATGATAATGTCTGGTGTCAGGCCATTGTCCGCAAACGGCATGTCCTCGCTGTCAACGATGATGCCCACCACACCCTTTTGACCGTGACGAGACGAGAACTTGTCTCCCAACTCGGGGCGACGTGTCTGTCTCGTCTGGACCTTGATGACTGTCGTATCCTTTTCCGTTTGGGAGATCATGACCTTGTCAATGTAGGCAGGGTCGGGTATACGGTACGAGACAGCGGAATCGCGGTATTCGCTGGGCCCTCGGTCCATGCCGATGCCGGTGGTTGTCAGGTCAAGGGGCGTTTCCTTCTTGACCATGACTTCTCCGGATTTGACTCTGTATCCGACCATGGCAAGGCCATCGTTGTCGAGTGCCTCGTACTTCGCTTCGCGCTGGCCCATTCCGCCAGATGCGCTGACGGGGTCTCCAATTCGTTCTCTCCTGCCGTTGGGGTACTTTTGCAATTCTGTGGTGTACTTGCGGAATACCTGGCACCGCCCGAAGCCCCTGTCAATGGACCCCTTGTTCAGCACGAGGGCATCTTCGATGTCGTATCCTGAATAGGACATGACGACGACGGTGGCGTTTTGCCCTGCAGGAAGTTTGTCGTAGTGAATGAGCTCGATGGTCTTGGTGATGACCATCGGCCGCTGTGGGTATACGAGAGTGTAGAGTAGCGTGTCGATTCGGTTGAACTGATTGTATGCAATGGCTCCAATGGCTTGCTTACCCATGGCACATTGGTATGTGTTTCGTGGCGACTGGTTGTGATGAGGGAAAGGAATCAGGCCGGCGACAGCGCCGAGCAGCGTAAATGGCTCAATCTCCAAGTGTGTCGTGCTTTGTGTCACCTGATCTTCGTAGAGAGTGATGAGTGCGTCGTTCTCTTCGTTGACATCAAGATACTCCACGATGCCCTTCGTCAGGAAATCGTCAAAGGTAGCCTTGCCAAGCTGCAGCAGCTTTAGATGCTCAGGCTTGAGCTTTTGCTGACCATTCTTGACAATTATATAGGGACGGCAAATGCGACCCTCATCGGTCGCGATATGGACAGCATTGAAGTGAGAGTTGAGGTTGATGCTGACGAAAGGAGATATCCAACCTCGCCGCCGCATCGTCCGAAACTTGGACGCGAATCTCTTGGGATATCTTGTTAACGCGAACGGCGTGCCGTTGACGTGTATGATGTATGAGCCCTCGCGATGCATCTCGGCACCCGAGAAGTTTCTGATGGGCTCAACACCGGTATCAAGCGTGAAAATCCACCGCTTGATTGGTGTTTCGTCGATATTCGTGGTGATGTGCGTCATCAGAGCCAAGTTCTTGACGAGACCACAAGCTTCACCTTCTGGTGTATCCGACGGACACAACATACCCCACTGGGACGGCTGAAGGGCTCGAGGGCCAGACACTTTGCGGGTCTTCTCGAACTGACTGCTGATTCGGGTCATCATGCCGAGGGCACTGATGTAGCTAAGGCGGCTGAGCACGTGCGTGACGCCGGCTCGGTTCATGTTGAAGCGTTTGACGCTCCAGTTTCCGGTCTGGATGGCCCGGTTGATTCCGAGCCCGATATTGTTGGCGTGATTGCTGATCATGTGGACGGCATCAAGGGCAACCGCTCGATTGTTCTTCTTCAAGAACTTGTCGATGGACATCTTGACCTCGCCCATGAAGCGCTTGAATAGATCCTCGAAGAGGAGTGACAGGAGCTGACCAGCCAACTCCAGGCGCTTGTTTCCGACAAAGTCTCGGTCATCGACCAGCTTCGAATCTTGCGACGCCATGAGCACCCTACGCGTCATCATGGCGACGTAGATGGCCTTGGGATAAAAGTCGAGCCCTTCGATCGGAACATGTGCAATGACCAGGTTGGCCAAGGCGTCGAGCCCTTCCTCCACGTTATTCCGACGGACCTGGGGTCCGAACTGGGATCGCCGCGAGCCCATCTTTACACGGGCGCCGATGTACTCGAGTGCCTGGTGCTGCGTGAACACGCCGACCTTGGTTGCCTCGTCGAAGTTGACGATGAACTCGTCCTGATATCTGCCGTCTGAGCCCGCCACCAGCTGCATGATCTCGTAGTCGGAGAGGCCACCCAAAGCTTTGAGGATGATGACGATGGGGATGCCTTCGACGAGAACGTTGTGCGTAAGCACGATTCTGTCCTTCTTTAAAGTGACGTATGTCTTGGACTTTCGTTCGTGTGTCGAGCTGGTGACGGAAGCGGAAATGACGTTGTTCTTCTCGTCGGCCTCGACAATGACGCGGTTCTTGCTCAGCTGCTCCTGGATCAGAATGACCTTTTCTGTGCCGTTGATGATGAAGTAGCCGCCAGGGTCTAGCGGACATTCGTTCATGGCCTCCATCTGAGCATTGTTGGCGCCGCTGAGCCTGCATTTGGAGCTCTTGAGCATGACCGGCATGCGTCCCAACGGGACGCCCTTTCGAACGATCTTCGTCTTATCACGGATATAGGCGATGTCGACCAGGATAGGCGCAGCATACGTCATGTCGCGCAGCCGGCATTCCATGGGAGTGACCTCGGTGCGTGACTTGGCATCGTTGTGGTCTTGCCGACGCGGACGGCCGACGCGGATATCGGTAAACCTAGACACTACAGTAAGCGATCTGTCAGGCTTGAGGGGGGTAATCAGAGCAGTCGTACTCGAGCCAGAAGTTGCTATCGACATCGCTTCGGATGGTGCGGTTGGTGCGCACAATGTCCTTGATCTCGTGCTCGACGAAGAAGTTGTACGAATCGATGTGCCTATCGTCCGGGTCAGTAGAGCGTCGCGAAGCGCGACCGGCGACGCCCCGAGCGGAAGGGCGCGTACTGTTTGACCAAACCTGTTCACAGTGTTAGCGATGCAAAGCAAGGGAGGCGCGACCAGCGGGGTTGCGTACCCTTGACCTTGAGGAATGCCGGCAGCAGCTGGAACTTGTCCTCCTTGGTCGAGACGGGGTCCGTGAGCTTCTTGCCGTTGTAGAATGGCTCCAAAAGGGCCTCGAAGCCGTCGTCTACGAAGGGCATGTTGCAGGTCACCGCTGGTGGAGCATCTACAGACCCGCGCGACAAGGCGGTGCCTGCGGCTCGTCGGGTTGGAAGGTCGCGATGTTCGTCGGTTGTCACGGAGGTTCCGCGATGGAGTTGCGAAGCAAAAAAAAAGTCCAGCGTCGCCTCGCAGTCACCGCGATAGGCAGGTGGGGCTTGCCGACTGGCGAGGCGCTCGGCGGTGGGGGACGACTCATACAAACTTTACCGTATAGTACCTGCTCCGTAAATACATACGCGCCACGCCTGGTGACGCACTCGCTAGACACCAGCGCGTCGCGCCTGGCAATTGTCAACTAATTGCGCTACCCTTATGCGAGTGGCCAGAGATGAGCCTGCTGGAAAATGGATGCTTCTGATGCCGCAACGTCCGTTCCTACCTGATTCAGGCCGTCCAGGCGTAATCTGAGGTTGGGGGTTATCGCCGCCTCTCTTCATGCATTCAGAGAAGACCCGAACACGACTCTCTCAGAAGCCACTGAGCTCACCCGCTTCCAGCACATACATGCACTCTGTTTGGACCTTGGACTATGCCACAGAGTTGTCCCCGGGACAGCCAAGCTTCACCCGTCCTTGACAATGAGGTGCCTGAAGAATGCAACCACCACAGCTTGATTAGACAGCATTCTCCATCACGTGCCAGGCACCGCTCCGAACCCCAGCGAATCCAGACAGTTTTGGTTCTGCGGATCAAATAGACTCAAGCATCACATCGTACTGTACACTTCAGCCGACTGGAAGAGAGTGCACTCTGTACGGCCTCGCGCGAAAGCCTTCGCCACTCACACGTGGCACCACTTTGTTGGGCAACGGGCATTCCATGACTTGGGCCGACGTAGCTAGCACGACACCCTGGAGATCCCGGCGTAAGTGGCGGTTCACCACAAAGGTTGAGGCACGCGAGCGACCGGCCGCATCGCCAGTCCTCGGTGCCGGGACAAGAACCTGAACTCGCCTCGTTGCCAACGCATCCAATGCAGCACACCTCAAATTGCAGAGCCACCTCTGGCCTCTTTTCACTGCTCGGCTGGGAGGCAACGAGGGCAGGAGGGGTTCTGGGTGTAAGCCGGTCCATGCCGACCCGACCCCGCGCGAATGACGATCACGCTGTACCAACACGGACGTTGCGGTTCTCTCGCCGCAAGTCAAAATACCTTCATCAGCAAGAGACGCCCGAGGGCTAGCAACAGATGGTGGCGAACATGGCCCATCTGCGCTGCGAAGTAGAGTCGTCTGTTGCCTGCACACTACAGCAACTCGGTGGAGAGGCTCCCTTTTGTGTCAGCAGTGGCAACCTTTTCCACAGTTCTCCTTGCCTCGTTATCACTGTGCGCATCTGATTTCGCCGTGCAAAACGTCTCTGTCTGGTGAAAGAGATGGCATCCGAAGTCCGCGAAGCACCCATGCTCGTGTGGAAGCCTGGGCGGAGCCACTTCCTTTTTCCCTCCCCCTAGCCGCCGCCCAACCACCTCAGCGGCGCCTTTTGGCGTGGCCGGCATGGATGGACCCTCCAACGACCCCTCCTTTCTCCCTCCTCAGGTTCAAGGCTGTCAAGACATGATGATGGTGGGACGGCAAGACGGAAGCTTTGTGGTGGTGTCGCCTCCCCACCCCACATGGCCGCCGGCCAAATTCAACGACTTCTCCACTCGCGGCAAGCCATTAAAAAGTCGGTGAAGATGCTGGGCCGGCGATTCTGCATAGCATACGGCGCTGTCTTGTCGAGGGGCAAGCAGGCGGACCTTGGGAATTTCGACGAGCAGCGTCGTGTAACTGCAACGCCGACCTCACTGGCAATGTGTGGGGGCAGATCTGATAGGGTAGGGCTGCAGAGGCACAGAGCGCCCGCAGTTCGGTGACAGAAGCAACCAGGGAGTACCCGGCGGTAGACGATACATGCGGTGCCTTGCCCCATGTCTGCCTGACGAGCGGCGACGCTGCATCTCGCACACGGTACTCGGTTCGCGTTGCGAATTGCCATTGCGGGGACGGCGTTGCCTCAAGATGGTGGAGCGCGGGCATCTCGAGAAGGCCCTAAAATGCCTCGACCAGCCCTCGGAACTGCGGGCGAGGGGTAACGCAGATTGTCGGCTGCGCGAAGCGTGCACGAGCGCCCATGTCCTCGCCCTCGATATGCAAACCATCCGCCTCTTGTCTCGATCCGGTGACATGCTCCACCGACGGAGCGTCTAGACCTGCGTGCAAGGGAGCCGCACGGCGACACAGTCACGGCTGCAGCTCCAGCGAGCTTGGCTTCGCGCCGGACGGGTCGGTGGATAGCAACGAAGAAGCCCTTGGAACACAAGGGGGCTTCTCTTGGCTGAGCGGATCTGAGATTTCAGGTTGGCCGTGCTCGTCGACCCCTGCTCGAGGGAATCGTCTCGTCATATCTCCGTGATCGACGGGGCCGGCTGTGAGGCCTCGAAACAACATCTACAACATGACGCTTGGTGGGTATTGCATGCGTGTGACCATCGGCCGGCTGGTTGGGTTGCGACCACGGCCCTGGTTCAGTGACGCCATCCGAAGCGGACTGCATTGCCCTCAGTGGGGGAAGGCAGTGTTGCCCCCAGATGGAATCAGCAACTGTTGAGTCCTCTGTAGGCAGCTTGGTGCCCGCTCGGGGTCCATGGCCAAGCACTCAACATGGCGCGCGAGGGTTAGGTGTCGTGTGAGTCTTGTAGAGCACAGGCGGATGCCCTACGCTCCCCCACCAAAGGCGACGCCCCTCGGTTGTTGTCTTTGAGCACGTCCTCGATCTGACGAGGTGGCTGGTTTGCGAACTGGCCTTTTTCGTTGGGTCCAAGGGCGACTTTGGTGTCCTGCAATTTTTTCCTGAAAGGCTGGGGGGACGCATGAGGTTCCCCAGAGAAAAGGGTTTCAGCAGCGTGGCTGGCGAAGCCGTTTCGCAGGACTTAGGGCTAGTAGAAGTAGATCGAGTCCCTGCCGGCCAGGGTCAGTGGGAGGCGCAGGGTCCTCGACTGACGTCGCTTATTTTGGTGATAGGTCGCAGAGGATGCATGGCGGCATCGAGGACGTGGACCGGCAGCCGGAGTCGGGAGGGGCAAGCAGTGCAAAAGAGCCCTTTTCGGAGGAGACAAGAGATGCGTGTGCCGGGTGCTGATCAAAGGAATTAATTCGATTCCATACTCAGGCGAACGACTCGTTCGTCGACTATCGAGGAAACACATGCCGACGGAGCAGAACGCAGCGGGCGGAGGCTGTCTGGGAAGGGTTTAGTGAGATGTGCCACGCCCACTGGAGGCCACCCCTTGGGTCGCCTGCAGCTTACCTAGCACCAAGTAGTATGTGCGAACACGTACACGTAACGTCGCCGGTACACGAGGAAGACCAGCAGCGCCACGGTGGGATAGGTTCCTGATTGTGTTGAACGGCTGGGCCTGTGTTTGGTGATGTGTGGGAGCAATATTATGTACAGAGCCCCGACCTTGTGTGAGGGCTTCGCCCGAATTCGACAGCGACGAGGACACAGGTGAGGGGGAAACTGAGACCGACAGTCCAGTTCATGCCCCGAACTTGTACTTTGAAGGTCCAATGCCCACTGGTTCCAAGATGCAAGAGCGTCTGGACCTTGGATCCCACCACCACTGAGCAGCACCCACCTCCGCTGGCTGTCCTGAATGGGCGGGCAACCTGCCAGGGCGGTCCAACTCATCACCGGGCGGGCGGTTACCTGGCACCATCACCAGCAAGTTGTTTGCTGTCACTCTGTCGCTGATTTGTTGTGCAGTGTGCATGGGGTGCTTGGTCCGCTGCAGTGCCCAGCAAGGCCGTCCGTCGACCCAGACACGAAGCCTCGGCGGACCTACCAAGGCGCCCGTGAACTTTGCTGAGCAAGATGACAGCTGTGAGTACATGAAATAGACGGGCTAGCCTGGCGCCTCGTGAAATGTAAGGTGCCTGCATGCCCTGCAAAGCGCGTAGGAACTCAAGGCCCCAAGTGCCAGGGCACCCCGTTTTAGCTTTCAAGCCCAGGGGAGCCGCCTCCGAATGACGAGCATGGACGAGGACGGGAGCACTGGCCATCACCCACAGTGCCGAGCTCGCTCGAAGCGCCATGTTTCGCAAAGTACGAAGCAACTTAGTCCGCAAGCCGATGGGGACCCCCCTCTTTGCTTGCTCCATCTGTGGCTCCCGAGTATCTGCTGCGTGTCTCTCAGATGTCTGCGCCCTGAGTTGCGCCGCCGTATGTCCGATGATTGGGTGCCGCCGAGATCTCGTACGCAATGGTCCGAGTACAGCACAGTAGGTAGGTAGGTACCTGTTCCATGTTACCTGCTCCACGGGGCCCGCGTCGCCATCGGCGGAGTTCAAGGTTGTTAGTGCGCGCGTCGCTGGTCGGGGCCGGGTGCCGTGTACGAAAACGGGAGGCGGCCGACAAAGTACTGTACCTCCCTGCCACGCTGGACTCTCCATGCCCACCCGACCAGACGGACCCCCTTCTTCGCTCCCCTGGCCCCTCGGCGCCAGCTGGAGGAGGCCCTGCCTTTGCCCCGAGTAGGTACTTCCACCGTACAGTACCTGGACTCGTGCGGTAGCAGCGTCCCCCCCCCGCAAGGCCCAGTCGCCAACCACCTGCACCACCACAACCGCCCGCGCTCCAGGACGCCATCCCAGCCCAGCCCAGGCCAGGCAAAGACTCGACGACGCCCGCCCGCCCGCCGAGCCCGGGACCACCTTCGGGTACCCCTGTCGTCCACCGCCAGCGGACGCGCGCAGCAGCCCCCGGACAGCAGCCAGGCCAGACCTCACCTCAGCAGGCCGTGGCCCTGACAGAGCCCTCTTCGCCAACCCTCATCGCCGACCCCCTGTCTCCTGGCCTGGCCCAGACCCCATGCCCACACAGGCCGCACCGACTTGTCCAGTTGTCCATCACCCCGCCTCCCGGCATCGTCGTCCTGGTTCCTTTTTTGCTCTGTCCTCCACCGGGCAGCGCCTGCTGACTTGTTGCGACGCTCCTTGTCCATGCCGGCAGCGACATACGAGTAGACGGTGCCAATTCGGCGTGTACGAGTCCTGTCCTCTCCTCTCCTGTCCTCGCCCCCGACCGCCATCGCCACCGCCATGGACGAGCTGCGCTTCCGGGCCCAGCAGTCGCCGCGCAACGAGCCGCCCATGGCCAGCTTCGTCTCGCCGCCTCGCAATGGGAATGGTGCTCGCCTGCCCCAGCAGGCCGCCCACGACCAGCGCGCCAACATGCCTCGCCGCTTCACCACCGACTCCGGCCGCGTCCCGACCCTCTCGTCCATGAACTCGAGCATGAGCTCGCCCCAGCGCGGCACGGGCCTCGACGCCAACCCGGAATATAATGTCGGTTCCCGTCCCCGTCTCGACGGCCCCCAAGCGTCGTCTGGTCATTCAAGCATGTTGGCTAACTGTCAAAGCCGCAGCCGACGTTACACAAAGTCCAACTGGTACGTTGCCCAGATGCAAATGTCCAACCCTTGCCACGCTGCTGGACGACCATACGACCTGCCACCCAAGCAGTCCGAAGCGAGAGTGACCGGACCAGGGGCTGACCCAGACCACAGATAGAGCAAAAGAAGATAGAGTACGAGAGGATCCGAGAGCAGCGCCACCGCTTCGAGCTGGAGATGCAGCGACTTGACCAGCGGCAACGACGCGAGGCGCTGGAGCTTGCCCAGATGGAGGAGGAAATCGGCAGACTGGCCGGCCATCAGTCCGAGCCGACCACTCCTCCCGAGTATCGCGACAACTCGGGCTTTCCGTCCATGTTCTCGAGGCCGAACCGTTATTCCATGTCGAGCTTGGCTTCGCCGCCGGGCTTGTTCAACAGACCCGCTCGCTCGGGCTCGCAGTTGACCTCGCCGCCCTCTGGCCTCATTCAGAACCGCTATGGGTATGAAGAGCCGATGCCCTCTCGCTCTGTTCCCACCACTCGTCGAAACAGCGACGACGAGGAAAAGGAGGAGGCTGTCCGTCAGGACCCGACCAGCCACAGGTCAACCAATGTGTACGTGCCCACCCGTGCTTGCTCGTTTCTCGAATCGGTGAATATTTTTTTTTGCGTTCAGTGCCTGAGTCACGGCTTGCACTCTTCTTTAATGGAATTACGACTGCGGGAATTACCTGGAGGGTCCGCAAAGCAGAGTTCATCTCGAGTGGCGTGACTCTGCTCCCAGAGAGTGTCTGGAGCAGGCGATTTGCAAGATAACCGGGACGTGCACGACTTGTGCTGTTCGGGCTGGGTCGATGACCAGTGCATCAACTCGTGCCCAAAGCTTCCGCTGCTCGGCTGTCTGGATCTGGCATGCTAAGCACCGCTGCGACTCTCTTTCAACACACGCTCCCTCGACCTCGCCCATCGGCCAAGAGCTGGGAGGAAAGTCTCGAGTGAGACTGTATTTTGATCAACCGTGGAGTCACAAACGCACATTGGCAGGATTGCTGCTGCTCCGCGCATGCCCCTCGTCAAGTCGCTGCGCCGGCTGAACAAGACATCTTGTCGCTCACACCTCTCGTCCCTTCTCTTCTTCCTCCACCTACCTGCCTGCAGCAAACATCCTTCCAGTGCAGGGCGTTCGTTCACTGTGCTTGGTCCGCCTGGAGAGCTCGGCTTTCATTGCAACCACGTGTGGCCCTTCAGTTGCTACCTGCTCGAATGCCTCAACACGGTGCATCTCAGCTGTTTCGCGCGAGCCTTTACGCCTCGGCCTACGAGGGCTCGCTGCAGCAAGCACCTTTCGAATTCAAGCATTCAACGCGAGCCAGTACCGTACTGACCGACTCCAACAACAGCCTGAATCGCTACTCACTGCCAGTCACGCGATCGCGAAACGGACCCTACGACATGAATCTCGACCAGACCAACACTACGCGCTTCCTGTTCGGCGACGACGAGCCCAGGGCGCTTCATCGGGGGCAGACGCCCGACGAGCATTTCCCTACTCTTGTGCGGCGGGAAGATCAGATGGTAAGTGTGTTTCTTTCATGTTCTATGCGTTGCTCTGCCTGTTGCCATGGGGCTGGTGCCACGCTAGCCTTCGGTTGCTGTGACTGTGCTGTTCAACGAGAACAGTCACTGTGCACAGGGCCCGTTCTCTGGTCCTCGACCGATTCACAGCGAGACCAGGCTCTGGGCGCCTGAGGCTGCGAACCACCTCTGATGCCCCGAAGCCCTGTTTACATGACCATTTCCCTCATCTCTTCCCGCACACTACGCGCCCCTCTCTCATCCTCTCACTTCTGCGTCGCTGCTCCGCAACATCGCAGAGTTTTTGTTGGGAGATCCCTGTACTTCCCTGTACTTCTACCAACCTTGTCATCACCTTGTTCTTCTGACATTTGTGCCTTGGTCCAGCTTTCAGCGTCTTCTGCCGCGCTCGATCTCGCGCTCTCCCCGTCTCCTAACCCTGAAGCATCTGCGGTCCACAGCTGGAGTCGTATTAACCGTCACCGCACGCAACAGAGCCTCTCGTCCATCAACGGTGCGTCTTCGGCCCAGGCTGGGGACCTTGCCAGCATCGGCAGCCGACCGAACTCGCTCCGCCACTCGCTTGATCTTAAGTACATCTCGGAGAACGCGACCGAGCCGTCTGGTGGCATCATGAATCCGTCTGGCAATCACAACATGAACACGACGCCGCCCAGACTGCAGAGCTCCTTCTCTGCCAACGACGTGCCTACGGTTAAGAACCAGTCCGGCGCTGCGATGATGGGAGGCAACGCAAACAACCACGCTCAGCAGCACTTTCACAACCACAACGCTAGCATCGGCCGCATCCCCGCTGGCGCTGTGCCAACGCGCGGTCATAACCGAGAGCTCTCGAGCGACAGCAACGTCAACAGTGGCCGAGAGCAGGCCGCCGGCTTTCCGTCTATCCAGTCCGCACTTCACGCCAGCGCGCCGCCCTTTGGCCCCAGCATGACGTCGGCAGCGCCAATGTCGAGCGCCTCGACCATCTCGTCGCCCACCAGCGCGGCCCCTGCAGGCCAGTTCCACGGCTTCTTCCCCACCAATGGATATGCTCCAGCTGGTGCCAACGGCGCGGGAAACTTCGGCATTCCGATGCTTGCGGCGCAGATGCAGCAGATGAACATGAACGGCGTCAACAACGGAAACACGGTGTACCCCCCTCAGAACTACACCGGCTATGGCTCGATGCCGTACAACCCGGCCGGTCAACGTGACAGCCAGGCTCGTGTGATTCAGCACCGCCGCCAGCTGGATAATGAAGGTTAGTCCCGGCAGCCGCTCCCAACGCTCGTACTGATGCTAACTCGAACGGCTTTGCAGCCATGTCGCGCTACCACAACATGCCTCTGGACTCTTTCCGTGGCCAAATCTACGATCTGTGCAAGGACCAGCACGGCTGCCGCTATCTTCAGAAGAAGCTCGAGGAACGCAATCCGAGCCAGGTCACCATGATCTGGGAGGAGACAAACCAGCACGTCATCGAGCTCATGATGGACCCGTTTGGTAATTATTTGTGCCAAAAGCTCCTCGAGTTTTGCAATGACGACGAGCGGACTGTTTTGATCCAGAACGCGTCGCAGGACATGGTCCGCATCGCCCTGAACCAGCATGGAACCAGGGCTCTACAGAAGATGATCGAGTTCGTCAACACTGGACAGCAGGTCCGACTCATCATCGAGGCGCTGCGCTTCCGAGTTGTTGAGCTCATCCAAGACCTCAACGGCAACCACGTTATCCAGAAGTGTCTGAACAAGCTCACTTCGGCCGATGCCCAGTTCATCTTCGATGCAGTTGGCAACAACTGCGTCGATGTGGGCACGCATCGACATGGATGCTGCGTGCTCCAGCGTTGCATCGACCACGCCTCCGGCCACCAGAAGTCGTGGTTGGTTGACCGCATCACGGGCCACGCTCGTGTTCTCGTGCAGGACCCCTTCGGCAACTACGTCGTCCAGTACATCATCGATCTCAATGAGCCGAGCTTCACGGACCCCGTCGTCCAGTCGTTCAAGGGCTGCGTCGGATCGCTGTCTCGTCACAAGTTTAGCTCCAATGTGATCGAAAAGTGTCTCCGATGCGCCGGACCCGAGTCCAAAGACATGATTGTCGACGAGCTGCTTGCTCCCCAGGAGATCGACCGCAATTTGCGAGACTCCTTCGGCAATTACGTCGTTCAGACAGCTCTGGAATTCGCCACTCCTCCTCAGAAGTACCGCCTGGTCGAGGCCATCCGCCCTCTCCTCCCGCAGATCCGCAATACTCCGTACGGGCGCCGCATCCAGGCCAAGATCGCCATGTACGACAACCGTGGAAGCGCGGCTTCCAGCGGCCAGGCTACCCCTGCCGACAACACCCAGGGCCAGATACCCATCCGGCCTAGCCATGCTCGTGGCATGTCTGGAAACGCCCCCATGCTGGCGAGCAATGGCCTCGCAACCAACGGCGGTGGCTTGCAGGGATTGGGCACGCAGGGGATGCGCCAGAATGGCCCCATTCATCCTGGCAACGCTGCCTTGGGCGCTCCCGGCGCAACGACGTCTGGACCGGCGCAGTACCAGCCCTCTCAGCAGCAGCATAATGGTCAGCAGCCGGTTGCTCGGCAAGACCAAGCGCAGCAGGGCCATATGCAGCCTGGCCCCACCCAGCAGACCCAGTTCAACCAGATGCTGCCGGCCGAGTACCCGCCGAACAACTCCTCGACGGATACCAGCGAGGCACGCTGGGTGTAAACTATCTTCCTTTCAAGTGTACTGCCACCCAGAGGACCACTTGCTTGTACAACGGTTTTCATGATCCTCTTTCCAGGTCACTGGGTGGCATTCTCATGCAGCACGGTTACGACTCGGCCATGACTTGACGATTTTCCTTGCTCCGCGTTTGCAATGACCCGCGAAGAGCAAACATTGACGCCAAGACCGCACGTTTGGCATGATAACACGACGTCTCACTCCGACCAGCACAGCACCCTCGCGGGTGCTTTGTGTGTACATTACCCAAGGAAAGGGAGTCTGGAAACGAAAACGCTCACCGGTCCACATCCATCAAACTCTTGCACTAGAGAAGAACGGACCGACGACGGCATCCTGTATGTGTACTAGGATCGTCACCACCTCTCATCGGCATAGACGAGCCCCTTACTCTTTTTCTTTTCCAATTTCGAAAATCTTTGTTGTTGTTGCGCCTGCATTTTGCCTCTTTCTTCTACAATCTGGGCGGCGCCATCTTCACTCAGGGCCTTGGGGCCGTTGAGAGAGAGCCCATTAGAGCGTGCTTTCGCCCTTGATGTAGCTCATCGGGCAGGTCAGTGGGGGGAAAGTGCTTTGGACTTTTGGGCTGGCATTTGGTCAGGATGTGCGCGCGCTCGGGTTAGCGACGTCGTGGAAGCTAGGGGGCATTTTCGTTTTCTCTTTTTTATTTTCGCGGTGTTTGTATGAGTTTAGAGACAGAAAAGAATTCAACCTTTGCTTTACCTGAACAGTGAAAATGCCTTGTATGCCCCTAACGGGCGTGGTAGTCGCGGCGCGCCCGGTCTATGGGCAATGGAAATTTCATCGTGATCCTTCAGCGCGTACAAGGGTGTGCCTGGCGAGGCTATGTAAATACCGAAATCTCTTCGTATTCCCAGGTGATGTGCAGTCTACGGGCCATGCTCGAGCAGCGGCAGAGTCGGGGTGAGTGGTGGTAGACTTGCAGCAAAGGGCCGTCTGGTGAAGCGACATGTGTGGCGAGGACTTTTCGGAATCGAGCCACTGCTTCAGTTGGACAAACATCATCACATCACAGAACAATGTAGGCACAGATAAGTTAATACCGTAGACTTTCGTCAACTACGGGAATCCATGTTTTCATTCCATAATTTTTGTGTATCAAACTACCAGACGTGAAAAGGCGCTCCCAATCGCGATCCCGTTCCACGCAAGCATGCATGCAATCCCCCACCTGAACACCGCACCTAGCACCGAGCAGCCCGCCGAGCCGAGGGAAGAAGCCCCAACAGCAGCGGCGGGAGCAGCAACGACGTCGTGCACCACCACAGCCACCACCTCGCGCACGCGCTCGAGAGTAAGAGCGCCGACACGGGGAGGAGAACAGGGGGCGAGACGCTTATCGGTAGCGCCACAGGGACAGGGTGTTGTGGCGCTTCCAGGTCTTTCTGCGGCCAGCCTTGGTCTTGTTGTACCGGTGGCCCTTGTTGAGGCCGCGGGACTTCTTGCCGGTGGCGGTGAGGCCGCGGGACTCGCGGTGCTTGTGCACGGGGTTGACGATCCAGTTGATGCGGGGGTCGATGCGGATGGCCTTGTGCTGGGGGTCGACGAGGATGACCTCGTAGTACTTGTAGGTGGAGTCCTGGTTGACCCAGTACGAGTTGAGGACGCGCAGGTTGGCGCAGCGGCGACCGACACGCTCCTCGGCGGTGGACTTGAGGGAGCGCTGGTACTTCAGCTGGTTCACACCCTGGTTGGTGGGCTTGCCTGCAGTGCGGAATCCTGGTCAGCGATCTGATGCTCTCGCCACACACGACAGCCCCCCGAGCGTTTCTCCTCGCCCCGCAGACAGAAGGAACGCCCGATGAAGCTGAGATTCGAAAAAAACGTACCATAGGTGGCACCCTTAGGGACGGGGCGCTTGCGGCCACCACGGCGGACGCGGATGCGGTAGATGACATAGCCCTGCTTGGCCTTGTATCCGAGGCGGCGGGCCTTGTCGGGGCGCGACGGGCGCGAGGCGCGGTGGATGACGTTCAGCTGACGGAACTATAACACTCTCAGCAAATGTTCAACGAGTGCATAGCATGGGACGAGCATCTCGGCGTGGCCTCGCCGGCTCCATGTCCCCGTCTCTTGTCCTCTCTCTTCCTGTGTGTGCGCTCTTGGTCCAGCCCACTGCCAACCGATGTAGAACTTCGAGTCCAGGACAAGCAGGATTCGCGGCGGCAGCGGCGGCGGCACCAGCGGCGACAACAGGAGAGATGTACGTCGGACAAAGAGGAATCCGTTTCGGCCACGATTGATTGCTCGTCCGGGGGAGGTAAAAAAAAGTCGACGTCGGGTTTCTCAGCATACCTCCCAGCAGCGCACGCGCAGAAGGAAGCGCATCACATCGGACTGCTTCTTCTTCTGAAGCTCCTCGACATACTTGAGGGCACCCATCTTGGCTGTTGGAAAATGTCAGTACAACGGCGATTCGGCCTTGTCGAATTGATTTGAGACGGAGAAGGGGCCACGAACCGGATTATGTGGTGAAATTCCTGCCGGTGGTTAGTAGAGGTGAGAGGGAGGAGGAGCAGAGGTCAAAATTTCCACAAACTGCAAATTCCCAGGCGATGGTGAAAATTGAAAGCGGTTTGTGGGTTAAGCGATGGACTAGTCCTGTTTTGGTTTTAGGGCGCTAGGACATGCCCCTCACTGCCCTCAGGAGTCGACAGGACACCACTCGGCTTAGTCATTTGATGACGCACTCACGCACTCCGTTCACCGAGCCCTCACCAGCCTTCCCTGGCGATCGAGCAAGACAGGAAAAGTGGGCTGGTCTTCGCCGGGCCGTACGTACTCGAAGCTTCAAGTCGAGGTGCATTTTCGTGCAACGACACAAAGAGTGCTGCGTGGGTCCCAACAACTCATGTATTTTCCGAGCTGAGATAATTTCCGGCTTCCAAAACAAAGCACAAGCATTGCAAAGTGTGTACATAATAGACCTTGCCACCCCGCCGTTGTGTTCCCATCCTACTCTGCACAGTCCGTTGGCAGAAGCTCAACCGCGCTGCCGAGCAACTTCACAAGCTTTCGCGCCGTCCCACCCCATGTCTCTTCCATGTTCTTCGGCATGGCATCTTCGAGGAGCTCTGATGCAATGACCTCGACGTCGTTTCCCCTTCGTCCTACATCAGTTCCGGCTTTGGCCATGACAATGCTATTCAACGCCTGGATCGACACGACCATGGCACGATGGTTCAATGCCTTTAAGTCTTTAATGTCCTGTCTCCAAGCTCCCATTTCGGGCATCTTGATTTCAGTAGGCCGTTTATTGAACTCTTGGTATTGCTTTGCCATTTCGGCGCAACTTTGCAAGCACTCGCGAGCCTTGATGAACGTCTCATTATACTGTCCTGCATTCTGGACAGAGCCTGCAGGACGAGCAATGACTGCCGAAATCTCGGCAGGCAGCTCCTCGATCGCGGGAATGCATTTGTCGGCGCTCCTGAAAGCTCCTGTGTCAGTGGCGTAAGGGTACTCAAGTGCCGTATTGGGAAATGACTTGCGGTCCAATGTTCAGCTGTTCGTCGACAAACTTGCACAATTCCTCTGCTTCTTTGCGGGCAGCCAATTTCGCGTCCATGATACTTTGGCCTTTCTTCGAATTGGCGAGAAAGTTCCTAGCGTGTGACAAGTGATGTGAGCGGCTTGTCCGTGAGTGGCAGAGGGGCAATGAATGGCCGGACCTGCTGCTCGCTCGTCCTTCATCATCGCTCGAGCTTTCTTCTTGCGCACGAGGCTTCTTTCGTGCCTTCGTTGCTTTTGGCGCTGCGCGAGTCCTCTTCCGTGCTGCTGGCGCTTCACCGGGAGGTGCTTCGTCGATGTCATTTGCTGAAACAGTTGTAAACGGTGCGGCAGGTCGTGGCACTGGGAGACTTACCCTTTGCAGCCTGATTCTTCCGTCGGGTGACTGGCGCCATCGCTGCGATGACCTGGACCTGTGAGCGGAAACTCGTGCAGTCGTGTGTTTTGGAGAGCGGTGGTTATCCGACACAGCCTCTCAACCCAGGCAGGTGATGAGGGTTCGGGCACAAATTCACGTGCAGCAAGGCCGATAAATAAATTGCCGTGTATGAAGTCCGCTCCTTCCTTCATGCGCGGCCGGATCAGGTGACACGAACTTGTATCCCGACTGACAGCCGCATATGGCAGGAGCGAACGTTGGAGTTGCCATGGTCCCACCAGTGAGACAATACAGAGCATTCGCCGTAAGTTGGGGGTAGGATCACCACCAAGGCAGCAATTCCATGCACCTGTTTCTTATCATGATGGGCACAGTTTGGTGACTTAGTGGAACAAATCTCTTAAACAAGGCCGTCCCAAGGCCCGATTAGTGCAGCCCCAAAACACGCGCGGAAAGAATACTAAACGAAATCTTTTGTCATACATGACTTTAGCCATACCCAAGCCGTATCCCTTTTGGTTGCGTATTAGTTACAGCGTTCTCATGTGTGTATACTCAAGCCTCTCTGTCTATAATTCTCAGTCGTTGAAAGTAAGCAGTTGATACGTCCTCTGTCTTCCTGAACCCCAAACCCTTGTCTTGTGTCGTTGGGCCAGGTCACAGCCCAACCCAATCTCGAACAAGAAAACGAATGACAAGATCAATGAAGAAAATGACAAAAGCAAAAGGCAAAGCAAGAAGATATCCCGTATCCCGAAGTGTTTGGGACGGTCGAAGGAGTGTGTGGCAGATGCCGATCTGGGTAGGGGCATGTCCCAGGCAAAGGCTTGACTTGCGCCTGGAGATCCGTCTCACAGACCGGCACGCAAATACAGGTACGAAGGCCGTAGTTGGAGAAAATTCGTGATTGCAACGCCATTTGGAAGAAGAAGAGAGCGGGCACAGTGGGTTCCAGTCACCCCCGAAGACCAGTGTCTTTTTGGCCAATCTAGTGAGTATTCAAGGACAAGCCCTGGAATGCCGAGGCCCAATCGGCTTGATGAGAGATGGGCGAGGCGCTGTGACCGTGGGGTGTGGGACTGGGAATTGTCTGTCCACCGGGGAGCCGCTGGCGCATCGATTGGAGGTCTGCCGGCTGTTGGAAGCCCGCGCTGGAGAAGCCCTCTAAACCTGGAGACAGGCTGGGGGCATACGCCGGGTTGGTTCGAGCGTTGCCGAAGGCGCCACCTCCGCCAAAGGCATAGTTCGCAGCAGGATAGGCAGAGGCCGGAGGGACCTGCCTATCTCCTCCAAATGGCTGAGAGAAAGCCGGTCGGAATCCGCGTGCGACCTGCGGTGCCTGGCCAAAAGCCTGCGACGACTGTTCTTGGGCCTGGTGACTCTGCTGGCGACGCTCTCCACTGCCGGGTGCTCGCCCTGCACCCACAGCACCCGGGCCGATGCCGCTGGGTGCCTGGATGCCCAGAGTAGGGCTGGCGAAGGACGCAGGGTTAATAGCCGACATCCAAATCCGAGTCTTGTAAATCTTGAAGAGATCGGTTACAAGAGAGTTGAAGTTGATGTATGAGTCGGCAAAGTAGTAGAAGGTGAGCTTTTTCCAGTCCCTACGAGCAAGTTAACACAGTCTGAAGGGGACCGACGTCGGCAGAGTGGGTCACTTACATCTGGAACTCAGCATCAAGGATCTCCATGTTGAGGCCATGTTCCTTCACCTTCTGCATGCAGACTCGCTTGGCCTTTGCTTCCTGACCCTCCTTGTCACGTAGCGCTTGAATCTCATGATTCTGCGCCAGACGCTTGATGAGCTTTGGCCGGAGCTCCCCGGCGTTCGGCTCCTGAACATGGTGCTGGCTTGGGGGTCCCATCCCGCCGATGGCGCTGCCCTGGAGGCCGTTGGAGGAGGCCATCAGGCCGGCACCAGTACCCTCGTTGGCCGCTGCAGCGCCCTGCGAGTACATCATAAGCCACTTATAGTGCTCCTCAGCGTAGTGCTCCTTCATCTCCTTTGCCGTCTGCCAGTCAACGTTGTCCTTGGCTACGGTGCCAAGGTCTGTGCCCCGATCAGCCTCAACAATGACCAGGTCGCCCGGCTTCACCGTCAGGCCAGTGCCTTCCTGAATGTAGAAGACATCGGCCCTCGCACATTTGAATAAAACGACGTGGAGGAGCTGGTTGTGCCTCGGCTGTGCCATGCTGTAGGCATTGCGATGAGGTGACGGGGCTCTGTTGTGGAACTGGCTCTGCAGACCGAAGGAAGAAGCGTAAGGATTGCCGAACGGGGCCTGCATGGCACCAACGCCGGCACCATATAATACTGCTGCTGATTTGATCGGTTAGGTTTAGGAAATCAGGAGATACTCTGAAGTGGGAACGTACGGTTACTCGTGGAGCCCGGAAAGCCGGGGCCCTCGGAGTAGCCAGGCACAAAGCCTTGTGATTGCTGGCCGTCGGCGGGGTTTGCGTCCAGCGTCGAAACCGAATCGGCAATTGAACTTATCGAACCCTGACGCGTGGGCATATTGGCGAAGGAGTGGCGACGACTCTGGGATATATCGCCAGTGAAGTAGCTAGGGGTGCTAGACCAGAGGGCCTTCTTGAGGTTCATGCTATCCTTGCGACTTTCCATGCCGAGAGGCGTCCGAAAGGCGCCGGCGCCGGCGCCGCCGTATTCACTCATGCGACGAGCTGCAGATCGTCTACCGAAGGGATAGCCCGAATCGCCAGTCTCGTCCAACTCATCAATAGCATAGTCAGACTCCTCTGGTACGGTCTCGCGCAGCGGATAGCCGTTCCCGACGTAGCCCGCCCCAGTCGAGGCGCGGGGCCGAATGCGATTGGTATACTGTTGCTGTTGCTGGCGGAGCATGGCGTTCTCGCGCGCCAGCATTTCGATCTTGTTTGAATCCGACATCTGGTGGAACGAACCCTGCATGGAGTCCGTCGAGCTCTCATCGTCATCATCCTCCACCTCCTTGACCTTCCCCAGGACCGAGCCATCGTTCGCCATTTCGCTCAGCATGCTCGGCCGAGATGGCCGATGTTGCAGAGCCGAGTGGCGAGCACGGCCCAAGACGGTTGAGGAAGTCATCGACGCCGGAACCGCGTTCTCTGGCTCCAGCTGTCCGACTGAGTAGGACTGAGAGCGATAAGTTTTCGGTGTCGGATGCAGAGGAATGGCGAAGGGTATCTGCGAATTGGTATTCGGGTCACGTCCAGAGGCGGTGGACGGCTGCACCAGGCCGGCGTCGGGCCCGAAGAAAGAGGAGCCACCGCCTCCGGGAGGTACAGTCGAAGTCGGCGATGGTAAGACCTCCGTGAGCCGCGACGGCACATCCTTGCGATCATTCCATATCCCAGTCCCCCAAGAAAAGGTGGACGCGCCCGAGCTACGCCCCATGACAGAGGACGTGGAGTGCGACCCCCAGGGCACGTTGCCGCTCTCGGCGGACGGAGTGCTAGGGTGCGACCCGGTTGGAGACATCGAACTGCTCGCAAACGAGCCCTTGCGAGGCCGAGGCAGAGGCTGTGAGGTCGTGTCGTTAAGCCAAGAAGACCGACGAACTGGCTTGGGCGGTTGAGAGCTGTTGGAGGTTTGGGAAGCGTCGGGGCGTTGTTCGCCCTCGTCGTCGGAGCTCGCTAGGGCCTCCGAGTCTGGTGTCGAAGTTCGTGCGTTGACTTTCTCCAGAAGAGGATTCTGACCAGCCGAGGCAGCCGGGCCGAGCTTCGATGAGCGGCCGGATTTGAGAGAACCGGTGCTCATGATCAGACGTTCCGACTGCAGGTGAGGGTATAGTAGTACACGGGGTATATGTGGCCAGACCGGGAACGTGGGCGATGACAACAGGAGCTTGATACGTCCCCCGGAGTCAGAAACTCAGTATGCGGCGGGTACGCGGTCTTTGGCGAGTCTCGACGGCGCTTCAGAAGGGGCGCATACAGACGTCGGTCTAAAGTACGTCGAGATTTGGTGCGTGGAGGCGTGAGGGCGTTGCGGCAACCTGTCAGGTGGTCAATGCCATGATCCTCTGCAGACACAATCAATGCGCCGGTATGCCGCCGGCGCAGTGCGCGCGACTGCGCGGGCTTCTCGCCAGCCAGGAGAGACCAGCTCGAGGCTCTTTGGTCGAGGCAATCCGGCCCAACGCCACCCAAAACGGGCGATTCTCATGGGCTGACAGGAATGAGGGGTCCGACTCACCAGAACTGAGAAACTTGGAAAATCTCTATCGTTTGAGGGGGAATCCCGGAAATCAAATAAAGCTCTATGTCGTTTGAGACGGCCCAGGTCCAGGAGTCGTCGCGGTGCGGATAGTCGGCGGTGAGTGTGCTGTCTCTATCCAGGGGGCAAGCGGCGACGGCGATGAATGAGGCTCGAGGAGGCCGTTCTGCGCGTCCGGCGATTAGGAGGGGTGATGTGGTGTAAGGGTATAAGAAAACGTCTAAAACACTGCGTCTAAACCCAGGGCCCAAAAGGAAACAACCCGAACGGAGATGGCGGGAAGATCAAGTACAGAGGAGCGCACCCATCCGCGGCTGGAGCGTGAATGTGCGGCGTCTCGGTCGTCGCAGTTGTCGATGAGGTTACTTCCGGGGAGAGGCGCGCCTACTTGGTCGCATGTTTGGACGGAGGGCCAAAGTGCGCTTCCCAATTTGCGCCGAAGCAGCCCCGTGCTTGTCGCCGCGCGCGCTCACACAAGAAGCGGCCTTGGAGAACAGCTTCCTGCCGGCGGCGCGATGCGATGCGATGCGGTGCGGTGCGGTGCGGCTGCGACGAGTGCGGCGAGGACGACGAGGTGGCGAAGCCTGCGGGACCTTGCTCTGCTGAGGCGAACAGGTGGCGAGTGAAGTGAGATGGCCTTTGATTCGGGCCTTGCTCGCGAGCGGGACGCGGCGGGAACGGAGGTCAGCTGAGGCAGAGGGGTCGGGCGGCGCGGGCCAGGTAAATGAATGGCAACAAGAGGTCGAGAAGAAGAGCAGCCTGGGACGTCGCGCGCGTGTGCTGCCGGGGGCAGGCGAGAGAGGAAAAGACGAACAGCGGGCGTCGAACGAGGCCGGAAAGCGGGGGAGTGGGCGGCGATCAGCACGAGACCCCGGGGTGGTGCAGAGGCTGGCCTGTCGGGAGCCTGAGAATGACGGGAGGTGAGGTTGAGAATGGAGGGTCCTGCGGGACTCGCGGTGGCGGGAGCAATGCGCCAGATGGAGCCTGCTGGAAGTCACCTCACTAGCAGGGCAGCGGTCGGCGGGCGGGCTGCCTTGGTGCGGTGCTGGAGGACCTGGAGTGGAGGGTGCGGCACGGTCTCCTGCAGGCGGTTAGGGGGCAGGCTGCAGCAGCGCAGTGAGTGAGATGGTGGTGGTGGTGGTGGTGGTTGCGTGGGTGCCGGGCCGCCTGATGTGTGCAAGCTGGTTGGCGTAGGTTGCTCGAGCGTGGTGCAGCTGGCCGCAGATAGGGGGTAGCGGTACTGGAGCAAGGGGGTACTGTAGGTACCTAAGGTAGGTACTCCGCACACGGTAATAAGGCAGGTCCCTCTTGCCTGGCGGCGGAGCGCAGCGCAAATGGGGATCGGGAGCTGGTCGTGATGATGGATGGCCCCGGCACGAGTAGGTAGGTAGGTACCTGCAGTGCAGCACTGTATTGCCGCACGGGCAACTTGGAAAAAATTGAAATAAAAGGGAGTGGCCGAGAGGGCTGTTGCTGGCGCAGTCGGAGTGTTCCGAGAGAAACCCAATGCGCTGTCACTGGTACTGGTGATGCAGTGAGACAGGCCACAAGGCTCGCTGCTGCTTTTAGAGTTTTCGCCTCCGTTCTTCCCACTTTCTCGGTATGCCGGCCGCGGGCGTATGAGGTGGAAGCGCGCTCGACCGACGTGAGAGGCAAGTGACAGCCGGCGAAGATTGGACAACGACGCGGGTTGGGTGGACTGTGGAGGCGGTGGAGGAGGGACAAGGCCTCGAGGCGATGTAATGGAATCGTACCGTACAGTGGTCCTCGGGCCGGGGTTGCTCTCACTGCTCAGTGACGAGGCGAGGCGTGTTACTGGGTATTACCTGATGCCGGGTCGACGGGACGTCTACCTCAGCTTGTTATTAACACCTGTTCGCCCAGGAAGCCGATCTTGGTTCCCCCAGGGTCGGGCCCGAAGCGCTTCGTGGGGCTGTGTGGAGGCGGGCAATGGGCCTTGAGCGCACTGTGCGGTCTCTGCGAACAGCGCGGCACGCACAAACAAGGCCAGGCTGTGCGTGTCAGGGAGGATGGTGGGCAGGGGATGAGTCGCGAAGCCGAGGGCCAGCAGGATTGTTTGGACTGTCCGAAGGAGTCCTTGGGAGGTGGCGATCCGGATCTTGTCGAGAAAATGGGAAGGGTGAGGGTGAGGGTGAATGAGGGGCGCGGAGATGCGGCTGGCGGAAAGCGGAGCGAGCCCAGCAACTAGAGGTAGCTGCTGCGTGAAGCTTCGCAGCTGTGCAGAAACGACGCGGGAGCTGTCTTTTGATATGCTTTTTGTGCCTCGCTCTGTGGCCCCTCCCTCGTGGCTCCAGGCGCGAGACTAAGACGCGGGTATGGATGACAAGGCGGCCCCGGAAGCTTCCAATGCCCGTGCAGACATGCGACGACGAACGAACGAACGAACGGGCGGGCGAGTGAGGAAAGAGAGCTCAACGAGGAAACGCGGGGAATAGGAAGGTTTGGCAGCAGCCGGCGGGCGGACGTCGTGGTGCGGTGGGCTTTGCTGGCGCTGGTGGTGCCAGGTTGTAGTGGTGTATGGGTGGAAGGGTCCTGAGGGTGTACGGGGAGGGGGGCAGGCCGGCCTCTGGTTTAGGGGGCCGGGGCGGATGGTGGGTGCCCCGTCCCTGCGGGCCGTGTGTGAAGCAGCGTGGTGCCAACCCGAGCAGCAAGGGCTCCCAGCTGTTCCTGCTGTTCATATAATGTACCTTGCCTTTGGTGAGTTGGCCACCCGAGTCTCGGACAAGGCCCCATCGTCCACAGCGGCAGAGCCGGTGGGTAGCGGTACTGGACCTGTACCTCCCCTTGGCTCACGGCAGAGATGGCCTGTCCGCGTGCATGAGCGATGCTACGACCGGACTGCGCGAGATGAGGCGGCCGATGCACTCTCTGGAAGCGAGCGGCTGCGCTCCAGCTGGTGGAGGGAACAGCGCCGGGACAGGCAGGGCATAACCACACAGTACCGTAAAATGTATCCATGATGAAGTAGCGTCCCTCCACTGGAGCCCTGGGCTGCACTGGCTCACCGGGGCTGCGTTCTGCTGCACTGGCCACCTCACCTCTCCTGGGTTCCGCCATTGGATCCGTGGATGGGTGGTGGCCCATCTTGTTCCAAGCGCAAGTGCACCTACCCATGCCTCCCACCCCCGCCCCCAGACAGAACCCGTGGACCCCTGTTGGCAGCACGCCAGCCGCTACTGGAAGCGGACTAGCGCTGGGGTCGGGGGATGGAGCCTTGGGGAGTTGGGATCCTGTGGCGCCTGTCCAGTGTCAGTGTCGACCTCCCGAGCTCCCAAGCGCTCCTTGGTGCTCTGCCTTGTCATCCGGTCCAACTTCTGCCTCGTCTTTGTCGTCAAGGATACTCGAGGGCCTTTGTGACCTGCCGGCGACTCACGTACGCATCCATCCCATCCCGCGACACCACCTCGGCCGCTACATTAATTGCTTGCATGGGATTTCGCCAGTTGGCGTTGGGCAATGCAAGGCTTGTCCGGCTGGCTGGCTTACACGGCGCCAGCCGCTCGTCTTGCAGCTTTACGAGCAGCAAGGTGCGTGTGTCGGATGGCACGATGCCGCCGCAACCCTCGCTGCGAACTGAATACCACACAATGACCGAGAATGACGGAGGCCGTCCTCGCCCGCGGCCCAGTCTGCATTCTGCAGCATCATTCTCCCGTGAGCCACCTACGCCAGGTTGTCAACACCCGGGCTGTCGTGGCCCGAGCTTCCAACTCAGCTTCACCAACCTGTCTTCAGAACGAGCACACAGTACTCGCTAGGCAGGGCAGACGTCGGCCACTAGGGCCAGCAGCATCTACCTCAGCACGCCACGGCCGTTGGGGCTTCCCAGGTTTGCACAGCTAGCTAAACTCAGGGTCCTCCAGCTGATCGAAGAGGGTCAAGAGGCAGCGCCTCCAGGGCCGCCCCCATACCTACCAGCGCATTGGGTCCACGACGAGAAGACCTCGGAGACTTGAGCCCGTGTCCGCGGCGATGGATCAGACGCATGGGCAACGACGGCACTTGTGCAGGGAGAATTCGTTGTTTCAAGCCGCCGCGCCCGTGCAGAGGGCATTGATCCAGACACGTGAACCTCGCATGGCACGCAGGGGTACTGTGCCGACGGCCGCGGTTCTCACACAGTATAGGCAGCGGCAGGTCGCGGGTCCTTCCCCGCCCTTGGTGCTGTGGGTGGCTCCATGGCTGCCCCCGCCGTGTCAAGGTGCCAAACCAACACGGCTCGAGACTGCACTGGAACGTGGGCCGACGACTCCAGCTGCGCTGTCGCGGCGTCATCATGACAAGCTGCTATTTTGCCATCAAACAAAAGACAAACTCAATACCAGCCGCAGGGTGCGATCCCCGCGGCATCCTCCGGGGCCGGTTTGCTGAATGCTGCAGAGGGCGTCTGACGACAAATTCACGACAGCGTCGTGTAACTCGAATTGCCACACCTATACTTCGCACCGCAACGGACCATTGGGTGGTCGGCCTCGACACTGCACTTGCCAGGTCAAATCTGAGCCCTTCGAGCCGGCCGGCGTCCTGCTCAAGCAGGTCTCGCTTGTCGGTCTCGCTGCGCGGCTTGTTGACTGACGACATGGCCTGCAGAAGCTTCGACTGGCGGACGAGTCAACGACGGACAGCGAAGGCAAGCACAGGTAGTTTGCGATCCACGCTGACCGTCCGTCCATGCGCCCCTGGTCCATGCACGGCAGACAGGATTAGTGCTCGCATATATGCACCCAATTCCTCGTACATATTGCAGCACAGCAGCATGCGACCTCGACTGGCGACTGAACCCATGTATGGCCATCGACGATCACTCGTTCTGAGCCGTCCATCCCCTCCCCCCCGCACGCCCCGGAGGAGCCTTGCACTTTGCATACTGAACAGCATCGCGCTCGAACCGCTGGTTCAGCGCCATTGGGTTTACGGGAGCCACAGTACTTCAGCCGGCAGCCTTGCAGGCGTCACGGAATTGACCAGGCGCCCTCTGGAGGACCGTCCTCGACTACCCGGAGTACAAGCCACGGGCAGACAACCTGCTCCGCGGGCCGCTGTTGCAGGGTGGCATGGGGGGCAGTTCAACCCTGCGAAGCTTTCGCGTCTGAGCCGCTAAGCGGATCGTCACCCCGCAATCGACCAAGTGCCAGGTTCCAGAACCCCACCTCAAAATGTGGCTTTCGAGTCACCTGCCTGCCTGGCCGACCGCCCAAGCTGCTTCTGCAACTCCAGTCAAGGGGCCAAGAGCGGGCAGGGTCTTCGTCCTGTGACGCGGGGATGAATATTACTCGCGCCGCGGGTCTACATCCAGCCTAGCTTGGCAAGCTTGGCTCGCCGGCTGCGTGGGCTTGCCGCCGTGCCAGAGCCAGCCGCACGGAAGCCCTGCGTGCTTGTCACTGGATCTGGGCCAGTCCGTGGCTGTGGCGCTCTTGCCGACGCCCGTCGCCCTGATCGGTCCTCGATGCCCGGCCAATGTGTCTCGTTCGGGGGTTGCGGATCGAGCCTGGCTTAGAGGCACTGCTTGGCTCAGGCTTGTCCAACTGCTCCTCCGCTCCCGAGGACAGTGTTCGTCATGTCCAGGACCACGCGACCCATGGCACCCGTGTGAGCGGGAGGGATAATACCTCAGCGGCGAACTAGACGCTACAGACGACTTTCCTCCAGGTAGTGTCTCAACTGCGTCGGCCGCCGGATCTTTGATTTTAGACTCTGCTCCGTGGTTCATCTTGGCCCTGGGGCTGCGGGGGCTTGAACAGAGCTCCACGGCGCGAAGGCACTTCGTCATGGCCCGCGGTGTCCTAAGCCATGCTCCCCCCGTCGATCTGCTCTGTTTGGCGTGATCCGCTGCCCACGAGCACTCAGGCCAGCCCACGCTCATCACACGGCCATGAGCGGCCCCCAGATGCAGGAAGCAGCCACATCCCTGCTACCCCGGATTTCTCCTGGCGGAGGCGTCTGCAATGCAGGTTCTCAACGTTGGGCGTGATCATCCGTGGATCTCTCAGGTCGTGCCGCTCCGTCTGTTGGGCGGCGCCGACGGAGCTAACAGCAGCTCCAGCGCCCGCTAAGCGACTCTTGCGCCGGCCAATGCTCTGCAGGATGCGGCGAGGTCGCCACGTTGACTGCGGGCTCACTCCTGTGGCCCAATAGACTCAAAGACTCGGGTTCGAATGCCAACGCGGCCCGCGGTACGAACTGCAGTCTGCCGGGCCCCTCACATAGGCCTCATATCAAGTGCGTATGACGCGCGAGGCTGACCAACGACGTCACAGATTGCCACAGGCGTGTGTTCCGGTTCCGGGGTATCATCCATTCTCTACACTCTCGAGCCGTTTTTATCGTCATAGTATACAGGATTATCTACTTGTAGCCTTGTCTCCCATCTGCTGCTACGCAGATGACGGCTGTGCGGACTTCTGCTGCTTCAGCTTCTCCTCGAACTTGGCGAACTCTTGCATGGCGATCTCCTCCTCCTGATCGAGGATTTGATGCACTCCCTTGACTTCTTCGATCTAAATATGGGTTGTCAGCAAAGGGGGAAACGCATAGGCGTATGGAAGACCAATAGAAACTTACATAGTGCATCAGCATGCCCTCTATGCCGTTCTTCAGCGTCACAGTGCTCGAGTCGCATGTCCGGCAGGCTCCGCGCAGCTTCAGCTTGACGTAGCCATCTTCAAATCCCCGGAACTCTATGTCGCCTCCGTCTTCCTGAATGGCAGGCCGGATGCGCGTCTCGAGAAGTTCCTTGATCATGCCAACGACCTCGTCGTCGTCCTCGTTGTAGGCCAAGCTATCCTCCTCGGCGGCCTGGTCGCCTTCCCGTCGCTCGACGACGTTGACGATGGTCTCGCCCGAGGTGATGGCCTCCGTGATGAGGGCGAAGATCTCGGGCCGGATATGCGCCCAGTTTGCATCGCTAGCCTTGGTGACGGTGATGAAGTCGGCGCCGTAGAAGACGGACGTGACGCCGTCAATGTTCATGAGCTTGGCAGCCAGCGGGGACGGGTGCGGCGGCGAGATGGTCGCTCGCGGGTTGAGGTACTCGATGAACGGCGTGTTGAGCGCGGCGGGGACGACGCGGTGATTCGGGAGGAACTTGAGGGCGTCCGCGTTGGGCGTGTTCTCGGTCTGGATGAAGATGGTGCGGGCGCCGCCGCGGCTGGCGAGGCTCGGCGCGAGGTTTCGCTGTCGGTGGCTCGGGGGCGCCGTCGTCGGTCGCGCGCCGCTCGCGCTCAGGACGGCGGGCAGTCCTCTGGTCGTGGTGCTGAGTTGCCGAGCCCATCTCGGCGCAGCTCGGACGTGGCATCCGGCGGCTGGCCGGGTGGCGAGCGCGCGGGCGAGCGCCCTCGGTAACGTCGCCGTAGACATTGTCAACTGCTGTAGTCCCTGTTCTCCAACCTGCAGTGCGGGGACAGTGTGAAGCGAGTGTTCAACGGCTCGAAGGTGCGGATGTCGCGGGATTATATATATGGTACAATGTTGAAGGGAAAGTGACGTCGAAAATGTTTCTGGGGAAGTGGACTCCGGCGCAGTGCGTCAAATCCCCAGGGCGGCGTTTCTCGGAACTGCCATTAGTAATGCCCAGGCCCAGTGAGGCCCGCTGAAAGTTCCCGCTACCCAGCAGGTGCAGCCCACCTGTGCCTCCCCTTGGGTAGCCGCCAGGTCTGCTGGGTCGATAGGCAGTTGCCGGGCGGGTTGCGGGTCCAATATTTTTTCCCAAGCACCTCAGTGCCCGAGCTCCCATCCCACGTCGACTCGTGAAACCCGCGAGCGACCGCCACCCTCTCTCCTGGCTGTCCTCGACAGCAACATCTCCTCGGCCGAACCATCACCTCCACGCCGTGCCAGTCGATCTTCAAGAGATCGCAATGGCTGCTACGGTGGTCTCCCCGCCGGAGCCGGGCTCGGAACACGAGGCACAGGCAGGACCCCCCGACGTCGCCACGGGGCCCAGGGAGCTCAACGGCAGTGCCGCGGACGCCGAGCCTCCTGCGATAAAGACCGAGCCGACGAGCGATGCGGACGACGATGGGGAGAAAGACCAGATCAACGTCAAAAAGGGCCCGACAATGTGCGGCGTTTGCGAGACTACAGTGTCCAAATACAAGTGCCCGCGTTGCTACTTGCCCTAGTACGTTATTCATATCGTCGTGAACAAGCATCAGACGTCCTGTTGCGTAAATGCTCTGCAATGCTCGAGTCGCCGCTGACATAATTGCGTCACAATAGCTGCTCTGTCGCCTGCAACAAGATCCACCAGGCCAACCATCCGCCAGACACGAAGCCGAAGCCCGAGCCTGCTCAAGCTCAAGAAAAGGCTCCCGCCGTCTCGCTCCTTGCCAAACCGTCTGCCCCCTCGAACCCCTTCTCAGCGCTCGACAACTCGGACAAGCTCACGTGGCTGTTTCGCAAGTACCCGGACCTGCCCCAGCAGCTGCTCGACATCCACGCCGAGACGCAGCCACCACCTGAGGACCCCAGCAAGCACATCCCGGCATCGCTCATGCAGGGCGTTGCTCCCCCGAGGAGAAACAACTGGACCCGCGACCAAGGTATCAAGAAGGGCAAGGCGGCTCTCCGAAAGGCGCGACAGCTACCCGGGAAGGAAGGCGAGGGGGTCCGCGAGTATTGCACTCTCATTCGGATGCTTCTCAACGAAGAAGAAGCCGACGACGGCGGCGCCACGGCGACCCTCCAGCGACAGTTCGCACAGCAGGATGCAGATATTATACGCCAACTGATGGAGGAGGAAAAGGGTCGCCGTTGAGCCTCGCGGATCCTCGGCGTTACGAGGATGTTTGTATGAGTCGCAGAGATGGGTGCCTTGGAGGCGTCATCTCAATTCACACCCGTCGAGCCATTATACAGCCGGTGTCGTGGGAATGAGGTAAGAGGTCACGCCCTGCTGGCTGGGAATGTTCTCTCTAACGCTTGAACCGCGCAAAGAACCCAGCGACCGGAGATTTGGGCGATTCCAGGGACCCTACTTTCTCGTCAGGCGGGGAAGGGGGCTTGTCCTCCTTTCCATGCTTGGTGAAACTTCCGAGGCGACCTCGCAGCGTCCATTTCGAATCTGGCTTGCGGAGAGGCGGCAGAGACTGAAACGGTATGTTCGCAGGTATCGACTGGCTCTGCGCCTCGTCGCTCTGGGTCCAGTCGACTCGTTGATGCTCGAGTGGCCCGCCCACAACATCGTCGCCCTTCGTCGGCTCGGCATACTCTGCCAGAGATGGAATTTCGCAGGAAGCTCTGAGCTGAGGCTCTGCCTTTCCCAAGATGCTACCCGTGCTCCTCCTTCTGGCCTCCTTTTCCGCACTGTCCTTGCTAGGGTTGAAGTGCGTTTCGAAGGTCCGCCGCTGAGGGATGAGCGGTGGTAGCTCATCGACTTCAGCCGTCGTCTCGAGGTTGAACGGGTGCTGAAACTGGTTGCGCTCGTACTGCCGCTCGCGTGCATTATGCGCCCTCCGCAGGGCTTGTGCCTGTTCGAAGGGAGCACTGCCGGCCGTAATGCCCGCCATTTCCCGGCTCGCGTTGGGGCCGTCGAGGTGGAATTTCATGGCCTTTTTGGACAGCTTGTGGACGATATGCCTCTCCGACAAGGTCTCGACCGTCGTCGTGCGGGCAAACTGCGCAGCCGCCACCTGAGGAATGTACGGATGGCCAGGGGCATGGCTTTCTTGGTCATCCTTTTGGCTCGAGGTGGACGAGGTCTTGGAGGCTGTCAGATGAAGCTTGCTTTTGTGCGGCTTGTCCCCCTCGCTTCTCTCCGTGGCCTTCGCTGGTTGCGCGGGAACGTTTGGCGACTTTTCCTTGACTGCCGCTCCGGACGAATCGGGCCTGCTGCGTCTCTCGGCCTCGGCTCTGGCCCTCCTCTTCCTCTCGGAGTGCGCCTTCTGCTCAGCGAGGACGATACGAAGTCTCCGCGAGAGATCGTCGGCATCCAATGGCTGGGGATGTGACGACTTGGGCTTTTGGCGCGCGGGCCTGGCAGGTCTGGCGGGCCTGTAACCTGGCGCCGCAGCCATGGCGGTTGTCCCCCTGTACTCCCGTGGCTGGTAGCTCATTGTAGCGAGCATGATATGGTGCGCGCGGGTTGCTCGTCTCTCGGAGGGGCCGACCAGCTGTGCTCCAGCGCAAGTACCGGCGCTCGTGTTACCTGTTTGCGTGATGGGCGGTGTCGTGTCGTTCGACAGGCAGCCGAATTCCAGACCAAGAGGGGGCAGGGCGGTAAATCAGGAGGGCAGCGTGTCTCTGACAAGACGGGATAGGCTGTCGTGCGACGGAAAAGGAGAGCTAGCTATTAGTTGAGAGCTCAAATCCGAGGAGGGTGTCTCGAGGCGTTTCTGGTGCACGTGCGGGTATCTTTAAATGTTTGCCGCCCGGAAAGCCGACGGACGAGAATCGCGATGAACCGGCAGTTTTGTCCGCCTGGCCGTGCAGCCGACCGGACTGTCGCACAAACACCGCCGCCGGAGCCAAGACTGCAAGTTTACAAGTACACGGGCGCCTTCAAAGGGTGAAGCTGAAGCTGTTCCCGATGAGTCGCTCCCCGTCCCTTTTGAGATCCTCTCGAAACCGACCCGTCGAGGATTTTGGACGGCACTTTAGCGCTGCCGGGGTATCGTTTAAAAGGGCGGTGGTGACTCGGGATGGGGACCCGGCGGGAAACCAGAAGCAAGGGAGTCGGCAAGTCCGTTAACTCCTTTGACGGGGGCGGTGGATAGGTAGATACCGCCCAGAGTTTATATATCTCCGAGGCAAGGAGGAGAAAAAGACGCTGGACAGATAAAGGAGGAGGAGAGGAGTGCAAATTTGAGGAGCCAGCCAGACGAACGGACAGGCGGACGGACGGACGAGGACAGGGAGGGACATGAAAGGGAACAAGACAGTTTTTGCACGGCAATGCAACCTTCTCGTCTACCAACGGCAAAGGGGGACAGCAGAAAGAGGTCGAATAGCCGGGCTCGAGCGCCTGACCACTTTTGGTGCCGAGAGCCAACCACCAGCCCAGCAGCAGCCAGAGAGCAAGCACCAGGGAAGGGGAAGGGCAGGGCAGGGCAGGGGGGGGAAAACAACAATAGACCAAACGGGCCGGACTCGCGGTAACTAACTAACTCAATGGACGCTGCACTGGGCGGCGGCGGCAGCCCCCCCTCCGTCGTCCCATTCGGCCCTTGGGGGGCGTGAGTGAGTGAGTGAGTGAGTGAAGGGCTCCATCCCATCCATCTGTGGGCGTGGGCGTGGGCGCCGCCTTGTTGGGTTGGCCCGCCCGCTGCGTGCAGGACACGCGATCAAGCGAGAAGCCAGCGGCCCTCCCCCCCCGCCGCTGCAACCCTGAAAAGGGGACGCAAAGTGCGGATGAGGAAAGGAGGCAGAGGCGGGCGGGCGGGGGGAGGGGAGGGCTGTCTCTTATACACATCTAGATGTGTATAAGAGACAGCGGCGGATCCGTTCGTCACGATGCGAGCGAGGAGCTCCAGTTCTGGATGGGCTTGGAAATTCGATGGCGCGCGAGACGCGGGGACCACCACACCCCCAAAGAAAAGCAGGCTTGGGGGGAACAAGCCACCTCCGCCTTTTTCTGATCTTCAGTTGCAAGTTGTTGCTTTTTGGCCTGTGCGCGGGTTGGCTCCAGAAGGGTCACGTTTCGGTAGCGGGCGCCTTGTGGGTGGTGGTGGTGGAGGAACCCCCCGACCCCGACGACCCTCAACTGAATCTGCAGCTCGGCGTGCAGTGGAGGCTGGAGGGGGAGGGGGCGCGCCGGCTTGCAGCTGGCGAGGACGCCCGTCGGCAGGGAAAGGGCGCTGCCGCTAGGGGCCCCCGGGGGCGCACCGGACACGCCCTGACCACATGCTGGGCGGGCACCACCGCACCTTCACCACCACCACCGCTGGCTCGCCCGCCCGCCTGCCCGCCGCCACCTCCGTGCTTTTATGCTCAAGGTTCAGGTACTGCACGGTTGTTGTCGGTGCCTTGGTGGCTTGTACATTAGGCAGTGCCCTCAGGGTATGCTTAGAGCACAAGTCGACCGACGAGCTGTCCCTTGGCGGCAGTACGCTTCTCGTCAAACACAGGTGGCGTTGGGGCATCGCGTCAAGTCATGACGGGAACATAATTATCTTACCGCTGGCAGCCGCGTATGGGCCAAATGCCTCGCCTTGCTCTTGCTTGTGAAAGCATAATACCCCAAGGCGCCTTGCAACCCGTATGCTGTACTTTGGGTCGCGCACGAACCTTGTGCAGATGGGGGATCGACGCCTGCACAAGCATGGTCCGCGACCTCTGAAGCTGCAGAGGAACGCATTCGTAGGCTGGCCCAGCTGCGAAGGAGTCAGTAGCAATGACAGACAGCACTGCGGGAGAAGAAGCACATGCCCACCACAGATGGCCAACCCGACCCTTTGCTCCTCGGCACATCTGCCGCCTCCAGTTGTCCTTCTCGGCCGGCCAAGGCACCGTCTCTTCTTCCCTTACCCTCCACGGTCGACCGGTCACCTGCCAACCCGCAGACGTCGCTAGGCATGGTGGCGCGAACCCCTGCCCGGGCGGTACGCGCCGGGTCTTGACGAATGCGATGAATCTCCCCGCTGACGACGTCGTCCTCGCCCTCGTCGTCGCGGAAACGGTCGGTCGCATCTTAAGCACCGCCCAGGGTTGCATCGCGCCTCTGCCCACGTCCCAGCGATGCCAGCTTGCTTGCTTGTTGGGCCACGCGCTGCTCACGACCTGCGCTGTCAGTCCACTGACTGTGGTGAACCATGTGAACCTGCCCCTCCCCCCTTCGTTCTTGTCCACTGCCCTCCATGGGGCCGGGCCTCGCCGCAACTCTATCCACCACCGGCAACGCGTGTGGCAGCCCGCCGCGACTGGCTTGGTTTTGGGGCGGGGACCGCTAGAGCGCTCGTGGTTCGTTGCACAAGCCGCCTGGCAAGGATGCGAGAACAAACCCCTGCAATGCCCTGCAGAATCCAGGTCCAACACGGTGGAGGTTTGAACACGGCTGCTGGACTGGGGTCAGTTGCTGGCTGATTCGCTGCAACCTTTCTCGGACCTTGGCGCGGCAAACCTTACTGACGCGTGTCTGTACAGCTGCAAGTACAGTCCAAGCCATGTGACTCAAGCCAGCGGCCGACAGAGTCAACAAAGTGCACCCATTCAGTTGGCGGACATCGATATTGAGCTTGTTGTGAAAGCTGACTTGGAGAAGCATGGCTCGCGCATCCATTTGCACCACCGTCCTCGGGACATCGGGGTCGCCGCTCGGAGATGTCAATGATGCCAGTGTTAAATTCCGAAGCATCCACGATAAGAGACTACCCGGTCCGTTGGCGAACCTGCAAGACCGACCGTATCCAGAACACGTGTAACCTCGCCCAGAGCTCGCTCCACGTTGGCGTCCATGAGTTGGAATGCCCGATCTGGCTTCTGCCGACTTTGGCATCCTGTTTGTCCAGCGAGTGTGGGGATCATCGCGGTCCTCCTTGCTGGCGCCTCCACACAACAGCTGACGGCCGGGGCCGTTCTGATGGCGGCGCTGTCAAGCTCCTGATATGCCCCCGTCAGACTACAGGATCAGACCAAGGCCGTTGTCCACCATGCGAGACCTGGATGTCGTTCCGACCGCGCGGACTGGTACTTGCCTTGGGCATGTGAGACAGCGGGGTCGGGGCAAGACAAGACCTGGACACGTCCCACCAGCATGAACGTGGATGCCCAAAGCCTCTCTGAAAGGAGATCAGTTGGAATGTTGGCGAGACCCTGCCGAGCTGGAGTTTTAACCCAAGCTTGCCAGGCTAATCTTCGTCATCCATTCTCTTGCTGTCGGTTCAAAGGTGCCGCAACGGCCGTGAGTCAAGTGTCCCTCAGCGCCATGCCATGTGTTAGTGGCGAGAGTTGCTCGCTGCCCCTTCTGGTTGCGGGAAGTCATTGTGAATTCTTCTGACATGGGTCAGCCATTTCGGAAATCATCTAGGGCACGGATTTGGAGCAGAGCCAGGAGGCCCGCCGCCATGGCTCGACCCACGCGGTCGTGATCGATGCAAGTCCAAAGGTGTCGTACTATATTGCCGTTGGTTTTGGGCTGGGACCTCCCCTGAAGGCGCCGCTGCCGCTGCAAGGGCCCAGGGAGGACGGAAACGACCCGTGCAATGTCCAAGGAGAGAGAATGACTAGTAGTTCGCGCAAACTGAGCTCTCGCAAGGGCAGCTGCACTTCGTACGAGGAGGAGCTGTACCTGAGCTCGTGGGGCTCTGGGCCGGGCTGTGATCGATTGGCCAGGGCCACTGACAGCCTGGTCCTACCCCCGTTTAGCGAAAGCCAATTGACGCGCGAGGGTGGCCAAGCAATACCTTGTGCGAGCAAAGGTCTAAGATGAGAAACAAGACAGATCGCCGACCTCGAGCACCAACCGGAGGCGGAGGCCGGGTTGGATGTTGACTGCTGATGCTGGCAGACGTGGTGCGAGATGCACGGCAGGTCCAGCTGTCATCCGTTGCGGAGCTCCTTCCATATGTTCGTTCAGTCGAGCCGCTTCACGGGCCACCTCACGGTACTTGGTCATCATCATGCTCCTCCTCTTGCGCCTCTGTCCCTCCTCGTCATCCGCGTTACAATCACGACTTGCCAATATCGGGTCCCGCATCCTCGCCAAGCATCCCACGTCTTCCGCGAGCATTGGTCTCTCCCTCCACAGAGCAGGGTCGTATCACGTCGTGCCCTCGTACGGACTCCCTTTGGCTCCATCATGACCCCTCCCGTCCATACCTGAGCAACTAAAAGTAGCTGTCAGCTGGTGAGCGCTCGCTCCCGCTCCACCTGCTATCGTATCTACCGGAACCCGGACCCTCACGGCGCAGGACCGGGGTCCCGTCTTGTCTAAGACGAACAGAGGTAAACACCCGCTCCTTCGTCGATCGCACCGAGGAAAAGCCAGGCAACGACTACGGTCTAAATCAGACAAAGATATCAGCTGCCTGCGATCCTCCTACCCACCCGTTATTATAACAGCGCCGCGCCGCGCCGTCCCCACGAACGAAGTCAGTCCCAACGGCATCCAACAAAAACCCGGCGGCTGCTAGTTCCTCGCCCCCCGGCTGACGAGGGACGGTCGAGAACCATCCAAGAGCCTCTATTGCTGCGTCAGCGAGCCTTATTCCGACAGGTCGGCGTCTAGACTGCGCATCGCATCGCATCGCATCGAGCACATGGCTGCCCGCCCGTGCGCTTGACCAAGTCAGCTCACCAACCAGAAAACCACCCGCCCATTGATCCTTGATTCGCGCCGCGCGACAAGTCTCCTGTCGCCGCCGTCATCGTCGTGGCTGATCCGGCTTGTGGATTGCAGGCTGGTAAGTGGCCCTCCTGTCCAGTAGTGTCCCAGTGGCTTTCGCCATCAACCACAAACGGCCTCGGTGGTGCGCGCTTCTCCAACTTGTCTGCGTCGGTCCCGCGAAGACCTGCCGGCTTCATTTATTGCTCAATCATCTCCTCGCCGCCGCCAGTCGCTGCCCCCCCATGCCACCACCCACGTCCCCTTCGCGCCGCTGAGGCCGCGATCGTGACCATGACTTCCAGCAATGTCAGCTCCCGCGAAGCTCACAGGACTTCAGACGGCCCCAGGCCCCATAGGCGCCCCTCCGGCGCCACGACCACCACCTCTTCCCGTCCCTCCGCATCCGCCGCCCGCGACTCGGCCCAGAGCAACGCGACGGCCAGCGTCTTTTCGCGCACATCCACCTCGACGGATCTGACGGCAAGCTCCAGCACGGCTTCATCGGCCGGCGGCCTGCTTCCATCCCGTACAAGTGGAGGCGATCGCGACTCCTTTGTCTCCATCGTCGACGACCCCTTTTTCAGTCGCTTTGGCCCCGCCATCGAAGAGAACGACGCCGAGACACCCCACCGCGAGCCGTCATCCGAAGACGAATCCTCCCCGACCGATCGTGACGACAGCGATGACAACGACAAGACCCAGCGCTGGCCGCCTCCACGTCGAGAGTCATTAACTATTGGCCCTTCGCAATACTACTGGGTAAGCAGCAAAAAGCAACTCGAATGCGGCAAGCTCATAGGATGTGCCTGCCCCTCATGAGCTCTGCCCATGCCCAGCCAGCCCCTTTGCCACGAGCATCCATCCGTTGCGCGCTGCGCCCCAGCTGGCGACCCGCGCTGACAGGGGTCAGCGGAGGAGCTCCGGCTACATGCCCCGGGGTGTCTGGGGACGTGTGTGTTGACAAGTATTGGAACGCGGAAAAGCTGACGCTTGTCTTCTGCTTGCTTCAGTCCAATTCAGGCTCCGCCATGGAGAGCTACAACGTCGCCGTCATCGGCGCATCCGCCGTCGGCAAGTCGACCCTCATACAGCGTGTCTTTACGCTACCCCGGCCGCCCATATCCAACGCCTCGACCGTACGGCAAGTCGTGGACAATGTTCCAATCATGGTCACCCTTCTCGAGCTGGATCTCGACCACTTCGAATTCAGTCCCCCCGAAGCAATACAATGGCCCAAGCAGATTAATGGGCATATCATTCCTCGGGTGGATTCTGCATTGATCCTCTACGACGTCACCGATAAGAGGTCACTGCGTCAACTTCACGACGTCGCCAGTACGCGCGCGCCCTCGTCCCGAGCTCAAGGCTCGTCTTTGCATGTCGCTGATCCACGGTCCAGCTGCTCTTGCCAACTCCAACCTTCCTGCCGTTCTTGTTGCTTGCAAATGCGACGGCGTGGAGGAGGAGGACTGGGAGGTCGATCCAGACAAAGTAGCCATTCACGAGTGGTTCAAATCGTGCATCGCTAGCTACAAGGTGGCCATAACGAAGCCCGATGCGTGCCGAGCGTGCTTGCAAACCATCTTGAGGGCTTCAATATCGCATCGCAAAGGTAATCCGCGGTCATCTCCAATGTGTGGGCTCCTGTCGTTGACTATTTCAGACGACAACGGAGAGACAACGTCGCGAAGACGAGCCCGGTCAGCCGCCAACCTGGAGGCTCCCGATCACACCGGAAGACCACTGAGCCAGCACAGCAAGCATAGCCGAGCCAGCTCTGACTTTTCAGTTCTGCGCGGCTTCTCCAACGCGCAAGGAGGAGATTCACATCGCGCCCAAGCCTCGAGGAGTCCACGGCCAGGTGCGACTGGTGTCCAGGTCGTTGAATCGCAAATGCTGACTTGTGGCACAGGCTTCCGGTTCGATAGACCAGGCGGCGATTCATTCCTCGAGCTGGAGGAGTCCGAGGGAGAGTCGCGCAGAAACTCTGACGACATTCCGATACTACAAAGGGGCGATGATGCGATTGTCGAGAAGCAGCCGAGGGTCGCGGGTGTTACTTTCGACGAGCTTGTCGACCGCTTGCTCGCAATGCGACTGTCTAGGGCAGATAACAACTTCTCCGACATCTTCCTCTGCTTGTATCGAAAGTTCGCTGCGCCAGGAGAATTGTTCTCCGCCATCCTCCTCCGGCTAGATCGAGTTCGCGACGACAAGACCGCACACTATCTCACCAAGACAGCCACACAGCTGAGGATTATCGAGGTAGTGGCGAAGTGGGTGTCGCTGTATCCCGGCGACTTCGCCCGACCAACGACGCGCCGCAATCTCGAAGACTTCATCAAACACCTCTCCACAGAGCCTGTGTTTTCCCTTGCCTCGCAGCAGATGCGTCGAAACCTCCAGCTTAATGTGATTGTCGATGATGACACGGGGTGGGCAAACGCCGATGACGCAGGCGACGAGCTTGCCAGCAAGATCTTGTCCAAGGATATGAACGAGCTGCCCACTGGCATGAATGCCCTTCAGTTTGACGAAGAGACGGACGGACGACCTTCAAACAGCTCCGAGACGTCGGTCCCTGACAAGGCAAGCACGACAGGGTCGCAATTCCAGTTCAACTCGTATGAGGAGTACGAGCAGCAGGCGAGCCAGTTGGAGCCCACTGATTACCTGCCCATGAACAAGTTTCGATACCACATCTTCATGGACATGTCGGATGATGGTATAGCCGACGAACTTACCCGCATCGACTGGATCATGTTCTCTTCTATCCGCATTCGCGACTTCGTCCGCCACGTCAGCTTATCCAGCGCGCAAAAGGAGAAGTGCAAGAGTCTGCGAAACGTGAATCGCATGATCAACCACTTCAACCACATCGCCAAATGGGTTGCTAACATGATTCTGTTGAGGGATAAGGCAAAACACCGGGCTCAGATGCTGGCCAAGTTTATGAACATTGCCGTCAAGCTGCGGCAAATGAACAACTACAACGGGTTGGCGGCGGTGCTGGCCGGGATCAATGGGACGGCTATCCACCGGCTCGCTCAGACACGAGCTCTAGTGCCACCTGATGTGCAAAAGCGCTTTGCGACGCTGACAATCCTGATGGGGACGCAGAAGAGCCACTTTGCGTATCGTTTGGCTTGGGAAAACTCTCCGCTACCGCGGATACCTTTCATCCCCCTTCATCGTCGGGATCTTGTGTCGGCCGAGGAAGGCAGCAAGACGTTTGTGGGACCTGATGGTGACCGCATCAACTGGAAAAAATTTGAGGTGCTGGGGGAAGTGCTACTGCCCATCATGAAGAGCCGAGGCACGGCGTATCGCAACCTCAGCAAGCTCGAAAATACCCGAGATCTGATACTGGGGTGCCGCATGCCCACGGACGACGAGGTGAGTTTCAAGCCAGCACGCGGCTTCGCGGCTCACGAAGCTGACAATGCGCAGGAAATCTACCAGCGGAGTTTGCAGGTCGAGAGCAGTTCGTCGGGCCCAGTAGAGCCAAGCAAGAAGAAGTTTCCTTGGTTTGCCAAGTAGGGCTGCGAGCGGAATGCCGTGAACAGATGACTTGGATGATGAAGAGGTGGCGTGACGACTGAATGATATTTGGGACAGTTTATGAAGACCTCGGGCAGGTCGAGATCTGACGACATCTTGGGAAGAATAGATACATGGCTGCGAACAATTGAAAGCGAAGCATACTCATGGTGCGGCGTCATCCTATCGAGTCGACTCCCCCCAAGCCAAAGAGTTGAATGTACACTTACCTCGTACATCGTGCGTGAAAGTGTGTGTGCCTTCCATTGTTGAAGGGTCGCGAGCGCTCTTGCCAAATTCGTGTCTACGCCGGGTACCACCTTCCCATTGACAAGTCAGTCCAGCGTCGCCCTGTCTGTCCTACATTTTGTCGCCTGTCAAGCTGGCCCTGGGGACAGAAACCTTGTTGCGATGTGTGCGGTGGCACCAACAGCACCCACCGTCATCCTTCATCGCCGACAAGTCCAGCTCATGGGCGTTTTCAATGCCCAGCCATGCAGCACGCGGCCGTTTCCTTGCCAGACCTGCACCTAGCCAGCAAGGTCGACGGTGCAGAGCTAATCGTCAGGGGCTCGCTCACGCTCAAGCTTCCGGTGGCGCTCGGTCGACCGCAAACCAGCGCCGAGCTCTTGGGTCTCGTCACCAGTAATCATGTCTGGATACGGCGAGCAGGTCCGTGTCATCTGTACGTCTCTGTTACTGTGGATGGCCATGCGCTCATGACTCCGGGGCACATGGCTCGGATCGTGCAGTGGGTGGAAGGATGCGAGGTATGGCCTCATCAAACAATTCCTAAACAGGCGGCTTCACTTTTGCTCATGCGCAAGCAACAGGTATGGGATCGACTAGGTTGCCGCATTCAGGCCTGTGCCGACTCGAACAGCGACTCGGAAAAGGCCTTCTCCATCCAGCATCCCGATATGTCGTCTAGCTTGATTGCCCCTGCGGGAGCTCCTACAGCGGACTTTGCGTCTTGGTCATGTTCTCTCGAACTCATTACAAAAGAGGCGACGCCGCCAGATGCTAAACGCGCACCAAAGAAACGAAAGTTGATGAGGCACGAAGCCGACAGCGGCGGGCCCAGAATGGACAGTCTTTTTTCCCAGTACTTGACGGCGACCGATCACAAGGCTGTGGAGGACTTTGTTCGAAGTATAAACCTTCGCTCAGAAAGCGCCGAGACACGAGGGGGGCCGAAGAGAAAGAGCCAAGACTGCAAGCCAGTATCTGAACTGTTGGATTCTACCAGCGTCCGAGACCTCGTACAGACAACCCTAAGGACGACGATCATGGGACGTAGGGGGCAAGTGAAGGGAGTGTCTTGGATAGGGGAGACCCCGTCGCATTCTCTTGTTGACTTGGCTCCAGCGGTTTTCCATATGCCATATCTCAAAGTCCGTAAAGCTCTTCCTTCCAAGATCCTGAGCCATGCTTACCAGTTCACAGGAGATATCGGATCGAGCCAGGTTGCTGCCCGTGATAGCAACATCTCTAGCGAAGCTCGTAAACGCAGAGTCGCCAACGTTGAGGCAAAAGGTCGAGTCACTTGGAACGCTACCCAATTCGGATTCTGGGCAAGACGAGGTGCAGGGAGTCGACGCGAATAGCTTGGTATCAGGTATTGAGAGGAGGACCTGGGGTGTCCTCGTGACAACGCTTGAACCACAACACTTGAACAAGAGGGCAAGTGCAAGGAAGGGCGGACCGACTGCACCAGTGCCAACAACGGAACACGCGCCTAAGCCAGGTGTGGGAGGTGGATCTCTGGAAGACTATGCAACCGTACAACCGACGATGGTGACATATTTTGAGGAGGGCGAGGATGTCGTCATGTCTCTGTCCGAGCCGTCGACGGTATACAGCAGTCCTCGTACCAGTGCCCCGTACAGAGAGTTCTCGCCTTACCGACTTGGAAGCTCTGGCTCCGAAGGCGGCTTCTTAGCGACACCCTCGACCGTTCTAGCACCATTCGTGGAGCCCAGCATCTATTCAGCACCATCGAACAGCCACCCGCAGAGTCAATCATATACACAGTGGCCGACCTCCAGCCAGGTATGGGAGCGCCGGGAGGGTGACTTCGCCACAAGCCGCGGCAGATGGGACCAGTCGCAAATGTCGCACCCAGGCTCCTATATCAATTTGAATCAATTTTCGCACTATGGCTGATTTCTCAGGCAGATAGTTAGCATCGCTGGTGAGAATGTACAGTACCAAAATGTATTAAGTACAGCAAGAGAAATGCAGCAAAGGCTGTCGCTCGGTCATCGCTTGCCAGCAAGACGGACTGATCAGATGGTGTCTATCTATCAATATGCCCAACGCCAAATTCAATCGTTGTCCCGGCCTCCTATTTCGAAGCCATCCACTCCGAAGATGGGCCGCAAGGACCTTCAGTCAAGTGCATCGAGACTCGGTTTCGGTTCTCGAGGACGGGCAAAGTCGTGTAGGCGGGTCGTACAGAGTTTACCTCCTCGCGGGAGCGGCCTTGCCGTTGTCCTTGGCCTTCTTCTTCTTTTGCTCGGGCTTCAAGGTGGCGAAGTGGATGTACCAGATGAGGACGCACTGGAGAGCCAGGCCGAGGATGACGACGATAAGGGTGACGAAGAGCTGAGGCTGGTCGTTGAGGACGGCGACGGCCTCGGGCGTGGCGCCGACCTTGCGGAGCCACGAGAAGTCGGCCATGGCTGGATGCTGGCTCGCGCGCAGATGGCTGGTGCACGGTGAGACGCAGGTGATGGGTGCAGATGTCGTTGGCGTTTGATGGACGGTGCTTCTGAAGACGACGCCTGCGGATGTGAGGCAAGCAATTACACCTAGGTGATGCTGTCCAGGCGGGTGCACTCAGCGAGTCGGCACAGCGGGTGGAAGTTGGCAATAGTGAAAGACACGACGAATTTCACGACAGGCGCACCGAAAACAGGATCAAAGGGACAGGAGGAAAACGACGAGCAACATGGGCTCTTCGTGGTTCCGAGCGGCATAGAGTGGCAGTACAACGGCGGGCGCGACTGGCCCCACGGTGGGAAGCGAAGCGCCGGTGTTGCGCTGGCTGCGGGACCGAGATGCAATCAGGAGGCTGCCCTGAGACGTTTCACCGGTGCGCCAACCTTGTCGGAGCTTGGCGGCGCGGTGCGGTGCTCGGACGGAATGGCGTGGTGGATGCGTGCCATGGAAAGCTGCGGTATCTACGTGCAGCGCGCGGGACGGGATGGCACATGTTGTGCAAAGGGCAGGATGTTGGCCTAGGAGCTTGAAGAGAGGCAAAACCACAAAGCGTTTGTTCGACCTACCAGCCATCATGCAACCACAATAATGGTTCCAGGCGCTGTCTCTCTGCACAGAGAACATGAAACAGGGGCGTGGTGTTGCAAGTGCATCACGTGAGAGTGCACGTGTCTGTCCCTCCAAAGGGCCCCCTGCCACCGGCACGGACGACAGGCAGGTCCCCATCTCGCGCTAGCACAAACGGGACCGGGCGTTCAATTGGGGCATCGCAGGTCGTCCTGGGAGGCTCCAGAAAAATCTCGAGCTCGTGTGAGAGCGCTCACATCACGATATCACGGACCGACCAGGCGCCGCTCTCGACGACACGACACGACACGGCACGACACGGGCCCCGTGCCACCATCCCCCCCATACACTGCCCCTTCTAGCTCGCTCGCCTCAGCGGCAAGGCAAGCAGGCAGCTCGGCGGCCATGAGCGTCGCACGCCCGGCACATGGCCTCCTCGGGCGGTGCCTCGCCTCGACGCGCTCCTCCCGCCCGGCAGCGGCCTCGGTCCAGTGCGCCCAATTCCACAGCTCAGCGGTGCGCTCGAAGCGGCGGTCACGGTTCCGCAACGTCAAGGCCGAGGAGCTGGGCCTGCTGAGCCCCTCGACGCTGGCCAAGTACCGCCAGGAAAAGTTCCCCGAGTACTCCAAGCAGGACCAAGAGGCGCTGCGGAGCAAGTACACGCCCGAGCAGCTCGAGGCCCTGCGCGCCGGCGAAAAGGCCGTCGATCCGGACGACCTCGTCTTCCAGGGCCGCCTGCGCGACGACCCCTACCGCCCCAACTACGTCGAGGACTACACCGTCCTGGACCCGAGATACGACCTCAGGCCGCAGCCCGACGTGACGCCCCGCGAACCCGAGTGGCTCAACCACAACGACTGGGTTGATCGGTATGGCGCGCGCATGGCCCAGCTGACGGACAAGAAGACGACGGATCAGCTCACGCGCGCCATGGTCCGCGCCCTGCGGAGGGTCAAGGAGAGCAACGGCCAGGAGCTCATCGACCTGACCGAGGACGAGCTCAAGGACATTGAGAAGGACCCGGAGCTGCTCAAGCGGTACCTGGTCGACGAGGACGGCGAGGGCGCGCAGCCCGAGCCCGACGCCAACGCCTCGGGCCCGGACCTGCTGACGCGCGCCCAGGCCATGAAGCTCGACGAGGCCGTCGACGCCGAGTGGAAGAAGGAGCTCGACAAGCTGTCGTCGCTTAGCGACCCCGGCGAGGTGCAGCCCTCCAACCTCGAGCTCGTCGAGGACGGGCCCGCAGGCGCCACTCGCGTCCACTCGGCCGAGGCCGTGGAGCTGGGCAAGGTGCCCGGCGTCGAGGGCCTGTACAAGTCGGCCGTCGACCCGGAGGACGAGGGCCAGGACGACGCGGGTCACTACCAGGAGATCAAGCGCCTGACGGGCATGAGCCTCAAGGACATCCAGTCCATCTACCGCAAGGTCCTGGTCACGCGCTGGGTCTCCAACCAGACGCGTCTGGGCAAGGTGCGCAGCACCTCGGTCGTCGCCATCGCCGGCAACGGCAACGGCCGCCTGGGCCTGGGCATCGCAAAGTCCACCGAGGCCGGCCTCGCCGCCGAGACGGCCCAGCTGCTGGCCATCCGCAACATGAAGCCCATCCGCCGGTACGAGAACCGCACCGTCTACGGCAACGTCAGCGCAAAGGTGTCGGGCACCGTCGTCGAGCTCTTTGCCCGCCCGCCAGGTAAGGCAGCCCAGCCAGCCCCCTCCCCCCCAACACGCACAGTCAACATGGACGGTTCTAACGAAGCTACCCGCAGGCTTTGGCCTCCGCTGCCCGCACCGCATCTTCGAAATGTGCCGCGCCTCGGGCCTGCACGACATCGCGGCGCGCATGCCGCGCTCCAAGAACCCCATGAACTCGGTCAAGGCCGCCTACAACGCGCTCGTCAACCAGCCCGACCCCGAGGAGATTGCCATTGGCCGCGGCAAGAAGATGGTGGACGTGCGCAAGGTGTACTACGGCGGCGCTGTATACTAAGGGAGGAACTGAAAAGAGAAGAAAGGGGAGAAGAAGGATGGCATCCGGGGGAGCGCAAGTCGCAGGAAGCGGCACGGCCGTGCGTGCGTGTATACTACCAGCTATGTATATTGTCGATAGAGGGGAAAGAAGAGAGGGAAATCTCCCGGGACTTTACGTCCAAGACTATCGAACGCTTACCGAGTGAAACTGGCCTACGCGCGAACCGTCATCCGAGCCTCGTGTCATTTCGTAGGGTATCAAAGAAGCAAGAAACAGGGCACCAGAACGCCAATCCCACTGCATCACCCGGCATGCCTTCGACCTTCAAAAAGCTTGTCTCCTTTTTGCATTCCCCCTCCCTCCCTCATCATGTCGTCCGCTCTTTCCCCTCCAGGCTCAAGTCCTCTCTCGGCCGGGGCTGCTTTCGCTTTCGCTTTTCGCTCTTCACTGCCCATCATCGCCCGCCTCGCCGCCTGGGCCGCCGCCGCCGCTCCCCCAGTCAATCTCCTGCTGCAGCACGATGCTGTACACGCTCGCCTTGAGCAGCGTAAACGCCAGGCTCGTCTTGCGCTCCAGCTCGCGCAGCCCGTCGAGGATCTGCGTCGTCGGCCGCGAGGCCAGGTCGTCGAGCACCGCCGCGAGCTAAACCGTACACCCCATCAGCTTGCTCTGTTCTCTCCCTTGTTGCCTGCCTGCCTCTCTCTTTTGCCCTTCCTCCTGTCTAGTCCCCGTTTCTTATAATTCCTCCTCCTATCGTACTTCCCTGTCTTGAATGGGGAAAGGAGAAGGGAAGGGAGCGGCAGAAGAGAAGAGATCGGTCGGTCGGTGGGTGAGGCGAGGTGAGGCGAGGGTGTGGCATCTTACCTCCTTCATGTTGTTGGCCAGCCGCTCGTACTCGTCCAGCACCTCCTGCTCGAGAGGCGTGAGCTCCGGCGGGGAGAGGAGGTTGCTGGCGCCCGGGCCGGTGCTGCTGCTGTGCTCCATGGCGGCGACGCGTGGGTTTGCAGGTGGTGGTTCGTCGGGCCGGTTGTTTGGAGGAGGAGGTCGGAGGACGTGGTAGTACTCGTGGTGCTCGTGGCGGTGGGAGCTGGGGCGAGACGCGTCAGGCAGTGGAGGTGGGCTTGCTGCCACGCGTGTGAAAGACGTGAGGTGAGGTCGGGCGTGGAGTTGGCCTGCTTTGGCGGGATGGTGGGGTTAATTCACAGCTGTGACAGACCCCTGCAGTCTGCACCATCTCTCCACCACCATCACTTCGACGCCCGGCAAGGGACAGGCACAGATCACTGCTCTCTCGTGTTAACATCACCCATTCCCCTTGGCATTGCTCATCTCCAGAGGTTGCAGAACCGAATATTTGTTACAATTAACAGCTATCACTTCATGTACTCGTCATATCCCATCATGGAAGTAACCCAACAAAGCAAACACACAAAACGGAACGCTCAAGGCGGCAGGCACACAATCTCGTCCTGTACTAATCCATACAACATACTTTGTACCACTCCATGCTGCTCTACTTCGTGTCTTGGGTGTCGGGGCATCGCCCAAACGACAGAAGACGCGGTGTCGTCGACCTCTACTGACCGTACAGCACGAGGCCGTTCTCGGCGCCAATATCGGTGCTGGCGTCCGTCCCGATGACGCTCTCCGTGTAGTCGCTATACTCGTCGCCGTACTCGCTGGTCCCGGCCTCGGACTCGTCGTACTGATCCGTGCTCGATGTAATCACCGTGGTGCCCATGCTGCTCCGCCGCAGCGTGCCGGCCTCGCTGTGATCATCGTCGCCGTCGTCGTCAAGCGCCGAGTCGAGCACCGTCGTCTCCTCTCCCGCAAAGTCGATCTCGGTGGTTCGGTCCGGCTGAGGCGTCTCCGGCTCTTCCAGCTCTTCCACCGTCTCCGCCACGCCAACGTTCTCCTTGTCCTCAGAGTCAAACGCCTTTCCAAGGCCGCCGCCCCAGCTGCGCTTCCGGAGCGCGTTCGCGCCCGCCGGCGTCCGCACGCTCTGGCTTCGCTTGACCAGACCCGACGACATGTTGCTGTGCATCTGGCTGAGAGACGCAATACGCCTCGCAGCTCCGTTCGATGCCGGCGGTGCCAGGTTACGCTTTGCCTGCAGGGCCATGTTGACGACGGGCCGGGGTTTGGGGACCTCAGCCTCTTCGCTGGCAGGCTTCTTGACGCGCTTGCGGCTCATATTGTCGCGGTCCTTGCTAGACTTGGACATGAGCAGAACCCGTGAATGGTCCATGACGCCCTCCATGATGCGCCGTTCAAGACGTTCTGCGCGGTGCTCCATCTCCGAGAGCTCCTCCTTGCGCAATCGCATGGCCGTCTCGAGCGAGGACACGTCGCCTGTGAGTCTAGTCTTCTGGCGGATGAGACTCTCCTGCTCCGTGCGGAGGCTCATGACGCTCTTGCGGAGCCTCTCTTCCTCATCCTTGAGGCTGAGGATAGACGTCTCCACATGCTCCTTTTCGGCCAGCCGGCGCTCCAGGGAGATGATCGTCTCCTGGAGAGTCTTCTCGCGGTCCTCGTGGTCGTCCGAGATGCGCTGCGTCTGAGCAGACAGGAATTGAGAAATCTCGGCAGCCGTGTTGACGACAGACGCGTGCACCTTATCCAGGGTTTCAAAGCGCGAAAATGCCTCCGTAGCCGTGGCGCTGTGGTCGACGAGCCTGTCCAGCTTCTCGTGGACGCCGGCGTCGTCGTACTTGTCCTCGACCAGCTTATCGATCTTCTCGTGGAGCATAGAGTCGTCGTACTTGTCTTCGAGCAGCCTACCCAGAGTCTCTCGGACCTCGGTGTCGTCGTATCTTTGCTCCACCAGCCTGTTGAGCGTCTCCTTGACTTCCGAATCGTCGTACTTTTGCTCCACCAGCGTATTGAGCTTCTGCTGCACCTCCGAATCATCATACTTCTCCGGAGGGGGCAGCATGGGCTGCTCAGGCGGCTTCGACTCCACAATCTTGTCTTGGAGGTTGGTGGCGGAGGATTTGGAGTGCTCGTAGTGCTCGCCGACGAGGAGGAGGAGGTCTTTGACTGCCTGCAGGATTTGGGGCTGGTATTCCTTGACTTCGCCCTGCAAGCCCTCAACGACTGCGACGGCTTGCTGGATGTGCTCCCGCGTCTGTGCATGCTCAGACTTGCCCTCGGCCTGGTGGTCGTCGGTTCGAGAAGCGAGCTCTTCGACCCTTTCGAACACAGTCTTCGAGGCTTCCTCCATCTTCTCAAGCGAGTCTGTGACGGTCGAACCCAGAGTGTCAATCAGCAGCTTCAGCTCATCCGCAACCGCCTTGGTTCCGACGACGGCAGCCTCCGTCTCGATGTCCCGCGCCTCACCCGCCGCCGACTTTTCGTCGAGCGAGATCTTGAACTCGTCATACTTGGCAATGAGCTCCGTGATCTTGTCGTCGATCTTGGTTCCTATGCTGTCCGTGGCTTCCTGGAGCTTCTCGTTCGATTCGAGTCTGGCACCGGCGACGACCTCCTTGGACTCCTCGAACTGCGTCTTCATATTGTCGAACATGTCTTTGAGGTCTTGACTGACGTTCTCGTTCTTGTCGATCTTCTCGCCCATGGATTCAAGGAGCTTGCCGAGCGCCTCGACACCAGACGTGCCCTCCTCAAGCTTGCCCTTGACGGCCTCCTGGAATTCCTCCAAGAACGTTTTGACCTCGGCCACTCGGTCGGCCACACCAACGATTTCGGCTTGGCGATCATCCTGGGCTTTGGTCGATACCTCGGAAAGCTCTTGGAGCTTCTCGTTGGCCTCCTTGACGATGCTCTCAATGTTTGAGAGATCCTCCTTGTTCGATAGAGCTGCAAAGTCTGTGCCAGTAAAGCCGTCGAGCGCCGTCTTAATCTCGAGTACGACCGTTTCGACAGCTTCAACGTCCGTTTTGGTGGCCTTGTCGTCGTTTTCAGCGTCCTTATCTGCATGCTCCTTCAACTCGCTCAAGCCGACGGTAAGTTGCGTGAGCAGAGATTCAAAGACAGTCAGGTCTTCCTTTTTGGACATAGCGCCAAGCTGCTCAACTATAGAGTCCATTGTCTGCTTGGACTCCAATGCAGCAGCCTCTACGGCATCAAGCTGCTCTTTTCGGACAGCTTGCTCGCCGTCAATGAGGTCGTCAAGGCGAGCTTTCGTGTTGCGCAGAATCGTCTCGATGGCTTCGACATCATCCTTTGTCGCAACATCCCCAGGAATAGGAGCAGCATCCGACGCCTCCTTCTCGGCTGGTGCTGGAGGCTCTCGAGAAGAAATCTCTTCAACGCCTTCCTGGACGTTTCGAAGCATGTCCTCCAGCCGAGCCAGATCCTCCTTTTGCACGTTGTCCGTCTCGGCTTCGGGGCCCATAGCCTCGACCTTGATTCGGAGCTGTGTGATGAGAACCTCGAGATTCCTGATGTCATCCTGCTTGACCATGTCTGCCGGAATGATGGCCTGGTCCGACCCGAGATTGTTGACTGTGGCTACTGCTCTGTCATTGCCGTCGTCGCGCAGCGTCTCGATGTCAGACCTGACAGAGTCCAGACCACTCTTGAGAGCGTCCAGGATCTCATCGTTTGCGGTTAGGTCGACCGGCTTGTTAGTCACTCTGTCGATCCCAGCCCGAATCTCGTTGAGACCATCGTTGATGGCATCCAGGATTTCGCTGGTCTCGGGTCGAGGTCTCAAGATCTCCTGCCTGAGGTTGTTAAGGCCGGTTTGCAGCGCGTCGAGGACTTCATGGTTGTTGTTCGCATTTTGGGGCGTCGCAGGGACCATTGACGAATTGACAACGTCACGCAGGCCCTCAAGTTCGGTTTGGAGCTGTACGCGCGCGCCTTCGTTGGCCTGCGTAACAGCATGGGACAGCTCTTCCTTCATCTCCTCGACTGTCCTGGACAGATGCTCCATGAGCTCCTCGTGTCCACTCGCGCCAGAGACGCGGTCAACATAGCTCTCAATGGCAATGCGGAGATTCTCTAGGCCGTCCTTGGTGGCGTCGAGGACTTGTTCCGTGTCTCGGCCGTTGGCAGCGACATTGTCCTTTGCCTCTTCAGAGACCGCCTTGAACTCAAGCTTCATGTACTCCATGATGTCTTGGAGGCGCAGCAGAACCTCGTCGTTGTCAGGCTGGGCTCTAACAATGGCATCTCCGCGAGGAAACTCAAGCCCTTCCAGGCCCTCCTTGACTGCGTGGACCATATCCTTGTGCGTCATGTCGTTGCCAATCGCAGACGCCGCCACAGGGAATTCAAACTCCTCTAGGCAGTCACGGACAGCCTCGATAATCTCGTCCCTAGACATCGTCGCCGAGGTGTCCATGCGCGGCGGCACAAAATGCTTCAGGCCTTCGACGACGGCCTGGAACACCTCATCCCTGGTCGCGCCAACCGGTGCTTGATCACGAGGCATGTACTCCTGGATGCCCTCCTTGAGGCAGGTAAGGACTTCGTCGCGCTCCAGACCGAGCTGCTGAACCTCGATCTCGGGCTTGTAGTTCTCCCAGGCGTCACGCACAGCCTCGATGACGTCCTCGCGGCTAAGATCGGGCATCTCACCGCGAGAAGCTTCGTTGTCACGGAGTGCTGCACGCATAGCGTTGTAGATCTCCTGATAATCGATCAGGGTCTTCTGCGAGGAGGCCGAGGCCTGAGACTGTCGTCGATGCTCGCGGAGGACGTTGTTTAGCTGCTCCTTCATCTGAGCGAGGCCCTCATCGATCACCCTTGAGACTTCATCTTTGCTGGGAGGGTCCGACTCTTCATCGGCCCTGACACCCATCTTCTCCAGGCGCTTGCCGAGCTCACGGCCCATGCCCAGGACCTCGCCCCGAAGTTCGCGCACCAGAGCCTTGACCTCGGCCGTCAAGCCGCCGCCCTGCGCGACGCTGTCCTTGACTGACTGAATGATCTTGATGAGGTCCTCATTCAGCAGGTCGGCGCCACGCCCCGCCGAGCCTGGCAAGCTGCGATTCTCACTGCTGTGGAGAAGGCGCTCGACTCTCGGGGTCATGGAGCCGGCCGCGACGACATCGCCGCCAAATGGTGAGCCGCGCGCAGAGACATCTGGGACGATTGCGCTCTGCGACCTTTCGCGAACGAAGCGAGCGAGGTCATCCACCTTGGAAGCCGTCGCCAGCCCGGATACCTTTTGCGACAGCTCGTTGAGGAGGCCGACCAGCGACTCCTGTCCATCTTTGGTACCGAGGCCGCGCAGAATCCTTTCAAGGATGGCAATCGAGGCGGGGCCATCCACGCCCACGAGAGAGGGTGTGCTCACGGAGGCGCGGTCGATAGACTCGGCAAAGCTCTTGGGTGATGGTATCCGGGGGAGTTGGAACGAACCCCTATGAGGCGGCGAGGTGCAGTGAGGCTTGTTGTCGAGGAACAGCCCAGAGTAGTGTTCGCGCGAAGAGATTCTGCTGGACGCCTCGCTCACATTACCCATCAGGTCTCGTAGGCTCCTTCGAATGTCCTCATCCCTGGTGTTGGTGGCCTCCTTGAGGCTGAGAAGGTCGGTGGCATTGTCGCGACTGCGCCTGCTGAGCGCCGACAGCTCCTTTTGCAGTGACTGGGCGATGCCAGTGAGATTGATGATCTGACCAGACAGGCCCTCGATGGTCGGGGCACCTTTGCTAGGGGTCGCGCCGTTTGTAACACTCGAGAGGGCAGGGTTTGCCTCTCGGGATGCTTGTTGGATGCCCATGGTCTGAAGGGCGAGCATAGTCGACGACTGAGGCGGCGTGTTCTCTCCCAGTATGCTCTGGGGAGGCGGTCGACGGACCGTCGGTCGGACAATTGGTGTGAGGCTGGGGCCAGGACCCGGGTTCGAGCTCTCGTGCTCGATGGCGCTCTCCCGGAGCTGGTTGTTGTTATTGTTGCTGGTGGGAGTCGACGGTCGGTCGTGCTTGTCGAAAGATCGGCCGGGGGAGCCAGGAGTGTTTCGCCCGCCGTCGATCATAAGACTCATGTCCCGGACGGTGCCAGGCTGCAGCGACTGCATGCGACGGTGGCCCTTGATCATGGATTTTTCGGGGGAGCCGTCCTGGACCCGCTTGGCCAGGGACGGGACGACGGCGTTCTCGCGGGCTCGCTCGCTCAGCGCAGCATGGGCGGACTGGATGGCAATACTAGTGCCGGCCCGCGACGAGAAGCTGGGCGACTGCGGATTCAAGGGCAACGGCGGGGGTGCACGTTCAGGATCGGAGCTGTCCCACCTGTGAAGCCATCATCAGTCAGTAGAGGTGTCGGGCAGACAGAGCAACCAAAGTTGGCGAGATATCAGACGCACATGGGAATCAAGGCTCGGCTGCCATGATCAGAAGAGGCAGAGTGTTGATGTTTCAGCCGGTGGTCCCCTTCGGACCAGACCGACTCCCGGTCCGTACTGGCGTGTGACTGTGGCATCCTATCTCCGGACTATGGTCTGACGGAGAGGGCAGCTCTGGAATGCGATGCGCGAACGTCAAGAATGCGGACGGCGCCGCTACCACGCTTGGGGCAGCTCCAATGACGTGCGCGTGGAGGGGCAGCAGCTGGGCGTGTGTGTGCGTGCCTGCGGGATCAGCACGGCGGCGAGGATATGGGGCACTGGAGGGAAGTGCTCAGCAAATTGAGGTTGCGGGAAGCTGGCTGCTTGGGTGGGATGCGGAGAGAGCTTGGTGTTGAGGCGGGCAGGGTAAGTAAATAACAAGGCGCCATGGCGAACGGGAAGGCAGGCTGGAGGGTGGGCAGCGACTGACTTCCTGGGTAGGTACGGGCAACTAGTAGCACACCTCCAATGGGGAGAGCCCAGCCCAGCTCACCTCAACAACGTCCACTGGAAGCTGTTCCAAACAAGCTAGCGACAGGCCCTGTGCAACCTGCGGCTCGCTGGCGGCGGGTGCTGGTTGGGCGCCGCTAGCTGTTGTTGTGCCGCACCCGCAGCGACTGGTGCGGTGTGCGCTGGCCGCCTGTTGTCCAGGGCAACGGCGAGTGGCGGGCCGCTGACGTGACGCCACCAATCGAACCTTCTAACTTTAAGCTCTCTCCCTGCTGCCCAAGTTGGACCAGATTGAAACAGTGGAGGCCCCGGATGCCCCGTGCGCTTCGCTAGATTCGTCTGTGCCACAAGACGGAAGCGATGCCGCTGTTGCACGGCCAGGGACCACAATGCCTTTGTTCTCCTGCCGTGGCCTCCATCCAGCGTTGCTCTGCAGTTGGCAACAGGCCCTCGTTTGGGCACAATGTTTGATCGCCTTATTCACGCCGCTCGAACAAACTGTTCCGTTTGGCATGCGCAACCTCATGCTGGGCATACAAGTACAATAGACTCACAACAGCATCTTGCCCGTCCAGGTCGACAACGATACCACTTTGGGCAGCTGAGGGCACAGGTTGCCGTCCACACACCTCGGCTACAGCCATCACGCGTTCAAAATACCAGTCGTCCGCCCGCCCGCGCAAGTCCTAATCGCATGTCGCTGACTCCATAGAGCTGAGTGCTTCTATAATACGAGGGTACCCAAGATACACAGCATCGTCCCCTCGGCCGGTACTCGCCAACGCCCCGTTCATTCCGTCCGTCCTGCGCTGGCAGGCCGCTGAAAAGTCTATCCGTCCCAATTACAAAGATTTTGTTGTTCTAAATAACACAGCGAGCCCTTTATCGCTTGAAGGCGGTGTCAAACGCCGGGATGAGCGTCTGCGCGAGCCAGAACGAGAACACCAGCTTGGGTCCCGTCATGAGCAGCTGCGTCGGTCGTGTTAGCCCCCGTCACACTCACACGCAGCGATATGGCAATCGAGGGAGGGGCAATGGCCACTCACCTTAGGCACCAGGCCCTTGAAGAAACTCGAGAAGCCCTCCTGGCGGGCCATGTTGGACAGGATGCGGAATCCGCTCTCCGGGTTGTCAAAGTTGCGGTTCTGGATACGCGTCTTGATCACATCGAGCGGTGCGGAGACGACGAGCGACGCCGACGCGCCGGCAATCGAGGCCACGAAGTTCTGGAACCAGCTCGCCTTGTTGTAGTCCTGGAGGTGGAACAGGTACTCTTTGGCAAAGGCCGAGCCACCAAACAGCTGTTGCCGACAGTAAGCATCATAGACCTCAAACGCAGCGCCTGGTTCAACGCACAGCAAAGGAGCCCGGGGCATTGCGGGCGGCAGTCCAGCCCCAGCCGCGGTAGAGGCCGAAACCCTCGTCGCGGACAATCTTGAGCACGCCTCGGCCCTTGAAGGCTTCCGGGTTCGTCTGGCGCTTGATCTTGAGGACGTCGAGGGGAAGGAGGACAATCTCGCCGATTCCGATCAAGCTACAAGTGGATGCAAAGTCAGTCGTCGCGCACACCATCGTAGAGCGCTGCAGCTGGGCGTCTCACCTGCCGGCCGTAGAGTGCATGATGGCCTTGCCCGTCTTCTTGCCGAACGCCGCCTCAAAGTCCTTGCCGTAGTGCTGCGCGAGATAGTCGCGCGCCACGGGCTGACCGCCATACTTGTATATCCGCTGCAGGACCTTGTAACCGGCGGCGTAGCCCAGGCCGGGGAACAGAGAGAAGAACTTGCGGCCGATGGGCGCGCCGGCCTTGTCCTTGAAGATGACCTGGTTGAGCTGGCTGGCGCTGGTGATCTGCAGCAGTAAAAGTACTCAGTATTCAAGCTCGATTCGTTTCTTGTCGGCGAGTCGTGGGGTCCTCCTTACCCGAGTCTGGTTGCTCATCAATCGCTTCGCAATCGTGTCGACCTGTGCACGACAAGAGTCAGCGCCTGCTCAGGTCGTCGAGGTTCGTGGACCAACGTACGGGGTGGAAGACGGCCAGCTCGGCAATACCAGCGGAGCCTGTCGCGAAGCATCGTCGGTCAGCATGCACACATGCGCCGGCCGTGGGGGCAGGACCCAGCGGCGGCAGAGACTGAGCACTAACCGGAACCAAGGAGTCGGGCCAGACCCGACTCCTTCTCGCGGCCAGAAACCATTGCCGGGGGCGACATGATGCACGATCTCGAAAACGGCGGGTGAGGTTGTCTGGCGCTTCGTCCCGGGGTGGTTGAGGTGGTCGCGGCAATTTCAATGCTGAGGAGCGACGCCCACGGGGGAAATTTTTTGATGGCGGCCAACTTGCTTTCCCAGGGCACAGGTACCGATCTCGGGAGCACGCGACGGGCGGCGGTCCAGCGGTTCCTGGGGCCCCGAGGCGAGAGAGCGCGGCAGGGGCTCGGCTGGATGGATGGGATGGGCGCTGGACCCACCGCTGAGGTGTCCACTGTCGGGGACTCGGGGCGGGTGGGCCGGAGACCCTTCTGACCTACTAGGTACCTAGTAGCCACGAGCAAGTACCGCGCCCGCGCACATGCATCACGACGCCGGGCCGCCGCCCTACCCTGCGCTTCGCACTCTTAATCCCAACTTGTGCATAGCGTGATGCTTTCTGCTCTAGAGCACGTCTATCGCCTCTACCCATATTAGGCTCGAGAGCTGCCTCAACGGCTCATTTGTCTACTCTCGACTCTCTACTCCGGAGAAGTGGAATCCAGCCAGCATCTCATGTCGCATTCTTAGTTCTCGTCACATGCGCAATGTCACATAGTCGTCCATCGAAATGCGACCATACGCCCATTCTCACGCACAATGTCCGGTCGTGGTCCGGCAGAGTAGTATTTGGTCGTCAATGCGGGTCTTGATTCCCTATTCAATCGACCAACATATTCATGACCGTGCGCTATGCTACGAGACATGTCGTCGACATGCATCCATCCTGTATCAATAATCGCGGAAGACTCCCACCATGTCGTCGAGCCTCATGACCTGTGCGATGAGCTTGTCCTGCTCCTCCAAGTGCCGGTTGTACGTGTTGTAGTGCTCTGCCGACATCACCTCTTCCTCCTTGCCCTTGACGTCCTTGCGCTCTACAAAGGACAAGACGTTCCTGTCCCTGTGCCGCTCCACCTGGAGCTTCTGCAAACAGCGGAGCATGGCCTTGTAGACATCGTCCAGAAGCTGCGACTGCGTCCGCTCGCCGTCGAAGAACCAGAAGAACATCGTTCGGTTCGCCAACCGGCTGTTGTCCTTTGGCACCTCCTGTACATCGACGAGTCCTGCCATTTGCATCGCCAGCATTTTCCCCTGCACATCCGATTTCTTCATCAGCGCAGCCGAAGGCAGCATCTTCTCGTCGAGCTTCCCCTTTTCTCTCAGGATCCGTGTCAGACGCAGGCCGTGGCGGCCGAACGACTGCTCGATGTATGCATCGAGCTCTGCCTCGCGGAGACTCTCCATGAGCTGGCCGAAATCGACCGTCCACTGACCTCTACCGTGGGTGCCACAGTGTCGAACAAACCGGTGTTTCCCTTCCGCCAGGAGCAACAGGTGCTGTCTCATCTGATCAAGTCGACTGTCCTTGGACGTTCCGTCGTCCTCAAACTTAACCTTTGTTTGCCGTTCGCCATTGGACCGCTGTGCTTGGTGGCTGCTCTGTGCAGGAAATCCATCGTCATCGTCCGATGCGTCGAAATCGCCTCCATGGCCGTTGGAAAGGGGTCTTGGCACCCTTGGGCGGGCCACTGGTCGCTCGTCCGAATCATCTTCGGAATCGCTCTCATAGTCAAGGGGCGTAGCTTTGATCTTCTCGGCGCTCTGGAAGTCGATCTTGTCCTTGGGTGCCTTGCCTATGCCGCTTTGCACGTTGACACTCTCATCGAGGTGTTCCAGGATCTGGACAGACGTGACCGTCACTTGCTGTTGGCCACCTGTCTGGTCACCAATCAGAGAATCCGGCTGGCACCTCGGCAGCTGCGTTGTCAACAGCTCTAACAAGGCTCGGTATATCTGGCCGGTGGCCTCGCCGACGGTGTCCGCGGCAAACTCCGCCAGTCGCTGGTTGCGAAGCTGTACCAAGCACTTTTCGTGATTGACCCGGACTACAATGTTGGGCTGCCACTTGTTAGCTTGGATCTGCCGAGTCAGTGGTTGCTCGCAACCTACATTGAGTTGGGCGACCTCGTCAAAGGGGTCGTCGACATGGCTTGCGCCGTTCTGAAGCTTCCTCTTCTTGGTGACCGGGCCATTGGACTGATCGAGCTGCCGCTTCAACATCCTGCCCTGATCACGAAAGGTTCTAAATCGCTCGATGATTGCTGTTTGCTGCTCCCCTTTGCTCTTGGTAGCCTTTTCTCCAGGGCCGGTCTTGGTGAGCTCCGTCTCGATCTCGCGATAGACCTCCGCCGGATTCCGAAAACTGTCTGGCCGTACAGTCTCGACGATCTCGGCCTGAATGAGGCGGGTCAGGACGGCGTTGAGATGATCCTCAGACTCAATCAGCCCAGACCCCGACTCATGTGTTCCGTTCGCGTGCCCATTGGTCTTTGGAGCCCGCGATGAGAAGGCATGGGTGAGGTCTGCGACCCGGGCGTAACCCAGTTGCATGAGCGTCTGGACGAGATCGCGCTCAGCAGTCCCATATTGGCTGTCGATGACCTCGAGGATCTTGCCCGACCGGACGAGGCTGTAGCAGGCGTCGGAGTTTGTTTCGTAGTTGGTGACCCTGGAGTCGGGGTCTGTGTAGTGGTAGAGGAGGTTGTGTTGAATCAGGACGGCGAGGCCATTTCGCAATTGTCGCGGGCCTAGAGACGTATGCTGAGCCAGCTGCGCGATGCTGGATCGTCCCTTGGTAAAGAGGGCGGCGAGAATTCGCTGCGAAACACGTTGAGTCAGCCCCGCGCTCACCACGCTGCATCGCTTCACCGGGAGTATGCGCAGGAGAGGGAACGTACCGATGGAAGCTCGCCAAAGAGATCGCTGACTAGGAGAGCACAAAGCTCGGCTGCGTGTTTTGTCTGCGGGCGACAGGTCAGTAAGGGCTGCAGGGAAGATCTGGCGGGGTCGCAGGCGGCACTGACTACAAGCATTGCTCTGCTCCTAGAGATCCTCTCACTATCTCTAGAGCTGCCACGGAGACTACCGGGCCGTCATTGAAGGGTGGCAGTCGAAGGATGGGCCGCGCCGATGAGGCGGGGGAATTTCGGTGTGCGGGTGCAAGAGAATTGAAGGGTCGTGGTGGTTGGCGATGAAGCAAGTCAAGCCCACCTTGGTCGCATCCGTCAATTTTTCTGCTGGTGTAAGTCGACAAGAGCTTCAAGTGGGTTGGTCGGGTACGGGCTGGCGCGCAGTAGCCCCCGAGTCGCTGTTGGCAGGCGGTCCGCGGGCAGGATACCTCGCGGCTACCTGGCAGCTGAGGCTCCCCGGCGCCAGCCAATCAGCAATCACGTGATTCTCGCAGGCTTCGCCGGCGCCGAAAATTAGACGGGAGCTGGTTCGACGAGGCACATCTTGAGAGATCAATTGCTTCACCACGCCGGCTGAAGGACCGCTCATCGCCTACGCCCTCATCCTCGACCATGATCTCGAGAACCTCCCTCGCGAGAACCGCGCAGCAGGCCGCCCGGCGCTCCTGCAGCGTGCAGCCGCTCCAGCGCCGTGGCTTCGCTGCCGCGGCCTCGACGGGCGCCTTCGACACGACGGACGTCTCTGGCCTCAAGGTTGCTTCGCGGGACGCCCATGGCCCGACGACCGAGCTGGCTATCGTGGCCAAGGCCGGCACTCGTTACCAGCCGCTGCCCGGCCTGACCGTCGGTCTTGAGGAGTTTGCCTTCAAGGCGAGTCGCAGGCCGATTGCCGAGGATGACGGGATCGTGAGCTAATTTGCCGTTAGAACACGCAAAGGCGATCTGCCCTCCGCATCACGCGCGAATCCGAACTCCTGGGCGGTCAATTGTCTGCCTCGCACTCCCGAGAGGCCCTGGTTCTCAAGGCCAGCTTCCTCCGCGAGGACCTGCCGTACTTTGCCGAGCTCTTGGCCGAGGTCGTTTCCATGACCAAGTACACCAGTGAGCCGCACCATCGCATCGCCATTGGAGGACCGAAGCTAAATCAATTGCAGCGCACGAGTTCCACGAGGATGTTGAGCGTGTCCTGCACCTCAAGCAGGCTGCTCTCAACGCCAATGTGCCCGCTCTGGCCCTCGACAACGCCCACGCCGTCGCCTTCCACACCGGCCTCGGCGCCCCCGTATACCCTTCGCTGTCGACTCCCCAGAAGTACCTGAACGAGGAGTACATTGCTAGCTACGCCGACGTCGTCTACTCCAAGCCCAACATTGCTGTCGTCGCCGACGGTGCGTCGCCCGACGCCCTGTCCAAGTGGGTTGGCCAGTTCTTCAAGGACGTCCCGGCCAGCTCTCAGAGCGGCCAGTCCCTCAAGGTTGAGGCGTCCAAGTACCACGGCGGCGAGCAGCGGACGAACCACGCTGGTGGCAACTCCATGGTCATCGCCTTCCCCGGCTCCGACAGCAACGGCTCGAAGCCCGAGATTGCCGTCCTCGCTGCTCTGTTGGGTGGCAAGCCCACGATCAAGTGGACTCCTGGCTTCAGCCTGCTCTCCAAGGCCACCGCCGGGTCGACTGGCCTCTCCGTCTCTTCCGCCAACCTCGCTTACTCCGACGCCGGCCTGCTGGCTATTCAGCTTACTGGCCCTGCCGCCGCTGTTCGCAAGGCCGCCGAGGACACCGCTAAGGCGCTCAAGAGCGTCGCGGATGGCTCGGTGAGCAAGGAGGACGTCGCCAAGGCTGTTGCCAACGCCAAGTTCGACGCCCTTGAGAAGGCTCAGTTCCGTGGACCGAGCATCCTCCAGGCTGGATCCGGCCTCGTGCACAGCGGCAAGGCCGCCGACCTTGCTGCCCTGGCTAGCGGCATCGACTCCGTTACCGCCGACAAGCTGAAGACGGTACGTTGCATCTTGAAGAAGCTCACGTTGGCGCCGTATGCCCAGCGCAGACCGGCTAACTTTGCGTATAGACCGCCAAGGCTCTCCTGGACGGCAAGGCCACTGTGTCGACGGTTGGCGACCTGTTCGTGCTGCCGTACGCCGAGGAGATTGGTCTGCGGGTATAAAGGAACGCCGCCATGGACGCGAAAAGCTTGTACCAACAGTTGTCGAGGTGGTCTAGACGGGGTGATTGGGGTCCTCATGCCTGTGAATATCTGTAGTAGAAATCCCCTTTGTTCACATGGCGTTTTCCTCTCCTCTATCTCAGGTGCACTTGCCGCATTATGTTGGCCTGCCCGGGGTGGTTTCGCGGTGACCGCTGAGAGGTCGCCGGACCAACAGGCGGGCTTGGCTGGCGGTGACGTGCTGCGGCGGACGCGGCTACGAAGCAAGTACGAGTACGAATGGAAGTGCTGGACGTGGCTGCAGTGTCCCCACGGCCGAAACGCCGAGCAGGCCCTTCTACCGCGTAGCTTCTTGTCACAGCCCGAAACTGACAGGGCCCATGCTCCATGCTGCCACGTCGGCCTCGCGCTGTGCCTCTGACCTCGGCCGCCTTGAGCCAAAGCTCCGCGCATGGGTGGCTGGGCGACGAGCGTTCGCACAGGTTCGGACTCACACGAGAGCGGCTCGGGATGGCGTCAATCCATTTCAAGTATGCTCCGACTCTTTAATGGCCAAGGAGAGCTACCCTGCGTGCCCTCAATGCGTCGTGTTTCCTATTGTAGGCCATCATCAAAAGATGGCGGTCCGACCCCCAATGGCTGGCTTTTGGCATGCGTTTTGGTCACCTCTTGTGCCCTGACAAGGTCCTGCTTTTTAGGGGTAGCACGACCTGGCGCCCGGCGAGTCGTGTGCTGCCCGAGCGCGCACTGTGCTCACGAGCGGGCTGCGCTGTCCGGCTTACCTGCGTTTGCTGCGGAGACGGCTGCCGGGATTGGCCTTGCTGCTCGGCGTGGCGGGTCGTCCCACAGTGTGCTGCCGCAGGTCTGCGGCCACCCTCGCACGGTGGACTAGGTCTTCCGACACCCGTGTGCCCCGTACCTCCTACCCGTGTCTGCCCACCTGGCTGGCTGGCGGCCCACCACGCTTCTTTGTCGTTAGTCTAGCAAGAGCGACAGGGTTGGGGAAAACAAAGCCTCATCCACCACCTCCACGGGCAAACGTCCTCACCTTCTGCCGTCTGCAATTTCCATCTCTCCATGCCCCTTTGGCCCATTGCGAGGCATTCGTAACAGCGACGAGCTGGGTGGCACGCCGGAGATCCATCCCACCTCGGATCCTGTCTCTCGCTTTGCCCTCAGGTGAGCCACACGACCTCCATCCTGTCTCCTCGATGCCATGCTGGCCTCGCGCCGTCCTAAGTGACGTCTGCCGTCGTTCGCTCGCAGAGCAGCTGAGGCGAGGCCGTCACGTCGGCTACGCAGCTCGAGCACTTGCATCTGCAGCGTCCGGGAACTTGACTGACGCTTGTCCCAGGCCGCGTTTGGAGTAACCCGTTCCCTGCGAGCCTCCGCACTCCCAAGGAGCCCGATCGCACGACGACACTTGTGCCCTCACTCGAGTGACACGAGAGTCGCTGGCCACAGTCGCAAAGGTTCGTGGCAAGATATATACGCTCCTTGCTGGCACTTCATGCACCTGCGCGGCTTTTGGCCGACTCGAATTCGGCCTCTTTTGGACATTTCGGGCCCACGCCCTACTCGACTGCACAAAAACCCCCGTCTTTCGACATGACTTCCCTTCGCTAGCTCATCAAACCCCAGACAAAGGCGTCCAGAGAGTGCTGACATAGTTATACGGTTCAGATAGGCGGACATCACTTGTCTTGCGGTTTCGTATCAGTCCGAAAACGACCCGTTTCATCGTCGATCGAAAGATTTGACGACTGGTGACATTGCACCATAGTCTTCAAAGTTGTTTCGACTGCGGGGGTAATTCAGCCATGCCTCTTCCCAAGAAAGAGGGTGCGTCTGGTGGGGGTGCGGCAAAGGTCGACGGCCGCAACCAGAACGGTATGCCCCCTCTTGCTGCTTGGCGTGCTTGTGAGGATCGGGGCAAGAGCTGAGGGCTAACGACGAGCGCCAAACAGGAAACCGACAAGGGTTTCGCACCGACACAGCCATCTCCAACAGCCGCTTCGGAAACGAGCGGACACTGCAACCGTGGGTCCCTGACTCTGCCGATGGCATCGACGGTGGCCTCGAGGCGTCATCCAGCAGTGGACACTGGGACCAATTTGCGGAGAACGAGAGGCTGTTTGGCCTGAAGACGGATTACGACGAGAACATCTACACGACCGCCATCAACAAGAACCATCCGCAGTACAAGGAGAGAATAGCGGCGGCCGAGCGCAAGGTCAGAGAGATTGAGCGGAGTGCTCCTGTCACGGCCCATGTGGCTGAGGAGCGCATCATGGATTTTGTTGGTGGAGGTTCGGGGGGCGACAACGAAGAGGACAAGTTCGTATCTTCCCGACCCCGCGGAATCCCGCTCCCCTAACGCGTCCCGCAACAGATACAGTGGCGTCCGGCGACAGGAATTCCCCCCTCTGTCGGCTGGCGGTCGCGAGAACCGATACACGCCTCCAGCAAAGAGAGCTCCGACTGCCCAATCCACGGTCAAGGGTGCGCCTGTTGACCCAGCTATCATCTCGTCGCAGATCAAGGCCCCACCCAAGAAGCAGTCACCAGCACCGGAGCAGCCCCGTGCCCCGACTCCTGCTGGCAAGAACGGAGTCTCGCCTGCCCCTGAGACCCAAAAGACTGGACAGCCAAAGGCTTCAGATGACAAATCGGCGGACGCAAAGCCGACATCTGGCGCCCGTGAATCCAAGACGCCAGAGGCAAAGACCACCGAGAAGGCGGGCGAGAAGGGCGGCGCGTCTGGTCCGTCGTCTGCGGCGGCATCCACTCGCAACGTGCCTGCGCAAGCCAAGGAGGGCACACCGAGTGCTACATCCACCGTGGAGCGTGACGTCCTCAACTCGTTCAAGTCGTTCGCCACTCAGCAGCGGCTCAACGCTGAAAAAGTTCGCAGCAGCAAGGCACGCGCGGACAAGGAGGTCAAGTTGACCGAGCTGAAGAAGTTCGCAAGTAGCTTCAAGCTCTCGACCCCGGTTCCGTCCGATCTAGTCTCCATCATCGCCAAAGATCCTGCGAAGCAGAAGGAGATCCAGGCGAAGGCTATGAAGAACGCCGAGGAGATGAAGAAGACCAAGTCGGACGTGGGCAGCAAGGACAACAAGGGGCAGGCCGCGCCGAAGGACTCGCAGCCCAAGTCCGCTGAGCCCGCTACAGTCACTCCGTCTACTGACAGGCCTGCTCGAGCGCCTGGCGCTCCTCAGGCAGCCGGGGCGGCAGCCACCAATAACAGACATGCCGGCCCTCGCCAGCAATACCCTCAGCAGCCATACCACGCGCAGGCTTACAGGAACAACCGTGGCGGCCCGCCCCACGTTATGCCTCAACAGCAGACTGGCAACCTTGCTCAGCGACTGCGTCACATGGAACAGCAGAGATACTCCCAGCCCGTCCCGCCGAACCCCCACCAAGCGGGCCCGGACGTTCGTGCGCCGCCCACCGGCCCTGCGAACAACGCGGATGCTGGCTTCAACCGCAGGCTTAGCGGAGCACCGGGCCACATGGGGGCCAAGCTCAACCCCAACAGCCACGAGTTCAGGCCCAGCCCTTTTGCGGCTTCCTTCAACCCCAACAGCCATCCAAGTGCCGGCTCCAGCCCACGAACAAGTGTGAATCAGGTCTCCGACAGCCCTGCCTCTGCCACGGCCCAGACGGGGCAGCTGATCCGACGAAAGACCAAAGCCGTGGACGTCGGGAAATGCTATATCCTGTCCCACATCAAGACATTGACTCCTCCTCAGGGACGCAACTGGGACGACAACGGCGGCCTTCGTCCGTCTTACGACACGCTGCCCACTTGGCGACAGCTCCAGGACGACGAGAAGTCCGACTCAACCATGCACCTGACGTACAAGGAGTATTTCGAGCGCCAGCCCTTCTCCAACGCAGCCATGAGCACGCCTAACCCGCCACATGTTGTTCCTCAGCTGGCTCACCAGCATCAGCTTCCATTCCATCTGCAGCACGGCGCCCACAACATGGGTCCTCGTCAGTCGCCGCACATGCCTCCCATGCAGATTCACACTCCCCAGCAAGGACCGGTGCCTCACCCACCCTTCGGCGGCGACGACCACCGTATGATGCACTCCAACTCGGCTCAGTCTTTTGCTTCCCCACGCATGGGACAGCTGCCCGTCGCATACCCGGCCCAGGTCGGGTACGGACAGACCATGTTCATGCAGCCCAACACGCCCCAGATGGGACAGTACCGGAACTTTTCTGCCAACCCGCACTACGTGCCTCAGCAGGGCCAGATGGGCGGACCCATGATGATGCAGCCTCAGTTCATTCCTGGACCTCAGGGCATGGTGGCTGCTCCGCAAATGATGTATCACGGCGGGCATCCGCAATTCATGCCACCGTCCGGCCCTCCCCAGCCCATTCCCGGCGCCAACGGCTACCCAAGCCCTGGGCGACCGGCGGCTCCGGTCATGATGCACCAGGGCTCTCAGCAGGGCCAGCCAATGTACGGAATGAGCCCGAACGTACAGTACAACCAGCCAGCGTACGGGCCGGGCCAGCCGACCGGACCGAGCCAGTGATGGCGATCCCATTTTGGCTGGCACGATGCAACGCATGGCAAGCCCCCATGAATGCCCAAGGCGGCGCCAGGACCAGGGCATGGCGGTTCTGGATTGTAACACATTGGCGCCGGCTAGGTGCCGGGCGCCGCTTGGAGTAGCTGGAGCGCCGGACGACGACATGGCGTCCATCGCTGGAAGAAGGCCGTGTCTGGAGCCTACACGCTTATGTTTCTTTGATTAACATGGAAGGCTCAGAGGGCACGGACGCCTGGTGTCAGACTTATTCGCCCGAGCACAGCTACGCATACGACATCGCGCCCCCTACTGTGACGGTAGGTGCCGTCCTGCCTCGGAGACGCCCCGGGACCGCACATGCTGACGGTCGGCCACTGCTAGCTTGCCGCCTCGGCCGCGAGTCGGAGCAGGATTGTGTCGGATTGGGGGCGCATGCTTAGGGGGATGGAGGAGACGAGACATGGTTTTGTTGGAGGCTCATGGCAAGGCTAGTCGGAGGGAGGTGGCGGTACGCAGGAGGTTGTGGACGGGGCGGAAGGGGCGGGCACAGAAGGCCAGGCGGCCACTGCAGCATCTACACGTAGTACCTGACAGGTAGTTGTAGACTGAGGCAAGAAGTCACATGGAGCAGAAGTTACGTTACGGTCCGCATGGCATGGGTGAGCTTGGCAGCGCGTGGCGGACGTGGGCGACGACGTGGGTGAGGGCGAGCGTGTCTTGGTACGGCCTATAATAGCGGCATATTGAACCGTAGTTCTGGGGTAAGGACCTACCCGATCGGTAGTTGGGGTGGCAGTCGAAGCAGGAGGCGAGATGACGGAGGGGATTGTGGATTGTGGGGGTGCGCGGAGGCGGATGCGGAGGCGGCGGCGGCGGTGATGGCGGGAGTCGAGGATGGCGTCCCGCATGACTGCGTGGGCGGACGAAACAGACGAATGTACAATTAGACGCCGTCGCAGGCGCAAGGGCATCCGCCAAGAGGTGGCTGCAAAGAAGGTTACAACGACCTGCATTCCCCGAAAGGAGGGGGGGGGGGGGGCTGCAGGGGCCCAGGACAGGATGAGAGACAAGTTAAACTAACACCGGCGGCTAGTCCACGGAGGTGACACCCCGGGCCTCGAGACAGAAAAGTCAAAGGCGACAACAGGCCTTGTCCCTGCGACGGCGATGTGATGTGACGCGATTCGATGCGAGGCTGCGCGTAAACCGCGCCGAGGAACTGGATTCCGGGGTGCAGGAGGGAGGCTTTCGGGAGGAGCGCATCACCGTGCAGGGTTGCAGTCCGGGAGAGTGCACAGAAGAATGCCGCTTTGGGACAGACGAAGTAGGAATGCAGGCATGCAGTTGTGACCCTGACGACGACACACGGACAGACAGACTCTAAAGGGTTCGGCCGGGCTGACGAGCTTTGTTGGATGTCTCGGCCGCGGGCGCGGGAGCGGCCGAGAGGGGCGAGGCATGAAGCTTTCATTTTGCACTGAGCTTCTCAGGGACTAACTGGGGCATAGTTAGGCGAGCAACTAATACCTGGCTAGCTCAACGGGTCGTCGGGGTCATTGCTCCGCGCGGCGGGCGGAGGGGCGGCGCGAGGGCTGCTTGCGGCCGGCTCCATCTCTATCTCCGTAGTCGACTGCTTATTTCTGTAGCTTGCGAAGGAAAGAGAGATAAGGCAAGGCGTCTTAGGTGGCGGCGGAAGCGCTAACGCGCAGACCGCAACATTTGGAAACGGAAGGAGGCCCAAGGGGGGCCGACGAAAAGAGACGTTGCAACTCGGGCGTGGCGGTTGATCAGATCAGGGCCGGCAGCGCCAAGCTTGGTGGTAGGCAGTCCCCGACGCGGGGGGGGAAGACTGCATTGGCATAGCGTGGCTACTATGCGGCGGACTGGTGAAAGCAGGGGTGGCGGGAAGGCTGATGCGGCGTTGAGGCGTGATGTCTGAGCTCTGCACGATGTCATCGATGCGAGAGAGCGAGAGAACGCCGCAGACGGCACCTGGCAGCCGAGGTTCGGCGTTCTCCTGCCTTGGACGTGGCAATTGCATGGACGCCGACCTGATGCGGACTATCGGTTTCGCGCAAGGAAACATGTTGGTTGGCGTGTGCCTGGCCGCTGATGAACGGGCCGACCTTGGTTGGCTGTCAGGCACCGCGATGGAACGCATGAGCGCCTCGCCTGGCTAAGATAACTCGCAGGCCGTTGGCTACTGTACCTTGTGTACCACTCACTGTAACTGACGGCAAGGTGCGTGCTAACATCGGCGTCGACGCTGATCAGGGCAGTGATCGCTGCGACGCCAAGCATGGGCACCGCTGACGACCTGGTCTGGGGGTTCTGCTGTGAGCGTTGAAACCGGCCGTCCCCGCCGCGCTGCAGGCGACGTGAGGTACAGTGGGGTTCTGTACTGAGAGAGTCCCGTCGCCTGAGGTGGGACTGAGGCTGGGGCCCTGCCCGTTTCAGAAACTTGGCAGGCACGACCACCAGAATCGAGTCAACTGCAATGCTGTACTACTTCCTATGGCAAGAGGGCATCTGCAGGATTTGCACCAGGACCAGGGCCCTCTCTCATGGACGGGCTCCCATCTTTTCTTTTGCTCCCTCACCAGCGTCTCCGTGTCCCCACTGTTGGTTTGCTGCCGTCAACCCGACTCGTCACAACCACCGCCTGTCGTCTCGTCTTGACTCGCATCGCCCCCAGCACGATGTCCGTTCAGCGTTTCATCCAGCCGCCGACGACGACTGCGCACGCGGCCTCGCGCTGGCGCCGCCACAAGCGCCGGCGGACGACGAGATGCCGGGACTTCGACGTTAGATCCACTCGCGGAACCAGGCTTTTGGTTGAGAGACGCCTTCTCGTCGGCCTACTATACTTAGCCGCCTCTACTACTAGGGACTGACTATCATGCAGTACTATACTGTACCAGACAGTAGTCACAGCACCTTCCTCAACTGCATACTCCGGCTCCGTACATACGCCTCCGTCGTCTTCTACTCGTCCCCCGTGACTCCAGAGGCTCGTGGCACCCGAGCCCCCGATCCGCTGTTGCTGTCGCTGTCGCACAATGATTGGGCGGGGCCGACGGTGGCTTCCGCTCCGACGACGACGGCCGGGCCAAACAAACCAAGGCTTCGACGGCTCTGCCGAGACGTGCCAACGGCCGATCCCATCCCATCCCAACTCTGAGACAGGCACCGTCCCGCCAGGTGGCTTGCCTGCTCGCCTGCCCGCCTGCATCGCGTCACCTTTGGGTGGCGCCCTATGCTCCTCCCGACGATCCCTTCCCTCCCCCTGTTCCCGTTGATGACTTGCCCCCCCAATCATGCTTGGGCCATGCCAACTTCCTGTGGGATGCGCATCATGGATGGTGGTCCGCGGGGAAACGATGCTACTCATGTCTCGCCCAAGGACGAACACCACGCGACCCAACAGTCAGGGGGGCGAGGGGCACAGTATGGCAAACAATGAGCATGGCGGTTTCTAGCCCCAAGCGGTTTGCTTCCACTGTAGCCTCGACCATCTGTTCTCGCGTAGACCATCACACGGGCCGAGTCACGCAAATAGCTGTTCGTAAAATAGCCAAGCAGCGTGTTTGTTCCGTGATTGTTGGGAGCAAGCACCGCCTACGACGTGTCCCAAGAGACAACAAAGAAGCTGCGCGGACCACTCCAAGGAGACCGGAAATCGGAGCTTGGACGCTTTCTTCTCGCTACGACCCGATGGCATGCAGGCAGCGCCCCATGTTTCCGGCAGCTACAATGCTTCTACCGGAACACGGAGGCCATTGGACGGAAGGGTAGCCGTCGGGCGACAAGTGCGACACTCGCCCCAGCGCAAAGGGGGCTTCGCTGCTCCTCCTACGTGGGGGCTCCATGAAATGAATGGGGTGAAGGATAACCAAACGTTACCTGGACTCGGTCCCATTGTCGCCTCCTTGTCTATGGAGCCGCTGAACGTCTGTCTTCGCACCTAGTAGTGAGTGCCTGCTTGTTCACGCCTGTTGGGGATTGTCAATAGGCAAGGAAGAATTCACCGAAGCCTATTGCTTGCGCGACTAACAGGTATATAACCCACCCGTCTCCCTGCGTCCAAGGCAACCTCTCTCGCCTCTTCTCCTCCCCATCAAGCCACAGCAAGTCTGTTCTTCGCTTCTTCGTTACTCATTCATCCGCTTTCGCAGCTTCCGATCCTTCAGAACTATCTGTATATAAACGCCTGCCAACAGCAACGCCCTTTGGTCTGCTCAGCCTCGATCAACACTCACACACAAAAGCTCACGGAAAGACCATCGCAACTTTTCACCCGTCACCATGAAGTCCTTTGCGATCCTCACTGCCTCCCTCCTGGGCCTGGCGTCTGCCCACATGGAGATGAAGAACCCCCCGCCTCTGCGCTCCCAGTTCAACAAGTACACCACGAGCGTCGACTACGACATGAAGAACCCGCTTAGCGCCGGCGGCAGCAACTTCCCTTGCAAGGGCTACCACACCCTCCTCAACACGCCTCAGGGCCAGACTGTCGCCGACTGGACTCCCGGCCAGTCGTACAGCATGACCATCACCGGCGGCGCTGCCCACAACGGCGGCTCGTGCCAGGCCTCGCTCTCCTTCGACGGCGGCAAGACGTTCCAGGTCATCCACTCGTACATCGGCCACTGCCCCATCGTCGGCGACTCGACCTTCCCGTTCAAGGTCCCCAGCGACACCCCCTCGGGCAAGGCCCTCTTCGCGTGGTCGTGGTTCAACCAGATCGGCAACCGCGAGATGTACATGAACTGCGCGTCCATCAACATCGTCGGCGCCAAGAAGATCCGCGGCTCCACGGAGGCCCGCGCCGGCCTCAGCAGCCGCCCCAACCTCTTCGTCGCCAACGTCGGTAACGGCTGCACCACCGTCGAGGGCCGCGACACCAAGTTCCCCAACCCCGGCCCGGATGTCACCCAGACCTCGGACCAGCCGCCCGTTGCGCCCGTCGGAAACTGCAGCTAGAGGACTGATCAGGGACACGGCAGGGGCAGTGGCGGCGGCGCCAGCTCTGGCGGAAAGACACCTGGCGGAGGCAGCGACACGAGCAACCACGGACAGATGAAGAACGCAACTAGCCAAGGAACTCCTGTTGCCACCCATTCACCCCATCAAGATGGTGGGAGCGACAGCGGTTGCGCTGCTCATCAGACCTGAGACGACAACACTCACTCAGTCACTGCCTCTTTCAGGGCGTCCCGAGCCACCTGGACGCGGCGGGATTCACCAGTACATATTTCTGATTTCGACACGACAAAAAATACAAACTTGCACATATTTGTACATACACTTCGAGTCTTTCGTTACATTGCGGCAAGACTAGCAGATGCATGGAGGGCAGCGGCGGCGGCGGCGGCGGAAAAGACAACATGAAACTGCGGCGGGCGATAGGGGAGCCGGCTCCTACTACTTTAGGTCTACGTACTGCTCAGTTGAGAATATAAACAGTCATGAGGGCTACGAGAGCTTTTCATGGGCTTGTTGATGCAAACAGCCTTGTGGTTTGTCTCGCAGCGCGCGTGACTGTGTGATTGATGTGTTTGCAGGCTCGGACAGGCGAGTGACGTCGGCATTCTGGGCTGGCTTGATGGACTGGTCCGCTGTGCTCGCCTCGCTCTCCGTGACGGTTGGATGTTCAAGCAGCAAACTTGCCATGTAACTCGACGCTCATCTGAATCACACATCATGATGGCTGGATTGCTTCATGTCCAAGCGTTGGATAACGGCGGAGGGTCTCTTCTCTCGACGGGGCAGGCACTCCATTGATAGGTACGTCCCTGGGGCCGTGTAAGTCGAGACAGGGGGGCCGAAGTGGCCGCAGGCTTCCCCAGCAAGCCAATCAGCAGCTAGATGGACCCCCCACATGTGCTGTCCTCAAAGAGCAAAAGCAAGGCCAACGACAGCCTGCAGGGGGCTGGCTGGCTGCAGCATGCGTCTCTGCAAGGGTTGGCGAGCACCACACCACCACCACCACCACACACTTGTGGCAGAGCGTCCGACGACCGCACCAAGAGAGACCAGAATATTTCCAACTGACAACAAAGCGGAACAAAAATATAACGCAAAAAAAAAAAAGAGAGAACATACAACAGCCGGTGTTCGCTGGTCGTCACCGACCCAACTACTAATCTGCCGGTTAGTGGCTTGTTTACCGGAGAGCGGACGGGATCCGAAATTCTCCACTACCTGTGGTCGTATGTGCTAGATGGACGAGGCTATTCGGCTTATAGATCGGTGCTGCGCTGCTCTTTGTGTGTTGTGGTCGGGTGGTCTGTCGCCAACTACCCTGGGGCTGGGCGTGGGATGACGATGACTCGCAAGGGCCAAGCGCTTCGTGGGATACATGTAAGTCTTGTGTGACAAAGTGACGATGTGACGCCTGTCGCGTCTAGATGCCGCTATGTGCCACGCCGTCCTACTTTTCGAGTGGGGGATTCGTGTGGGAGAACGCAGAGGATGAATGGGCGGGTTATGCCTCTTCGCCCTCGCGCAACACCAAGCCAAGGGCGTGACCAAATTGTGACCTGCGAAGTGGGCGCGAGTAGCGCCGCAAGACAACCTCACCATGTAAACTGCATCAAAGGTACAGACAGAGCCGTTGTCAACACCCATACCTCAGTGCGTTGTACTTCGTAGTACGGCGAGGATGGTCAGGTGATTCAATCGTCTTGGGAATAGGGCCTCGCACGGACGTACATTGGAGTTCTGGACGCGCCGCGGGGGGTGGGGGAGGGGTCATTTGTGGCGGGACATGAGCGGCCGCCTGAGGGAATAACAAGCGAGAGCGCGCGAGTGTGTTTGTTGACTCTCACGAGAATCACGACTTGCGCGAGTGTGTGCTCACTGTTGTACGTATGCGCTGCCCCCCGGTCGGCGTTGCCGATGTTGAGATGGCCCGCCCCCGAGTCGGAGCAGGGACGCCTCATCGGGTGCTGCGCCACAGTTGAGGACATGCCCGAGGACGGACAGCGAGTCCGCACATGTTGGTGTGTTCGGCTTCTTTTGTTCAGCGCAAGCAGGGAGGCGGTGCACAGTGCACGCGTGCAACGCCCCGTCTCCAGCACTGCTAGCAATAATATCTCCTTGTATCCGAGGCGCGTGCCGTTGGGAAGCGAAGCGCTGCCAAAATGATCACTACCCGTCCGGCACCCACCCGTGGCTGGGCTGCCTCTGGGCCGCCTCTGGACCCTTGAACGACACCAGCCGGTAATGGTCGGGCCCAGTCCAGTCTATGCATCTCAATGCATTGATAGGGTCCGTCTGGCCCTCCTCCAAACAGCTTCCAATGGCGTCGGGTAAAGTGGTCCCAGTCAAGCAGCCCTCCCTGCCTGCCTATGCGATCGCACGGTTTGGAGATACCTGCTCAACATCGCAGCGAAGCGTGACGACGCTGAGAGCGGGATTGCGAATTCTGGGCGGCGGGTACTTGGTACGTGATGGGGCTCGTTGCGGCGCATACAGCCGTTGGGAATAGCTAGTTTCGCAGGCCTCCCGTGGCGGTGCCCCGTGGGCTGGGGCTGGACCATCAGCGTTCGTCAGATGAACGAGATGGATGGGGTTGCAAAGTCCGGCGGCCATGTTATTATCGGCGACCCTCTATGCCCGCGGTGCAGCAGCGGCAGGTGCAGGTGGTGGGCTGCTTCTCCCTGCGCTCCCGCCGCCCCTCGCTCGCTCGCCCTCCCCCGCCACTCGCCCAGCAGCAGGTCCACCACCACCCAATCCGACCGCCACGCCGGCATATCATCCACCTTGACCTCTCGCTCCCTCCGTCCTCTTCTCCCTCGCACGTCTGAGCGTCCTCCCCTAACCACCCCCGCCCCTTTCCCGTCTTCCTCGCCTCGACATCTCGTGAATCGACGGCGGGCTCCCTTCCGCCCCGCGCGCCCGCGACGCCTGCGAATTGACACGACCCGCGCACGTCACGTCATCGCCCTTCGCTCTACGACTACTACCAAGTACGACCACCCCGCGACACCAAGCCCGCCGCCCGCGCTCCAACCGCCGCCATGGCCGGCCCGACGTCCCCCAGCACCGAGGGTCCCACGTTTGCGCCCCCGAGCCTGCCCGCCGGCTGGATCGCCCAGTGGGACGGCGCGAGCAAGAAGTACTACTACGTGCAGCTCGCGACGGGCGTCTCCCAGTGGGAGGTGCCCACGCAGGCCGTCCACCAGACGGGCAATACTCCCGCCCACGAGTCCTCCGAGCACCCATACGGCCAGCCTCCGCCTGGCAGCGCCCCCGGCAGCGTGCCGCCGCGACCTCCGGAGCTCATCACGCACCCGGACGGCTCCCAGACGGTCAAGCACCCCGACGGCACCATGGAGCCAATCATGGCCGACGGCTCCAGAGGCTTGGACGGCCCCAACGGCGACAGAGGCCTTGGTGTAAGGCCCCTGCCACGTTACCGCCTCAAACTCTCCCACGGACTTGGTGACTAACAGACCCGCAGAGCATGGCCATGAACGCCCTTCTCGGCGGAAAAGGCTCCGGCGGTGGCGGCGGTGGTAGCCACGGCGGCAATCCCCTCGGCAGCCTCGCGAATCAGTTCCTCGGCGGCGGTTCTCACGGCGGCAGCAGCGGCGGCGGTGGCAAGAATAACGCCGCCGGCAAGCTCGTCGGACAGCTGGCTTCGAACCTCTTCTCCCCGTCCAGCAAGCCCGAGCAGCCGCAAAACTACCACGGCGGACAGAACACGGGCCACGGCCAGCACCAGGGTGGTCTGGCCGGCGCCGTCTTTGGCGGCGTCGCCCACATGTTCGGGGGCAAGGAGTCCCACGGAAGCGTATGATGTTCACTGCGTGGCAAGAGAGACACAGACGTATGCTGACGATTCCTTTCCAGGGCCAAAATTACGGCTATTCGGGTGCTGGTACTGGCAATGCTTACTCGGGCGGCGAAGCCCCGACATACCACCCGCCGGGCTCCGGCCCGTCCTCGTCCACGCATACGCCGTCCACGTCGCAACCGAGTCAACACCAGCAGCAGCAACAGGGCTCTTCGCACCACCAAGGCTCCCAGAACCAGAGCCACCAATCTCAGAGCCAGCAGTCGTATGGCGCCCCATCTTCTGGAGGTAGCCAAGGCCACCAACCGCCGCACAGCCAGTCCCCGTACGGTGGCAGCCAATCCTACGGCGGCCAGCACGGAGGCCAGCACGCAGGTCAGCACGGAGGGAATGGCTCGTACTCCCACCAGCCTGCGCAGCCAAGCTATGGTACGCCCCCAGCTGGCGGCCACCAGCCGTCGTATGGGCAGTCCCACCAAGGCCCTCCCTCTAGCTACAGCCAGGGACCTCCGGGAGGCTACCAACAGGGCCCTCCGGGTGGCTACAGCCAGGGAGCGCAGGGCGGCTATAGCCAAGGCCCACCTGGCGGATACAACCAAGGCTCCTCGGGGGGATACGCCTCCTCATACGGTGGCCAGCAGCAGCAGCAACATCAGCAGTATGGTGGCCAAAACCAGGCGCCTTACCATGGAGGCCCCTACTGAGTAGCTGGATGAGCTGCGAGACGTATAACCAGCTCGGCTCTTGGTGGCTGCCTTCACTCAAATCCGGGCCAGATCCAGTTGAGGGCAGCTGAAGCCTCTGCACTGCGCCCTGTTGGGCGAGCGAGCACAGGCCAAGCGGAGGGAGTGTTGGACAAGGGGATGGGCCGTTTGCGTGCAATGTCGTTCGCTCAAACAAGACGTCTGCGATGATGACACGGTCGACCAAAGAAGCATCTGTAACGAACTGCCGAGATGAGGTTTGAGCCTTCAGCGTCGTGTATATATCGCATGTGCTCGTCCATCAGAGAGTGGCGGGGTGAGAGACTGAAGAGCATGGAAGGGGTTGGCGGCGAAGGGTTTGGCAGCAATGAGTTTGACCGTCAGTTTTTCTTAGTCTGCTTCAATGTCTGGTCCTCGGAGGAGCCGGCCACAGACTGGAGACGAGAAGCGATCCACCGCGCTGCAAACCAAGTGACGACGCCGACAATGATGAGATAACCCACGGTGGGTATGAGGGACTGGTTGGCCAGGTTAAGCACGAAGGGGTCGAGGACCAGATCCACCAAGACGGGTGGAGGATTCTTCATAAGCTCGACGTCGTCGACAAAGTAGTCTGCCGCCGCGCGGATGTGGACAAGCAGCACAGACGCCTTCCGCGCCCCTGACTCGTTGGACGGAGGCTTGTCGTCCGACTCGTTGGCAGGCTGACGGGAGGCGGCGTGCTCTGCCAAAGACTGGATAAGCTCGGGAGTGTCCCAAACTGTATCGAGCTCATACGAATCCAGGGCGAAGAGAGTAGGCTCCTGCGCCGAATACATCGTTAGCACACATGTCGCGATCCACGGGAGCAACCCGCTCCAGACAGAACTTCCCAAGCGAGCGATGGAGAGAAACGTACATTGGCGGCCCATGAGACGTGAAACTCGTAGCGCTGGCCCTCGACGAGGTTGTCGAGCAGCACCCACGACGGGTGTCCCTGGGACGAGTTGCCCTTGTCGACGGGGAAAACGCGGTCGAGGCTCGTGCGCACGGTGAGCGTGTCGGGGGAGAGGGCGTGGAGGTTGAGGTCCGCGAGGGAGGGCTTGGCGAGGGGGATGTTGGCGGGCGCGGGGGCCGTGAAGATGATTTTCTCGACGTTGGCGAGCACGGTCGTGGCGGCGAGGAGGAGCTGCAGCAGCAATAGCGACAGCGGTACGCCGAACAGCGGCGTGCGGTGGTAGGTCGCCATGATGGGCGTTTGCGTCCTTTTGGTTCGTCTGACTGAAGAACCGAGCCCTTCGATGTTGAGAGGCAAAAGGGGGTCGCGACTCGATTGATGTCGGAGGAGGAAGGGGGTCCGCGGCCGCGAAGGATTGAGGAGGAGTCGTTCCAATTGAGGCGTCGTCGTGACATGGGTCGACGCGTGGGCTGCGAGCTTGCACAGGGGTGACCGTGCCGCTGGTTGCTGGTGCTGGTGGAACGGACCAACGTGGCGTGCCCGGCCGCGTGGTGGGGCCAGCCGGAGCCCGTTCGGGGGAGCTGGCGCCGCTGGAGCTTCAGATGAACTGCTGACGACTTCACTGCGGAGAGAGCATGCATAATAAGCCAATGGTGAATCTTGTCTCGACTGTTGCAGAGCTTGGATCTGCTTTGGCCCAGTCCTTGCCGGACACTCAGTTACATTTGTGTACGCAACGACCAGTGCCGGGTGTCCTCGCGAGCTCTTGGCCAGCTCTGGGAACCCGACAAAGGAGCTCAAGGATATTTGACATTACTTTTTGGCGGATTTTGTGTTGGAGGAAAGCGGCAAGGCTGCACGAGTAGTGCAAGGAACGCATCAGTGAGTAACGCCGTGGCGATATCCTGGAGCTCATGGCCTTGCTCGTGTGTCATCTGAAGCCATATATCCTTGCTGTCTAGGCTTTAGCCCGTCGTGACATCTCATCCACAGTGCCGGACTAGATGGTGGCCGTATATTCGAGCAGGAGATTTCGTGATTGCAGGAACACGAGCATCTCTCTGATCAAAACATCCGGACTGTGGACTGCATATAGATGAAGAGTAGTGCTATTTGTAGAGCCAGGTTTTGCTAGTTGTAGAGCCCATAGGCGCAATAGCATCAACGAGAGCAACGAGAGCAACGAGAGCAACGAGAGCAACGAGAGCAACGAGAGCAACGAGAGCAACGAGAGCAACGANAACGAGAGCAACGAGAGCAACGAGAGCAACGAGAGCAACGAGAGCAACGAGAGCAACGAGAGCAACGAGAGCAACGATAGCAACGAGAGCAACGACAGCAACAAGCAGCGCGCCACTGCCGTCCCATGCCTGCGCCATTGCGCAGTAAAAACCGCTAGGGCAGCATGGGGGTAGGGTGCGGCCGAGAGAAAAACATAGCAGGGCTCTATAACTAGCAAAAGATGGCTCTACGAATAGCACTCCTCTAGATGAAAAGAGCAACGAGAGCAAATACACGTGTGACAGCAGGAACGAGGTTTGAAGGGGGTTGTGCTGGGGACCAGACAAAAAGTATGGACATTTTCCCAGGAGTAGGGGACAGAGCCAAGGTGCACCCCCGGACATGCTTCATATTCATTAGCCGTCGAAACGTCGGACCACCCGGGGGAGCGGCAGTTGTGCGGGAATGGAGTTTTGCAGGAGAGGGATGGTGGCATAGAGGTCTCGGCCGAGGGTGCCAAGCTGGAACAGGCAGCGAGGTTTCGGCTGTGCCTGCCCGCCTCCTGTCTTGCCTGTTCAACGGGAGGGTACTTACTGGGTAGGTACCTGTAGGCAACAGTCTCTAGCACCTCACCGCGCCGTTGGCCAGGCACAAGGGGCAAAACGGCGTGGCGGAATCGGGCGACATTGGCTCAAACGGCGTCTTGTCGGAAGCGATGCCTGGAGCGATATATCGGCAAAGGACGTTTGTGTGGTGCCGGTCGTGTAGCACTGTTTCTTTGTTGTCATCGTCGCCGCGGCGCCCGGCAGTCTTCACGCATCGCTGCAGGTATCGCCCCATCAGCTCCCGTCCCGCCCAGGGGACGGGGACCACCTGGTGCACCCAGGCAGCACAGCTCATCAGCGCAGCGCGACGCACGGGGGCCCCGGGGAGCGGGAGCCGCTGGGGAGAGGAGAGCCCAGAGGTCCCCGGCCGCTGCGAGCGCTAGAGCGGTGAGCGCCCAGCAGGGACCATTCGCAGACGCGCTTGCCTCGTTCGAGACACGCGCCCCTGTCGTACGAGCAGGCGACCCGACTCGTCCAGCCAGTGGGCAAAAAGTCAACAAATCCAATCAATCAGGCCCCCCCCTCCCCCTGGCCGAGCACAAGCACCCGACCGCACCAGCAGCAGCGCAGCTCCCTCGCCGCCCCCCTCCTACCCCTGTCGCCCAAATTTCCCCCACCTATTTTCTTCCCTCCCCGTCCCTCGCACGCACCCGAAGCACCTCCTCCCAAGCCAACCCTCACACGTACCCAACCCGTGGCGAGCAAAAATCACAGGATCCGGTCTTGCGACTCCCTGCGTCGTCCATCTCCTGATTCCACCTCGCGTTTATCCCCAAGTCCCCGAGAACCTGCTTCGCAGAACGCCGTCACCATGCGTGAGGTTATCAGCATCAACGGTGAGCTCTAGCTTGTGCCCCTCATCTCCCGCACCGCACGCGTCTCGCTCGCTCCGCCCCTTCACCGCATGTCCCGCCGCAGCTGCTGATATCGTCACCCACAGTCGGCCAGGCCGGTTGCCAGATTGCCAACTCTTGCTGGGAGGTATGTTGCGTCCTGCATCGCTTTTTTGACCCCTTCTTCTCGAAATGATGCTGACTTGCGTCGCCAGCTCTACTGCCTCGAGCACGGTATCCAGGTAAACATGCACTCCGATTTGTTGACGCGGCTCCGCTCGACATCGACTGACCGAACGCGACACCACAGCCCGATGGCTACCTCACCGAGGAGCGCAAGGCCCAGGAGCCCGACCAGGGCTTCAGCACTTTCTTCTCCGAGACTGGTACGCGTTTACGCATCTTCCGCGCAAATAAACCGCCGGCTCGGACTGTCTAACAATATGTGAATAGGCCAGGGCAAGTACGTCCCCCGCGCCATTTACTGCGATCTTGAGCCCAATGTCGTCGATGAGGTCCGCACCGGTCCCTACCGCAACCTCTTCCACCCGGAGATGATGATCACCGGCAAGGAGGATGCTTCCAACAACTACGCCCGTGGCCACTACACCGTCGGCAAGGAGCTCATCGAGGGCGTCCTCGACAAGATCCGCCGCGTCGCCGACAACTGCGTTGGTCTCCAGGGCTTCCTCGTCTTCCACTCCTTCGGTGGCGGTACCGGCTCTGGTTTTGGTGCTCTCCTCATGGAGCGTCTCTCCGTCGACTACGGCAAGAAGAGCAAGCTGGAGTTCTGCGTCTACCCTGCCCCTCAGACCGCCACGTCCGTTGTCGAGCCCTACAACTCCATCCTGACCACCCACACCACCCTCGAGCACTCTGACTGCTCCTTCATGGTGGACAACGAGGCCATTTACGACATTTGCCGCCGCAACCTGGGCCTTGAGCGCCCCAACTACGAGAACCTGAACCGCCTGATTGCTCAGGGTAAGCTTACGTTCCTGCATCATCTTGCCCAGACGAGTGACCCGACGTGCTGACCGCTTCTCCAGTCGTTTCGTCCATCACTGCTTCTCTCCGGTTCGACGGCTCCCTCAACGTCGACCTGAACGAGTTCCAGACCAACCTGGTTCCCTACCCCCGTATCCACTTCCCTCTGGTTGCGTATGCGCCCGTCGTCTCTGCCGCCAAGGCCGCCCACGAGGCCAACTCGGTCCAGGAGATGACCATGTCCTGCTTCGAGCCCAACAACCAGATGGTCAAGTGCGACCCCCGTCACGGCAAGTACATGGCTACCTGCCTGCTGTACCGCGGCGACGTGGTCCCCAACGACGCCCACGCTGCCGTTGCCACCCTCAAGACCAAGCGCACCATCCAGTTCGTCGACTGGTGCCCCACTGGCTTCAAGCTCGGTATCTGCTACCAGGCTCCCGAGAACGTGCCCAACGGCGACCTCGCCAAGGTCAACCGCGCCGTGTAAGTACTCCCCATGCACTGAGCTGCACAATGAGGCTAACAATGCATAGCTGCATGCTTTCCAACACGACCGCCATCGCCGAGGCCTGGAGCTCTCTGTCTATGAAGTTCGATCTCATGCACTCCAAGCGCGCGTTCGTGCACTGGTATGTTGGTGAGGGTATGGAGGAGGGCGAGTTCTCCGAGGCTCGTGAGGATCTGGCTGCTCTGGAGCGCGACTACGAGGAGGTTGCCGCCGACTCGATGGGCGATGAGGAGCTTGAGGCCGAGTACTAAGCAGAGTAGCCGAGGGTCGCGTTTGTAGAGGCTGCGGCACTGTTGATTCTACACCAAGTCAGGCCTTTTGTCATACCCTGGAATTCATATAAAGGGTGTACTTTTCTCTAGGTCACAAGCCACTCCAGTATTTTAATGTTCAGAACAAAGACGACATGCCCGATAAGCGAGTGAAGTCCCAAGCCAGCTCATGGTCAACAGTGTTGTGCAAGTTAACGTGAATTACCAGCTTGTTGTGGCTGTCAACGTGAGCGGAGCTGGGGCGCCGCGGTCACTCCGCGCGGGGTGCGCCCGCTGGCTCGGCTGATTGCCGGGCTGGCCGCCTGGAGCCGACGGTACGCGGGTTCCTACAGTTGAACCGGCCGTGGCAACACCATCCTCCATGACTCTCCTCACAACAACGTCGGCGCTGGTAATCGAGCGAGTTCACGATGGCTCTCCTTCGATCGGCTGTGTGCAGGGCCTGCAGGCGATCCCAATTCCAGCTGCGACGAGGCTTCGCGACAGCTAGCTCTCAGCAAGCCACTGGCGGCAACCGGGTGAAGCTCGTCGAGGTCGGACCGCGCGATGGCCTGCAGAACGAGAAGACAATTATCCCGCTCGCCACAAAAATCGACCTGATTGAGCGCCTTGCGAGAACAGGCGTTTCGACTATTGAGGCGGGGTCTTTCGTTTCTCCCAAATGGGTCCCTCAGGTACGTCAGGAAGCGACCAGGCGCACCGCTACCATGCTGACGACAGCCCATTCGGTAGATGGCCAACTCGAGCGAGATCATGGAGCACCTTTTGCAGCAAAAGGTGCAGGCCCCCGTTCCGATGACCTGGTCGTTCCTGGCACCAAACACGAAAGGCCTGCAGAACGCGGCCGCCATCCTCAAGCAGAACCCCGGCACCTTCTCGAGCCAGCTGGACCCGAACGACAAGCCAGCCGTCGAGGTGGCCGTCTTCGCGGCCGCGACCGAGAGCTTCTCGCAGAAGAACCTCAACTGCGATATACAAACGTCTCTGGAGCGCTTCAAGGCCGTGATCCAGGACTCCAAGGCGCTCGGGCTGAGGGTGCGCGCCTACGTCTCCGTCGTCCTGGGCTGCCCGTTCGAGGGATTCGACGTCGACCCGCACAAGGTGGCTGAGATCGCCACGGACCTGCTCGAGTCGGGCGCGGACGAGATCTCGCTGGGCGACACGACGGGCATGGGCACGGCACCACGGACCAGCGCACTGCTCAAGTGCATGTCGGCGGCGGGCATCCGGAGCGAGGACATTGCGATGCACTTCCACGACACGTACGGGCAGGCGCTGGTCAACACGGCGGTGTCGCTGGAGCACGGCATCCGGACGTTCGACAGCAGCGTGGGCGGCCTGGGCGGCTGCCCGTACAGTCCCGGGGCGACGGGCAACGTGGCGACGGAGAACATGGTCTACTTCATGGAGACGCTGGGAATGGAGACTGGCATAGACCTAGATGCCATGGCGGACATCGGCGCGTGGATTACGGGAGAGCTGGGCAAGGCAAATGACAGCTCGGTGGGCAAGGCGGTGCTCGGGGCGAGGGCGCGGGCAACTGCAGAGGCCACCAAGGCGTGAGTACCGGAGGTATTTGGAGGAACGGCGTTGGTAGTGAAGCTCTGATGCATTGTCTTGTGCTGGGAGACGTGCATAATTCAACCAAGTATTACACCGTTAAAAAGATGCAAAATACGCAGAAAAGGACTAAAAAACACACATTCAAAGACCTCAAGGTCCATTCGCAGGTTCAATGGCTCTCAAACTTGCTCAGGGTGAGCAGCAGCCAAGCTCCAGTCATGTGATGTCACTGTCGCGATCAGGGAACGGGCCAATCCTCAGCAAACGTGGGTCCAGCTCCAGCGGAGGCCTTGCTCGCTGGAGGCAGTCGAAACAGGCGGGCGCAGCGGCCGCCGCGCACCTAGCCATGGGAGGTGGGAAGTGGAGGACGGGGGAAGGGCTCCACCAGCCTGCGGCCAGCCAGCCAGCCAAGCTCAACCTCATCAACCTCCTCCAACCTCGTTTCGGACCGCAGCTGGCGAGGCTCACTTTTGTCATCCTTCCTCCAACGTCCTGCACCCCCTCTGCTGCTGCGCCAGACCCGCGTGTGCCACGACAGCGGCTCATCCTCTCCTCTCGAATCTCCCCCTTCGCCCTCGAGCGCCGCCGCTTTCCGCACCTCGACGCCCTGGCCGGCTCCGTAATCCCGCCATCGCCCGTCGCTTCGCCCCGCAGCACAGCCAAGCGCCCTTTCGTGAGCTGTCTTCCACCGACACCATGACGGACCCGCGCGACTCGTCGTCCTACTCGATCGTGCCGAGGATTCGGTACAACACCGTCGGTGGCGTCAACGGACCGCTGGTTATTCTCGAGAATGTACGAATGGAGCGCGCTGGCTCCTCCCCGTCGGTTCGGTGCGCCTGTGGGCTGACGTTGCCTGCCCCTAGGTCAAATTCCCGAGATACAACGAGATTGTCACCTTGACGCTTCCCGATGGCACCCAGAGATCCGGTCAGGTCCTGGAAGCACGAGGTATGTTCTGGCACCAATGCCGCTCTGCTTGGCTGCGCTGGCTAACCGCGGTGGATAGGCGACCGAGCTGTTGTCCAGGTACATTCTACACGGGCGCCGTGTCGACGAACCCCCAACGAGTGCTGACGCCAGCTGTATAGGTCTTTGAGGGAACGTCCGGTATCGATGTCAAGAAGGTGAGCCGGAAAACTCGCCCGCACAGCGTGGGTGCAGGAAGCTGACAGCCGCGCAGACCAAGGTCGAGTTCACCGGCTCGAGCTTGAAGCTCGGTGTCTCGGAGGACATGCTTGGTCGCATCTTCGATGGCTCCGGCCGCGCCATCGACAAGGGCCCCAAGGTGCTTCCCGAGGACTACCTCGACATCAACGGCAGCCCTATCAACCCTTACTCTCGTGTACGTCTCGGCTCGTCCTTTCCTCGAGCAGGATACCGAACTGACGGACGCAGGAATACCCCGAGGAGATGATTTCGACCGGTATCTCCGCCATTGACACGATGAACTCGATTGCCCGTGGCCAAAAGATTCCCATTTTCTCTGCCTCTGGTCTGCCTCACAACGAGATTGCCGCCCAGATTTGCCGACAGGCCGGCCTCGTCCAGAAGCAGGGCATCACCAACAAGGGCGTGCATGACGGCCACGAGGAGAACTTCTCCATCGTGTTCGGTGCCATGGGTGTCAACTTGGAAACCGCCCGTTTCTTCACGCGCGACTTTGAGGAGAACGGCAGCTTGGAGCGCACGACTCTGTTCCTCAACCTGGCCAATGATCCTACGTAAGTCGGGCCCGGGCTTCTATGGGCTCAAACGGTTTCGGCGCATTCAGAAGCTTACTTTGGAACAGCATCGAACGTATCATTACCCCTCGTCTGGCACTTACGACCGCGGAGTACTACGCCTACCAGCTTGAGAAGCACGTCCTCGTCATCCTTACTGACCTGTCGGCCTACTGCGACGCCCTTCGTGAAGTTTCGGCGGCGCGAGAGGAAGTGCCCGGTCGCCGTGGTTTCCCCGGTTACATGTACACTGATTTGTCCACCATCTACGAACGAGCCGGCCGTGTCGAGGGACGTAACGGATCGATTACGCAGATTCCCATCTTGACGATGCCCAACGACGACATCACGCATCCCATTCCCGACTTGACGGGATACATTACCGAGGGCCAAATCTTCGTCGACCGACCGCTGTACAACCGCGGCATCTACCCGCCGATCAACGTGCTGCCGTCGCTGTCGCGTCTGATGAAGTCTGCCATCGGCGAGGGCATGACGCGCAAGGACCACGGCGATGTGTCGAACCAGCTGTACGCCAAGTACGCCATCGGTCGCGACGCGGCGGCCATGAAGGCTGTCGTCGGTGAGGAGGCGCTGTCCGCCGAGGACAAGCTGTCTCTGGAGTTCCTGGACAAGTTTGAGCGGCAGTTCATCAACCAGGGCGCGTACGAGTCGCGCTCCATCTACGAGTCCCTGGACCTTGCGTGGAGCCTGCTGCGCATCTACCCCAAGGACCTGCTCAACCGTATCCCTGGCAAGGTGCTCAACGAGTTCTACCAGCGTGCGGCAAAGGACGCCAAGTCGAAGGGCAAGGCGCGGGCGGACGTGGCTGCCAAGGACCAGCAACAAAACGAGGAGAACCTGATTGACGCATAAGGGGAGCGCAGTGAGCGAGAGTGTCGCGCCCAGACCGGGTGCAGTGCAGTCCTAATAGACGCCGCGGACGGGGAGCGGTCGCAGAGCAGGGGTGGCCATTGTCATGTGTATAAGTCGGGCTGGCGGAAGCGGCCCTGCCGTTCGAAGTACCTCTTTTTCTTGTCTTCATCGTTTTTGCAGGAGGGGACAAACAGCAGCTCAACATGATGCATTGAACAGGCGAGAGTGCCGTAGAAGCGCCACACGTTGATGAATGAGCGGGAGCGTAGAGGCGCGGGTGTGGTATTGGCTGCGGATGCGACGTTGGACAAGGATTCGCAGGCCGATGACCGGGGCGAGGCACCTGTGCTTGTTGAACCGAAAATGAGCGTTCGAGCCGAAGACGACACAGGATACGTGCGGCTGCCAGTTAGTGACTTAGTAAGGCCTGGTTCGGAGAGGCGCTTTCGGGCCTTTTTTTCTTCTTCGCATGCGAGGAACCGAACGCATGCCGCGCCTCGTGCGCCCAGTATGGGCAAAAAGCGTCGGGTTGGACCAGCCCCCTTCCCCCCGCACGCACAACCCATGATGGGAACGATGCACTTGCTCCCCCGCATTGTGCTCACTCGCGCGGCTGGTTGAAGGGCGGGGGGAGGGGTGAGTAAGCTTCAGAGAGGTGCTGCAGCTGTATTATGTACTGTATCTACGGTTGCACGAGGTTGCTGAACTGAACGAACTACAGTAGGAGAGGAGAGTGTCGTGAGACGATGTCGGAGAGCGTATGTAGTTACATGTCGCCCGGTGTTGGTTGGAGGGGCAGGGCAAAGGAGAGAAAGGTGTCACAGGCGACGAAGGTGCCTGGCGGGTTCGTGTTGGCCGCCGACATACGAATGTGCAAAGCACATGCTGTAGTACTGTACTTACTATGCAGCTTCGTACTTTGTACGAGGGCAGCGGAAGTGCCATCGTGCCTCCGCTGGTGCTGCTGCAGTACGCAGAGCGAGGGCGCTACATCCATGGCAGGATCTCGTGCGGGCAAAGGCTCGTCGAAGCAGCATCCCTCGTCATTTGCTGTGCGACACTGGCGGCCGTGAGCAGATGAGGGGGTAATCACCTGGGTGGTGCTAGGAAGGCGTGCTGCGGGCGCCCGATCTGCTAGGCGATGCCGAGACGGCAGGCAAGCCGGTGTCACGGCACGGCGGCGGCTGTGGTGGCGGCGTGGCCGATGACACCTTGGCAGCCAGGGATGGAAGGGATGGGATCATTCATGGCCGTCGTCGATGAACATCTGGGCAGGGAGGGTCATGGAAGCTCCCCCCCATGCTGCTACGGCGGCCCTCTTTTGCTTCTTCCCCCGCACGAGCGTGTAAGCTTCTGCCCTGGCCTGGACCCTGCAAGTGGAAACGGTGGTGGTGGTGGTGCGCCCCAAGGTTTGTTGTTGCGTCAAGTTGATGGATGATGTCCTGGATGCGCGTCCCTCTTCCTCATCAGGCTCAATGTAAGTTGCTCACGTTTTGGCCGTTGCTGTTGTTAGTTGGAAAGCTGACGTTCCTGAGCCGGACCGGGGGGGGGGGCTGTTGGGAGCGGGAGGGAAGAAATCGCAGGCGGCAGGGCTGCGCATTGGAGCGCATATAAGGCTGTCTCTTATACACATCTAGATGTGTATAAGAGACAGCATATAAGGCGTCGGGTAGGGTCAAGATGAGTTAGCTGCCGGGCGGCCGTTGGGAGGGAGGTGCGGCGGCGCTCGGACGACCTTGCCTGATGGATGGTTATTACTGTAGCTATAGCGCTTGTGGACCTGTAAGGGGGCCTCCTGGCCGCCTCCCGGCGAGAGCTTGATGAGGTGGGTTGGGTTGGCGTTGGTGTTGGCCCGCTTTCCCCAGAGTGCTGCCCCCCCGGCCGGGGAGGGCAGGTTGGTGGAAACACAGGCAGGTTGGCAGCCAGGGGCGTCACAACGGGGCAAGCTGCTTGCCGCATCAATTGATCAAAGACGATGATGACGATGTGGACGGACAGATGTGGTGGTGTGGAGAGGGGAGGAAGCTAGGTGTGCTTACCTTGCCTTACATCTCTCTCCATGTCCCATGTAAGTAAACACCCGCACCACTAACTAACAGACCACTGTTACCCCCCCAGCCGGGGCAGGCGCGGCCGCGCAGGTGACATCACGCGGGCACATACAACCTGGCAAGCACCGCAAGCGCAAAGCCGCAACCCCACGAGGGCCTCCTCGACACCTCACTCGCACGCTTCGAACGAACGGGACAAAGATCGTCACCGCCCGTTTTCCCGAACCACCAACCTGCCACTAAATTGCGAAGTACAGTAAGTACCAGGACCAACAACAAGGCCTTCCACCACCAGGTCCCCCTCCCTCCTCAAGCCGGCCCGGCCCAGCGCCAGTCCAGCTCTACGTAAGGTAGGTACTGTACAGTACTGTACAGTACCAAAGTTGGCAGCTTCCTCGCGTACTCGTATGTGCGCGCGCGGGCCTGCGACCAATCTTACGAGACGAGGACCCTGCGAGGCTACCCAATCTCGGTCCGGTCGGGGGGTTGTTGCTAGCTGGCTGGCTGGCTGGCTGGCTGGCTGGCGGATGCGGAGAAGGCAATAGGCAGAAGCTGCTGGGAGTACTGCACAGTAGAGGATGAGAGACGGGGAGACATGGAGAGACGGCGGAGAACGTGGAGCGTGGAGCTTGGAATGTGCATGCATATTGCTGGGGGCCATGTGCCAAAGGTCCAGCGAAGATGCCGATCGCCCGCCCCGGGGGTGGGCGAGACAGACGGGTACAAAGTAAACACGGACGATCAAGGGCCTTCCTGATGTCTCGCCCACGGGGGAAGCGTCGCACCGGGGGCATGCACGTTGGAAAGGTACTTCATGTGCGCAGCAGTGGTTCGTGCGACTGTGTATAATAAACAACGTGCCCCCCTCCCCCCCTTTCGTCTGCCTTCCCGGAGCAGCAGCAGCAGCAGCAGCATTCAGTCTTGTCGCGAGCGTTGCCCTCGCCCCTCCGTACACACCGAAACGGTTGAGTGAGAGAGAGAGAGAGCCTTGTACATAAGCGCGCTCGCGGTGTGTCTGTGTGTGTTGCATTGGAAGCCTGCCCAGCACCATCATGAAGTGGTCGTCGAAGCTCCTCGCCCTCGCGGCGCTGCTGCCCGTAGCGCTCGCGGACGACGCCGATGCCGCCAGCAACAAGCCCAAGCCGGACAAGGACGGCAAGTACTGGATCTACGGCGACGGCATCTCGGCGGCCTTCATCCCCTACGGCGCGTCCGTGACCAACATCCTGTTCAAGGACCAGTACGGCATCGAGCGCGACCTGGTCGCCGGCTTCGACAATGCCACCTACTACAGCCTCGACAAGCAGCACCCGCACTTTGGCGGCGTGCCCGGCCGCTACGCCAACCGCATCAAGAACAGCACCTTCGAGATCGACGGCAAGAAGTACAAGGTCAAGGCCAACGAGAACCCGACCAAGGCGCACCCGGACGGCCTCGACACGCTGCACGGCGGGCCCGACGGCTGGGACTGGCGCAACTTCACCGTGCTGGCCTACACCAAGAACAGCATCACCTTCCAAATCGTCGACCCGGACGGCAAGGAAGGGTTCCCCGGCGAGGTCGTCTCCTGGGCCACCTACAGCCTCAACGGCCACGACTGGGACTTCCAGCTCGTCGCCCAGTCCCTCACCAAGAAGACGCCCATCATGCTGAGCAGCCACACCTACTGGAACCTCGACGGCTTCGCCAACAACGAGACCAACACCGCCCTCAACCACACCCTGCACATGCCCTACGGCGGCCAGCGCGTCGGCGTCGACAACATCCTCATCCCCACCGGCGACATCCTCGCCAACGCAAAGGGCTCCGTCAACGACTTCTGGAGCAAGCCCAAGCAGCTGGGCGCCGATCTTGAGAAGCCGGAAATTGTCGGCAACTGCGGCTTCAACTGCTCCGGCTACGGCAAGTTTTTCCATCCCAAGTCCTTGCCCAGTAGTCTACAAAGTGGGCTGGGGAGACTCTCTTGTTCGAGGAAACGCAACGGCTGACCACCCCTGGGCCACAGACAACTGCTACACCATCAACCGCGAGGGCGAGTTCGACTGGCGCACCGCGCCCGTCGCGACCCTCGCGTCCGACTGGTCCGGCATCCAGCTCGACGTCTTCACCGACCAGACCGCCTTCCAGGTCTACGGCTGCCACGGCCAGAATGGCAGCATGGCGCTCAAGAAGACGCAGGGCGTCAAGCCCGCCAACAAGGACTTCCCGCGCACCATCGCAAAGTACGGCTGCGTCGTCCTGGAGGTCCAGGACTACATCGACGGCATCAACCACCCCGAGTGGGGCCGCAAGCAGATCTGGGCCCCCGAGGACGGCCCCTACGTCCTCAAGGCCAAGTACCGGTTCAGCCTGGCGTCGGAGCACAAGAAGAACAAGCCGTGCACCAAGAAGTAGTAGACGAGCAGCTGGCTGGCTGTCACACGGCGGTTGCGCCCGCAGCCAAAGAACCCAGCTCGACGTTGTGCTACTTGGGGGCCCGGGCTGGGGGAGAGAGAGGGGGGGTTGTTGAGCGTTCATAGTAGTGGTGTTTGTTTCGCGGCGGCGTGGGTACATAATGCTTCGGACGTCACGATAGGCTTCTCGGTAATGATTGACATGCGCCGCTTCCCGACGACGGGTCTTGGCGAGCATTTATAAAATAAAGAGACTTGGCCGAACATTGCATGCGCGCGCCCGTAGAAGTGAAAAGTGAAAGTGAAAGCGAGGTTTGATGTTGGAGTTGAGGTTGGGCTGATGAGGGGCAGGCAAAGTCGTGAGCGCCGACTTACAAATTCTCATGCCACCACCAATCGGGCAGCGGACCCAGAAAAACTTTGGGCAACCGCAACCCGCTCACTCACTCAATACTCGTCAAGTCTCTCTCTCTCACTCACCATCGGCAACGCGACACTCCTTTTCTCGACTGTCTGAGCCCACAAGTCTCGAGCGGAGGACCTTACCGAGGCGCAAACTCGGACAATGGAGGACGATCGGGCGCAGGTCGATCTCGGCCTCGCCGCCGACATCGAAGAGTCTCAGATGATGGCTCAGCAGCAACCGCCACCACCAACCCCGGACTCGGCCTCAGCGACGACACCCCAGGATGGCACTGCGGTCAGGCAGCCGAAGAAGCGTTTCGTCGGGAGAAGAGCCGCCGCAGAGGCTGCCGCGGCCAAGAGCGGCGCGGCAGACACAAGCGGCGAGAGCGGCGCCGTCCAGCGTCAGTCACCCACCAACCCAACCTACCCTGTCCACGGTCTCTCACACATGATCTGAAAACTGACACCCCGCGATAGCTGCAAAGCCCCGCCGACCGCCGCGGCTGCTCAACAGGGTGCCCCAGGACATCCTGGACGACCCCAACCTCAAGGAGGCCATCGCGCTGCTGCCCGCCAACTACAGCTTTGAGATCCCCAAGACGATACACAGGATACGCTCGTCCGCCGCCAAAAAGGTGGCGCTCCAGATGCCCGAGGGCCTCTTGCTCTTCGCCACCACAATCTCCGACATCCTCACGCAGTTCTGCCCGGGGATCGAGACGCTCATCATGGGAGACGTCACCTACGGCGCGTGCTGCATCGACGACTACACGGCCCGCGCCATGGGCTGCGACCTCCTCGTGCACTACGCCCACAGCTGCCTCATCCCCGTCGACGTCACCAAGATCAAGACGCTCTACGTCTTTGTCGACATCAGCATCGACACGGCCCACCTGCTGGCCTCGCTCGAGCGCAACTTCGCCACGGGCAAGACCATCGCCGTCGTCGGCACCATCCAGTTCAACGCTACCATCCATGGCGTGCGCGGCGCCCTCGAGGCCGCCGGCTTTCGCGTCCTCGTGCCCCAGATCGCGCCTCTCAGCAAGGGCGAGATCCTCGGCTGCACGTCGCCCCGCCTCAGCGACGACGACAAGGTCGACCTGATTCTCTACCTCGGCGACGGGCGCTTCCACCTCGAGAGCATCATGATTCACAACCCCAAGATCCCAGCCTACCGCTATGACCCTTACTCGAGGAAGCTCACGCGCGAGACGTACGCACACGAGGAGATGCAGTCAGTCCGCATGTCCGCCATCCGCACCGCCCGCACCGCCAAGCGCTGGGGGCTCATCCTCGGCTCCCTCGGCCGCCAGGGCAACCCCCACACCATGGCCCTCATCGAGCGCCGCTTGACGGAGCGCGGCATTCCCTTTGTCAACCTCCTCCTCAGCGAGATCTTCCCCGGCAAGCTCGCCATGATGAGCGACGTTGAGTGCTGGGTTCAGGTCGCCTGCCCGCGCCTGAGCATCGACTGGGGCTACGCGTTCCCCCGGCCGCTGCTGACGCCCTACGAGGCGCTCGTCGTCCTCGGCGAGAAGGAGCAGTGGGATAAACAGCCCGGAGGAGGTGTCTATCCTATGGACTACTACGGAAAGGAAGGGCTGGGCCGCACGCGACCGGCCGTGCAGGAGAGCAGTAGTACACCGGCTACCGCTGTCGTGGGAGCTGGGTAGATTTGTCGTCGGCCACGAAAAATAAAAATGTGATGATGATGACGACCACTCTTTGGTCTCGATGCTGGGAGTGAAGCTCTCTCCCCCATGGGGGCCTAGTGACACCCCAAAGACCCCCGTGAGAGCGTATTGTTTCCTCGATCACCACATATCCGTGGGGCTCGCTCAGTGTGGTAGGAACGATGTACTCGTACGTATGGCCATACCCGTCTTGAGCTCGACGAACAATCCCACGGCTCAAATGGGCTCAGAAGGATGGACGCGCAATGCGCCTATCACGTCGTCGAATTGCCGCGCCAGCTGTGACTCATCAGTAAGCCGTAATTCGAGCTGCCCTCAACTTGTTGAACCCTCACACGAGCCGATACAGAGCATCTTTATCGGACACACGAGAGTGGACCAGACACCTTTCGTCGTTGTATTGAATGACATCTATAGGCACAGATTTGGGAGCACAACAGGGTGTAGTATCACGCCAAGAATCTCAACCCCGCTAGCTAACTACTCTACCTGGGCCCCAATGGACCTCGCTCGGCCCTTTATCGCCGTCGCGGGCTTGACCGACGTCGAGCCCGTGGCTCAGGGGCTCGAATTCCACGTCTTCAAGGCACAATCGGCTGCGTACGGCCAAGTCGCCCTCCGCGTCCCGCAGCACCGCATCTTTCAAAACGTCAACGACCCCAGCAACGACGCCAAGGAGCTCATCGAGCAGGAGCTCAAGATCTACGAGCTTCTCCGCCATGGTCCCGTGCCGGTCCCGAGGCCAATTGCGCTTCTCGAGGCGGACGGTTACCCGGCGATGCTGAGCGAGTATGTCGACGACGACGGCTCTGAGGCGCCGCCGGAGGAGCTTGGCCGGCTGGCTGCGCTCATCCACGCGACCAAGTTGCCGACTGACTGGGACGTCAAATTGGTGGCCATGGACGGCACGGATGCGCTCAGTGCAGTGGTCGGCAGGATGGTGCGGCGCTTCGAGCAGCTTGCCAGAGAGGAACCTGGCGCCAGGCATTGGATCCCAGCGCGGAGTGACCTGGAGCCCATCGCCGACAGCCTCAGGTCGCTCCCCAGCTGCCTGCTGCACATGGACCTCCGCGACGTCAACCTGCGTGTCCGCAACGGGAAAGCAGTGGCGGTGCTCGACTGGACGAATGCCCTCATCGGGCCAGCGGCGATAGATTACTTTCGCATCATGGAGCTCGGCCAACCGGGGGATGCATTCGTCGAGGCGTACTCCCGACGCGCGGACGTGCCGACGGTCACGCCAAGGCAGCAGACGTTCTTGCGCCTGGATGCCGCTCTGATGCTGGCGCTGGTGTTTATATCCGAGGCTCCTGATCCGGAGAGACGTGGGCCCTGTGTCAGGCGAGTTGAGGAACTTGTCGCGCAGTTGAGGACCCTGAGAGAGGATGACTCCAGCTCTTCAATGTTCAGATAGACTGATGATGATGGTGATGAGCGAACCTCGACCCCATGCTTACTGCGCCCCGCTCGTGTTGACCGGCTCGGGTCGATTCGAGAAGAGCACCTTGTACTTGACAATCTCCACCACCTCGAGGTTGTCGCCCTGCTCCTGCACGGGGCCGCCCGAGCTGCCGTACACCTGATTCTCGCGGCGGCGGACGACGGCCACGGCGCGGGGCAGCTTCTTGACCTCGCCCGTCAGGCGCTGGTGCTGGCCGACGTACAGATGAACGCGCTTCATCCAGGCAGAGCCCTCGGCGTCGGGGACAAAGTCCGGGAAGTCGAGCCGCCCGACCTCGACGTCCTTGAGCATCTCGCCGTCCTCGCCGGCGGGCAGGTTGATGGTGCCCTGGAGCTCGACCAGGGCGAGGCCCGAGGGTGTGTGCAGCAGCGGCGGGAGCGGGCTGGAGGCTGGCTGGTCGGGCTTGGTTTGGGGGTAGAGCTTGGCGGACATTGTAGAGGCTCTGCGATGGAGATGTTGTGTTTGGTCAAAAAAAGACCAAGAAAGCCCTTACGTAGACAGAGATAGATGACGAAGAGCGATGTTCAAGGCACCTATGCCGTCGGAGCGGGGTGGGTGTCGGCCGACAGTGACACAAGATCGAGGCCCTGTTGTACTACAAAGTACCTGCCCGATCCGTGAGTGAGACGCGACGGTGCATCCACCGCGTTGACAGACCCAACCGCGCCCTCAGCAGATGAGGGTACGAGTACGTCCTTTGTGGCGCACCGCCGCTCACCAGCCACAGCAGACTCGCGGAAAACCCCCCTGTGGGCCCGCATGTTCTTCCGCGCCGGGCGGTGCGCCAGATGCGCCCGCCATGATTGGCCCGCACCTTTTTTTCGCTGCCCACGGCCAGAGAGAAGCGGAACCCTAGCGGCACACATTTTCTCTATTTCGCCCAAATTTTACCACCTCCTTCAAACCCCCATCTCCAACCACGAACTTCAGTCAGCCAGGTCAAGTCAACTTGCACCACCACAGCACTGGCAAGATGAAGGTACGAAACGCGCGCCCTCTACCCCCCGCCCGACGACGATGGGCGATGACGATCACACCGCCGCCTCTGCGATGCCTCAATACAATGAATGGTCTGCCCTGACTGGCACGGTCGCCCGTTGAATTGTTGCACGTCGCGCTGCGGCGGCGGCTGGTCGCTCGACCTCGATCAACGAACGAAGACAAATTTGAATCATGGCTGACAAGATGACTGCAGTTGAACATCAGCTACCCTGCCAATGGCAGCCAGAAGCTCATCGACATCGAAGATGAGCGCAAGCTCGCCGTCTTCATGGAGAAGCGCGTACGTCGAACCCTGCCTCCGCGAACGTCGAGGCCCCGAATCTTTCGAGACCGCGAACGAGAACACGCCGTGCTAACAGAGACTTCATAACAGATGGGCGCTGAGGTCCCTGGTGACTCCGTCGGCGACGAGTTCAAGGGCTACATCTTCCGCATCACCGGCGGCAACGACAAGCAGGGTTTCCCCATGAAGCAGGGTGTCATGCACCCCAGCCGTGTCCGCCTCCTGCTCGCCGATGGCCACTCCTGCTACCGCCCCCGCCGCACCGGCGAGCGCAAGCGCAAGTCTGTCCGCGGCTGCATCGTCGGCATGGACCTGTCCGTCCTCGCCCTCAGCATCGTCAAGCAGGGCGACAGCGACATCCCCGGCCTGACCGACGTCGTCCACCCCAAGCGCCTCGGCCCCAAGCGCGCCACCAAGATCCGCAAGTTCTTCGGCCTCACCAAGGATGACGATGTATGTTTCACCCTGCACCCATACTCGATCATCGCCTGCCCGGAGCTGCGGTGGAGGTCGTGGCAGTCCGGGTAGAGAGTGAGATGGACCCGCCTGGGCGCGGATTCCCTTTTCCCCTCAAGGACAGGGGGAAACCGTGTCTGGGCGGGGAAGAGTACAAAACCTTTTTGACAGAATCCATGAAACTAATCTCGCTGCGGCGATCCAGGTCCGCAAGTACGTCATCCGACGAGAGGTCCAGCCCAAGGGTGAGGGCAAGAAGCCTTACACCAAGGCCCCCAAGATCCAGAGGCTGGTCACCCCCCAGCGTCTGCAGCACAAGCGCCACCGCGCCGCTCTCAAGAGACGCCAGGCCGAGAAGGTCAAGGACGAGGCCGTGAGTACTCACCCAATTGCAATCGATGCCACGCAAAGATCTTGTCGCTGACCGCTGCTGCAGAACGAGTACGCCCAGATCCTGGCCAAGCGCGTCGCCGAGGCCAAGGCCCACAAGGCCGACGTCCGCAAGCGACGGGCGAGCTCCATGCGCAAGTAAGCGTTTTCGGCGTTTTAATGAGGAAAAAGTGGAAATCATACCTTGGTCCCCGGTCTGTGGTTTGCATGCATTGGGAGTGAGGATCTCTCGGTCTCGATTTAGGGACCAAAATCATGAATGTACTAGAAGCATTTCGGGAAATTCAAATGCATTCTTGATGCCATCTATACACTCCGCGCTTGCAACTTGCCACTTTGACACATTCGCTCCGCCTGTGACATGGTTGTCCGTCCCCTCTGCATTACAGAATAACTGCGCCAGGCCATGGTGTCGACGCCTCCTATCACCCACCTAATACAGCACAATCCCAAGGGTGATGTCCGTTTTCTGCTGTATTCTTGCTTGTCTAATGCTTGTGGCCAATTGGCCCTACTCTACAGTCCAATATGCCTTATTGCCGCCTTCAGAGCGTCCCCGCGCAACCGACGCAATCCCAGAGACCTGCACTTCTCCGAGACCACCAGGAGGCTTGGGGCGCAGCGCTCGCGGCCTTTCCCATCCCTCATTGAGGCCGTTCCATAAAAATTACATCCCCGGAATGGGGGAAGCGCAAAGTAACACAGCAAACGAAGTAGTGTCCAGCTCAGGACTCCCGTGCTCCCAACACCTGGGCGCCATGCAACGCTCGGCTTTGCCCGCACTCTTGGTCTAATTAGGCGAACCCAAAGTACTCGCTTCCTTGCGTGATGGCCTTGACGAGCTGCGAGCGCAACATGTCATAAGTCTCGTACTCGGGGAGGTCGAGCTCTGTATTGCATTGTCAGCCCAATGCTCGTCTTGACTACAACAGCGGGGGCAAACTTACGATTGAAACATGTGTGCGACGAGGGTAGGCGGTCTTTGCTGCCATAATCGCGATGAATGTTGAAACGGTTCACGCCATTCATGCCCTCCAGCTCCTTGAAGCCGTTAAGAGGGACCTTGCTCGTGCCAGTGACGAACTGCAGAAGCTTCGCTCGCTCCTCCTTGTCAAGGGACCGGACGGCGCGCCAGAACCACTGGATCTGCTGAGAGGACGGCGTGTAGTTTTGGTACTCGGTGTTACTCTTCCAGTCATCAATGTCGATGTCTGGTAGACCCGAGATCAGCAGCTCCAGCTCCTGCTCGCTGAAGATCGAGATCAGGTTGGCGGGGATGATTTCATGGAAGCCTGGTCAATTTTGGTTAGCAATCTCTCGTCAGAGCACCTAGTAAGAGGACATTGTAACTCACCCTTCAGGAAGTTCTCCATTTGCTCCTTCACCGAGGACAGAAGCTTGTGCTCCACCACGAGGCGGACGTACTCCTGCTTGTTTTCCTCCGTCACGGATATTTCTCGACCGTTTGGAACGAGATCGACCACGTTGGTAACGCCAAACTCATCATCCTCGACCGAAAATGTCTCCGTGATGATGTCGGTGATGTCATTGTCGAGCATCCAGCAAAGAGACTTGTAGTAGTCTGGGTCAAACGACTCCATATCCTTGACCGACACCGATTTGCCCAGAATGCGCTTGTACACGGCTCGGCTGAAGAAGCAGTCGAGCAGGCGGCCCTCGTACAGGGCTTTGCCGATGATCCGGCCGATGAACTTGAAGAACATCAGATGGGCCTCGTTGACACCGCTGAGCTTGTTTGGGTGGAACGTCGTGCGGTCCGACGAGACGGGAATGAAAAGGGCGTAGTTTGGATCAAACATTTGCCGTGCGAGGACCTGGAACCACTCGCGCGTCACGCCTCCAGCGTCGACACCTTCTTCGCCATGGAAGCGGATGTTGAGCTTGCCAAACTTCATCTCGTCGCCAGACTTGAAGTAGAGAGCCTTGAACGAGTCGCGGAAGACTTGTTCACGACGAACGGACAGCTGCAGCGCTGGGTATGACGGGCGTCCGTTGCCCTGGCCCGATCGCGAATGGACACTGCGATTAAAGTAGTTGCGCTTGTTGTCAAACTCGAGAACCTTGGGGTTCTTCACCAGCAACGCAAAGGTGCCGGACATGAGTTTCGGGTTGTTGCGAACAAGCTCGTTGAGGATGCGGCGGTGCTCTCCCGTGAAATGGAAGAAGAGCTCGGCGGTATAGTGCTCGGCATCCGGCTTCGGCGCGGCCGTGTCCTTCGTCCATGGTTCCTTGGGTTGCTCCTCCGCAGTCGTGTTCTTACAGACCACCATGAGCGACTCGATCAGGGGGAGCAAAATAGTGGCGACGTTGAGCATGCTCTCTCGCTGTCGAATGGCGCTCAGGCACGCGCTCAGCTTCTCCCACATTGCTGGGAAGGTCGAGTTGTGGTACAACGAATCGACCAGGTACTTCTTGTCTTCTCCAGCCGCGGTGTCCTTGTCGTCGCCTGTCTTCTTCTTGCCGTCAAACAGGTGGTCCAAGGCAGTGAGCACACGAAGGAGCTTGTTCTGCTCGGACGCTCCCGGAGAGAACTTGGCCAGCGCAAGGCCCTGGATCTCTGTCCCGTTGGCTGCCTGATCAATGTGCGGGAGCAGATCGTCGAGGTCCGAGACGATATTCTCGCTCAGGAGCCTTGCCTGGCGGACAAGCTCCTCTCCAAACGCTTCCTTGGCTCCTGGAATCGCTGAAAGATTCTTGATGGTCGAAATTGTGTTCTGGAAGGTCTTGGAGTTGCATTCTCTTGCGACAAAGATGCGGACTACCAGGATTAAGTTCTGCGGCGGAATGACGGGCGCCTGCAACTGCTTTGGTCGCTTCGAGGACTCCTTTGCTTTGCTATCGTCCCCGGCGGTGGCCGCTTGTTGGTCTTCGCCATCGGGTTGAGCAGGTGCCGTCGTGGCATCGTTACCGGGTTCGCCGGCTGCTGTTTCTTGGCCAGCGTTGGTCTCTGCCCTCTCTCCACCAGCCTCGTCTGGCTTCTCCTCCGCTTGAGTCTCCTTACGGCGGCGCTCAAGATTTTGCAGAGGCATGGTGACGCGGTTCAACAAGTCGGCAAGGTGTGTCATGACAAGCGAGCTTTCGGTAACGAGCTCACGGTCCAAAAGGGTCAGCAAGGAGTTGATGGCGTACTTATGAGCCTTGGAGTCCTTCGCCTTGCCTTTGCGGCTCAGGGCCCTCTTCAACGTCGACCCGACGATTTCGTGCTCCGTCAAGAACAGCCACGGGATGTGATGGCTTCTGGTACAGAGGTCGACGAGGAGGTCCAAGCACTGCTGGACGATCAACAGAGGCGAGGTCTCCGAGTTTGGCTGCGTCGTGGGAGTTGCTCCGATGCTGGTCAGAGTCCGCTTAAGGGTCTGAGGAGTCTTCTGCTCGTCCTTCTCCTTGTGTCTGCGAGCCTTGAGCGAGAGCTGGCCAAAGCTGCGCTCGACCGCGCTCATGTCGATACTTCCCTCCTGGAGAATCTGCAGGATGCTGCTAACAACCTCGAGGCGGTTCTGCCGATTCTCGCAGACGTCCGCAAACACGCTGAACAGGTAATTGCGAATCGAGCCCTGCTGCGCAATGAACATCAGTCGCAGCAAGGTTGCGATTCCGGACTTGTCCAGCATCTGCACGACGGTTCGACGCTGGACCTTGTGCTCGATTTGTACCTCTGCGCCGTTACGGCCCGCGGCCCTGGCTCCGCTGGGAGGTGTTCTTCCGGGTGCGCCTATTGAGCGGATGCCACCCTGCTGGGGAGCAGGTGTGCGCTGCTGAACAAGAGCACGAGCTTGAGCGGCCATGTCTGGGGGCAGCTGGTCTATGAGATCCTCTCCCTGGTCGATGAGGGCCTGTTCTCGCAGCTCTGGCGGAAAGCTGAGAAGAATGCTGGCCGGAGACATTTCCGCCGCGACGGCGCTCTGGCCACTTTGCGTCTGCTGCCGACGGCTCCCCTCCCGCAGTCGCCGGCGTTCGTCTTGTCGTTCCTGCTGAGCAATCTCCAAACGCAGCTCCTCCGGAAGGGCGTCGAGGAATTCCTGGAACACCTCCGTAGACTCCCCTGTAGCGGCCTCCTCGCGAGCTTGAGAACGTCTCTCACTGACGGTCTGAGCAATAACCTCTTCCCTGAATTCCTCGGGCAAGGCCGCCAGGTAGTCAGGGTCAATACCCAGCTCAGTGACGTCTACCTCCTCACCCCTCAGCGTGGTCATCACGCGTGGCTGGTTGGCGGCAGACGTGCCGGCCTGAAGATCTCCCCCGGCTGCTGTAGCGGGCTCCGTGCTTTCGACACCTTCCATGGCACCGACTGCACTGTCAGCAGCGGACGCTGCATGTTCGCTGGTGTCGTTGGCCGCAGCGGCCTCTGCAGCGGCTCGCGCAGCCGCCTCTCTCTCCTCGGCTTCTTTCTGTTCCCGAGCAGCCCTTTCTTCCGCCTCCTTGGCCTCTCGGGCCTTGCGCTCCTCGTCACGCTTCCTCCGCTCTTCTTCCAAGCGTTTCTCGAGCTCGGCTTCCTCGGCCTTGAGCTTCTTCTCCCGCTCGATGGCTGCTGGCGTCAAGTTGGCCACGATGGCATTGGCGAGCTTGCTGGACTCCGTGGTATGCGCTGCGCCGAAAATCATCCTAGCCTCTTCCTGGTAGCGATCCAGTGTTGACTCGGGCGCGAACGAGACTGCTTGGTGGGGTTCTTGGCTTGACGAGCCATCACGACGTTGGTCGCTTCTGGTCCAGCGAGAAGAACTGGCAAGCTCTCGCGCCTCTCGCACACCGCCAGGTCCTCCGGTGATTTGGAAATGAAACGCTTGATTGCCATTTCGCCCCATGATAGGGAGGAACTCCATAAGCTCACCCAAGAGACCCATAGGCCCATCGATAACGTGTCTGCCAGGCCCGAATCGAAGTGAAGGCGAATGAGAGTGGCCCGCCCGTGATGCGCCTTCAGCGGTGTGATCGGTGCGTCGCAGGAGAGGGTTCACCCCATCCTCTGCGTTCGGCTGTGCACCGGCAGGTCGGTGGCTGCGCGAGAAGTAGCTTCGGAAGTCCAAGTGATCCCGATGAGAGCCAGTGGGGTAACGAGGCGGGAACGGGCTGCGATTGTCCATCCGAGCGAGCATGGGACGCCTGTGACTGCCGTCGAGGACGAAGAGCGGACGGTGTCCGTCATCCATCTCTGCGTTCAGAGAGTCCCACCCAAGGCCAGCTGGCATAGGGGGCATCTGATCCTCAGGGTAGTCATCGTCGTATATGTATTCCTCATCCTCGATGTCCTCGTCATCGTCGTCATCATCATCTTCGTCGTCGTGGCCCTCGTCCAGATAGTGGTCGTCGAGGCCGAGGTCTGGCTCGTATCCGTCGTTGTCACCGCGCATGATCGCCCGTGCCATATCGTCTAGCAGATCATGGGGTCCGAGACCGTGGATGTGGGCTTCTTCCTCATCCTGAACCTCGGCGTCGTAGTCAATGTCATCGGCTTCTGGGTCATCCGCGCCTTCGGCATCGCTCTCGCTTTCCCATCCGGAATCCCCATCATCGTCCACAGGGTTGCCTTCTTCGTCCACGATCTCGACGCGGTCTTCCACATCTTCCATGTCCGCCGAGTCCATGTCGTCGTCTTCGTCGTCCTCGCTGGTGTCATCGTCGTCCTCGTCATCGTCCATGATGACTTCGACGACTCCGGGCTCGCCGTGAAGACCTTCGATCTCGCCCATGCCACTCAGCTCCTCGTCCTCGTCGCTGATGTTGTCTTCTCCATCGGAGATGTCATCGTCGCCGTAGTCCATCTCATCGTCGTCGTACTCGTCACCATACATGTCTTCGTCGTCATCTTCCTCATCGTCCTCTGACTCGTCATCCTCGCCTCGAGGCTCGAGCATTCCCAAGGCGGAATTGCGGTATAGGTCTGGAGTCTCCTCTCGACCGTCATCTAGGTCGGAGAGGGATGATGTGGAAGCAAATTCCTCATCGCTATGGTCCACCGCTGTTGGATCAGACGGCAAAGAAGTTGATAGAGGCGAAAGGCTAAGCTCCTTGGCCGTGGCCGTGAGTACTCGGAGAACACGCAAGATATACTTGATTGCGCGTTTGACGCCAGGATAATTGAGGCTGATTTCCGCAATTGACGATGTCAGCTTGTCCACGAAGCCCTTTTCATACATGAGGCGCCGTAGCTGAGCCTGGGATCGAGACTGCGCGTGGTCGGTACTCCGAACGCCGGAAGTCTGCTCCTTGTCCTTTTCGCCTATCATGTGGTTCATCAACTCAGCCAGGCCCTGCATTCGAGAATAGCGCGTCTCTAACGGCTCGTCGGTGAGAGGGGCCTTTTCGTAGGCTTTGAGGATGGTGTCTAACACGAACTTGCGGACAAAGAGGAGGTCGCTCTCCTCGTCGTACGCAAATTTATCACGGCCACGCTCCGCAGGCCGTTCGCCAGTCTTGGCAACCAGTGCTACTAGAACCTTCTGCGTCAACGAGGACGTGGCAGCTTTCTTCTTGGACGCAATGGTGTCTGTGGCTCCATTCAAGTTGCCCTGACAGAGCAGGTCATAGATGAGGTAGTTGAGAATACTAGACCTCGGCTTGATGGGAGTATTGTTCAACAACGGCGGCGCACTGCGCTTGAAGTTGATGAACTCAACCTTGGTCCTCGTGTAGCTCTGGAGAAGCTCGGCCAAGCAACTCAGCAGGAAGCAGCGATAGACGAAAATTGGGTGCTCCTCTGCCTTGAACACGGGTTTGGACTGCTTCTTGTCTGACTCGTCCGTCGCAGCCTTGTCCTTAGACGAAGGGCCTGCAGCCGAGGGGCTAGCCTCGGAGTCAGGCTTGCCGTCCTTTACAGCTGGTACTGGCTCCTTGTCGTCGACCTCGCGATAGTTTACCAGTTCACATAGGAGGAAGTGAATGACCCCGTCGGGGTTCTCGACGACCGGGCGCTTGCTGTCATGGTGGGCCTTCGGTGCATCTGTCATCTCCTTGTCTCCAGTCTCCGTGGACTGCTTGATGCCCTGGTTTGCTGCCTCCTCGGGAGCTGGTTTCGTATCGACAGCTGCTTCTTCAACTACCTCTGGCGTTTTCATGGTCAGGCCAGGAGATCGTGTGTCATCCGCTGGCGTCACCTGCCACCTGGAGAACTGAAGCAGCTCGTTTGTGACATCGACAAACAGGTCGGGAGCTCGAAGTGCAACAGGGGCCATTGCGCGAAGATAGACGGAAACTTCAAGGGTTCCACGGTGGGTCCTCTGCAGGTTCTGGAAGTCGGACTGGATCTCGGCGCGCATGATTTGCTTGATGATCTCCTCATCCTCGATGATATGGCGGAGAACGGTAACGATATAGGCCGTCAGTCTCGTCTGCCGGAGACGTTCAGAGCCAGACCCTGAGAGTTGCTTGGCCATGAGGAACAGGCGCTGCAAATTCCTCTTTTCACCAACAAGCTTGGCGGCGGCTCGCTTTCGAGTTAGAATAACCAAAACCCGCAGAACGGCGGTTGCCAACATCTCTTCCTTGCCAATTCGAGGCAGAAGCTCGAGCAGAGAATTGAGAACATCCGCGCGCTGTTCGTCGCTGACAAGCATGGTACCCTTCTGCACGACTGGCGCCGCCACCGGTTCGTCCAACGAAGCGGGAGGTTTCCACTGTGCAGCCACGGGTCGTTCGTCACGGCACAGTAAGGTCTCCACAATGAGTAGAACATATGGGATCCAGGGAGGTAGCTCGTCGGTCGAAGAAGAGAAAGGGACTTTCAAAAAGCCGACATACTCGTCAACGTTTCCTCCCAAGGTCTCGAGGTTACGCTCGAAAAATTTGTCGTCTTGAAGCAGCAAAGCCATCAAATGAGCATACGCAGCGATGCATTTGCCATTTCGCTTCTTGTTATCCTCCTCCTCAACGGCGAGTGATGACAGAGCAGAAGACAGCGTGGCCCCGACATCTTCCTGAGCGTCCTGATTCTGTCGACGCAGCACCACAGCCGTAATGAGGTCCGACACCTCGATAGCAGTCTCCGGGTGGGCGCGAATAACGTCCAGGCACTGGTCGATCAAGTTATCTCTCAACTTGTTCCTCAGCGTGTCGAGGTTCTCTTTGGCGGCAACGAGCTTGCGAACGGTTTCCTGTTCACCCGAGTCGGCTCCGGCTGCCATAGGTGTAGACGATTGCCCACGCTGGCCCTCGTCAGCTCCTTGAGTGGCATCACCGCGTTCGATCAGATCGTGGAACCCCTCAGTAGCCACGTCGGGTAACGCGTCCAAGGACATTCGATCCACGTCTGACAGGCTGGGGTGCTCGCTTGAGACTGCTTCGTTGGCGGATTCATCCTGGTCGTTGTTTGCGGGCTCGGGAACAGCGAGGGCCGAAACGTCGGCGTCTTCGGGTGGGATGGGGTTACGCGGGCCAGCGAGCCCGTCTCTATGGGCACGGCAGTATTCGGCGGTGCTTGTGGTACTGCCATTGGTTCTGTATGCAGCCTCATGCACGAGGCCCTCCTCATAGCCCTGACCCAGTGTGCTGGCCACGACAGTCCGGAGCGGCCGCCAGTCGAAACGAGCGTCCGTGTATCGAAACAAGTCAAAAGGCGGCGAGGTCTTGGAAATCTGCTGAAGCTCGTGCTCGCCGAGGGAAACCAGTTTGAGAATGTCGAGCAGTCGCTTGACCGTAGCATCCGGGACGCTCTCGACCAGATTTGAGTCCCAGAGCTCGACTATCGCTGGCATCGCGATGGCGCGGAATTCGACAACAACTTGCTGCAGAGCCACGACCGGATGCGACCTGTCACCATTCCTCGGCTGGATATTGAAGAAGTTCCCAGTGTCGGTCAGGAACTTGCCGTTGAGCAGGACGTGGTAGAGATCGAGCACTTTCTTCAATCCAAACGCGGCAACCTTGCCTTTCGATGACTCGTCGTTGTTGTTGCCAGGTACCTGCCGGATGGCGCGAGAAAAGACTCGAAGCATAGTGTTCAGAACGTCCAAGCCACCTAGCTCCTTGAACGCGAGCAGCACCGGCATGATTATGTGCATGCTGGGTCGATCACTCTGCCTGGCTGGGGGCTGGTCGATGAGCATCTCGTGTACCGTGTGCAGCATGATGATCCAGTAGTGGAAGTCTTTGGAAGATGGCTCTGGCATCATGACTGAAGGCGACAGATGAGCCAAAACACAGTCGGCAAGAGCCTTGGCGATCTCGAGGTGACGGCATCTTGTGAACGGTTCGGGGTGGGATGATTCGCTGCGTCGCGGTAGGAGCGATCGTCCCAGTGCTTGGAATAACGGAAACGAAGTCGGGATCATGGGATGCAGCAGCACCCTCAATGTTTCGTAATTCTGGAAGCGAGGACTGGCTTGTTCTTGCTCCGTGGGCCGTCGCGGCGTCGAATCGTCTGCCTTGTCGCCTGATCTCCAGTTGCTTGTGCTGTTAATGACATCTGGCAGAGACGCTGCATCATCGCCTTCGCCGTCGGCTTCTCGGGAGCCGCTGCCACCTGCCGCCGGTTGTCGTCTAAGCGACCAATGCTGCGGGACGACCGACAGCTGGCCGGCTTCTTCTGCCAGAACCCCCCGCAACAAAGGACCGATGGACTTGACAAGCGCGAGGTAGTAGTCAAAGACGTTCACGGGGTAGAACGAGACGTTGTTGTTCCTCGAGGTAAAGAAACAATCAGACGCAATCTTGAGCAGCGTCTGTGCATTCAACAGCGCCTTGACAATTCTGGTGCCTGTCTTGACAGGCTCCGGGAGGTCCGCGCCATCTCCAGGGACATCCAAGTCTCGGGCCAGGAACGCTGCGAAGTACGGCGGTAGGGCCTCGGTCTTGGCACCAAGAGGCTTCAGTACGTCAATCGCGTCCTGAGCACGCCGCAGTAGGGAAGGGAGGGCGCGCATGGGGGACTGCTCCACCAACTGCACAACGACTTGGGTCAGTCCCCTAGAGGCAGCCGTGTCGCCGAAGGCAGCAGGAAGACTAGGCGATTGGCAGATGTCGAGCAAAAGCTCGATTCCTCCCTCCCGAATGAAGTACGTCTTAAGCATCCCGTTGGACAAGTAAGCCGTGAGGAAACTGGCAAGCGCGTGGATGTAAGGCGTAATCGACTCTGTGGCAACCTCGGGCTCCTTCTCAGCCTTTGCCCCCGAGCTTGCGTCTTTCGGGGATGTGGCATCGGCCATATCAACGTCCAAATTGTCCGTAGTTGCGGGTTGCTTGCCTGCGGGAAGTTTGCTGGCATCTTCCAGGCTCCCATTCTCGGTCACCGAAAGCAACTTGCCGCCGTCCCCTGTAAGAAGTAACCTGGCGCCCCATCCAGCTGTGCGCGCCTTCTCGAGGCCCAGGAAACGGACGCGTGCCACCATGTCGATGACGGCGTTCGAGATCGGCGTTCGCAGCTGAGGGTGATGCCGGGCAAGCTCGTCAAAACTGCTGCCTATGGTGTGGGCGAGATCTCTATCGGATTGCATGCACTTGACGTGGGCGGGGCTTTCGAAGATTTGCAGGTAGCTGTCAAAAGCCCGCGACGAAACGACCATCTTCATGCCAGTGTTGTTCAGGGAGAGCGAATTCAGGACCTGGGGCACAACGCTCATGGCCTCGGCCGAGGCCAGGATTCCTTCGGCAAGTGGGCCGCGTTGTTCTTGACGCAGGGCCTCCTCGGAAGGCGGATGCGGTCGGCTGTCTTGCTCAACGATGGAGTTGATGGCATCATCGAGAGAGTCGTCATCGTCTTCACTACCCTCCTCTCCCTCATCCTTTTGAGTGTGCTCGCCAGTATGCAAGTCGGTTACAGAGCTCCCAGTGATGGCTTCCAGGTACGTCTTGACCATGCCTGATTCCGAGATGGCTGCAAAGCTGGTGGGATCGTTGTTGATGAAGTCGCTCAGGATTGTGACAGTGTGAGTCCACACAACTGAACCGAAAGACTTCTTGTCTTCCATGATTTCACGTAGGCTGCTCAACAGATCGGATTTCTCGGCCAGATTCCGTAGGAGTCGGTCCGTGTTGGCCCCATAAGTGTACGAGTTCGCCATGATGTGGTGGACGAACTTGAGCAGCCACTTGAGCGTCTGCTGTTGATAGAAAGGAATCAAGTAGTCGACGGCGCTGGATTGCTGGTCCGGCTTCAGGCCCTGGGAGGCCTTCAAGGAAGCCCGAGCGTCACCGACCGCATCGACAACCAATTTGGCGACGGCATCCAATCCATTGGTACTGAAGAAAGCCGTGAAGGCGTTTTGGTATGTCCATATCAGGCCGTCAACGAATGCCAACACCATGGCGTGGTGGCGCTGAGCAATCTTGGACCGGATGTTGAGGATCTCGACGAGGATATCCATAAGGCCTGCCGATACCATCTCATTACCAACACGAGTGGCCATGGACAGATGCAAAGTCAACGAGAACAAATTGTTTCGCCACTCATCCGCCTCTGTGACCTGCTCGCTGTCGTCGTCGCTGCTGTCCTTCTCCATTCCGGCGACCGCCTTTCGGATGACATAAAGCAGGATTCCATGATTGACGTTGGCGTTAAGAGCGGACAGCACATCCTGGCATCTAGCGTGAAAGTTTGAGACTGCCTCCATGAGAGCCAGTGCGATGGATTGCAGCCACAGTGGCACCTCAAGCCGGCCACTCGCAGACGGGTGGATGAGTTCTGCCAGCTGATAGACCAATTGATACCGTCTGGTCTCGTCGATATCTTGGCGAAGAACCTTCTCCAAAAAGTTGGATTCGGTGTGGATGTACGCCAGGTTGGTGATGGCGAGCAGGCGCGTAGCCAGGATTTGCCGGCGGGTGTCGGACGACCCAAACAATGCCTTGGCAACACGAAGCCTGTGGAACACCTCGTACTTGGCGGCAGCAGGCATATCTTGAGGACAACGGCGCGTGAGATCGGAGATGGGCGTCGAAATGACAGCCGACCGGGGAATATCAAACGATTTCTGTCCAATGGTCACGGGTTCATCAGCAACAGCCGGTGTTCGGGGCCCCAGAGGCGACGAGTCGTCGCCAGGGGGGTTGCGTGCTCTCGGGGTGTGCTGCTGTGCAGTCATGGTGGAGCTTCGTCGCAGCGGCGTCGGCGTTGAAGGAGCGGACGTGCGACCATGCTCTGCAACGGCATCGTTGCTTAGCACGGCGTCCTCCGGGTAGTAAAAGACCCGAACATCCGTCCACTCCTTCCAGCCGTTGTCGTCTGAGGAAACAAGGGCGGCAAGGTCGTTTGCGTGCATAGATGTTGCAGTCCGCACGGCGCCGCTGTGCGCCTTCTCCTTGCCCTTGGCAGACGCGGGGGTCGCAGTAGGCGCAGAGTCGGAGAGGCTCACGATGGGGGTCTTGACAAAGGGCAAGGCAATCTGCTGAACGCGATCGAGGTCGATGTTGTAGTGGTTCGCCAGCAAGGCGGCACTAATCTGTCTGGAAGGGCTGCCGAAGCGCTTAACGGATGCTTGATAGCGTTGAGCCAGCTCCGCCCCAACCTCGAGAGTGGCAATGACGATTGACAGCGAGGTGCTGTTCAAGAGATCGTTGAGATGGGCGCTACTGGCGTAAATGCTTCGGTTGCCACAGTGTTCGAGGAGCATACGGGTGAAGCGCAGGACGGCTTCCACCAGCAGCCTGTCGCCATCCGACGCAAGTCCAAGTTGCTCCAACTCGTGCACATCCCACTGCTTCTCGCTGCTAAACGGCGTATCTTCGGCATGGTTTGAGAGCATCTCAGAACCAAAGTCACGCGTTTGAGGGCCTTCATGCAGCTTGTAGGTCTTGCAGAACTGTCCCAATATACTGTCGAAGCGGTTGAGGAGAGGTATCCAGTGATACAAATCGCCGCGTCCAAACGGCCATCTCGACGGAAACTCGGAGAGGTGATTTGGCAAAGACGGCAGTGGGAGGGCTGCGGTGGTTTGGACATAGTTTCGTAGCCAGGGCGACTACAGTAGGCGGGGTCAGAGCAATGTTTCCCTCGAGGCATGGGGGCAAAGGGGGGGGGGGGGACTCACCAGGGTTTCCCTGTGCTTGGGCTGCATCGTTTTTGTTATCTTGCCCATGGTGGAAGCTGGAGCGGCAGAGGCCGCGGCCACGGAAAACAAGCTCCCCCTCCACTACAGACGGCCAGCCGGCCGGAGCGACAACGCTGCGCGCAAAGGCGGAGTGCCCTTGGTCGGACAGCTCCTTGGTGTTGCGTGTCCTGGTGCGGCGGCAGATTCTGGAGCGAGCAGTGATGGAGGGCAACTCGTCGGTTTTGTATCAGCGCGGGGAGCAGTGTCGTACAACAGACGTCCCGTGCTTGGGAGCGCACAGCACCGGAGGGTCTCGGAAGGCGTCGATGACGGCGACCCTTTGCACCGAGGTGTGCGGGCTAGGCCTCGGGCAGGTGAGGGAAGGGCGGTCGGTCGAGCACGCTTCGACGTCGTCTCTGTAGCCGAGACCAGGGTGGTGGGCAGGCAGCCAGGCGAAGCAGGTTCACCGGGTTCCTTAACGAGTGCAGGTCGTCCAGGAATGGTGCTTGATCCGCGAGACTCCGGGTCGACGCAGGCGGCGGTGCAGGGTCAAACAAGCCGGCTGTGAAGCTTGCTTGGGCGATGCAGCGCGGGTTCGGCGAGCGTCGTGCAGAGAAGAGGCAGGGTCGTGGTGGTGCTGGTTGGGACAGATGCGTGTCGGCAGAGAAAAAGAGGTGCTTGTGCTGAGGTGGTGGACATCGAAACGTCAGGTTGGGAGAAGTGGGCCTTTGCGTAATAGGCGTGGACCAGCAGGTGGTGGGCGGTGGAGACTGGCTTCGAGTTGGTGCCTCATCAAGGGACAGTGCGGCGGCGAGCGAACGAGCGAGCGGGCGGCCGGGCGGGCGAGCGACCCGTGGGGACCTTGCTGCGCTTCCACGGCGGTCCACGGCAGGCGCCTGCAGTGAGTCGAGCCGGCGGCCTGGACTGCAGGCAAGCTGGACGGGAAGGTAAGGCACTCCCACTGTAGGTACCCGACACTACCGGGCGCGGGTCCTCTGTACCGGCTGCCTTGGTATCATCGCCCGGGGAGCTTGAGCAGCTGCGGCTGGACCAACACGTCATTGGACGGATGAAAGCCGCCAGATTCTCCAGGGCTGGAACATAAGGCACTGCAGTTGCTGTGCCTCGATGAACAGCTAAGCTACCAGGACCTCCAGCTTATTAACCTTTGCTTCAAGCCACCCGTACATCCTCTTCTTCGTAGGTGACTCACTACGGTAGCTGCTGTGATAGGCCAGAACGGACACCCCCCTCCTTCAGACCTCCATGCTTCACTTTAATGGTGCTGTAGGTAGAAAACAGCAAACATCAGCGCAGCCTGCTGGGCACCTCCGCCAGGTGCCTGAGAACTGCCCAGACGAGGTGCCAGTCTGCAGCCAGCTGACAGAGACTGCGCCTGTCAGTGGCATGACCAAGGAAGGGCATCTGCGCACTGTCAACGTTCACCCGTCCGAGGTGAGGCAAAGCAAAGACTTGGAGCACTACGTATCTTGCGGCTATCTACATGAGAGGCAGCACCTGTATGTCATGCTTCAGCCGACGTGATCGGCGAATTCCCATCAAGACGCGGCAACCCGACTCCATGATGCCTGCTATGGCCGCCTAGAGGACTCCTCGGCCCATTTGAGGCCATGCGCTGGCCGCGTCTCGGGTGGTCTACGGCGCGCTTACCAGGCCCGTGCCACGCGGCTGCAGCGCCAATTCGTCGACGCCGTGTATCCGTCCCAAGGCTCAGGTCGCGATGCACAGTTTTTTCCCTGCGGATGCAAGTCTGTCTTGTTTGCTTCGCCAAGGTCGGCAAAGAGGGGCACTAGTGATTCATCGCACTAAAGGCGTGTGCCTCGGAGTGTATGCCCGCAGCTTTCTCGCAATCTTGTTGGGCGCACGGCGTTTCATTATCTAAGTTAGTTATCATCAGGGCCCTCGCCGCATCTGAAGCGGGGAGAGCGACCTCACACAGTGTCCGCACACTGGACTACCATTCGAGTAATGTTGGCTTTGACGTGCCCGTCGCGCTTGGCCTCCCCTATGTTGACAGCTTGCTCCGCGTGCCCTTCTTTTGAAGATCCTTGTATTATGTAGCAGTCCGACTATAGGCATGTTGTCTGCGAAAGGTGTCCCCTCATTACGCCAACATCCGGCAACGGGCTTTTCCCAGACCATCAGTTTCCCAACACATCATGCGCGTGCGTCATACCCACCGGCCATGTCCACAATGACAGACTGAGCACAAGGCGGAACCAGCAGCATTCAAATGACATATTTTGCCAGAGGGATCATCCACCATCACCAAACCGGGCCATTCATTGGCGCCAGCTCGTGGGAAGGCTTACTCGTACAGACGCGTGGAAGCCATAACGAACACCTCTACCCTGGACTCGTGTCGGTGTCGAAGGACCCTGCCAGATTTGCGACGCGAACCACCTACACTGATGTGCAGTGGGGGCAAGCAGGGGACCTTCCTTTATGAATATGGATTTCTTCCCGTGGCGTTGGAGATCGAAACTAGGCACATCTTTGGTAACTAGTCGTCACACTGATCTTGTACGACTACCAGCGACTACAGCGTGCATGGAGCAGCGAAACGTTGCATGGCATACGGCATGTTAGCCGAAGGGGTCGAACCTGGAAGCCCCCCAAACAAGGCACTTCCAGCAGCTCATCAATGCAGTGCAGGTGCACATGGGAAGGCATGGCAAGGCATGGGTACACTATGCTCGTCCGCATCTTTGCCCGCGCCGAGCCCCAACCCCGCGTCAGGCATTTGTGGTGGTGTCGCCCCGTCACGTTCCATGCCGGTGATAGCTCTGTACGCGCTCGCCACTGATCCAGTGTGCGTCGCGATGTGAGACAAGGTCGCAGGATCCTTCGCCCTAGGAGAGGGGAGTGTCACGCGATGCGCTCATTGTTCCCTGCTGCCGGGGAATGGGAAAACGCGCCGACGTAGCTAGTGTTGGCTGCGCCTGCACAAGGAGCCGAGCAGAGGCCGTGGTGGCGCTTGAACCCAGGCATAAGTCATTCCGTGGTGGATTGCCTGCCTCGCCTGGCAATGATTGTGTATTATGCCGTTGTCTGGTTGCCATGAGCTTGCCCGCGGTTTGCATGGGAGGAAAAGCATGGCCGTTCCTTTGACCGCCTGGGGTCCACACGCTGGCACGGGGCCGCCGGGCGACCCATGCTGCCCGGGAGCCGTACGGTTCCAGTTGCGAACGAGGCCCTCTTGGCCGACGATCCGCATCCGCCAGAGAGTGGTCAGGTGGCGCGCGGGTGATGTGTGTGCAACTGCAGCGCAGGTACGTTGGCCGCAGCAGGCAGGTGGAAGCCAGCGATACGGTTCCAAGTTGGTAACGGGAGGGGGTTCTGCTTCCATGTCCCGTTGCACCGCCTGTGAGGTGGCCACCGCACCAGTGGGGGATGCAGGAGTCAGCCTGGAAGGCGCCCAAACGCCCTGAAGACGGCTGGATGCGTTGGAGGGGCGGGCAGGCAGGGGCGTCGCCGCTCGATCCAATCCGGGAGACGAGGCCCACTGAAGCTGCCGGGCAAAGCGGGCCTGCTATGCCCCCAGCGGGCCCCGGGCAAGCCAGGCACCCCCACCAGGGGGGTAGAGGTCCAGTGGCTCCATTGTTTCGTCGCAGTTAGTCGAGGTTTCGCACAGCAGGTGAGCCGCGGGAGATGGCATTGGCAGCTCCCAATCACTGGAACTGGCCTCCTGAAATCACAGATGCCCCTCGCGAGCTGCCTGGGATGCTGGCCTGCCCGGAAAAAAAAAGTGGAAGGTGAGCACCTGCCGCTCCCCATGCTAGGCTAATTACTGTCAACGAAACCTCCATGCTTAACGAGACCACTGCCATGACCCACGGCATGTGCCCCTAACTGGTCGTCCCCCCTAATTCGTGCCTTCGCAGCTCCCCTTGACCTCGCAACCCCCTTCACTTCTCTCTCTCTATCATACTTCCCGAGGGCGACCAGCACGTTTGATTCCTTACCGTCGATACGAGCCCGCGCCGCCCGTCCTCGACTCCGTTCTCCGCGACCTGCCCCTGCGCGACCCCGAGACGACGTCTCTAGCGAAATTCAAGTCACCCACTGCTCACGCCACGCATCCCTGATACCTAAACTACCCGCGTCCACGAACCCACGAAAACGGCCGACCGGCGGACGACAACATACGTCCTTCGCCAGGAGGTCTCGAGCGCCACAAGGCCCTTGGTTGATGGCCACTGGCTGAGCTGAGGCACTCTCATCTCCTCGATCCACTGCTCACATCCTCCTCCCTGAACGCCGGCTGCCTCGCCGGGGAACCATCGAAGCCATGCCGAAGCAGGACGACGACGTAGCCTCGGCGGCGCAAGACAACCCGCAGCATCAAGGACAAGAGTCAAAAGACGCCGCTGCCGCGTCTCCACCGGCTTCGGAGCCAGATACTGTACGCTCCCCTGCCTGCTCCGCAGGTGATGGAGTTGCGCGGCACGGACCATCGACTGCTGCGCTTCCTGACCATCCTGCACACTGTTGCTGACTGCATCTACCGCAGGCTGCCGAGAATGACTCGTTTGAAGACGCCGTCGACGCCGTGTCCGTGCGATCCCTGACAAAAAGATCTGCCTCCGCCAGCAAGAGCCCGCCACCTCCCGACGCCGAGCAACAAGACACCAAGTCGGATGCAGATGACACTGGAGACGTTCGCCGTGACTCGTCCGGCACCGATTCCAAGTCCCAGCCACGCCGGTCCTCGTCGCCAATCTCCAAACGCATATCGCATGACTCTAATCTCGATAATGTCGACTTGGACGATGAAGCTCCCGCCAAAGCCAAAGGTGAGAAAGCTTGTCGCACTGGCAGCCTGCCAAACCCACCCAGATGATATTAGGCTGACGTTGTTGCAGAGCCGCACAGCCCTGCCGAAAAAGAACCGTCTGGCAGAAAGCTGTCTCTGGGCGGCCTCACCAGCGCTTTGCCCTCCATGCCCTGGTCACCCCCAGCCGAGTCGCCCGCAAAGAGTCCGAGACCATCGTTGGCCGCAGTGGCCTCACCGCCTCCAGAGCCCAAGCCACAGCCTCCGACCCGGAAGCTAACAAGTCCCTTCTCGTGGCTTTCGCGCAACACTTCCAGCAGCAAGGACAACCAAACCTCACCCCCTGTGCAAGCATCCCCGAGAAGGAATACGGCGAGCTCTATTGCAACCCTGATGAGCAACCCAGAGATGATGCTGAGCCGTTTGGAGGAGGAGAGCGAGGGCACCCCTAATGGCGGGCCTGCCTCGAACCGCGAGAGCCTCAGGGACAGGTTCAAGGCAGTGCGCATGCGAGAGGAGGCAGGCATTGCAGGCGTCGGCGGGGAGTCTGATGGGACCGGCGATGCGCTGGGCCTGGTCAACCAGGCCGGGGATGCCTCACCAACCGAGAAGACCCCTACCCAATCCCTGCCAGGGCCGGACAAGGCGATGGCTCCCGGGACGGCCTCGGGCGTCAATGCCGGTCCGTCAGCCATGCCGGACACCCAGGTTGACTGGGACCTGTGGCAGTCCGTTGTCTATGAGGGACCAGCTGCAGTGGCCCGGACCAGCGCCGAGGAGCTCAACAAAGCCATTGCCACGGGGATACCCAATGCCATTCGAGGAGTCATTTGGCAGGTCCTCGCACAGAGCAAGAACGAGGATCTTGAGCTGGTTTATCGAGAGCTCGCAGCAAGGGGCACCGACAAGGACAAGAACCGACAGAGCAACAGTACGACGTCGAGCACAGTCAGCAATGGCAATCTCAGCACACACAGCGGCGACGCAGCATCTTCGGCATCATCCGTGCATTCTGAACAGTCTGCAGGTAATGGCAGCAGCTCCCCGAGGGGAGAGAAGAGCGCAGAGGCTATCGCCAAAGCGCAGGCTGTAGCTACCGCCGAGCGCAAAAAGAGGGAGAAGGAGGACACTGCGGCGTTGCAGAAGCTGGAGAAGACCATTCGCCGCGATCTTGGGGCACGTACAAGCTACTCCAAGTTTGCGGCCGCCGCCGGGCTTCAGGAGGGCCTGTTCGGTGTCTGCAAGGCCTACGCCCTCTTTGACGAAGGGGTAGGATATGCGCAGGGCATGAACTTCCTGATAATGCCACTGCTCTTCAACGTGAGTTCCGCCCCCCCCACAAAGACGGACGGGTTGAGATGCTGACGGGAATCACAGATGCCGGAGCAGGAGGCCTTCTGCCTTCTGGTTCGCATGATGAACCACTACCACCTCCGAGACCTCTTCATTCAGGACATGCCGGGACTGCACATGCACTTGTATCAGTTTGAGCGACTGCTGGAGGATGTCGAGCCTGCACTATACTGCCACCTACACAGACGAGGCGTCTCGCCGCATCTCTACGCCACGCAGTGGTTCTTGACGCTGTTCGCCTACCGCTTCCCCCTTCAGCTTGTGCTTCGCATTTACGACCTGATCCTGTCTGAAGGACTGTCGGCAATTCTCCGGTTCGGTATCGTCCTGATGCAGAAGAATGCAAGCACGTTGCTGGCCATCTCGGACATGCAACAGCTCACGACGCACCTCAAGGACAAGCTCTTCGACGTATACATCGACAAGGACCCGAGCCAAGGAAGCATTCTCGAGAATGGCTTCTTCGGAAGCTCTAGCTCAAGCATGGACAAGGAAGTGTACAGGGCAGACCAGCTGGTCAGGGACGCTTGCGAGGTTAAGATCACGCCCGAGACACTGAAGCTGTACACCACCGAATGGGAAGAAAAGACAAAGGCCGAGCGGGACCGCGAGATCGAGCTGCTGGAACTCCGCGCGGCGAACCAGAACTTTGCCATTCAAGTTCGGAAGCTGGAAGAGCGCGTCCAGGTCTGCGACCGTGAACAAGCTGCTCTAGCCACGGAGCTCGTGCACACGAAGGTGGAGAACGAGGAACTCCGAGACGAGAACGAGAGCCTCAAGGGCCAGGTTCGCGAGCTGAAGGTGGTGATCGAGCAGCAGCCTGCAGAAATCGAAGAGAAGTGGAACATGGAGAGGGACGACCTGATGAAGCGGAACGGAAACGTTCACGAGGAGAACCAACGCCTAGAGAAGGAAATGTCTGAGCTGGAGGAGGAGCTTGTCCAGACCAAGATGCAATACGCCGAGGTACGTAACACCCCCAATTGCTTGGCCGCCGCTGGCATAGCGTTTACTGACACGGCGATCCACGTGTAGATCAACTCTCAGCACGAAGCTTTGACTCGCAAATGGGCCGACTTGAAGCGCCAATTTTCGTAGGCGCGGGAGCGGCAGTGATGGGAGCCGCTCCCACAATCTGGGTTGGGAGCATCAGGCAGCGCCTTGGCGCAATGGGGCACAGGTGTACTTCGTACAAACTTGGTCTTTTTCAGCGCGTTTCTCCCTCACAGGTGTCACTGCGAATGTCGACACAGGGGGGGCTCTGCTTGTAAGATGAGGCTGGGAAGCATTATCTGGCGTGATGGTCATGGACACGGTTCGGGGGCCGTTTTGTCTGAAGGGAAAGAAACTCCGAGGCAAGAAACGTTTGGTGACATTCATATGTTGATATCGGTGACAAGCAGTCTCAGCCGGGGAGAGCGGCGTCTGGCGACATGTGATTAGATATGTATCGTTGGTGAGAAGCCTTCGGCTTCAGCCTTGGTCGGCAGGCAAGGGGAAGCATTATTACAGGAACCAAAGCTTGCGAGGACTACCCGTGGTTTTGAACGCACGAACCAAGAGTGTCATAATGTCATTGGTTGCGAGAAATATCTTTTGATTCCTTATGGACCCGTCCCGATGCTTATGAAGCTCTTCATGCCCTGAAACGACAAGACAGCGAGAAAATCCTTTAACACCATACCAAAGGGCCACAATGTGTCCTTTCTCCCCAACAGCCTCCTGCCAGCAGCCTCGCGGCTCGCTTACTTGTGCAGCTTGCGCTGGTAGAAGGCGAGCTCCTCACCCTCCAGGATGTAGCCGTCGCAGCGGCCGGACTGGCCGGGGCGGCTGGAGATGATGGCGTAGAGACGACCAGCCTCGAACTGCTTCTCGACAGCGGGCTCGACCTTGCCCTCGGAGGCGAAGCGGGCGGCCTGCTTCTTCTCGACGGCCTTGCTCTTCTTGACCTCCTCCTCGACCTTGCCCTCCTTGGCGGCCTGAGCCTTCTGGCGTCTACGGCCGATGGGCTGGCCGTAGTGGGCCTCGTACCATTGCCGGAAGGGGGCGGCGTCGATCTGGACGACGGCGGAGCGGGTCAGGGTGTTGGTGCGGACGAGCTCGTTGTTGGAGGGGTGGTAGGCGACGACGATGACACGGGTCTTGCGGGTGCAGCCCTCGGAGGCCCAGGCGAAGTTGCCCGAGTCGAGGCGCAGAGCGCGGTGCTTGTGGTTACCGCCGCGGGTGCGGACGGTGTGGATGCGCTTGGCGCCGATACGGGTGTTGGCACCCTGGCGGCCAGCTTCGAAAGCGCGCTTCTTCCCTGTTGACGGTAGGTCAGAACGTATGATCTATGCAAAAGAACCATACGGGCTTTCGAGTGTAGTATTGTTACGCACGGTAGTATGCGCGCTTGGCACCGGAGGCGGAGCGCTTGTGGCGGGAGTCGCGAGAGATACCCATGATTGCGAGCTCTGCAAGACGAAAAGACGGTTAGCGATCTGCTTGCTATTCTTGATCTCGAACCACCCGAGGAGGGAGAGAGAGAGGCGGCAGCGCCGAAGAACCGAGGCGGCAAGCAACGACGATGCAAAAGCGAGGCCGCGTCCGGCAGAACCAGACGCCCAAACGCAGCCCGGAGCACGAGATCGTTTTGGATATCGAAATCGTTCAGAGCCCCGGAGCCCGAATTGGAATCGCGGAAGCCGTCGAATGTTGCTCGCCTGTGGCAATCGTCGTGCCCGCTCTCTCTCTCTCTCGTGCCATCGTCGCGGTGGTATGTTGAAGAGGTGCTGCCTTACCTGATGAATGGTATAATCACCAGTGCAATCGAATTGTCGGCGGATGTGGGAGGAGTGAACTTTTCGACGGGGGACGGAGTTGGAGGGCTGAATTGCAACGAAAATTGTGGTTGTGGGCACGGGGGTTTCGCTAGCGCCAGGTACGTACCGGCCGCTCAGGGCTTCTCGGAGGCTGCGTTAGTCCGGAAGACCCTATCACGTGCCGTCGTGTTGAAGGACTACCCAGCCATCCCAAAGACCGATGACTAAGGTGGAGCTATGCCGCATTGAGGAGGCCCACCCGCAAGGCGATCCGTGGATGATCTTCTCAAACCTCGAAGCTCAGAGACCGAGTATCTTGTCCTTGATGAGTCCGATGTTGGACTGCCTACATATGGTGCAAGCGAAGTCTGCTGTGCACAGTGTTTTGAATCATACATTTACTTCTTTCTCTGAATCTGCACTATTATGGTGCAGCCCTCCGTGCCCTCCCCCCTCTCTGTCCCTACGCGGGCCCTCTGGAACCATCCTGAACGCTCAAGTGACGTTCTGTCTGTCATCCGTAGCCAGGGTTCGTTCGCGGAGGCCGTTGCCCGTGTTTTCTCTAGCTCCGGAGATTCTTCTTTACCCCATGCAGTCTCTGGGGATTACAAATCGAAAAAGGGAGTTGCCCTGTTCAGTGAATCAGTGCCAGCTATTCGCAGGCGCAGTCATTGCAGCCCGTTCTCCAGGATTCGGCTCCTGCTCGGGTCGAACTGTACCTTGTCACTGCGTCTCTGTTGCTCATGTCTCATCGATATCGGTCTGAATCATACAGTTGATCGCGTCAGCTAAAGTTGTCGTTTGCAAGAGTGTTCTTGACAGTTAGTCAAGGGTCCGAGCCGTCTGTTGACTGCGGCTAGGAATTTACCCCTCCTCGGGCGGTGAGGTGGGTAGAATAAAGTGCGGATCTGGAACAGCCAGCTTGGCCTGCCAGCGGATAGTCCCATCCGAGTTGTAGACTTGGTCTGGATGAGCCTCTGCGAATCTCGGGTCGACCATGTTGACACGCGGGACAGGCAGAGTGCGGCCATAACGACCGACTGGCGCTTCCTTGTACTCTGCCAAGGACGGCCAATCAACACGCAAGTGTTCCGCGGCGGGCTGATCGTTGTTAAAGCAGTTTGGCACGGCCAGCACGGGCGAGAACATCGCGCTCAACTGCCGACCGCCAAACAGGGGGCCAACTTTCGTTTCAGCCTGCTCCTGTTCTTCCTTGGTCAGGTTCAACTGCTTTCTGCGATCCGCGTCCTTTTGTCGTTCTTCCAGTCCGGCTTCCAACTCCTTGCGTCGATCCTCGGCAAACTCGGCCTTGAACGCGGCCATCTCTGCTGGGGTTTGCGGGATGAATGGGGACTTGTCCGCGCCGATGTGGCGAAGGTTTGTCATGAGCTTGGAGAAGGCTGCGCGGTCTATCGCCTCCTGGCTCATCCATTTCTTTGACTGTGACCACGATCCGGAATCTAGGCTGTCGGTCAGTTCAGGTGACTTGCTTGGACTTGAGGGTGCTTTAAAGACCCCAGGGCGAAACACACTTTGCTGCGACATATGTTGTGAGCTTTGGCTAGCAGAACCAAGCTCTGGTCGCGATGAATCCGAAGGGACATTCGTTCCTGGGGGATGTGCAACAGGAAGGCCGTATGTTGCATTACCCGCAGCCTGGGTCACGGAAGGGCTCTGCAGGTCGCACCGTGTCAGCCTGGAACTCTCTCAAGGTGTGTACAGGTGTTGGGTGACTTACGGCGTACTCATTACCAGCGACAGGCGCCGCGTGGGCGCCTTGAGCGGTATGGCCTGAAGCCAAGCCGGCTGACTGAGGTTGTGTGCTACTTTGCACCTCGTGCTGCTGCTGAGCTAGATACTGAGTCAGATTAGGCGCAGGTCGGTGCGGTGCAGCCGCGAGGCTCGCCGACATGAAGCCGAAGGTTTCGGCGCCTTGAGAAGCCGACCGCAGATGTTCATATGGATAGCCCGCCCTGTATTGCATACCTGAGCCTCCAGTATCGGTTGAGATGCTTCGCAAATGCTGAGGGACGGCACCTGTACGGGAACTCGGGGCTTCCGTCCCGCGCCCTTTATTTCGGTGCCCGCTTCGTTTCCGACCTCTCTCGCCTCGGGCCAAAGGGCTTCTCGCAGCGCCTTTGTGTCGGGACGGCTGAGTGGGTACAGTTGCGTCTCTCTGATGCTCTCCGGGTTGAACAGCGGCGGCGGCGGTGCTGGTTGGGAACGGTGAGCCTAGGTATGAGTGTCGAAGCCCCTCTTGGGACATCAAGTGCTGTTGAAGGGCGTGGTGGAGTAGAGGATTGGTGTTGACAAACTCGGAATGATGCCCGCCAGGGGACATTTGACTCTGTCTCTCCGCCGCAATAGTGTGCGACAGTTGCCTCTGATGCTGCGCGACATAAGGCCCTGGAGCTGCGGCACTGACAGCCACAGTCGGACCGGTAAATGGATCCGTCTGGTCCTCACCTAAATCAGGGTCAGCCACAAGCAAATAAAATCCACAGTGATGCAAGCACTTACCTTCCATGCCAACGTTCGAGCTGGCGTTCATCGGAGGCGGCTGCTGAGTCTGATTGTAGTTAGTACGCGTCGCAGGGGCGTAGACGTTGGGACATCGGTGAGGATAGTAGGGGGCAGGACAACCGCCAAAGCCGATATACGCCGTATTCCCTGGCCAGCGTCCGTACACTATCGGCTGGGGAGGGTAACTTGCAATTTCTTGAGGGTGAAAGATTGGATACGTTGGTACCGGAGCGACCGTCTGCGACGCAAACTCGGACGCATGGTCTGGTGTGGCCGTTGGGCTGACGACATGTTGAGCAGTGTGCGCCAGCTGCGCGCCATGATCCGCCAGCTGCGATGTTTCTTTCCCCGGACTTGCCAAGGGCGTAAAGTTTGGGGCGAGCGGATTCATGCTGGGTCTTGGTTCCTCGGGAAGCCAGGGGGATGTGGCTGAGGGCGAGTGAAGGGGTACTTCCTTGGCTTTGTGCAGCCGTGAATCTGATGCTCAAAAGCTTGCTGGGTTCGTGAGTTGCAACAAAAGGCGGCAGATCCGTGTGCCATGAGTTTGAGGAAGGGAGCCCGAGGTGAGGCAGTCTTGGGCGTCGGACGATCGATAGCCGCCTCGGTTGAAGACAGCGGCGTGGTGCGGGACTGGGCACAACACTCTCGAAAGCGACACAAGTGAGGAAGGTGGGCAATGTTTGGGAGAGGAAAGGTTGGGGTGAATCACGGACACGCACGGGACATTTGATGCGAGCGCGTCGTGAACAGGCCGCTGTCGCGGTTGCTCTGCGGCAACTGGAGGGCTGCCTGAACAGCCGTCTGGGTCACGGGGCATGTTGACGTGAGCAGGCGCACGAAGGGACGTGAGGGGCAGGATGTGCCCGAACAGACATTGCGGCAAACAATCAATTGTGGTTGAGGGGTTGCTCGCGCGGGTCTTTCATCTCATCTCATCTCATAGCTGGCTGCTGCGAGGAGCGAGTGCGAAGTGCTGTAAGTGGGCCATCCGCTGCTGTCAGTTCGAGCCAGCTCTGAATACCCCGCGGATAAACGGGCCCCGTATGGTCCTGAAGATATATACTCGAAGAAGATTCAAGGGCTTCGCCCACACATACAAAGTGTTGCCTTGCTGTAGAGAGTCGAAGTTGTAAATGCCGTTTTGGGACGACGTCTTGTCAAGCGCCATCCCTGTCGTTGGTCGCTGGATCTGGGCGGGAGAGCGCGGGGCCCCACTCGTCGTCACCTGCGGCAAGGGCGCGAAGCCTCCTCGGCTTGGGGGGGCGCGGCAGGCGCAACCACAGGCTAATCCAGACAGCAATTTTGCCCAGCCAAAAAAGAGTAGCGAGTACCACCGAGGTAAGCTTACCTTATCTCAGCTTGCTGAGGCGCCCAAGGTACCTTGGCTCGATGCAGGCAAGCTTCAAGTACCGTGCCGTCCCCAACGCAACGCAGCTCGATTCTGCATCCTCAACAACGCCAATCCGTACGCCGCGCAGCAACAATGGCGCCGACGACGCTCAGACTCACGAACCGCTGTACGTGCACGCGCCTGCCTCGCCACCAGCACCGCATATGACCTTGCGTGCGCGCAATTGCTAACGGAAAAGCTTGCAGCGCCGAAGCAGCCCGTCAAGCGGCTCCCGGCGTCGGTCGAGCTCCCTGCCGAGGCCACTGTCGAGGACCTCAAGAAGCTCATCGCCCAGACGTCCAAGATTGGCGACTACAACCGCATCGGCCTCTTCGACCCGTCGACCAGGAAGACGCTCAAGAACCGCAAGGCCCGCGTCTTTGACGAGCAGAATGTCGCCGCCGCCGGCGAGGTGCTCGTCAAGGACCTCGGCCCGCAGATTGCCTGGCGCACCGTCTTCCTCATCGAGTACCTGGGCCCCATCCTGATCCACGTCCTCGTCGTCGCCGCTCGGCCGTACATCTACCGCGATGCTGGCGCCACGGCCGAGGCCATGTCCTTCACCCAGTGGCTCAGCTTCGGCATGATCGTTGCCCACTTCGTCAAGCGCGAGCTCGAGACGCTGTTTGTTCACAAGTTCTCGGCCAACACGATGCCCGTCTTCAACATCTTCAAGAACAGCGTCTTCTACTGGGCCCTGTCCGGTCTGCTCTGCGCGCTGTCCATCTACCACCCGCGCTCGTTGGCTGCCCGCGCCGATCTCCCCGTCATCGACGCCGTCGGCACCGCCCTCTACCTGTTTGCTGAGATGGGCAATGCCACGGTGCACTTGTATCTGTCGTCGCTGCGATCGCCTGGCGGCACCGAGCGCCAGATCCCGTCGGGCTACGGATTCGGGCTCGTCACCTGCCCCAACTACATGTTCGAGATCCTGGCTTGGGTGGGCATCATCATCGCCAGCCGCGACTGGGCCGTTGCCGTCTTCATCAGCGTGGGCGCTGCGCAGATGTATACCTGGGCTCGGGGCAAGGAGAGCGCGTACCGCAAGGAGTTTGGTGACAAGTACAAGAAGAAGCGCTACGTCATCCTCCCCGGCCTGCTGTAAGCGCAGGGGCGAGTCACGCCAAGTCACTGCTTGGGGCAGGTCAAGGAATGGAAGCACGACTCTGCCATGGGAGGAGAAGCATCGCTGGTACCGGTGTCGCAAGGGTACAACTACACAAAGGGATTGAGAGCGGAATTTAAGGGACAAAAGGGGCATAATGTATTGATTAAATGGGCATAGGGAGGGTTTGATGCGGTATTAGATCGTGTATTTGTCAAGAGCTTGGCCGTGGTCATCAATCATCTAAATCATCATAGGCTGCGCTTGCACACTACCGCCCCTAGGTCACGTCCTTGGACGACGACCCTGTAGAGAGGGACGCAGTATCGGATCCTTTTGCCCTGCCTGTCCCTGTACTTGATTCGGGCTCCATGAGACTGCGGCTGGTGTCGGACCACGCGCTGCGCGTCCCATCCGCGTCCACCGCCATGGCGTCCGTCTCGGCGTCCTTGCCATGAGGCCCGCCCTGTCCGCCATTCACATCCCCATCCGCATCCAGATCCATGTCCTCGGGACCGACATGGCCATCGTCCTCCCTCCCACACTCGGAGCAGCTACAGCTGCAGCTACTCCCCCCACCACTGCCATCCTCGTCCCCGTCCTCGCCCCCATCGCCACGGTCACTCCCGCCGTTGGCCAAGCGCACCGTCTCCTCAAGCACCAGGAACCCGCGCTCGAGGACCTCCGCCCAGTTCTGGACGTTGCCGAGCTCCTTGACCTTGCGGGCGGCGGCGTCGGCCTCGCGGGCGAGGCGCTCGCGCTCGCGGCGCAGGCCCTCGGTGGCGGCGAGGACGTCGCGCTCCTGGCGGTCGAGGGCGGCGGCATTGTCGTGCAGCACCGAGGCGCGCGTCTGCAGCTGCGAGTCGAGCATGTTGCCGATGGAGGCGACGACGGCGGCGCGCGCCTCGGCGACGTGCCGCTCCGACGAGGGGGAGGGGAGGTGCGGGTAGAGCGGCGCGAGGGGCGGGGAGGGGTGTTGCTGTTGTGTTTGTGTTTGTGGTTGTGTTTGTGCCTGCTGGTGGTGGTGGTCTTGCTGGTTTTGATGCTGTTGGAGTGAATGATGTGACAGCGATGTGGGCGGCGATGTCGACCGCGATGTGGACGTCGCTGTGGCCGTGGACGTTGCCGTCGTGGCCATTGTTTGGCGAGGCGACGTCGACAGCGACAGCGACGGCGGCGGCTGGTGCTGCTGCTGCTGATGCGCCGACGAGGACATGGTGGTGGTGGTGGTGGTGATGGTGGTGGTGCTGAGACGGCGACGGCAGGCGGGCGTTCGGCTGGAGGAACGCACGACGCGATGGCGGGTCAATGCGATGGAGAGAAATGGGCGACGGCAATGAATATGGCGATGGTGATGACGACGTCGACGGACGGGGGGTCAAAGACACCACGCGCGGGAGCAAGCAAGATGCATGGACGCCGTGGCACCTGATCAACTCCATGTGCCGGCAAGGTACACGCTTGTACCTCGACCAGGGGGGGTGCAGCGGGGTGCATGAGGCACGCCGTGTCTGTGCTGCATCAAGTAGGCCCTCTCATTCAACTTCAACTTGGTCCCCCATGCAGTTTCGCGGCCAGCGACAAGACCAACTGCACGGCTGCCAGATGCAAACAGCAGGCCACGGCCAATTCGAGGTGCTCATAAGGACTAGATATACTCAGCATCAATTGGCTTGTCTGGATATTACATCCGCCCCGAAAATCTAGCAATGATATAAGACGCCACCCGTCATCCCGGTGTCGCCTCCATGAAACCCATCCCACGCAACCGTGCCTTTTGTCCTTTCATGCCTGCGTGCGCATATGCATTCCCGTTTCAATCCATCAAGTCCATCAGGAACTTGAAGCCAAGCAGTGTGCGCCGACATGTACAGTTGTAACTTGCAAGTCCATCGACTCGGCTCTCTTGCAAGCACGCACCGCAACGTACAACCCAGAGAGGGACGAATAAAAGCCCAACCGAATTCCCAAACTCCAATGCTATGCCCAATAAACCAAAAAAAAACAGGAACCAAAAGAAGTATTGAAGCACCCAAAGACGAACAAAACTCTCCATAACTCCATCCCGCTGTTCCTGGGCGTCGTCATTCCTAGCGTGGCATACACCTGTAGACGAGAACCCCTTCCATCAAGGCCATTTTGCGAGCCAAGCCACCAAAGCTTGCAGAGGCCACCTCATTTGGGCCTAAATGGCCACCCTGCTGCCGTTCATGCGTGGAGGCACGAGCCCCAGTCCGCTATTGGGGCTGAAGGCTACCGACGGCGGCGGCCCGTTGCCATCCGACGACATCGATGAAATGGACGACAGCGAGTTGAAGCCAGAGTGGCCCCGGGTCATGGTTCCGCTTCGCGACATGGAGATGCCCGGGTTTGCGATCAGTGCATCTGCTCGATCGAAGACATTCCCATGGAACGCAGCCGCAAAGGCCGCGCTATGAGGCGTCGTCGGCACGGTCGCTTGCATGGCGGGACCTAGTGCCGCGCTCTGCGGGGTGATTGGTAGCTGCGCCTGCGTCGGTGAAGCGCTTTGAGACGAATAGGCACCTCCGAGGCGGGTGTGGCTGTCTGGCGGCTGAAATAGGTCGTTCCAGGGCGACTGTGAAATGGCGTTGGAGGTCTCCCTGATGCTCTGCTGTACCGGCCGTAGTCTAGTCTTCGTGTCAGGCGGTAGCGGGATCGCGTTGTTGCCATCCATGTAGTGCAAAAGGGACAGCACGGCTAGCCATGCCTGGACGAACTCGAAACATTGTCTCCATAGGCTTGGTTGCGCCCGGGCATTCGGGTCCTTGAGCTTGATCAGCGACAGCTTGTTCCGCAAAATCTCTGTTTGCTGTATCGTCGCGTTGACGCTGCCGGTCAACGCCTTCCACTGTCCCAGCGCCGTGGCCGGCGCGCGGTACGCAACGGCATGCCTCAAGCCGCCCGTCAACTGTACATGAAAGTTGGGCAGCGTGCGGAGGACCACGTCGATTGACTTCTGCAGGGACAGGTAAATTCGGTCAAACTGCGCATCATCGTCTGAGAAGTTGATACTGATGTCCCGGCTATGGATGGACGGGAACGACTCGCCCGATCGAGGAGTCGCCGACGTCATGATTGCGGTTCGACCACCTCCGTTGAGCTGCGGGACGGGAACGTTTGTGGCGACCCTCAGATTCGCAGGGTTATGTACGACGGTACCATTACGGTGCCGCGCGAAACCTGGTCGCTCTGCCGTTGGAGTCGCTGTCGGCTCTCGGTGGTAGGGGCGTATAGTGTTGTTGGTGTTATCCAAGCTCTGCCGGTTCGAGTGCCGGAGCTTGGCCTGCTCCGCGGTGACTGACGCCAACGTCACGCGGAGCTCCATGATACTGTTGTAAAGGCACATCAGGAGCGTTCGAATATAGCGGGCGTCTCCGTTGTCCACAAATGTATCGATGTTGTCCGCCAAGAGCGTACAGACGTGCCCATACGCGCCGACAAGCGTCTGACATGCCCGCAGGACGTGCTCGTTTTCACGCGTCGCGTACTCATCACCTTCAGCCACGGCTGCATCATGCTTCTGAACCTCCTCTTCCAGTTCCAAAACGTGAGAATTAGTATTGTAGACAACGATTTCCAGGCTTGATCTTTTCGCAGACCCGTCGTTGGTCAGTGTCATGAGCGCCTGTATCATCGGGTGTATTTGGAAGACAGAGTAAAGAATTCCCTTTGCCGCTTCGATTATAGGGTCGAAGATCTTCGATTCGCGTCGGCGTTCGGGAAGCACCGAGAGCCGCCGGATGTACGTGGGCGGCTGCATGTGTGGCTCGGTGGGTGTCGCGGGGCTCTTGGTCACGGGCGGATTGCCCTGCATCGCTGAGCCATGGCTCAAGCCGCGATAGTGGCTGAATCGCACATTGGCCTGCGTCTCGTCCAGGGTTCCGAGTTCGGACGTCTTCCTCGTTACAACTCCCATGCGTCGGTTCCGTCCATCAGGCCTGTCGGACCGGAGCAAGGACTCGGAGTTACTACGAAGCCTCTCGTTGACGTTGCCAATGGTCAAGGGCATGACACCGGGTCGACGGTTGGACGTGCTTTGTTGCGACAGGCCCCGGTAGTGGGACCTAGAGGGAATGGGCGGTGGTCGTGATGCCGCGTTTGGCGATCGCATATCGGTGACATCAGAGCCGCTGATCTTGATAGGGAAGCGGCCACTTGCGGCTCGCTTGAGTGGAAATCGTGGCGTCTCAGCACCTTCGCTGGACTCGTCGCCCGTACCCTCCGCCTCCATGCGTCCGTTGATCGCATACTGGCGCAAGAACTTTTTGATGAGCGCAGTCACGGCCACATCCGTAACCTCCGTGTCCCTTGAACCTCCGTCGTTGGGTGGGCTTCCGGTTTGCGGTTGAATGGCATCCTTGGGCGGAAAGCTAATCGGATTACCCTCGAGCTTTAGCACCTGGAGCGAGACCATGTCGGCAAGGCAGAGGGGGAGCTCCCGGATCTGATTTTTCGGTATGGAGAGGACTTTAAGCGACGATAGATTGACAATATCGTTGGGCAGGACTCGTAGCTGGTTGCGACCGAGGTCGAGGATCTCGAGGGACTTCAGCCCGCATAACTATTCCTCGAGTTAGCGCAAGGTCCAGAGCAACGACATTGCATGGCAATTCAAAGAGTATCCCATACCGGCAAAGGAAATTCTTTGATTTGGTTCCCCCTGATGTTGAGGTATCGCAGTGACGTGCATTCGGAAAAGCGGGCTGGAAGAGATGAGAGCTGATTATGCGACAAGGCGAGTCTGTGGATGTAGAAGTGCGTTAGCGACTTGGCCGTTCTTGAAGGCGACTTTGGTAAGACTGACCGTTCCAGCTCATCTTTGACAATATCCACGACCTCCTCTGGCAATTTGTGGATGTTCTTGCGGCTCAGATCGATGGTCACGCCGGACCGCAGCCCCGGCGCAACGGCTCCGGCTTCCGCGGCTTGGCTTTTCTCACTTTCGAGAGCGTTCCGCATCGCCTCGCGGGCGAGAGATATGACCTGCGATGGCGTCATCGAGCTCGAGGCCGACAGCGTCGCGTTGGAAGAAGCATTGCGAAGGTTCGGCACGGGCGGGAGAGGCGGCGGAGGGCCGTTGGATGTCGCAGCGGAATTCGGTACAGGTCGTCGTCCATGAGCAGGGTTCTCGGGGAGGCCCCGGAGAGACGATGGCTGGGCGTTGGACGGGCCAGGCATTCGATTCAGCCGGTCCATGGTGATGACCGTGTGCGAGCTTCGCACACGCGATGTGATCGAGAAGGAAAGAAGGCTCGCTGGGTGTTGATCGAAGCGGAGGTTCGGTCGGGTTTGGCAGGATGTGTTTCAGAGACCCCTCTGTCCCGCTAAGGCTGGTTCCTCGAGTCTCAAGCCAAGGGGCACGAGTCCGGGGACGTTTAAACCGATCGGGGCTGCGACGGATTGGCGGACGCAGCACGAGATGGCATTGTGGTTGGGAGGCAGCTTGTCTGGCTGCTGGCGCAGGTCGTTCCGGGTCGTGATGGGGCCGCGATGGTACGAGGCGGCGCGCCGATGGGCGAAGGACCGCCCAAGTGTCGAATCACAGCCGTTGATGCGCAGCGGACAGGCGATTGGGCGGCAACAGCGAAATCGCAAAGACGAGTTTGGGGTCAATGTCGGATGCCGGCGGCGGCTTGGTCGGGTATGCAGAATGCTGCTCCCCAGAGTTGGTTGAGAGGACCGGTGGGCGGGAAGGACTAAGGGAGAAGAGGTTCCAGAGACTGCATGTGAGGTGCTCACGCGAAACCCCCTAAAACCACGGCTGCATGGCTGGTGGTGAGAAAGGGGCGGTAGCGCGACCTGGAGCCGCAGCCGAAGGCGAGGTGGCTGGCCACCACCTGTACACAGTGTCAGGATGGGCCACATTTTTTTTTTTGCTTTGAGTGCGCACAGCAATCGCTAGCTGCTGCAGTCACCAGCGCAGGCAGCGATCCCAGCCGGCGGGGGCCCGTTCACACAGTGCGCAGAGAGCCGCGTTGCACGCCACCAGAACACCAATTGATCCAAGTCAGGCTCGCTCCACACCACTGGCTGGGGGGCGCTTTGGGTGCTGGCTGGTGCGTCGCTGCGCCCCAGCCGCTGCCCCCCAGCGCTCATCGGGGTGCCTGGCAGCCAGACACCCACCGGGGCCCCCATCACAGCCCAGGTCAGGTCAGGTAGGTGGGGTGCCGCTCACGGATTGGGCGCTGCAGGCGGGAAGGGCCCCCCTTATCTGCGCCAGCGACAGGCTGCCATGCAAGGCACGCCCAGCTCCCTCCACACCCCGCCTCCAGTTCTGTGTGCTTCTTTTTTTTCTCCGGCTCACGAGGTGCTGCTCGCCGGCCACCATTGAAACCGAAACAAAAAGGAAACAACAAACGCCGCTGCTCTCCTCCTGGCAAGGGGACCTCCGTGCTCGACGTCGTCCCCCAGCCGCATGAGCGTTCCGCCCTCGCCTGCCAGTCCTCGAGCGTCTCTCTCTCCGCTGCCGTGCCACCGGAGGGCGTCACCATCACAGCTCATATCGGCCTGGATTGGCTGTCAGCGCACCGCCAGACACCAACCAGGATCAAGCACGTCTGATTCCTCGCCCAACGCCTCGCCACGAAATACGAGGTCCTGGGAGCCGCTCGCTACTACCGGCATCACGTCGCGGCCTCCGTCGAAGAAAAAGGAGACGCACTGCATGTGACGTTTTCTTGGCCATCGGCGGCGCGGAGGCGTCGTGTAAGTAAGTTGTGGACCTCGACGCGTCGACACAACAGCCTCGCCGCGATCCGCCCCACGGCCGAGGCCCTTGCATGATGCCGGCTCTGCAAAGGACAAACTCGTGCACAGACATCGGCTTCACCCTTCGGAGACAGTTTCAGAAAGATGCGTTCCGGTTAGTCCTGTTCCGGCCCTCCACAGACAGCCGTGTAGGTGGCTTACACTCTGTTCTCGCAAGCCCACATCAACGAGAGATTATCGAGGCGGCGCTCGATGGCCACGACGTTTACGTGCAGGCGGCGACCTCCTTCGGGAAAAGCCTTTGCTTTCAGCTTCCAGCAGTCATAGACCAGGGCAGCAAGTGACATCCTTTCCGGGGTCTCCTCGGAGAGTCCAGGGGCTGACAGCTATAGTCACCATCGTTGTGTCGCCGTTACTAAGTCTCATGGTGGGTGGCACGAGCCTGGCTTGTGTCTCTTGGATCGGACTGACAGCTAGTCATTAGATAAACCAAGTGGCGGCCTTGCGCGCGTCAGGCATCGACGCGAGCTCTCTCAACAGCAACACGTCGTATGCTGAAAGGAACCGAATCCATCGTGACCTCGAGACGGGGCACCCAAGGACTCGTCTCTTGTACGTGACGCCTGAGCTGTGCTCCGGCTCTCGGTTCCGCGAGCGCCTCAAGCTGGTCCACACCCAGAAAGAACTTGCTAGAATCGCTATTGACGAGGCTCACTGTATTTCGGAATGGGGCCATGACTTCCGCAAAGACTTTAAGCGGCTGTCGTGGTTCAGAGAGACCTTCCCTGATGTTCCCATTATGTGCCTTACGGCGACCGCAAACCCACAGGTCCGCCAGGATGTGCTAAGCACGCTGCGCCTGGACGCAACGCCTGAGCGCACAAAGACATTTCTCATGAGCCCACAGCGCGGCAACCTCCATCTAGAGATACGGTACACCAGGGATGAGGACGACAATAGGCTATCGGATTTCCTGCGTTGGATACGCGGCGTGTATGAGCGGCGGCGAGCTGAAGCCCGGCGGGCAGAGCTGACGCAGGTGGGTGAGAGGGCGGAAAGCGTGCCCGGCATCATCTACACGATATCCCGAGACGAGTGCGAGTCACTGTCGGCCGCACTGCGCGACGAAGGGGTCGGGGCACGTCCATTTCATGCAAAACTGCCGCAGGAAGTCAAACAGGAGACGCTTGCCCGCTGGATCAACAACGAGCCTGGTTACGATATCATCGTGGCTACGACGGCGTTCGGCATGGGCATCGACAAGAACAACGTACGGTTCGTTGTGCACTGGCGCATACCAAAGTCGTTTGAGGGATATTACCAGGAGGCCGGCAGGGCAGGGCGAGATGGCAACGCCAGCTACTGCTTCCTATACTACAGCCGCGAGGACCTGGAGCGGGTGACGCGCATGATCCGCGGCGATTCCAAGGACGGGTCGAACCAGGAGGCGCGGCTGCGAAGCCTCCACTCGCTGGCGCTGTATTGTGAGAACACAGACTCATGTCGGCACGCGGCGATCTGCAAGTACTTTGGCGAAGCGGCAGTGCCCGAGTGTGACTTTGCGTGCGACTGGCACAAGGATCCAGACGACCTCGAGATGAGATTCCTGCGGGGCCTGGCAACGGAGGAGTGGGTGAGCACGCAGGCCATGCAGGGCACGTACGACGGGTACTATGAGGAATGACGAATTGATATGCCGAAGGATTGAAACGCGAAAGGCCGCGGCAGATGGCTACAATAACAAGGTCGACCCAACATGCATGCCACCAGAGGGTTCGTCCATTGGCCGTTTTGGGCAATCTGCGGAGGATCTGCATAGCCTGCCCTGCCGTAACCGGGACCGTTATTTCGAGTCGCGGAGGCTTGTGCTTCAAAAAGCGCATAAATACACACCCGCGGCAAGTCTACGTTTGATTGCAAGAGGCCCTTTTGTGATGAAAATGAAGTCTAGATTCAGGGCATCCCCTATCTAATCAGGCCTGGGTGACAGTCTATTTGGCTGGAGTCATGGTCAGGGCAGCGCTCGCTTAAATGATGATGGCGATCAGGAACATGCGATCAGGTCTCATGCGGTGGTCAAGCTTATGCGATCATGCTTGTGCGATTAAGCCCATGCGATCAAGGTCGCGACGTCCAACCCGCTTCACTCCTTTTTCCCTTCCTTTTGGGCCTGCTTGCGGGCGACGAGGCCGTTGAGTCGGCGAAAGGCGCAGACGCCCTCGAAGAAGCAGCTCGAGACCCAAGCCCACCACAGGCCGCTGCCACGGTCGACGCCGTGTCGGCGCAGCTTCCTGTCGAAGATGGCGCTCTCGGTGAGGTGAATGCCGACGACGGGCAGCAAGAGGACGCGGCTGAGCCAGCGGAACATGTCGGCGCCGCCAGGGAAGTAGGCATCGAGGAAGTTCCAGGCGGCGGTGCCGGGGAGCAGCCAGGGCAGGGCGAGGAAGGAGCCAAAGTAGAAGACGACGGCGCCAAAGATGATGGCGTCGAAGCCGCGAGGGGCCAGGTACTCGGTGACATAGATGTCGCTGATGCCGAGGGCGCGGCGGGCGACGGTGTCCATGTCGATGATGCGGGCCTTGGCGTCGGCCCACGAGTCAAGCGGCGGGTCAAAGGGCACGGCGTAGTCGCGGCCGGAGGCGGTGCGGATGCGCATGCCCTGCAGGGTGAGGTCCCGGATGGAGGGGGCGGCGGCGGCGGAGGCCTCGCGCGGGGAGGCGCCGGCCCAGTGGCGGATGTAGTGTCCGAGCTCGCGCGTGTGCGAGCGGTTCATGTGCGCGATGATGCGGCTGCGGCGCTCCTCATCGGCGGCGGCGACGGCGGCGGCTGCCGCGGCGGAGGGGGAGGTGGTAGTGGCCATCTCGACGGCGGATGTGACGCGAGCTTGAAGCTGTCTGTCAGGTGCTGTGGTACCGGGTGGTGGCGGCGGTAGTCTTGGGCTGGCGGTGCGGTGCAAGCTACCAGGCGACGGATGCGAATCGTTGGGATGCTGGCGATTCGGCCCAACCCACAAAACCTCAGGCAGTCAGGCCAGGTAAAGGTACGGCAAGGTGCCTCGTGCGGCCTGATGGACCGAGGCCAGGGACGAGGGTGGGGACGGTGAGGAGAGGTGCGTCGGTGGTGGAGGGACCCGCGGAGGACCCGTGGCCGCACCGGCGGGGCAATTCAGGGGACCGACCCGACCTGAGTCCTGCCTGCCCAGCAGCCCAGGCGAGCTTGCTGTGCCGCAGCGTGCAAATGCCAGCATATAGGCTTCGACCTGGGAGCTTCCATCTCGCTCGACCTGCACGTGTCAATTCACGACGATGAAATGGACTGTAACTCCGCCAGAGCCATTCTCCTTGCCACCTGTCCACTTGGGAATCGAGGCACATACGAGGACACCCACCCCCATCCAAGCTTGGCAGCAGCCGAGCGAGACAGGGCGCAACTCACGTTCCCTCAATTGTTCCCCCCTTCCCTTCGCGTGGGCGGCCCACACCACCAGACGCCGCCGGCCCGTTGGCTCGTGACAGGGCCGCGATGGCACTGATTGATAACGGATGGACCAGCCGAGAGACTCAATAGCGGCGATTGACGTGCAGGGGGGCGTCCATGGGCGTGTGGGGGCGAGGCCACAACGCAAAATGAGACTGCGCGAATGACTCTTTGGCCCTTGGCCGACAAAGTAAGGTGCCGGGTCCTGGTACTACAAACTACCATTGCTAGCGGACCATGCCTTGGCACCCGGGATCGAGGGTTTCGGATGGCGTCGCTAGCCCTGCTGGACGGCGACATTAAGCTCGCGAGCAGTGGACCCTATGTGTCGACGAAATGGCATTCACCACAGAGTCGTGGATCTCGAGGTGGCCCTCGGTGTGCTGCCGGATCGTGCTTGGTGGCATGGCGTTTGGTCCACCGAGAGGCACAAGCTCCTTGCCAAGCTGAGCAGTGGTGCGCTATACTCGTAGCCGGATGGTGAGGCGTCGTCGAGACATGTCGAGAAGAACGATGAACTTTCAGTACATAGAATACTTTGACACGAATGGAACGCATTCACAGAAGAGCTGGCTTGGTGGGCGGCTTTTCGCAATGAGAGGACAGACACGTTCTGCAGTGAGCCCTCCCTCCAGGAAGCAAAAGGCCCGCTTCCATGGCTCGCCTACACCGATGAAACATTCATCATGAAGGATGCAACAGAACCAGCGCAGAATCCTGGACATTAATACTAGTACCACTACCACTTGGCACCTTGGCCTCGCCGGCGGGCTGTGCAGAGCGCAGGCCGGGGACTTTCCAAGTGGCAGGGTGCGAGACCGGACCCGCGAGCGGCGCCAGGGTTTCCGTTTCGGGACCCGGGTGGGACGCCGTTCCTTATCAATCAGCGGGGGAGCAGGACATCGCGACACCCGGCGCGCGGTGGCTGCTTCGTGCCAGCCCACCCGCGAGCCCCGGCAATTCGACCCGTGCCCAAGTCGGCTGCGGGTCGTTTGACGCACCGGTCTTACCACCCACACCAGGAATCGGCGTTTGGCGGGTGCAATGGCGCCCTGACTGGCCGCCCCTGGCCGCCGCAGGACCCAATCGGGCCCTGTTCGGCAGCGCCCATCCGCCCAGCCCCCGTGGGACCCGCCAGCGGTGAGTCAACGTTTGCCATGTCGCCCCCTTTTTTTCGAGAACAAGACTGCAATGTATGAGTACCAGAGCGAGACGGAGGCAAGTTTGCCGGGCACTTTGCGTAGACCGGGCAGCGCTAGGCGTCGCGGATCCGCGCGGCACTGGCATGGCGCGACCTTGATGATGATGGTGGGAGGCAAGAGAGAGAACAGCGGTGGGGTCGTTGTCCAGGGCGCGGGCGTCACCACCGCGACAAGGCACGCAGCATTGAGTCGATCTCACGTACGGAGGCGCAAATTATGAGAGAGATCGTGAAGACTTAAATCGCACTTGCTTGCCGAAGCTCGGCAGGGAGCCGCCGCTTCCGAATGGCACCACTTTGGCTTGTTGGCGGCACTTGGGACGAGCAGGAGACAAAACGTGGATCAGAGGCGGCTGGAGCCTGTGTGGAGGGCAGGCCGAGGGAATATGGTTCCAGGGATGGATGGGCTGGGCCCTGGACGACTGACTGGCTTCCATCGTTTGAATGAGGTAACGGGAGGACAAAAAGTCCAGGGCCAGCATTCGTCATGTTCATGGGGCTCGCTGGGGATTGCCTATTCGGGGGCCCGCAAAGTCCGCCCGATGGCCGGGGCTAGCTGAGGTACGTACAGTACAAGTGCGATGCGAGTGCGTGAAAGTTGCGGGCGCCAGGTTTATCAGATGCCGGGTTTGGCCAGAAACGCCTCAAGTCGCCCGTTGACGGCGGAGACGCACGCCCGCGGGCGTGGGCCGCGTGTTCGTTGTTTGGGTATTAAACGGCCGGCCGTCCTGCTCGCGTGCGTGCCGGCCCGTTGAGCCTTCATTTTCTTTCTTTGGCCACCACGTACGTCGTCTTACCGTTTTCTCGCTCACTAGTGGAGCGTCTCTTGTTCGGTCGCACAGCATTACTCGCTGGACTGCCCGAATGGTCTGCTGCAGCAGAGAGCACCAGGTACAGTAATACGGGCGATTCGTCGTTCATATTGTTTCCCAAACGAGCATCTCGCGCTCTCCGGCCCGGCCCCCGACGCTCGGAGCTCCGAAGCACCACCACGCTGAGTCATCCGCCTCCCGCCGTTGGACAGGGCGTGGCGTGGCCGCGCTCGTAACTCCGCTCGGCGTTTGCCATGGAAAGCCCGCAGGCGCAAAATCTGCACCCATTCTTATCAGATCAGATTGATAAAGAATCCCTTTACAACTGGCCCGGCCCCCTCACCTCGATTGAGCCGCGCCTCATCCTTGGAAACAAACGTCGTAACTCCGACGACCACCGCACGGCAACCTCACCAACGATGCCTGACACTGAGGAGCGCAGCGAGAGCCCGGAGTCCGACGCAGGCGCCGGCCCTCAGACGGGGGGCTCAGGCGGCTCCGACCAACCGCCCGCCCGCAAGCGCCAGCGCGTCCGCCTGAGCTGCCTCGAGTGCCGCCGCCGCAAGCTCTCGTGCGACCGTGGCTTCCCCTGCGAGCGCTGCATCAAAAGCGGCACCCCGGACCGGTGCAGCTACGAGGCCCGCAACGGTGAGGTCGTCAACGCCTCGTCCGGCGTGCCCCCGCCCTTTGCCCAGCTCGACTCCCGGAGGTTCGGCATCGGCGCCGACGCCGCCGCCGGCTTCACCGCCCGTGAGGACCATGACCGCATCCGGAGGCTCGAGCTCGAGATCACCCAGCTCAAGAACCTGCTCGCCCGCCCGGGCGCCGGCGCCGGCGCCGCTTCCTTTGACGGCAGCACCATCGCCGGCACCAACTCTCCCTCCACCCAGAAGGATGACGCCCTCGACGCCGACTCCGGGCCCCGCCCCGAGGTCCAGGAGTGCATTGACGCCAGCAACATGAGCGGCGAAAAGGGTGAGCTGCGCTTCTTCCGCGGAAAGGGCTTTCGCACCCGCTACTTTGGCCCGCACAACGCGAGCATGGCCTTTGTTGAGCTCACTGGCCTCTGCCCCTTCATGAGAGAGACGGCAGACGAGTGGCTGCGGCCCGTCATCCTGCACGACCGCAAGGACCGCAACCGCCGCAAGGAGGAGCGCGAGATCATCTTTGAGCAGCCCGACGCCGAGCTCATCGCGCTGCTCCCCACCAAGGAGGAGACGGACGCCCTGATCAACGTCTACTTGGACCAGTTTGAGCAGGTGCACCGCATCGTGCACATTCCCACATTCCGCAAGGAGTATGCCGATTTCTGGAAGCCCGACAGCAAGCAGCGCTACGCCGCCTTCACCGCTCTCATTCTCTCCATGATGGCCGTTGCCAGCTGCGTGCACACACATGAGTCGCTCAAGTTCATTGGCATGATGTCCAACGCCAGACACATGGCGGAGAAGTGGATCAACGCCTGCGACACGTGGCTCTCGCGGCAGAGCCAGAAGCACCGCAAGCTCATTCACTTCCAGATTGCGTGTCTGCTGTACCTGGGCAAGCGCGTCAACACCATCAAGAAGAAGCGCTTCTGGACCGGCGCCGGCGCGTTGATCCAGGACGGCATCTCGGTGGGCCTGCACCGTGAACCCAGCCACATGGCTGGCAAGATTAGCGTCTACAACCAAGAGATGCGACGGAGGATCTGGACGACGGTTCAGGAGTTTGACATGCAGGCTTCATTCGACCACGGCTTGCCCACTCTGCTGAGCCAGCTGCATTACGACACCAATCCCCCGCGGAACCTGGATGACGAGGACTTTGACGAAGACACGGCCACGCTGCCGCCTTCGAAGCCGCAGAAGGAGTACACCTTCAGCTCTTTTCAGAATCTCGCGCGACAGAGCCTCATGCTTCGTCTGGAGCTGAGCCGACTGCTGACAGGGCCACTGTCGGATATTGACTATGACCAAGTCATCCGATATACCAATGACCTCACCCAAGAGATTGACGCCCTTCCGTCGTGGGACATGAACACAGACAACACCAAGAGCAAGAAGAACCCGCTCATCGCCTACACCCTCCTGCACGTGCAGCTGCGGCAGTACATCATCCCGCTGCACCAGCCGTACCTCAAGCTGCGCAAGCAAAACTCAAAGTACCAGTACTCGGAGATTATCTACTACAACGCCGCCCGGGACATTGTGCTTCTGCACGACAAGCTGTATGAGCAGGGCATCCGGTCGCTCAACTTCCTGCGCGAGGACGCGCTGACGACGGCCATCAACCTGTGCAGCGTGACGATGCTGCAGCCCCGGGGGTCGACCAACATGATCATGATCAACTCGCACCACACGCTCAAGCTCATCGAGAAGTGCATCGCCATGAAGGAAGACCGGCTGCTCCGCTGCGGCAACAACGAGCCGTGGGGCTACTCCATCATGTGCTCGGCGCTCGGACTGCTCGAGGCGCATCTGGGGACCAAGACGCCCGAGGTGGCCAAGTCGACGTCGGCGGAGCGGTTCGTCAACCTGCACTACCGCCTCCTCGCGAACCAGGAGCCGCCCATCTCGTCTGGGCAGGGACCGAACACGCCGCTGAGCGGCGCGGCGGCAATGTCTGCGCCAGGCCTGGGTCCGAACCCGGGCATGGACGTGCCTGACAGGGCAAAGGTAACCACTACCAGTGCGATGCGCCGCCTTGACAGTGGATCTAACGCTTTCCCGCAGTCTGTGACGCCATTCACGTTCAACCCGGCCATGTCAGCGGTGCCCGTGGACCCGGCATCGGGCGCGGCTCCGTGGATCCTGGGTGGGGACCAGACGCAGCCGTTCAACCTGGACCCGAGCCTGGAGCTGCTGGGGCTGAATTTGAATGAGATTTGGGGCGAGTCGTGGGAGCTGGGCTAGACGATGATGTGCATTTGAGACGAGGTGCGATGCGAGCGGCTTATTGTTTTGAGGCGATGTAAATTGAGATACACGGGCGGATTGGTACAAAGTTTATGGGAGACACGAAGCGACGAAGTTATGGCGTTTGGGCAACCAACATGTACAACAGAAGATACCAGATAATTATTGGACCTCACGGCTCATTGCGAAGCCTGACGAATATCCAACGAGTGCACGAGCAGGAGATTCAACGATGAGGATAACCGTAGCTCACACTACAGGCAAGGGACGTGTTTCAAAGGAGATGCGCCCGGCCCACAGACAGAGTTGAGCCCGGCCGCCACGGCGGCGGGCGGCGCACCAAGGGCCAGCACGAAAAAAAAAAATCGAGCCGCGTCCCCCACCACAGTATGGGTCAAGGGACAATATGTGACTCACGCGCGCCCGCGCCCCTTCAACCCGATGCCGGCCACCAGCCAGCCCTTCTTATAGCACATTTGGTCGACTGTTTTCCAACAAGAGCCACTTCGAGAAAAAGCGGCTCCTTCCAAGTGTTCAGCAACATAGCTCAGCGGAAGAGCGACGGGCTCATAACCCGTAGGCCCCTGGATCGAGACCAGGTGTTGCTAACGATTTTTTTGTACTTTTTTGCTCCGTGTTTTTTGTTGCAGTGTGTCAAAGAGGACATGGGAAGTTGTCTCCGATGGTTTTCTAGGTAGATAAAATGCTCTTTGGGTGTATTTTGTGTGATTTTGTTCTCTTCTTTTTGGAGTCGCGTGTTGACGATTTTCGAAGATGCCTGCGAGGTGAGGGCCTCGCCAAAGGTCACCGAACACCGCACCACACCTTGGGTTCATCACTTTTGCATGCTCGGGTGCCAGTACTGTATTGATTTCGGCTGAATTTCTCTGCATCTCGTGGACAGCAACGCATGCGTGTCGGACGCGTAAGCGACAACACATCTACGCGTGCCTTCTTCGCTGGTAAACTTGCAGCCACGGCCGAGACGAGATGCATGGTGTCGTCGCCACGACGTCCAAGTTGTAGGGTAGCGAGAAGCCTTTGGCAACAACCGGCTAGGGCGACGTCGCGAACGAGGAATTATTCCGCGAGACGCACCAGACTGATATGTAGCTACGTCTCAATCGCTTCCAGAAGCGGTGCTCCGTCCTCCCATTGCCTTGCATTTTCGGCACGCCGTGCCGGACACAGCATCGTGGCCGCGCAACGCCCCGCGCTTGAGCCACGCTCCCGCCCTCGACGCGGCAAATGGGCGTCTTCCAACTCCCCAGATGGAGAAGGGCATGTGTGTGTGCCTTGTAAGGCTGGGAGCGAGCGGCAGGCAATGAACTCAAGCGATGTCTATCTCGGCGCGCCCGAGAGGTTAGACTCCTTTGTGACGAGCGGGTGTGGCCGTCGATGTGACGGCGGTACGTCTCACGACGGTGGCCAACGTGTGGCCGCAGCTTCATCTCGTGGCATGGTCCCTAATCGGGCGATTCGAAGCAAGATCCTGCGAATGGGAGCGACTCGCGCGGGCGGGCCAGGGCAGCACCGCACCGCGAAATCGCAGATCACCGGTGCCACAGAATGTGTGTGCGTGCGCCCCGCGTGCTGCGGGCAGGTGTCTTTCTCGCAGCATCATGTCCGAAGCGGCTTAGCCCCGGCGCGCGGCAGAGACGCCAAGAGAGGTGGCAGGAGCTGGAAGTGGACGGGGCACCGGGGCGGTTTCCAGCGCGGCTTCCAGGGCGGCAGGCTCCAGCTAGCCCTGGCGATGTGCCGGAGCGGCGGCACTGGTCCTGTTTGGGCACGATGCTGCGAGAGCCGCGCAGCGTGATTCGCCCGGCACGGCTTCACGGCAGCGGCAGCCAGGTCAGCACGGGGGAACGGTGGAGGACGGTCGAGGAGATTATATATATCGCGAGCTGGTCTGTTGTGTTGCGCCGGAGGAGAGGCAAAGGCGAAAGAGACACAGAACACTCTCCGTATTCAAGCCCACCTCAAGCTTGACAGCTTGCGCTGCGACGCACTTGCTCTGTCCTGCTGTCCAACCTGGAAGGACAGCGCACGCCGACTCGACATCACACCCCCGGATAGACAGAAACATCAAGCGGCCCACGACTCAAGATGCTCGACCCCCACACGAGCCTGGGCATCGCCCAGACCGTCTTCTATGCGCCCATGGTGCCGCTCGCCATATACCTCATGAAGCGCAACGGCAGAATCCGCCCGCGCATGGCCTGGTGGCCACTTATACCCTTTTCGCTGAGTACGTGTTCCGCCGAAGAGCCTACGACGAGATATGCCGACTAACAGACGCCCTTGGCAGTGCGACTCGCCGGCGGGCCCGTCATCATTGCCCTCGAAAAGAACCCCGAGAGCATCGGTCTCATCATCGCGGCAATCATCCTCCTCAATGTCGGCGTCATCCCGCTCATCGTCGCCGACCTGGGTCTAACACGCGTCATGTACGTGTACCGGTTGCCCCAGGACTATAGCGCTTGCAGAGCATGCTAACATCTGCGACAGCCTCATGGACAACTACAGCCACAGCCCGCACTCGAACCGCATCGGTGGCATGCTCCGCGCCACCTTTGTCATCGCCGCGGGCCTCCTCGGCGCGGGCGGCGGCCTGGGTTCGCAGACGTCGGCGGACCTGCGCAGCGTCGGCCACGGCCTGACCCTCGCGGGATACATTGTCTTTGCCGTCGAGCTGGTCGTGCTCACGGCCATGCAAGTCTACTTTTGGCGGCGGCGGTCCGGGTTCCTCGAGAGCAGTCAAAAGGTGAGCTGATGAAACGACTTCACGAAAGATGACGGAGTCGCTGAGCCTGCGACGACTGACACTGATGCCCTCCGCTACAGGTCCTCTGCGGCGCGCTCCTCGCGAGCCCCTTCATCATGGTGCGCACCGTGTACGGCATCCTCGAGGTCGTGTACCAGAGCGACAACGCGACCAAGTGGAACCCCGTGTACGGCTCGGCCGTCGTGTTTGCCTTTATGGGCCTGCTGATGGAGTATGCTGCCCTGTGCCTGTACCTGTACACGGGCTACTCGATCCCGCCGGGGCGAGGGCTGTCTGTTGGACGGGATGAGGCGCCGGTGGGAAAGGTCTGATGTGAGGTCGGATGCGGCGATGGCAGGAAAGAAAAGAAGAGGAGGAGCTCGTAACAAGGTAAGGGACCGGTGTTGCTTGATGCGAGTGCCGTTGGTGGACCTCGCCTTTGGTGCTCGGGGGCACGCACATTTCGTCTTTGACGTTTCATGATACCAAATGCAGTCGGATTATCGACAAAGAATATTGCTGCACCAGGCGGACCATTGTCTTTGACTGCACATGCAAACCTAGTGGTCAACGGCACGGAGCCGACTTACAAAGAAGGACTGGCCTGAGCTGCCGTATCTTGTAAGAGGCCCTGGGGATAAGCCTCGAAAGGTCTACTACATGCCCGTGCCAATCGAGTCCGCTCGCATCGAACAAAAAAAAAAATACTTCATAACCTGCAGCGAGGCTTGCGTCTGTCGAGATCCGCCACGTTTTTGCAACACGAAGGAGCATGAAAGCGGCCAGATGTTGGGTCGCTGCAAGCCAACCTGCGACTCCTCGTATGCAAGGCAGCCGGGGCGGTTGTGGCGCTCAGGCAGGCGTCGTCCAGTGCAATGCCGACAGTTGCGGCGTTTCTCACACTGTCCGCCCATAGCCCTGTGGCTGCCGCACGCATCACCTGCGGTGGAAACTCGGTCACCCTCCAATACCGACACCATTGCCCTAATGACACAGTGCGGACACCGAGACCGTCACCCACACGGCCCCCAAAGGCCGTCGTCATCAACTGACCCTCCCAGCCGGAAGCGAAGGGGGACAGATGGAGAGGTCGCCTGGCCACACGGGCGAACCACCAGACGCGCGTCACC